CATTTATTATAAACAATTCTCTTTACTTAAATTATTTGAATACATTTCTATAATATTTAATAATATTGTTAAATATAAGACTTAAATTATTTATTGTAATTTAGATTTTATTAATGGTTTTTTATAATTTGATGCTATTTTATTGAGCACTCATGTAATTATAATATAGTGTGTGTTTATGTGACGACATATCACTTTCAATGAATGAACCAAATTGTATATTAATGTACAGAAAGTGAAATGCAATGAAATGACATTAAGTGAATCCTCGAAAAATTGAATACTTAATCACTGTATGTCTGATGATATTTGCTTTACTTTGCTTTTAATATATTATTATTTTTATATACATTATATATAATATTATTTAAGTGAAATGCCAAAATCAATGACAAAAATCTTATATTTCTACATTAATTAGCGACAAATGACGTTTGAGTGATAATAAATTGTATAAGTATTTAGTTGGTATTAAATGTAAGCACAGGGATGCTGTTGACCAACTTATTTACTTATTGTCAATATTTCACAACATCCATCTTATATCATACATCCATCGACATCAACACACACACACACACACTGTATAAGATATAATAGCGAGATATAAGAGGAAACATGAAATAGCATTGTCTTACACTAATATTATCGGCAGAATTGTCTTAATGTCTAAGTGGATGTCAGTTCCAGTTGTCATCTACTCTTCAACCAACTTTCCTCTCATAAAGCATACAAACAATATAGTCTGGTTTTTTCAATAGTAATAGTATTATATTAAATGTGTATATAAATGTAATTTGAACTCAAAATTATAAATAAAAGCAAAGTTATAAAAACAACAAAAACTTAAATTCTTAGATTTCATGACCGATAGTATTATATTTAACGTCTATTTTGGCACAAAGTCTTACACAATACTTACGATTTGTATTATAGACTCTATTGTTGTCATAGATTGTGGTTTTGGCAGAAAAAATCATTTATAATATTGTTAGTGTTTGTATTAAACTTATTGTAATTTAGTATTTATTGTCAATTTTCTTCAATCTATATATAAAAAAGGTGTGACAGAAATGGCCAAAAGGTTTCTTTTGCAATGAATTCAATTCTTAATTCTTTACACATGAATTAAATGCCAAACAATTGAATCAAAAGCAACAGTGATAACAGTTTCAATTAAAATACTTTTATGCTATCATCCTATCAATTGATAAAATACAGACTAAACATATCATATAATGATATTAAGTAAAAGTTACAATAAGAGTGAGTATTGGTGTGACATATAAGGGAATTGATATAAATATATATGAAAAGAGTAAACGTGTAAATCTATTGAGTCTTTTCCCGGTTGTCGACGGATTGGACATCAGAATCGTTGTGCAAATCAATGAAACTGTTTTCACGCGTCAATGCATTACAATTGAGAGTTGAATTTCATACACAAAAGAGTCGGTACTTATAAGTGCTTATACATTGCAAATGAGACCCAATTGTCACAAATATTGACTATATTTTGTTATTTAGAATATATTACTTTTAAGAATATTTTTTTGAATAAATTTTTATATCAATTGTCAAGAATTGCTTTTAATATCAATTCAATTCATTTGTATTGTAAATGCGTCCAAACAAACGCTTTCAAAAAAAAAACATATTTTTAATATTTATTATTTATAAATTACAGTATAATATAAATATTTAATATTTAAATATGTATTTATATTCATTCATAATTTATAAACATTTTATAATGAATTAAACTTTAATAACAAACTTTTAATGTTATTTTAAATAATATGATAGTATCATACCGTATTTTAGTAAATTACAATACTATATACTGTAATATTAAACAACATATTATTGATAGTATAAAATTTATTGAAATTACACTTTATAAAATTAAATTGCACAAATTAAATGATAAATATGAGTTTATCTCACTTGTTATTTGATATAAATTTTCAAAGTTGTTATATAAAATATCTGTTAAATTTGTTAAGTTTGTTATACATGTTAAGGCATTTAATCAAAAATTCATAATAATGACACTTAATTTCAATCACTAGTTATACCTTGAATACAAAAACAATGCAATTTTTAGTATTATAATCACTTACTTGTTAGTAGTATTAAAGGTCATTCAAATTCATTATATTAAATTTATAATAATTTGAAAAGTTTGACAACAAATGTCGAAACATTAAAAATCGATATTTTTCACTAATAAAACTTCTATTATGGTTTAATTTCAACCAATTTTAATTATTATTTAAATAAACAGTTATATTCGTATAAATATATTATATTTATATAGTTATTTACAGTATATGTTAAAAACATAAATAAGTTTGAAATTACTCTAAATTTATTCATTAATGTTGAATGCATTTATGCGATTAGTCACAAGTGATTTAACATAAATTTTGGTAAATGTTTTATACATTAGATGTAATTATTGCTAATAACAAGTATAGCTTTAGTATACATGTGTTATTTCAGGTGTTTATCTCTGAAAACAAAATTTATTTTCAGAAATTAAATTAGTATCTAATGAGACGGGCATTTGTAGCACTTTCGGTACTGTTGTAGACAACATACCCGAGCCATACAAATAGTACATAAAGTTTGATGAGTGCAAAGTCTGTCTGATGTCTTATTTGAGACACTAATCATTAAATCAAAGAACTCTTTTTTTGGTAATTTATTTCTGTTTATGCCATCTCTTAATTGATTATCAAATAAGAGTTTCACATTTTATGGACTAACAAATTAGTGAAATGTCTATATATTTCTATCTATACCTTCCAGTAATGCCTGTGCTTTACATCAATTAAGATAATCAGTGAAAATGGAGAAGAGATGAGGTCTTTCTTGTTTAACATTACTTTTGGCTATTTTTGTGCTGAAACTCAAATTAGACTTCAATTTGCTTTTATGCCAAACAAAGTTGTTTTGCAAAACATATATTTTAACCGTTCAGTCGGTTTAGAGTTGAGAAGAACATTATATATAAACTCTGAGATCACATACAGAATGTAAGTGATCTGAAGAAAATGTTATCTAAATTTAATGTTAAAATACAATCAAATTAATTAGCACTTGAGCTTATCCTATATAGTTGTGATATACACTGTATTTTTATGTTTAGTATTAAAGGATAGGCCTCTTAAACCCAGAATCGATATATAATATAACGATATTAGTGTCCTTAAGAGTGCAACTCCTCAACAATTGTGTCAAATTGATTGGAGTCTCACTATAATTGCCAATAAATGCAGAATATATGTGAAATTCTTATGCCATTTCATTCAATATAAGTATCAATTTTGTAACAAAACTTTCATTTTAATAATAACTTTCATAAGTAATAACATTTCAATACTTAGTTAATAATAACAATAATATTAATCTTATATTAGATTTAAGAATAATGAAATATTTTGGTGACTTATAAAACAAAACTTTTATCCATTAATTTAATAAAATGCAAACGAAATAAATATATTTATTTGTTATAAAAATTATTTGATTCAATTTGCAATATTATAATAAATTAATTAAATCGAAAATAGTCTTATATATATTATATAAAATATATATTAAACTATTTGTTGGTCATTCACCCAATAATAAGAGATTGCACTTTCAGTTTACCATTTCTTTAATAGCTTTAGGATTTTGAATATATATTTTTTTATATTTTGACATTTCATTATTTTATTTAATAGCCATTTTTTAATATAAAAACTATAAATCATTAATTATATATAAATATAAAGTATTTTTAATTTATTTTGGTTTTTTATAAATAATGACAAATTGCATAAATTAGTATTTTATTGATTTATATATACATTATTTAGTACAGTATATCACATAAATAGCGTGTCAGCAATGTTTGGCAATACTTAGAGCTCACAAATAATTGAACGAATGAATGATATGCCGTATAAAAACACCGGGAGTTACCCGACATTAGGTTTTACTATAATATACAATGAATTAGAGTTTAATTAAAAATAAGATAACATATAAATGTTTGTAGTTTTATCAATTGATTACATTTTTTAGATACATAACTACCATATATAAAATAATATAAACATTTAACTAAATAATTGTATAGTAATTATTTAAAAACATTAACGATGTGTTATTTACTTAATATTTCTGTTAAATTATATTTGTCTTTAAAAAAGCATAAAAAATACTTTAAATTATTTTATAAGTGTGAGAGAGTTTAATTAGAGAAAATATAAAATATTTACAAATAATATTTCTAATTGTTTTTGTATCATTAAAATAACGAATCTATTTTTGAAAATCCTAATTTATTTTTATATAAAAATTATGCAATACTTTTTGAACACTATATACATAAACATAATATAAGTAATTATAGTAAAGATATATATTTATATTAACATTTATTATATTATTTAGTAAATTAATATAAATATTATTTTTTCATGAATTTTCTTATTTCTAATTTATCATATTTATCTAAAAATAATTATTTTTTGTATTTTTTATCTCTAAATTGCTATTTTATATAATATTTTATCGATTCACTGATTATAAATTATTATTCAATTAATAAAATAAGTTTCATTGTTTAATTAATTATTATTATATATTAATATAAAGAGTGATATCAAAAACTTATTATATACTAATAATTTTACATTAAATTAAAATTACATAATTGTAATAATTCTTTAATATTATTATTATAAACTTAAGAATATTCTTTAAAATATTATTTGTATTTTATAAACAAATGTAAATACAATGAAATTTTAAACATTTGTATAATTTTCTTATTATTAATAATAATAATAAATAACATTTGTTTGTTTATATTTAATTTTTAATATATATTAATATTTATATAAATTAATTAAAATCGTAATAAAAATGTAAAAAATGTTTTAATTAAAAGCAATACACGAGTGAGTGATTCAAGTGATGGTATCAATGGTGCCATCGGTTGATAGCATTAAACGTCAAATGAGTTTATACTTTATATATGACATCACATAACATATGAAACAATATTTAACTCAATGTTGTGTTTCAGTTGTGTAACTCCTCGTCACTGAAAAACCCGATTACCGATTGGTTGGCCAATACTTTGTCCATTCATTGACTGACTGATTGGTTGTTGACATTGGTTTTGGCTTTAATTGATACGACTGTTACAACTCGGGTAACAACAAGACATGTCAAGAATGGGTCATCACTTTGATGAAAATGATGGTCACATATACCACGGAATTGATATAAATAAAGTGAATCTGTCATCACTGGGTGAGGCACAGAGGGAACACCTATTGCTTCACGAGAAGCATAGGGGACACGAGTCGATGCACGCGCTTATGCTACTCATCCTCATCGCTGCCATAGTTGTAGCCCAAGTGGTACTCATTTATTGGCGCAAAAAGAGTCCAAAGAGCTATCAAAACGTGTCAATGATAGGCATGTGGTTCGTACCGTTCATACTGTCCGTCTATAATCATTGGTTCCGATTTGTGGCCATTTGGTTGGCCATCACATTAGTCACGTGTGCGCTAATCAGTAAACCGCTAATCAATAAGCAATTGAACACCGGATCCATTCCCAGACTAATTTATAAGTGGTTTTACTTTCTGTATTCATTTTCATCGATAGTTGCGGTGACCGGTTATCTCGTAATAATGGCAACACTGGTCGGCATTAATATGTTATTAGGTATCAAACCTAATGTAACGCTAGACTTAGGATTTTTACTATTGTTTTACGGCATTTACTACGGAGTGCTGACCCGAGATTTTACCGATTTTTTAGTGGACCTGTTGGCCGCCAATATTGGCTATTATCAGCCGCAATCATCACTGCCTTCAAAGCAACTTAACTCAACAATTTGCGCCATTTGTGGCCGAAATCACAGCGAAAACAACGAGGAGAAGACCTATACTTTAAGTTGTGGTCATATTTATCACGAGTACTGTATCTACGGGTGGTGTTTGGTCGGCAAGAAACAGGTCTGTCCTTTCTGTAGGGAGAAAGTGGATCTCAAAAAATTATTTTCATCGCTCCCTTTCCAAAAACCACACTTCCTTTACGGCAATTTGTTGGACTTTATACGATATCTCATTGTATGGCAACCTATTATCATATTTGCCGTCCAATGCTTTAATTATATTCTGGGATTAGAGTAATTAAAATAAATAATTGACTAAATATTATGCATTACTTAGTTAATCAAACAAATGTTAACTTATATTCATCAAAACGACCCCAAAGTGAACGGACACTTGATTTTTATACAATTTATGATATTTTTTGATAACAACAAAAATACAGTATAAAAATTATTTTCAAATACAATAATTGAATTAATTTGTTAAATAATTTCTTCTATAATATAATTGTTTTTTTTCGACAATAGATTATTTATTATAATTTATGTTATATATTATTAAATGTTTATATTTTATTTTATTTGATTGAAAATAATTAAAGTTTCACTTTTTATATATTGATTAACTAACATAATTTCATCATATGATATATTATATATTAATTTCAATGGATAACTATATGTAATAAGTATTAAGTTTATTAAAATTATCAAAAGTTTAACCCATTTTCGGTCAAACATTGATTTATAAAATATTTAAAACTAATAATTTGCTTCAATTGGCGTTATTCACAAACTACAGTACATAAACACATAGGGTTACCATATTTATCATAATATGATGGAAACCGGTATTTAAACATTAAAAAGTATAATATATAAAACATTTACAATATATTCTATGAAATAATTATAAATTATACGTTTAATACAGTATTTAATAGTTTTTAAAAATAAAACACTTAACACATTAGGATCTGATATATCATATCATATATATTTAATATGAAATATAATATCCTTCTAAAAAATATAGTTATCTGTCAATTATAATAATGTTTTAGTGTTTATACTACAGTACAGTATATGTAATGTAAATAAATATTTTGATAAATATTGTAATAATTGTGTGAATGATTAGCCGTAATATCAAGTGATTGCAGACCTCGTAAGCGATGGCCAACCGCACCATCAAAGACGCTAAGACTATACACGGAACTAATCCACAGTATTTGATAGAGAAGATCATCAGAACCAGGATTTATGAGAGCAGATACTGGAAGGAGGAATGCTTTGCTTTGTCAGGTTTGACATCTTTTTTGATAAACTATTTTTGTGACCATTTCTTGTGATTAATAGCCGAACTTGTGGTCGACAAAGGCGTTGAAATGCGATATATCGGTGGTATATACGGCGGTAACGTAAAGCCAACGCCATTCCTGTGTCTTGTGCTGAAACTGCTTCAGATCCAACCCGACAAAGACATAGTTATTGAGTTCATCCGTCAGGAAGACTTCAAGTATGTCCGAGCTTTGGGTGCTTTTTATTTGCGACTCATCGGTACGTCAACTGATATCTACAAGTATTTGGAACCACTTTATAACGATTACCGCAAATTGAGAAGAATGGGGAAAATGGGAACTTTTGATGTCATACATATGGATGAGTTCATCGATATATTACTTCGAGAGGATCGTGTCTTTGATGTCATACTTCCCCGCATTTTGAAGCGTCACGTTCACGAAGAGAGTGGAGAACTTGAAACGCGAGTCAGTATTCTTGATGAAGACTTAGAGGCGGGCGTAACGTCTGAAGAAGACCAGTCTAATGATGTGAGTGTTGTTATGGTTGAAACTATTGGTTGTTATTAAACTTACATTTCTTTAAATAGGAATCATATGAGACATCTCGTCACGAGCGGCGCCATAGAAGCAGATCTCGATCACCATATAAACGACATAGAAGTAGGAGCCGATCACCTCAAAAGTCTCGGAGATCGAGATCACGTTCGCGTGAGAAACGATCTGAAAAAGATAGAGACAGAGATCGAAGAGATAGAGAAAGAAGGCGTTCCCGATCGAGATCACCAAAGAAAGATAAGAGCGATAAAAAACGAGATAAGAAGTTAAAGGAAAAGAAAGTTAAGAAAGATAAGGACAAACCCGTCGATGAAATCGCAGAAGCAAATGCTTTGAGGGCTAAATTAGGACTCAAACCATTGAGACCTTAATTTGTTTTTTTTTTCATTTAATTTACTTTCATTACTACCGATCATTAATAGTAAATAAATTTTGACATAATTTATTAAATTTGTTATATTTATTATCCAAAAACTAATTTCAAAATTAAACTGTCATTTCTGACTGTTGTCGTCGGTTTGTGTTTGGTTTGGTGATGAAGATTCGGAATTTATGCCAACATTGCTAATATCGCCGCCGCTATCCAATTGCTTAAGTAGTCTGAATAAAGCGGCCGCCTCTCGGATTCGCGAAAATTCAATACAAAAGGCTTGAACTTCAATAAAAACATCCTATTATTGGAGAGAAAATTATAATTAAAATAAAAATATAAATGATTTGTATTAAATCCAATACCTGAACATTAATTATTTTGTTTCTGATAAGTGATTGAAGGAAAACACAGACAAGTCTGACGAGTCTATTCTGCATATATCTGTCTTTAATGGTTTCACACGTTTGTATGCAATTTGAGATATAGAGGTGCATGAACTCAGTGGGCAGATCTACAGCAGTTGTCAATCTATTGACCACTTCCATCGAGTGGACAGACATCTCCATATTGACCAAAACAGATAGATATTCCGATATCTGACTCGATTGCATCAAAATCAACAATACTTCAATAGCAATAAGAGGATTGTTCTCTACGAGCTCCGGTAGTTTGGCTGGTGTTAAGCCCAAGTGATAAGTTAGCTTCGGGTCAGCTTCTAATTCAGCCAAAAGTTGTTGTTGTTGTGCGATAGACAAACTTGCTTTGAATGCTTTGCTCATTAGGCGTTTGGCTTCAACTCCCACTGTATTACTTATACACATCGATGAATCCCAACAGAGCTTTAGGTCATTGAGTTCGGTCGGGAATAACCAAACCAACTGTCCAATAGTTTAACATTAATATACATAATATTATGTATTTATCAAATTAGATAATAGTTAATCAACTGAACCTCGTCTTGACTGACATGAAGTGGTGGAGGAATTCTTATCAAATCGGGTTTGAATACTTGTTCGCACTTAGGATTGGGTCCACAAAACAAACCTTCTAATAGTTTATTCTTGGATTCGTCCTCATTGTCAATGATAAGACCGCTAAACAATTAACAAAATTACATATTGTTTGGTTGTAGTCTACATCTGTATAAACTTACGGTTTGTTGTCGGGATCAGCTATAATCACCGGAATACCTGATTTGCTAGTAAATGGTAGTTCTGATTGACGTTCGTTGAGAGCATTATATATAGAGGTTATGTCACAAATCTTTGTTGCAAAACATATAAATTAATAAATAATTATTCATAAAATTAAAATTCATTTTTTTAATTACTTTATCTCCAGATATCTCGGTATTAATCACTTGTTTTGGTGTCTGTTTAATGAGCTTTTAATTGTATAAAATATTTTAACATTAATTATATATCAATAAAATGTTGATAAAACTCACTTCTGATCGAAGCGAAGAATTAGTGATGAGTTGTGATAAAAAGTATTTCTCTCTGACCGACAATTTTGGCCAAAACAAGGCCGAAGAGATGTCAGACTTGGATTTGTTATTTGTTTTGTTGGTATCTTTTGTCGGTCCCTATCATGTAATAACAAATATGATTATCAAAACTCAAGAGTTGACTACAATTCATGTCTCTCTCCAAGACGTACCAAAGCCTTGACAAAGATGGCCACAAACGGGTTGTTCATAACGTTGTTGTCATTGTTGTAGACTTCATATAATAGATATAAAGCACTTAACTTCTGTGTCTCGCCGGGGATCAGATCGTGATGTTGTAATAGTGTACTAATGGCTACACCAATGCTGAAGACATCACATTTGGATAAAAGTGATTGAAATGTTTGACCAATTGTTTCAAATGTCGAGTGATTTGTCACATCTTCGCTTAAGACACTGTCAGACATCAATCAATGACTTAAACCATACCATCAATTAGTCATCACTTACCTCAACAGTGATGTCAAATCATTGGCTGTCAAAGACATGCTATCAATTGATTATCAATTAATTATCAATTGATTAATTAAAACCAATTTAAAGACTAAATTATTATTGTTTTTATAATTAAATGTAAATCAAACACAAATAAGAGCTGTTCTATTGACTCATATATCAAATATAAACACTATATTTGAATTCAATAATTGTTTGTATTATTAATACTGTAATGTAATGTACTGTAAATAAAATACATTTTTAAAGTAATAAACACATTATTATTGTATATCTCTATGTGTTTTAGTGTGTGTTTGAAATTTACAGTAAAGTATAGAATATAATGATTTGGTTTAAGACTCACGGAATTGTTTGTAATTTTAAATAATATTTAATTTTAAAATTATTTCAATCGAAACATTTTTAATTCAATTGGTATATATTTTATAGTAAACTAATTACTATATTAAATATAAAATTAAGTTTATCTGATATGTATTGAAATATATAACGTTAGTAAATATATTTTACAAGAATCTTAGATTTAAAATTTATTATTATTATTATTAGTAAATTTTATTTAATGTTACGGTATTAACATATGAATGAATGTCATTAAATATAAGATTTGGTGACAAAAATATATATAAAATTTGAGTCAACCATAAAATAAATTTATAAAAATGAATTTTAGTGACTTATTTATATAATGGTTTTATAATTTTTATTATCCAAAATTAATAATCAATGAGATTGACACCAATCAGGGATGTGGTCTAATATATTGCAAAACAATAAATAGTATTAATGTCTAAATATTTCATTAAATATTCATTAGATATATGTTTTAAGATTTCTCAATAAATTACCAACAAATTAGATGATTGGTAAATATATAAACAAAAATTCTATAAATTACAGTATTTTATTGATTAATTCAAGAAAAAATCATGAAAATTAATATTTTCATACTGTAAAAAACTCGCATTTTTTACCACCCCTGGTAAATTAAACGAGGGTGTGGGAAAGCATAATTGGGGGAATGGGAAATTGTAATGACCGTCATTTAATAGTAATCTATTAAAAACGGTATATTTAGATAACTATTACCGATAATTAATTAGTTATAACAGTGTTTACAATGAATGACATTTGTATATATTTACAACATCTTTACATAATATAAATCGGTAAATATATAGCATATTCAAAGGGTTTGAAACTATTTTGAGACGTCTAAATACAAGGGGTGGTAAAACTTGAAAATGTATAAATCATGGGTTGGGGGTGGCAAATTAAAATCACAAAATATATTTTTCTTATGGTAAAAATCTCGCATTATTTACCATGACTTACATATCTATATACGGGAAATTAAGCAACATTTAACGGTATCGTAATTATAAAAATTATTAATATACGAAATATAAATTTATATTGTATATATATGTATAGGTATATAATTTTTGAATAATTTACCCATTTTATCACAATTCACAATTTCATAGAAAAAATTTCATTACCGGTAATTATAAAAATGCATTTTATTTTTAATGTAAACTAATTCCAGTGTCGATTTAAACTCCTAATAAATAACATACAGTATATCAACACTTAGTACATGAAATATGTTTACACAACTATTATCTTTGGGTTAAACAATTTGCATACAAAAAAATAAGTTATAAAACTATATGAAATATTATAATAGACAAACAAAATTAGTTATATGAAGCATAAGTTTGGTTTGTCATTTTGGGCACAGCTAACAGTGCTTTCATTGCTCAATGCGTTGATACAAATAAAGATATGCTAAATCTTTTGGTGGATTTTCAGAAACGGCTACTTTGTTATCGTTAAATATAACCCAACGGTTCTCTTTCAATATATGACACACATAGTGACCACACATAGTACTGGTGCCCATATGACTGATGAAAGCAACTAATTTGTATTTACCGGAACCGTCTCGATAATTGGTGGCACTGGAAGACTGTGCTTCAGTTTGTATGTTATCAGTTTGCATGACATCTGTATTTAAATCTTCTGTATGACTAAAAATCCAGTCAACGGCACGCTCTGTGTTATTATCCTATAAAATAAAATGACAATCATTTCAATTATCTTAACTAACAGTGAGACAAACCGTTGCTTTCAAAGCACGTAAAGCCTGTTCATTGGTAAAACCCATAGACATAATCATTGCCATTGCTTCTGGATTAGCAACGAAATTAACTTCTTTAACATTTGTCGCACCCGACTGTAAAATAAATGGATCGGAGAAGTCTGGATCGTTCATATGCTCCATAATCCAGTTCATTGTGGTTTCTATATCACCATTATTTGTATTATAAAGAGCCCGCTTACAGCCCTCAACTGCAAAACCCATTTCAGATAACTGGGCCAATATTGATGCATTAAACTCGAATGCATTGGCACCGGTAGCTGTATCACCACTGGGTAAAAGTTCTTCTCCAGGTTGAAGACCAGTTGATTTCAAATAAGATATATCGATAATTTCTGGGACATCGAGTGAAATATCAAGCTTTTTGGGGACCCAATCATCTCCGAGTGTAAACTTCTTTATATGAATCATCATATAATCAGGAAATGTCTTCAATCGTGTGGTTCTATATCAATATATAAATCAATATAACGGTAATATATATAACTATTATAAAAAATTACTGCTTAGCCATTGATTTGCCATTAATTGCTGTACTAAAAAAATCTTCAATTAGTGTCGGCGCTGCAAATGTATCAATACATGAGGTTATTTGTACAATGGGTCGAACAACTTCTTTGGGATCACTATTCGTGGTAAAGATGTTTTAAAATAATAAATTTTTAAAAAATAATAAATTTACAGTAAATACATTTTTTGTCCTTTAAGTTCCAACTCTTTTTTCTTTTCCTCAAATACTTTAACTGCCTCTCTATTGATTACAGAATCAGACACTGGAAGTGATAATAAGTACTCAGTCCTCGTCGTGTACTTCACTTTCTTAGACATTGAGCATTCAATGCGTTCTTCTACCTGAAACTTGAAGCAATCGGTGGGAGGAGGGCTTGCATTAGACCTATTGTTACGTTCGATAACATTAATGAGATGAAGAAAGAATTCTTGAACATCTTGTTGTCGTTTAGTTGAAAACTCTTGATGTCCTTTTCCAATGAAATTCTTAAACATTGTTGGCTTTATACCACTTTGTTCTTTAGATTCATCATTGCATGGCTTTGAGTACTTGCCTGACAATAGTCCATACGCTAGTTTTGCCATTTGTGTGGTGAAATCAGATGGTGGATCTGCTGGCGAGGCTTCAAAGATATGGTTGGATGGGAAATACAGTTTTTGGAAGTCTGGTATTGTAAATATCACTTGCATTACTGAATTTAAATAACACGAATTGCCGAGATTTGCGAGACCCGTATATCCCGGACCATAAAGTGGCACTAATTGTGAGCCTTCTTCTTGTATTATAGACCACTCGCCGAACTGTTGGTTCAAATCAATCTCCAACTCAATCATTGATTTGTCGGTCTTTTCCATCTTAGCTATATTTATACCAAAATGTGCCAAATGTTTGGTCAAATTGGGGTCATCAACCATATCATCCTCGTCATAGGAATAAACATCTAAATAATATTCACAATAAATCAATATTAAATAACAAAGATATAACAATTAATTCAAATCTTATAGTACCGGCTCCTTCAGGAGTAATTGTTCCTAATTTGACTGCCAGCGGATATTTCTTCTCATTATAATATTCAGAGGCGTGATTATTACCACCGGTTCCGTCAAAGTATTTTCGGCCACAAAGTATAATTCCGTCCGTCAGATTCAACCAAAGATTGTCTCTTTTGTCACATTTATCACATTTCCATCCTTTTGGGGGGATTTTGATGCCGTTGTCCAATTGGATCAATGTGTTGGCGTGTCTTAAAATGATAGAAAAATAATAATTTATTATTTTCTTCATAAAACCAATAATAATAAACAATACTTTGTAACAATCCTTTTCTCTCCATCCCAAGTGCCGGCCAATGCCTGCAACTCCTCTAATCTCGAGGCAGAGTCGGCTGAAATAATGGCCGAAATTGACTGTAAAATCTGTTAAACGAATTCCAAGTTTAGAAATAGTAAAATAAGAAATTATGGACAGAAAGACCTGTTCGGGCAGATCGGGGTTCGGCAGAGGAATTGTAACAAATTGTGGCAAAATCACGATTTCATTCATGTCATCGTATTGTTGTCTACTCTGTGAGTTGACATCAAAACCTCCCTCAACACCGATCGCCAATTTTGTTATCTTTGGCTTAATTTCTTCGCAATCACTTTGAGGCATCTAATGGTATCAACAATAAAGACAAACATTATATAAATAATTTGTTTTTTCTGATTAATCGGATTAAGACATACCGGACGAGCAATTCTCTTGGTGTGAAAAAATACAGCGTTTCCAGTCTTTTTGTGGTGCAATTCGACAAAATCGCGACCAAATCCGAGAAATGTGTTCAGACATACATACAGACCATCTGATGATAACTGATATAAGACATGACAAATGAAATGACATTATTATCTAATCAAAGGTCTGTCAACAACAAAGACATACCGGAGTGTCAAACGAGAAGACACACTCGTCTTTGTAGATCTTGTCGGTGTTGACAGGGATGCGGATGTTATGCATGTATTGCTTAAGTGAGTCCATGACCTCTCAATTGTTGTCTTAATCAATGACCAAATGTCCACAAAATCGATGACAATATAAATGACTATTAGTTTACAATTACTTTAAACAGTCAATCAATGCAATCAACAAAATCCAAAAGTTTATGCAATTTTTACTAATATTAAGCATAAATTACGACATGTTTTGAGTCATGTCTTTATATTAGACAACGCATTGGATTTATATGCAAATCACAGACACATAGTGTGTAAACTATTTGGACGTAATTCATGTGTTATGTGATTAAAAATGTGTTCAATCATTGCCTTATGGTTTGGGTTTGTCTACTAATTGTTCAATCAATTCATACATTTAATGTACGCTACGATTGCATGTATTTTCAAGTTTTTTTTCAATTATTAATACAATTGTCACACAATTTGTTTAAAATTTTAATTTTAATTAAATCTTAGTTTAGACTAAATTACTTAAAACATAAAATATTTCTGTTTTTTTTATAAATGTAAACATTATTTTCAAATTATTTAAAATAATTTCTTTTAAATAAAATTTCTTTAAATTAAAATTAATAAATAAATTGCTGTTTAGATTATCAAACAATTTATTATTTAATTAACGCAACAATTATTATTGTAATACTTTATTAAGTTATAAAACATTTTGTTTAATGAAAAAACGTTAAAACTATTGTTAGTGGGGGTACACAAAGGGGTCGCAGTGTTTGTAACAACCAATTAGATTAAAGTTTGAGTATTAACTCAAATAAACCAAAGTATAAAACAAGCGCTCAATTCATGTATTAAACGAAAATAACATATGATTTGCAAATCGAGAACACATTCAGTGATTAATCAATTGTTTTATCGATAGACAGGTATTGTTGTAATCATTGATCACATAAACGATGGGTTCTTTCGCATCCAAGACATGGTCTGAAGTCAATGATTACTATTACAAGACTAGTAGTGATGGTCAACAAAGCCCGCAATTGAAATACAAAATGGCGGCCAAAGAAGTGCATGTGAAGAATGTTTGGACTCCTGGAGCTGATCCAAGATCACCGACTTTCGACTTTGATAGGACACCGATTCAAGTGATTGACTGTAAGGCGCAAATGACACCCGATGTTGTCACTCAACAAGTGGTCACACAATTAGTTGATTCAATTGATCCGAGATCACCCACTATTGGTATCGATAGGACACCATTTGAGTTGACACCGATGAACGATAACATCGTTGAAGTTGCGGTCACACGACTCTCGTTCGGTAATGTTTCCGATGATATCACTAACAATTCACAACTTTATACACCAACTGAAGCAATGACCCCTTCCGTCGAAGACAATGAAACTAAAAGCAGTGGAACTAAGGTTCGGACTCCTCTTTCGTCTGTTTGTGTCCAACAGAATCAGACACCAAACCGAAGTGCAATCAGACAACGAAAGCAATTGGATATCACTAAAAGGGCTCATTTGAACAGTCATTTAATGAAGAATAAGGCGATTGGATCTAATGATAATCTTGTATTGCAATCACAAGTTGTTGACGACAAAGAAAATCTTTGAATTATTTGATATTTAAATGTATTTTTAATTCATTACATGATTTATATGATAACTCACTTTTAAAATGTTTTATAGTATAAAATTTATACATTGATTCACATATTTAGTGAATTTTAAATTTTCACAAAAATTTATTGTATATAATATTAAAATTGCTATTTATTTTCAATATATTAAGACATAATGTTATATTTTTAAGCAAACAACTGTCCAAATGTTTAACTAATTAGTACAAAACATTTACCCCTAAATATACTGTATTAATAAAATAGTATTTTTCACATTAACTCTATTCAGTAATATTTACTATGATATCTAAACCATTAAGAAATAAAATACAAGAAATTTATTACACTATTTAATAATTGATTGTAATTGAAGAGACAAAACCACATTTATGAGATAAAAAGATAAGTTAATAATCAATTTGTAAGCTTTAGTGGAAAATAATTGAATAAAAGTATATGTTATGCATTAATGATTATATATGTGAAGGAAAAAAATATTGATATTTGAATTAATGACCAAAGAGTTAGAGGTTTTTGATGCAATTTATTGCAAACAAATTAATGTCACTAATAATACATAACATACTATAAATGTCTTATAATACAGAATAAGATAAACATAACGCAAATTGTGATGAATTTTTCCAAAAGAGATGCTATATTGAGATACCATTTATTTAATGACAGCTTATCTTTCAATGCATTTCTTGAGCCAATTTAATCCAAATTTCTGTGGCTAACAGTCTTATACCAAAATATTGAGTGATTCTTGTTTTTTTCAATCATATATCTTATGACAAAAACTTATTTTCACTAACAACTTGTGTTATAAGCAGTGCTAACAAAACTATATTATTACAACATTTTTTAAAGGTATAGCCCATTATAAGAATATTATTATAAAATTTTTATAAACGCTGTGGGAATAATTCAATGCCTTTGAGCCTAAATTTATTTTAATGATTTTGTCAACTATTTTTCATTTTTTTTGTTATTCATTATATACAATGAAAAGCCTACAACCAAATTGTGAATTATTGAAAACATATTTTTATATAATATATTTTTCCAGAGATTTAAATATTACACATTATTTGATATTACAAATTTATTTATTTATTTATTTATAAGAAAAATTATTAAATAAATTTTTTGTTATTGTCAATTTATTTTACAGTTATTTTATTTCAATTTTAAATAAAAATAGCTAATAATGTTAATTATTTAGTTTAAATAATAAAATCACTTAATTTTTAAAATTTGTTTGAATATTATATATTAATTAAGACATTTAAAAAAACGTTATATTGTTTTTGAGATTCAGAAAATAATGTTTATTTACTAAACAAAATATTGAATAAATTATTATAAATATTTATAAATAAAATTAAAATTATATAAAACTATATAACATTTTTAAAAATTTTATATTTTTAATTTAAAAAATAAACTGTTTAGTGTAACAATCGATACAATTTTTTCTTTAAATTTGTTTGTATAGATAGATAATAATTATAAATGCAAAAATTTTATATAGACTACTTAATATTTAACTTTCTTTTTAAAAAAATAGAAATATATAATAAAAATATATATTTAAAACATTAATTTAACTAATAACACTTATACATTATTTTTAACTATATTACTACTGTATTAATATTATATTTATTAATTTTTATTTTTATTAAACCAGTAAAATATAACAAATAAAAAATTAAACATAAATTATAAGTTATTGATGTAACTATATATAGAATATACTATAATTTTTAAGGTGTAGTCAAACAAATCAAAGAATTTATTTCTATATCGATCGCACCGTTAGAATATAGTTAGTTGTCTTTTGTACAATCATTGGTATGTTTTTAGAGATAGTATATATTGTATGATATTCTGTATTATATAAGTGATGTGAATATTCTATATATATATAGATATATATATGTGTTGTGAGGCATGTGCACCACGAGAGGACTCAAACTGGCATCAAATCGGACCAGTTTTAGGCGCCTAACAAACTCCACTTTCAATGATTTAGAGTTATACTCAAAACTACTTAACTGTGTATTTCAACACCAGTTGATAGTTGATTGTGACGTTTGGCTAATTTGTGGCATAAAATATAGTGACAGATGTTTAGACAATCGCACGAGTCATTCATCTTTAATGAACTATACTTAGATTTTTGGTAATTACTAATATTAACTTTTTTTATATCTATATTCATAATAATTTTTATTTATATTAAATTTAGTTACTTTTGATATATTATTATAAATGTAACTTTTAATATTAACTTTTGCTATTATTCGTACTTAAAATAAATTATTTATTTTTTTATTAAATCAACTAAAACTGTTGATTTTTTTACAATAAAATTATTTTACTAAATTATATTTTCTCTAATTAATGAATACAGTAGTTATCAAAAATATTTGCTTTATAACATTGAAATGCAATTATATTGTATTGTAAATGTTTTTATAATTTATGATACATTAAACCATTACTTACAGACACTTTTTGTATAAAGTTTAGATTTAAGTACCGGTATATAAACTATAAGATACAATATTACTTAATATTTATGAATCTCTATTAAATATTCACCAAACAATCCATTAGCAAAATATTGTTTCAATTTACTAAATGACAATTTTTTTGCATTAAACACTTTGTAGAATTATTTAATAGTTATCACAAAATGACAGTTAATTTTTTAAAGATCATTAGATTAAACCTATATCATTAATTTTTTTAAAATTATTTCAATATGTTTTTACTATATAAATAATTTTAGTATAAATTATAATATTTTATTTAAATTTTATTTTAAGTTTAAATATTATAACAACCATTAAAATAATTATTAAAATGTATTACAATATTTTTTTAATTTAATTATACTGTAATTGTAAAAACAGTAAATAATTATTAATAATTAAATGTTAACAATAAATTTTAATGAATATCATGCTATTATTTTGAAGATTACAATAAAATAATACAAAGTAGACTTATATAGTATACAATCAGGATTATAATTAAAACTTTTTTAGAAGAAATAAGTAAAAGTATTTATTTTTATAGTAAAAAGATTTAAGTAAAAAATATTTTAATTTTTAGAATATTATGTTTTTTGCATAAATCCTTAAATAATTACTAAATTTTCATTTTAAATAAATCAATTTCTATTAAAATAAATAGATTTCATCGTAAATGTGAAATTAATTTAAACTTTAATGAATAAAATATAATAACAATATATCACAACTGTATGTGATATTACTTATATTGTTTGCATAAATCTAAAAACAATATAATAACATACTATAATCATATTTTAAAATCACTATTCAATTAATTTATTTTTTAGAGTTTTATATAAAGTATTATAATTTTTGGTATGCCGTTTTTACAAAATGCTGCAAATATATTAATTTCAAATATAACTTAATATAATTATTTATGTAATTGATAAAAATATTTTTATTAATTCTAGAAATATATAAATAGTTGTTAAAGATTTAAGATTTTTTTGGAAACTCAATAAAGCAATTTTTATTTAAAAAATATTATAATATTATATTACAGTAATAAAATTCATTTAAGTTAAGTTAGATATATAAACTTAAATATTAATATAGTTTTTGTTATATACAAACATCATTCGTTCAGTATTAAAATATTTTATTTTATTTTATTTTATTTTATTTTATTTTTATTTAATTTGAAATTATATTTTTCAAAATATATTTGAGAGTTTAATAATTTTGTGATATATTGTTGCAAAATTAAATTTGACATAACATTAAATTCTATAGTCATCGACCAATAATAAAATTTTGACAAATATATAATCCATAAAATTTGATAGATTCGTAATTAATGTAAACAAATAACAATTTTCGAAATATATTTAATAACATTTTAAAAATTTATATCTAATATATTTAATTAAATTAATCTTTTTTATTATCTATAATTTTATTTTTTATACAAATTGTTATTAATAAATAAACAAAAATCTTATATTGTATAATATTTATGTTTGATTTTAAATTTATAATATTTAAAATTTGTTATTTATAATTATTTTAAATATTAAATAGTGTCCAAAAATTAATTAAAAATTTTTTTTGAATTTTTTTGAATTTTTTTTTGGATTTTTTTTTGGATTTTTTTCGTTTTTAAGTTTATTTTTCAGGAAAATGGAGAAAATAGTAGTTTATATTGTAATACTGACTCATTTGATACTCCACATGACTATAGTTGTTTATTTTGTAATACTAAATCATTTGATACTCTACATGACTATAGTTGATTTTATTTTATCATATTCAATTTAATTTTTAATTATTAGGAGTTCGTGTGGAAATGCTTTCTAGCATTCTCAACTGGTTTTTAATGACTACATGAGAACAATTGCAAACATAGGGGAGGGAGAGGTCTAGATTTCTTTAAAAATGCGAACATAATATGAGAACAGCCCCTAATACATTTTTAAATATTTAATTGAAAACTAGATTTCTTTGTATTTCTAAGAAATATTTGTTTTACATAGCATTGTGATCTGTTTTATGAAATATAAAAATATTAAAAAATATATAAATTAATTAAATATATATTAAAATAATTATATTTTTAATAAATATAAGATGTCATTTTTTAAAAATTTTTAAAAATATTTAATAGCAAAATATAATTTATTTTGACAATAACAAAAAAAGTTTATATAATTTTATAAATAAATTACAATATATAACAATTGATTATAATGGATTTATACTGTATAGAGATTAAATTCCACATTAAATAAATCTTTAATTTAAAATAAATTAAGAAAATTTATAAATAAAATTAAGATAGCTTATTTTAAAAAATTAATTTATAAAGTTTAAATGTCGATTACAAAAAAATAATCAATACAAAATATTACATAACGATATCACAAATATTTTAATTTTAAATTAAATAGAATTTTTTATTAAATAAAATTTTATTCTAAAAAATGTAATGATATATAATAATTATTATACACCAATTAAAAAAAAATTCTTCTATTATATTAAATATAGTTTTAACTAAAGATTAAAAAACTATACGTTGAAAGTTATTAAAAATAATTTAATTTTACATTAAGTTGTCTAATATTGACAAAATGTAATATTTAGCATAATTATTTATTTAACCTTAGTAACTTTATGTTTAATTTTATGTTATTTTTAACAAAATCAGCGTAAATTGTTAGTGAATACATGTTATTATGTTAAAAGTAAAGTAAATGTAAATCCAAATTATATGATATCTATCACGTTGAAAATATTTGCAAAAATTTCATAATCAATGTTAACTCATTTTTATTTAAATTAATTTAAATATATTATAATATCACATGTAATATTACAATTTTTGAAAGAATTTTATGTTAAACAACAAAATATTTGCAGTCAGCTTATTTAATATCATATATTATAAAGTATTTACTGTTTATATATATATATTATTATCATAAATAAAAATTGAATGACTTATGACAAATACAAAAAAAAATATTTAAAATTATAAAACCTATAAAATTAAAATAAATATTAAAAAATTATTTACTAATGTATACTTTTTTATTTGAATTATGATAAATTTTTATTAAAATGTTATTTATCATAAAATAATCAAAAACCAAATAAATATTAAAAAGATTGAATTTGTATTATTTGATATTGAAAACGACTATTTTGTTAATACAAATATAAATTATATATAAACATGATTTAAGATTTTTTTGTATAACTAGTTGTGTAAACATTTGGCAAAAACTTAGCACAAATTGAAAACCAAAAATCATATATAAAATGAAAATCTTTATGTAAACCTTACGTTTTATTTATTATAGTATAGAAAACTATATTTAATCAAAAATTAGTTTTATTTGTAGTTTATTTTAGTTATTGTTATTAATAAAATCTTAATATTAAAAATATAATATTATATAAATTTTGATAAAAATGATAGTTTAATACTATTTATTGTAAATATTAATAATATTTTGTTTTTATGTAATACAGTTGCATATTATTTAAAGATTTTTATTACTTTAAAAATTTATATACTAATTTACTTTATATTTTATTATAATGTTGTTTACTTAAATTTTTTTTGGCATTAATATTTCATTCAATTATCACTTTAATTTTAAAAATGATTATTATTCATAAAAAATTGTAGTTAGTAAATTATTTTAATTAAAAAATTATCAAACTAAAATAATAAATATGATATTTTTGTTATAAATAAATTTTATTTATACTTTATAATAAACAATAATTTTTTTTCAGTAAATATACTATGAACTGTATATTTTGGTCGATTTAATGACAATATTGAATATATATATATATAATGAATATCCATAATAATCTAAATCTGGATTTAAAAAGCAATTATCAAATCAATAATAATAATAATAATTGTTTTCCTAAATTAAAACAACTAAATTGCCCGAACATTACTAAAGAGTCACCGACGGAACAATTTAATGGCCATAATATGATTGTGTCAATTAAAAGACCTAATTCTACGATTGGTATTCCTAACAGTGCTATAGAACCGACATTTTTCTCAAGCAATGAATTTAGACCGACCCGTGAAAAGGCCACTTCATTGACACTAACACTCGATCCTAACATATGTCCCACCAGTCTATCAAATACTCCCAGCGGTAAAGTTGTTGTTATTTTAGAAATAAAATTATTTTTTTATTTTGTTTACAAATTAATGATAATAATTTATTATTGTATAACTTATTAAACTATATAACAATAACAATATATCATATATAACTTTTAATAATAGTAATTTTAATAATATAAATTTCAATTCAATTTAGACATAAACAGAAAATTGTTTGACAAATATTTAAGTAAATAATTTTTGAAAATTGCTACACAATATTTATTTTGCGAATCATTACTCACACAAATATTATATTCAATGTAAATTATAGTTAACGTTTTTTTCAAATTTATATATATATATAAAAAAGTTTTATATAAATAGATACACAGTATTTGTTTTAGTAATTAAATACTTAGCAAATAGATTAATACAGTATATATCGTATATATATATATATATGTAAGACATGTATAATATTTTAGAATTGTATAATTAATTTTTAATATATGTTTGATATTAAATATATACTATAGTTATTTTAGTTTCTGTATTGAATGCAGTGTAAAATCTTTTTATGGACACTAATTAAATAATATAAAAATGTGAAATAATTAGGATCACCCCGTACATCTCCGCGAACATCTATTATATTAAACGGAAATATATTAAGCTCTTTATCACCGATACCACCGAATCGACCGCCGGCACCATTTCCATCGTCAAAGACACATATATATGATAATCATTTAAGTGGAAATAAAGTGAGACAAACCATTTCGACACAAACAATGTCACAATATCAACGGTCGTCCTATACAGAGGACGAACACTTGAGAGTTCAGGAACAGTATATGAGAGGAAGGAAAGACACAATTATTAGTATTGGCAAAAGTTTTCACATCCAAATTCAAAGCCCTTCCACTAAATTCATACTATGGAAGGGCCGGACATGTCTTGAGAAATGTCTATTTTTGACCATTGGATGCCTTTTATTAATTTTCACTATTTTTCTAATCTCACCTTTCAATAATACCGATCAAATAAAAACTGGTATTTATTATATTTATTATTTATTTTTCATATAAAATTATTATTTAATAATATGTTTTTACGGTATAATGTTTAATAATTGATATACAATAGTTAGAGATAGAGATAGACAAAGAGAAATTTCTAATAAGTTTTCCTTAGAATATTTCTTAAAAGTAAATTTCTATAGAAATTTTACTACAGTATTTTATCATAGAATCCGCATATAGAGTATAGTTACTGTATTATTCATAATTACATAATACTAATATTTCTATACAAATAGGAGCCTAGATATAAAAGTAATTTAATTCAATTATTTTAAATTGATTTTGATAACAAAAATTAAAAATTTAAAAACAAAATATGCAATCAAATAGATTAATTTTGTTAATTTAAATATTAATTAAAATAATAGTTTAAATATTCAGTTATTATTAATAATTATAAGTAATGGTATAAAATTACAAATATAAGAAACAAAATTAACATGGAGATCCCATAAATAGAAATTTATTTTATAATTTTTCTAGAAATTTCTAATTTCTAATTTTAATTCTAATTTCTAACAATAATCATAAATATTTTTCATTAAAGCATTTATTCACAAATTCATAAATAATAATTATCTATTCAATAGTTATAAAATTCATTTCATATTAAATATTTTTGTTGAATATTCAATGAAATTCTCATGAGTTATAATAATTCAAATAATTTTGGAGTCATTCTATTATTAGTTGTGATAATTGCATACATTATCCATACATATAATTATTTTAAATAATAAAAGTATTGTATATTAATTACATTATACAGTACTTTACATAATACTGTATATTTATTTCAAAAATTTCTGCTAATTGATTTTATACAATGCTATATACTGTATTTTTATTATATATATATATATATATACAGTACTACAGTATTATAAATACACTATTATACTGTATTATAAAGTATAATAAAAAGTAATTTTTATTGACAAAATGTTCTCAACTTTTCTATTATGTTACAGATTTATCAAACACTATATGCTTTACACCAGAATGTGTGAAAACAGGTATGTAATTTGCAAACTATTTATACATGCAATTCATATCAATTATATTGTAAATGTGTGTAAAAGTTTTATAAAATTAAATTTTAAATGCATTTATTATTCCCATTGGAGCCAAAAACAGGATTTAAATATTTGCATAATTTTTTATAAAAAAGTTTAACAAATTACTAAACATTACTTAATGAATTCAATTTAGCGGCATCTCTGGTAAATGCGATGGACCTGACAGCTGATCCTTGCGAAGACTTTTTTCAGTTTGCTTGTGGCTCATGGAATAAGAAACATATTATACCTGAAGACAGGTCTAGTATTAGTACTTTTGAGGTTTTGGCAGATAATCTACAAATAATTCTTAAAGGTATTTATTTAATTAAATTAATTATATATATATATATATTTATTAAGCTTATATTATAACTCATTACAGTCATATAATTTATAATTCATGAAAAATGATTTTTTTGTTTTTGTTTTACTTTTATTAATTTTTAATTATAATTACAATAATAATAATTTTTGTATTATGCGTTTGTATAGATTTACTGGAACAACAAGTGAACAGTTATGATAACAGTGCGACAATCAAAGCAAAAATTTTTTATAAATCTTGTATGAATACACGTAAGTTATTTTTTATTAGAAAATATTATATCATAAAAAAATGCAATATAACGTAACGTTGTCCATATATTAAATAATTACTTAATTTCATCAAGTATATTAAAAATACCATAATTACTAATATATCATTTAATTATCTCAATTAAAGGCAAAATTGAGGAAATCAGTGACACACCATTACGTGAAATTATAAAGGAGTTGGGAGGTTGGCCAGTACTCAATAGGAATTGGGAACTGCCTAAAACAAAACTAGAATATTTATTGGGAAAACTAAGGGGAGAATACAATCAGGGGCTCATTGTTGAACAATGGGTTGGAGCCGATGACAGGAATTCATCAGTTAATATAATTCAAGTAAAAACATTGAAAATATAAATGTTTTTTTGATAAATATCTCAAGAATGTCATAATTAAACCGTTACTTTTTATAAACAACTTTTCAATTATATGAAAGTTGGATCAAACATCATTAGGTTTGCCGAGTAGAGACTATTTTTTGAAAGAAACCAGTCAAAGGGAAAGGGATGCCTACTTAAGACTTATGGTTGAAGTGGCCGTATTGTTAGGCGCTAACAGATCCTATGCTTACGAAGAAATGTCAAAAGTTTTACAATTTGAAACACAATTAGCAAATGTTAGGCAAAAGTTTATAAATTTATTACAATTTTTCATTAATTATTTAAATGTTTGTTTGTTATGTCATTTTTTAATTAATAGGTTTCGATGCCAGAAGCCGACAGACACGACACCGGAGCTATCTATAAGAAATTTACATTAAGATCATTGAAATCATTGATACCAGAGTTTGATTGGAGTTTATATTTAAACACTCTTTTACCTAACAATACACACGTCTATCCCGATGAAGAACTAGTTGTCTATTCAATTGACTATTTTAAAGAAATGGGAAAAATCATGGCTCAGAGCGATGCAAAAGTTATAAACAATTATGTCATTTGGAGATTAATTAAATACATTCTTCCATATCTTGATGGAGAATACGCTATCTATAGGACAGAGTTCAAGAAGATATTACTTGGTTTGCATTAATGTTTGCAATATATCATATGTTGTAATAATTTTATGATAAAATGTCGTTCAAATATAATAATATATTGATATAAATTAGGAATATCTGCCGATCGGATCCGTTGGAATCAATGCGTAGAATTGGTTAACAAGAAGATGGGAATGGCTGTCGGAGCACTCTTTATTCGTGACAACTTTGATCCCAAAAGTAAAGAGACTGCACTTGAAATGATTCATAATATTAGAAATGCATTCAATGAGCTCTTGACTCTAAATGATTGGATGGATGAGTCAACTATAGAAGTGGCCCGAGAAAAGGCTAATGCCATCAATGAGAGGATAGGTTATCCTGAATTGCTTACCAATCCTATAGAGCTCTCTAAAGAATATCAATTAGTAAGTAATGATTTTTTAGTGTTATTTTAACTTTAATCACATTATTTGTAACACTTATGCATTGCATTGCAATACTATTACAATTTCCTATAATATTGACTCTTTCAATACTATTCATTATTTACTACTTACTGTTAATGCTTTATAAAAAAAATTGCTTAATTTTCGTTAGTATTGTAATGTCATTTGTTTAAATTAGTTTTAATTTATACGTATATTAATGTCAAACTAAACTAAATATAGACTATAATTATAAGATATTACTTTCTTTTATATCAATTAAAGCAATATTTTAAATTTATGCTTAATTTAATATTAAAAAATAATAATGCTAAATCCTCTTTTATATCAATATATTACTGTACAGTATATCATATATTATATATTATATTTTGTAGATATTATTAGTATATTGCAGTTAGTTTATAATTATAATATAATAGCATAAAATGTGTATTATATGACTAAATAAATATCTATCAAATTTATTGACAAACAGTTAACTGTATTTGAGGATCAGTTTTTGATGAGTATTTTGGGAATACTTAAGTACGAAGCGGCAAAAAATTTACTAAAACTGAGACAATCGGTGAATAAGGACCGATGGACTACAGAACCGGCGGTTGTCAACGCTTTCTATAATCCCAACAAAAATGATATCGTATTTCCGGCCGGAATATTACAACCACTCTTTTATTCACAATATTTCCCAAAGTAATCATTACTTATTATTTGCTTTCATTAATTTAAGAAAATGTTTGTCTTAAAAAATTAATGAATTGTTTATTTAAACAGATCACTAAATTATGGAGGAATAGGAGTTGTAAGTTATATTGTTTTATATTATTTTATAAGTTTATTAATAAATTCTTTTAAAATTAAATTAATTAAATAATAACATTTTATAAGCAATTATAAATAGTTATTTATTGATATTCCTATTTATATAATATTTATTTAATATTTATATAATATTAGGTAATTGGACATGAAATAACACACGGGTAAATTAAGATATTTTTAAATAATTTATATTTTTTAGAAATTTTAGTCCTAATTAATGTATTTATTTAAAGATTTGATGATAAGGGTCGCCAGTTTGACAAAGAGGGCAATTTGAAGCAGTGGTGGAATAATGCAACCATTAAGAGGTTCAGACAAAGGGCTCAATGTATTATAGATCAGTATTCAAGTTATGTTATCGAAGACATTAGGATGAATGTCAACGGAAAGATGACACAGGGTTTCCATAATTACATCTAATTATTAATTAATAGAAATCTGTTTTTTAGTATTATTATTATTTATGTATATTTATTATTTTTTAGGTGAAAATATAGCTGATAACGGAGGTCTCAAACAAGCTTATAGAGTAAGTTAATTGTTATTTTATTTAATTTAACTATTATATAGCAAATATTACAACAATGCATTAAAAACATTATAACTTAAAATAATAAGGCATTTAAAAAATGGGAGAATAAAAATGGTGTCGAACCCAGACTACCCGGTATTAACCTAACCCACGACCAACTATTCTTCTTAAATTACGCACAGGTTTTCTATATTTTTATTATTTTTGTTAAAACTTTAAGTAAATAACTAATATATAACTACTATATATTATTCAAAAAACATCAAAGATATGGTGCGGATCTATGAGACCAGAGGACGCATTGAGTAAAATTAGATCATCAGTTCATAGTCCCGGACCTATTAGGTAATTGTTTGACTATATTTTTTTAAAAATTACATAACATATTATCAATAGTAATATAATATAATAGTATTTTTAATTAATTATTTAATATAGAGTATTGGGTCCATTGTCTAATTCATACGATTTTGCCAACGCTTATCATTGCAAAGAAGGATCGCGAATGAATCCAATTAAGAAATGCTCGGTTTGGTAGACATAGACATAAATATATCATTAAATTATTATTTATTATGTTTTTAGATTATACTGTATTATTGTTATTAATACATTGATTACATAATGTTTGTACTGTATTTTGATCTATAATTTATCTAAATTATAAAGTTAATACTGTATATAAAACTCATTTACCGATAATAATATATTTATATATACAGTATATACTCTTATATAAACATAAAATTATATCAATATTTAACTATTATTGTTTATAAAATTTGTTAAATTATATAATTCACATGTATTTTACAATTTTCACTATATATTTATATTTTTAATTATTATTTATATTGTCTAGTAGATATTATCTGTATTACTAAATGTTAGTAAAATTTCATTTATTTATTATCTAATGGGTAAAATATATTTAAAAATTTTAAAAATAAATTATTATTTAAATAACATTTTAAAGAGTTTAATAAAGAAAATTATTTCATTGATATGAATTTTTAAAACTATATTTATGTAATTTAAACTTTTATAATATATATATATATATATATACAGTATACTGTATAGTAATTAGTAATTTATATAGTATAGTATGTATATATATTTAAATAATTCTACAAATATTAATAGCAAATAATCTACATTTGCTAATATTTTTAATTATTTCTTAACTATAATTTTATGCAGAATTAAAAAAATTAGTTTATTTATTTTATATAATTTATGTCTTAATAAATATTATATTTATATATTCTTTAACTTAATTTTTACACAAATTAATAATTATTATCAAAAAAATAAATTGTCCTAAATTTAAATTTCCTGTATTGTTCTTATTTTTATTTATTACAAATAATTAAACAAAATAATATAAAAGTATTCTTTATTATTGAGTAATTTTATGTTAAAAATATTTTAATGTACTGTAATTATACATAATGTACCAGTAGATTATATATTAGTTTATTTTATATATATGCAGTATACTGTATAACAAAAACCATTATTACTAAATATTTTATATTTGATTAAATTTTACGTATATTGTTTAATTTAAAGAAAATGTTTTAGTAAAGTTATTAGAAATTAAAACTAATAATTAGTTTTTTTATTGATACATTTTGTTAGTAATTTAATTTTGAATATAAAACATAATTTTATAAATATTAATTAAATAAAAAATGATGTATTCATATTTTATTAAATATATTATAATACTCATCTGACTAAATGTGTAGTTTTGAAAATTGTAATTAATAGTTTGTTACGCTAAATAATTATTTAAATCAATTAATAATAACTAAAATTTATTTATTTTAAAAAGCAGTGAAACATTATAACAAAATTAATATAAATCTAATAAACATGACAAACATAAACAACACTTTGAGCACATATTGAGCTTTAATAATAAGTATGATAACGAAATTTAGTGATGTTTTGCAAAATAATTAAATTTATATAAATAATTATTAATAAATATAGCAATAGTCAAATATCTATTAGTTTAAGAGCTAATTATAATAACAAATAAATTTTTATTAATTTAATAATTAAATGATAGCCAAAGTAAATTAAGATTAAAATTAATAATAAGTAAAAAAATCGAATAATTAATAAATTTAATTAATGACATTAAAATAGATATTTATATATAAATAATACAGTATTTGTTACATTACATCAAATATTTAACGCATATACAGTATATTTATTCTTGTTGTGTGAATAATAATAATAATAATAATAATAATAATAATAATATAACATAAAATTTTAATGATTTTTAAGTTTTTTAATAAAAATTTACGAAATGTGGTTTACTTCTCATAAATTTTAATATAATTGGGAATTATATAACAATAACACATTTTTTCGACTTTAAGACTTAGCGACGCCTACTTTGGCCACAGTTTTGTCTGCTTTCTTAACAAACCCACCGAATCCTGTTCTGTCGATTTCATCAAAATTTCTTTTATTGAATCCTTTGAAACCCGTTCTATCGATTTCATCGAAGTTTCGTTTATTGAAACCATTGAATGCCGACCTATCGATCTCATCAAAGTTGCGTTTAGCGAAGCTCTCAAAACCGGATCTATCGATTTCATCGAAGTTTCGTTTAACAAATCCTCCGAAACCTGTTTTGTCGATTTCATCGAAATTTCTTTTGTTGAAACCTTTGAATCCCGAGTTATCGATTTCATCAAAGTTTCGTTTCGATGGCTCTCCTAATGATATGCCGTTCATTGCATCCAAACTGTTGACAAAATAAGATATTTAATACATAAAAAATACATTAAATCAATCATTTCTGTTGACAATTCTTAGATTTTAAGGTTTCATCTTTTATTTTAAATAATTGTATAAAACTTTTCATAAAAATAATAAAATTATAATATTTATAAATTTAAAGTATAATTACCTTCTTTTTTTAGCTGATCCTATAGACACACCACTCATAGTGTCAAGACTTGTCCTTTTTGGTCGATCCACTAAATATCTGATATATTTCGGACTAAAATGTTGACTATTTTGTTGTAAAGCGTTAATAACAGCGTCGCCGGCAATGCTCTCAAATGACACGAAAACACGTCCGCCGCTAACACTATCTAATAGTCTAAAAAAAAAATTTTAAAATTATTTTAAAAATAACAAAAATATTCATATAATTAAAATATAATTGCCTCAACAGTTGTGTCCCTGAAATCATATTCAGCGATTGCTTCATATTCTCATCTTTGATTAAATATAAAAGTATAGAAAAACAATTTATTAATAATTGGATTAATATATTTATAACATATTAAAGTAAAACATTAGACATTAAATATATGTGTGAAGTAATATAATTGCTTAGTATTTATTTGGTTTATGTATTATTTATTTATTTACCATCATTTATATTGAGAGTTTTGGACAAAATCCCTCCACTTAACGGATCAAGTGATCTCAAGACCTGAAGACCACTTACTCTATTGAGTGCTGAAGACTCAATCAATTTCTTTAAGACGTCGGCGCCCGTCACCGAACTGGTGTCCACATAGGCTCTCATTTCAAACGGGTTACCACTCTATATATTAGTTAATAAAATAAGATTAATATAATTTAATTTATTTCTTAATTTATTTTGAATTTTTAAGTTTGGTATTTATATAATATAAAATAAAGAAAAATACATACAAATAAATTTTTAATTATCTACTTTACAATATTTATATTATAATTACTATAATTTTTGTTTAAATAATTAAATGATTTATTACTCATATAAATTTACTGTAATAGTTGGTTTTGTAGCTAAAATAAATTTCAACAAATATTAAATAGTTAGGTATTAAGTATGAGATTTCATGAAATCTTCTTTAAAAATAACTAAAAAAATCATTTTAAATCAATTTGTTGTTACTTAAAGCCTAAGGATAAGCAAATGTATTATTTTATATAACAAAAGTAATTTTTCACATTTAAACAAGTTTACTGTATGTATAAATCATGAAAATAAATTTTGAGAAAAAACTGATATATTTGTAAAATATCAAATACTGTATTGTATTGTGCAGTATAAAGCTATATTGCAAACTTGTTTTTTTTATAAAAAAATATATAGTATTTTTACATTATTTATAAATATTGTTTAATATTAGCATATTTATTAAGTTTCAAATTTTAATTTTGCTTTATATTTTTTGTAAATAAAATCTATATTATTAACTATTAATTCTTTTATAATTTATAGCCATTTTAATGATATACTAAAGTATATTATTAATTATATTATATTAATATATAAGGACTATTTATATAGTATTTTTAAATATTGTATTATATTGTATATAATGTATGACATCAATGGTTTCAATACAATGTGCTGCATATGTAAAATATATTTGGTATTAAATAATCTTGTATTCAATAAACTTGAATATTTAAACAAAAATAATAATAAATAGAATATTCTTTATATACTAACAATAAGTCTAAAATATTATATTAATTTAATTTTTAAAAAATGGTTTATAAATCCAACTTAACACTTATGAAAAATTTTAATTGTGTTAAACTTTTTTACAAAATAGTTTTTCGTAATTTTTTATTTAACAATATATTTAAAAATATTCTTTGAAGTATTATTGAGTTGTATAATAAATTCCATGCATTTGTGTTGTTACCAATGTATAAACTATTATATATAAGAATTTTTTAATTATTTAACTACTTATATATCTAAATCTACAAAATTTGAAAACAAAACAAAAATAAATAAATAAATATAATATTGTTTTAAACATTTTATTTACTAACATTTAAAATATTTGAGAAAACAAATTTTAAATTCATTTAAAATAATATAATAGGGTTTCAATTTAATATAAAATTTAATAACTAATACTAAAATCTTATTATATAATAAAGATAAGATATTAATAAAGACAAATGTAATATAAATGCTATATTAAAAATGAGTATTTGTATAATATGTATTATTGTATATTAATAATATAAATCTGATTTTAATACAGAAAAACTCAAGGTTTTTCGACTATTATTAATATTACGTTTAATATATTTTAGAAAAAAAATTTTAAATTAATAATATTTATAAATTCTATAATTTTACAGCACTAAAAATGATATCTTTTTGTTATTTGATTAGAATTTATCTTAAAATCTAACAAATAAAATTATTACAATTTTTACAATATTTGAGTAGATTAATTTTTTTGAACTGTATAAAAGTCAATACTTGTATATAAAAATTTTATTTTTTAAAAAATTATTGAAAAAGTAAAGATAGCAAAAAATTAAATGTAAATAAAATTTATTCGATTCTTTGATTAGTAGACAACATTGTAGTTAGTTTACAATATTTACTTTCAAAATCACAATCAATTGCACGAAAAGTCATATACAGTATATAAACAGTATATTGAAATGCAATATAATTCAACATAAAGTGCTTATATATTATCCTTGTTTTAGCTAATATAGAATATTTTATACAGATTACAAAAATTGATAATATTTTTTTTATTAACAGTTATATTTAAATTAATTATAAATTAGGTTTTTATATTGATTACTTTAAAAATTGCATTTAGTTATTAAAATTAGTCAATAATTTTGTTACATGAACATAAAAATATAAGTTATTATAAACTGTATATAAAATATAAATGAGGTAATTAATATTTTTATAAATGTTAAAATTATAAATATATTTTATTATAACAAATATTAATAATAATCAATTTTGTAATATTTGTGTAAAATGTTATATATTTGAAAAAATAGGTTTTTTACTATTTTCATATATTTATAGATAGGATTCATAAACAATATGATATTCTCTATACTAATGGAAAAAGATTATAAAATATAAATCAATGGTTTGTGGCTAACAATTATGATATCATATTTATAAAACTATAGCCAGGGGTCAGACACGCAATAATGTTATATTATGTATGTCTTAAATTGTCTATAATTTAATTTTGTTTTTCATGAATAACATTGATAACAGTGAGAGTTATAGGCAAAAGTGTTATTTGGATAACAAAAATGATATTTTACTCAGAGTTTTATAGCATTTTTCTATAATAGTTGTAAAATTTAATTCATAAGATATTTGAACATTTTGTTATTGATAATAATATGTTATATCAATAAAGTATAACAAAATAAATAAAAGCAATATTTATATCTAGTAGTGTTACATCTTTTCACATAAAAAGGTAAAGTATATACAATGATATAGATTTATAAATTCATCATAAAAACAAATAAAACATTTATAAAACATTGATATAATAAATTAAATAAAAAATGAGGCATTTATTGTCAAAACAATAATCAATTAATCTTTTGATTAGATAAACCAATTTGGAAAGGTATTCAATTATACTATTGATGACAATGATTTTATATCAATGATAATAATTTGAATAGTATATAAAATTTATTTCAACTTTAATTTTATTATATCGTAGTATTTACCATAAGATAAATTGTTTACATTATTTAATATTTTAAAAATTTCAAAAACTTAAAAAATTATTTAATGAATACAGTAAAATTATTCTATACTAACAAATGCAATATTTTAATTAAATAACTTTCAACCAAACATTTATATTATCACATCAATATCTATCTATGTTTAAATACTAATTTTGTTAAATTTAGTTATATCAATTAAAAAATGTTACAGTTGATGAACATAATTTAACATAATGTAATAATATAACTACAAATATTGTAACCAAATCACATACTATGTTAAAAATAATACTTTTATTTTTAACAAATGTTAAATAAATATTTAATGTAAAAGTTTATTCAAACCTTAATATCAAAAACATTTGGTTTGTTTAGATTATTGTTCACAAATTCCTTTGAGTTTTGTTGTAAAGTTAACTGTCCTTTAAGTACAATACAGATGATCGTTACAATTGGATACAACATTATGTGCCGATTCTATAAATAAAAATAATATTTAATAATTATATTTAACTGTAAGTAATTAAAAAATACTATTTATTTATTTTTGTAAATAAATATTGTATTTTATTTAATTAAGATTTAATAATAAATTATATTCTTTATAATTTACTGGTAAAGTATTCAATAACACAATGCGTTAAATATTTTATTGCTTTAGTTTAATTATTTAAATATAATAATTAATATTTTCTCATTTCATTAAATTTATTTTTATATTATCTGATGTCTATCTCATTGTATCGATAAATTATTTTCATAAGCTTAGCTGATATGCTGTGCTTATGAATTAAATAAATATTTAATATTTATATTAATTAAAGTATTAACTAAAATAATTTATTAATTTTATAGATATTAAAACTAACTATTAAAACAATTTTACTTACAAAAATGTAGATTAATGTAACAATCATAATTTAATTTTATAAAATTATGTAAGTTTTAGTTAAAATAATTAAATCTTCAATAAAATATTTATCACGTATTAGTAAACAAATTAATGATTATATAAATAATAAATACATGTTTCATAAAATAAAAATAGTAATTGAAACTATTATTTTATTTTATTTGATAAATCGCAAAATTACTGTTTGAATTGTCTTAACATTATAATGTGATTATTGTGTCAAAAAATAGGTCATAATCTCAAACAAATAATTAACTGATTGAAAGCTAAATTATTTGTTATAATTTACAAATGTTTATATATTCTTTTATTATTTAACTGTTATTTATCGTTTACTAATCATAACAACAAAACATTGACATATTTTTTAATATACAAAACCATCCTTGATTGCTATTTTAAAGACATTTTATTTATAATAATACAATATATAAATATTTGAATGATTAGTCTAGTGAAGCCCAGCGGCATTACTAAATCATAGATATCTAAATTGACTGTAATCTATGATTTAGAAAAATAATAAATTTCTAAAAAAATGCATAATTATATGAGAACAAGAAAAGTCAATTAAACTTTTTTTTTATATTTAATATATAATGAATATTTTAGATATTTATATTAAATCTTTAATGCCTATCAACAAGTCTCATATTGAGCTTATCATAAATCATATAAATTATAGCGATTTAAGTATAACTATATAAATATAGTTATAATTATAGATATAAATATATTACAAAATTCTATTTTTATTAAAAAGTTTAAATTAATATAATTATTTTCAGTTTGTTTATAATACAATAATCAATCAATTAAGATATCAAATAAAATTTGTTTAATATAATTATAATTATATATATGGTTGTTATAATTTAAATTAAATTAAAAAATTAAATTAACTGAATAGATTATTTATAATAAAGCTAATTATTGTATATATAAAATTTTACGTATATAACATTGAATATTTTATAATGTGGATAGAATATATATTTTTAAATAAATCTAATGTAAAGAATTGTTACTTATTATAAATAAATAATAAAAAGAGATTAAAACAATTGTGAACTAAATCTAAATTGCATTCAACAACTAGTAAGAAGTGTCGTATTTGTGATATTTATTAATATAAAAATTATATATTATTTGTTAATATTTGATTCATTGCATTGGAAACCTAGAGTTCAACTCATTGTAGACCTTTAAACGCTATTATGGATATATATGCGAAAATATGTATTTAATTTATTAATATTTGTATTTGAGTTAAATATTGATTAAAATTTTTAATTATTTAATTTCACATTATAAATAAATAATAAGCTAATTTCAGCGTTAATATTGTTTTTAAAAATGTAAATTTTAAAAAAAGAAAGCATATGTCACTAAATTTTTTGACACAATTAAAAAACTATTTAAATTATTAAATATAATACATAAGACTTTAATGAATATAAATGCTTAATATTGCATTTAATTAAACATTTAAAATAAGCATTTAATAACAGTATATTTTAAACAAATATAAAGTTATCATTACAATTATTTATTATTATTCATTATAAATGATAATACTTGTTGAATAAGGTATATTCAATATTTAAAATAGTATATAAACTATTAATATAGACATTATATTTTAGTACATTAATTAATAAATATAATTCTTAAACTTTTGTATTATATATTTAGTTCAAAAACATTAATAGAAAAAATAGATTTTAATATTAAATATAAAAATACTTACAGTGAGATTATGTAGCAATTAAACGGTTAAATTTAATATATAAATTTGACAATTAATTAATTAATTTGTTAGTAATTTTGTATGACTAATATAATTGTATTGTATTAATGTCTTTAGACACAAACGTTAATATCAAAGACTATATGATTGAAGAGTTGACCACTTTTTAAGCGATGCCTAACTCTCGAGTGGGAGGAGAGAGTCATTGCATTCACTCCACTTCACGTCATAAATGTTATCATCAAATCATAATTTTTATGGCTTATAATATTGTTTTTTATTTATTCATATAGTTTTGTATTTAACTAATGAAACACTTTTAATATTTTTACATTATTTTTTCTAACTATTCTAATTTTTGATTTATCATTTTTTTTAAATTAAAATTTTTAAATTTAATTGTAATACCAGAAAAATACACTATAATAAATATTTTATGTTTATAGGCATAAGATATAAAATAATTTTGTGATAATAAAAACCAAATGGTAAAAAATTGAATCTCATAAAAGTATTAGTGATGATTAAATAATTGAATAATAAATAGAATGCAATTCTGATAAAACATTAATTTTTGTAATAGATTTTATTATATTTCACAATATATTCTGCTCTAAATAAATACTAATATTATATATTTATAAAATTATAACTTTAGTGCAAATTCACGCATTAATGACTGCAAACTATAAATCAATGAACAATATTATGAAATACTTAAGAAATGAATTTATTTTTAAATTATAGAAAATTATAATTAATTTTTTAATTTTTGTTGTAAAATATTAGTATATTTTTGTGACATAAAACGTTAATACATTAGATATGTTTTTATTGCTATTTTTACATAATAACTTATTATTATAATATATGTTATATAAATTAAATTTACATAATAAGCAAAATAAATATAAAAATAGTATAAATAATTAATATATTATTAACAAGCAATTGATATTTAATCCGTGATTTAAACTCAAGTGGATATTCATTCAAATCAATACATAATTGTAATTTCGAGTAGTTTTTGACGTTAGTTAGCTTTTTATAAAATAAATATCAGTTAAGCCATACAAACACTGTTGGTTTGGATCTTATGTCATGCATTCAAAATAAATCAATTTTATTATCATTATAAATGTAATAAAATCTTCCGTTATTGTTATAATCATAATAATAATTATATATTATTATAAAATTATTTAAGTTTGATAAGTAGGAGGTTTAATATTAGACATATAGTCTCGTATATTAATATATCAATATATAAATAAAATCATCAATAATTACCGATAATTTAAATTTTATTTATAATCTCAATTAAATAATTTATTTTACCAAAACAAATATTATAATTAATAAAATAGTAAAGGTACTTTAAATATATTGTACTAAATTTAAATGAATGATGAATTTCAGAATGATTTTTTAAAAATCTTATTATTGAATGATATCTAATTAAATATTTTTATTTTTTAAATATTTAACATAATAGTATATCATAAAATTATGTAATTAATAAGCTAAATAAAAAATGCGTTATTTAGATCATTAAAAATATAGTCATTAAATTTAATGATTACTGTCAATTTATTTAAATAACACCGACATAAACTTTAATAAATAATTTAATATAAATAAAATTAAATAAGCAAAATATAAAATACAATAACTGTTGTGATCATTGACAACAAACTTTTTGTAGTTTAAGTCATTATTTGTGTATTTATATATTAGATAAATTTTCATATATTTTATAATATGAATATTTTAGTGAAGTTATCAATCTATTGTATGATTAGATAATATAAACTTAAAACATTTTACATAAAAAACAATAATAGTTATAAAGTGTTATACTAACACTAATAATTATTTATATTAATATAATTTATAATATAAATAATTGTTTATATAAACAGCATATACCTGTATTTTAATAAAGTACAATATTGTGTAACTACTTGTATATTAATAATATAAACTGCAACAAGGTTATTTATGTACATTATCTTAGACATTGTTAGCTAACAAATTTGAGTTAATTACTATAAGATTCCATAAAAGATTTATACATTTTTATTTATAATTAAATGATAATTAAAGTAAAACAAAATTTCAAATGAATAAATATACATAAAAAATAAAAATTCCATATACAGTATCTGTCATTTTATTTTTACAAATATCAAAGCAACTAATTATTAAGAAAAGTTTTAAAAATGTGTCAAATTTATCAAAATGTTTTTTATATATAATTGTTTAAAAATGTATTCAAAATCATTTTCTATTAATTACTATTTAAATGTCGAAAATATAAAAGTTTTCTAAAATTGGTTTATAAAATTGGACAAAAACTTTGTTTAAATCAATTGAATAATAGATGATATGAAATATTATTGACAACTTAAAAATACAGATACAGTATATCATTTGAATAAAATATAAAAATATTCCCAGAGCTATATTGTTTATCACAACTTTGATAATTTAGATATTTTTAAAATAATAAAAAAACAAAATATTTCGTTTTAAAAATAATAAATTTGTGTATTTAAATCTTATTAATTTGGAAATTATGAATTTGAGTCCTAAGAACTACTGCAGACATACTGTAGATACAAATGCAATAATATTTTATACGATTATAGTTTTATAATCATAAAATAATACAAGTATTGTACAGTATTATACAATATTTAAAATTAAAATATATATTATTAGTATTGTTTAATACTGTATAATATAATGCTTAACACGAATTTAATCAAAATAATTTATGACTTCAATAATATTTTAAAAATTTAATAATTAAACCCTTTTAATAACTATATATCTAGACATCTAAATAAAATTAATAATCGAAACCATATATCAAGATGTTATTTATTTAATTTAATTGAGTTGATTATAAACTTTTATATTTATAGTAATTAATTTTAATCAATATTTAGTACACATTAATTTCAACTATAAAAATATTAACTTATGAAACATAATTATTATTTTTGAAATGTTTTATGGGATGAATTTTTGTTGTATGTATACTAAAATAAGGATTATTTAAATTTTGACACTTGGATTTAGTTTATCAATATAGTCAATATTTTCAGTATAAATGTCTCATTAAATCCGCCCAACCATTGATTTTCTAGACTATCCATAATATATTACCTCAGGTTATGGTTTTTGGTTGACTCTAATTAGAGTTATTCACTAATTGCTTGTTTCTGAGGTTTTTTGATATTCTATATGTGAAGTCATCAATATTACAAAATATAATGAATAAGTGATATAATATATATAGTATTCATATATTATTTAGTTTAGACATAGATTTTTTTAATATTGTATACATTTTTTATATATATTCGGTATATATATATCTCAGTAATTATATCACAAGAGATTAACTTATTTTAAATTTTTAAATAAATATTATTTAAAGCATAATTATTTTGAACTTAAAATAATAATATTAAATAAAATAAGTTTTAATAATAACTATGATAATATAAAATACTATAATATAGAAAAAATGTAATTTTTTTTAATTTAATATTTCTGTCATTTCTATAACTTGTTAACAAATTAAGCTTGTTAAAAAAATAAAAGTTATTACCTATATATTCATAATATTTTTGAATAATATTAATTTACTTAATTTATAATTGTGTAATTTTTTTCCAATTATCTAAAAATTGTAACATTATATTCAGGGTTAAGCAAGTTTTTGTATTTTATGTGGGTCTAGGGGGGAGTCAACTAACAAAAATCTTGGAGTGTATAGGGTGGGTGTAGATTTTTATTACATTTTAAACGGAAATTTTTTCAAAACCTAAAATTAAGGTGGGGTTAAAAGAATGAAAATTCACATGAAAATAGATAATTTTCTCAATAAATTACATTATTTTTCAAAATATTTTTTTAAATTAATAAAAACTAAAATTTTCACTAAAATTTAAAAATAATTGATAAAAACATTAATACACTACGTTATTTTTAGTATTTTAATTATTTTTAAATAATATTTTACTTATAACATAGTTAGTTTTTAATTTTTTAGTTGAATATTATAATTAAAATGTTATATTTAGATTGATTTTAACTATTTTACTTATTTCTAATCAATAATTCCATTTATATGTTATAAAAACAGAACAAAACTTAATAAAATATTCTCAATTAAAATTAGAATTTTTATAAACTTGAAAAATATTTCGGTTCCGAAATTTTAGGTTCTCATCGTTTTTAATCAACATTTTTAATAATTTAGTCAAAAAAGTTTGAAGAGTTAAATCCCAAAATCTCCATTTTATGGAGTCATTTGGTTTGACCCCCTATCCTCCCCTCACTTAACCCTGATTATATTATATAAATAATATAATGCTTAGAATGTTTTTATGATATAGTATAATGTATATGATAGTAAATTATCTTCAATAAATCATTTATAACAAGAAAATAAATCCAATTGCTTTATAAATTTAATAAAAAATGATTTATAAAGAATAGTGAACTTCAAATTACATAATGTGATTACAAAAGTTTCAATTGCAGTACTATTATTATTTTTAGTTTATATCAATTTTAGCAATTGTATCAAAAGTTTTAATGATTACACTATAAACAACAAAGTTTTAACATTATTTAAATAGTATTTTAAAGTATTTTAAATATTAACAATTTAGTATTTAGACTATACATAACCAACAAGAGTCATTCAATGTATATCAATGTGCTGTTTATATTAACGTGATTAATATGATGTATGATAAACACTGTATAAATTTTTATTCAAAAATTATTAAATAATTAAATGCAAAATCACGAAAAATTTTTATTTTAATTTAATTTAAATTTTTAATTATATAAAAATTGTATTTATTTAATACTCAACTTAATTTAATTATGTTCTGCTATTAAATTTTAAATTTTAATAAAACAAAAAATTTAGATAATATATTACATTACATTTTTAATTTTTACTAAATATACCATACTGTACATTGATAATATTATTGTACAAACTATATTATACATCAATATAATACTATTTTATTATAAAAATTTTATAATTTAAATAATATAATAATTAATAAAAATTAATATTAAATAATACAACTTTTTATATAAATAATAAAAATAGTGAAATATTCAAATTTTGTAATAATAAGAATAATAAACAATAAACACTACTTTACTTACCTTATATATAATACATACAATATATGTTTACAATTCAGTTTTATTATAAAATTAACTTAAAACTATACACATGTGTAAAACAAGAGTATTAGAGTAATTTTAAGTAAATTACAAATACTGTATAAAGCTTTCAATAATAAAAATTTGTTTTATTTATTTAATTATCAACATTTCAAGCCTAAGTTATAAAATTTTATAGACTTAAATATTTAACAAAATAAACGACAAATGAATTTATATTAAAATATCGTCAATTTATTTAAACTTTTTAAGGAATTGTAAAATTATTTTTTAATGAATTAAATTTATGAGAATTTTGTTGGTTTTGAAATAAACCTATTATTTGAAGTTTTATTTTAAATAGGTTTATGCAAATGATTATTAATACTGTATTTATAATAGGTTAAAGTCTTAATATTAGATTTAATTTAATAAATACAAGTTTTAATTGAAGGATTTGTAGTTTTTATTTATTATATGTTATGAGAGAAAGCGTATGCGTTTTGTTTATTGCAATTTAAATACTAACACATAAAACAAAAAATATTATAAACGACAGAATCTCTCTCTGAATTAAATTATTATAGAGTTATTAATACTTAGAGTAGTATTAATGATGTAAAGCATGGAATAACTCATAATTAACTTAAATTTTGTGAAATAGATTTATGAGAATAGTTGGATAACTATTATAAAAATTATTTTATATTAAGCAGTATTTAATTGAAAATTTATCTAAAATACTCAGACTATAAGTGCTTAACATTATTTTGTTTTAATCTTTATTAAATTATACAAAAATTTCATCAAAAAACAATTTGTAGCAATATTTATGACTTATTAATTCAAAATTGTTTTAATCAGTGTCAATAACATATTGAACATTAAATTTTAAATTAATAATAAAATTTAAATTTATTATTACTTTAAATGTTAAAAATTAAAGCATTCTGTATAAGCAATAATTGATTCAATAATACTGTATTATAATTTATAAATATAGATTTAACATATAAGCAAATCGCTTATAAATATAAATAATTTTATATTTGAAAGTGATTATTATTATTCACTTTGATTATTCATCTGAAATATTTATATCGTTTGATAACTATTTGATATTTATATATAGTTGTAAAACTTGAGTTAAGAATAAAAAATAAAAAATATTTAGATAAACTCTAGTATTAGTAATATTGAGTCCATTTTCATAGAAACCCATAAATAAATTAAATGTTATTTAAAATCAATTGTTGATATACTGTATACCACATGACATATTTCACAAAATTAAAAATGTGTTCACATGTTATTATGTTAATACTAGTCTTAATATTTTCAATGTTTAATCACACTCTTGATATTTTCTGATTCATATATAATATTAATGTTACACTTAATAAGACAATTAATACTATTAATATTATGTGTGGAAAATTATAAATCTTTAGTAAACTGAATTAAGTCTAATGTTTAATAAAATAGACAAATATGTTAAACAAATTATTTTATTCCTTACAAATCTATTTATATATCAATTTTTTAGTCTAATTTAATAAACTAAAACTATTTTTAATTGCAAAATATTATAAAAAATATTAATTATAAAAATATTGTATTAAAAGAATATTTAAGACATGAATTAATTATTTGTATTGTGTTTTGTTATAATTAAATGATTACTAAAACAAAATATTAATTTTATATAATAAGTGATATATTAACTGATGTTTCTATAAGAATGTCTTCAAAAGAATGGAATAGACGTGCGATAAAACATATGATATTATTATTTAAATAATATATTATTTGATAACAAATAGTAAACTAATAAATAATTATCTTTTTTATTGTATTAAAGCTCTGGTCGACGAACATCTGGTGCGACGAAATGCATTTGGATATACATTGGATCACATCCTCGTCTCTGATACCAAACGCTCATTAATTGGAGAACTCACTCATGAAATTGAAGTGAAGACACAGATTATAAAAGATAAATATCGTTACAAACAAAACAATTACAAGAAATATAGATATCATGACTCGGATTCAGATGATTCATGTGATGGTAATGTTATATAATGACTATTACTATCCTTTTTAATAGTTAACTCATTTAAATCTATTAGATTCGTCCTCTAAGTCCAGAGTAACGGAAGTTGTGATTGAAGACAAACAAATGACAGATAATCGACAATTAATTGTTTACAATGATCTCAATCTTTTTGAATAATACATTGGATATTATAGACATAATTTATATTTAGAGACATACTGTATAATACATGATAATACAAATTTAAAGACATATTATTTTGTATATGCATTTTAACAATATTTGACTACTATTTTGACACTTTTTTTAATTATGGAATAATTTTAGTTAATTAGTGATAATTAGTGATAATTTTATTATTTACTATATTTTAATGTGCAATTGGTTTCACGTTAAGCATTATTGACATTATTTATCAAAAAATTTGTTATTTTTAATTTTATACTTTAAATACAAACAGAATTTTTTAAATGATTAAATTTGTATATTAAAAATTGTTAATAAAAGACACATTTGTAAATTTGAATATTAAAAACTCAAACAATTCAAAACAATTGTGACAGTGATAGCATCGTTAGACTTGATGTCTGACCCATTTGGACATCTCTGGTTCGGCGACCAGTTTCACATTGATTGGGAAATCGCACGAAATAATTGATACTTCGCTTACAAGAATTGAGTCTTAGTAGACATTCATTTGAAAAGGTCTCTCCATTTGAACCTATATTCCAAGTTATGTCATAAAAATGAGAAAATATATATATATATAATCTTTTGAGTCATATAAGTAGCAAATAGTATGTGAGAGAGAGATATGAATTGAGTGAAAAACAAGTGTATGTTTTTACCGCAAACAGGACTATAACTGTGGGCACAGTATTCAAGGCACTGACACTTGGCTCGCGAGACAATAGCCGATCGATTGTCTTCAATACAGTTGCCATTATTCTCACAGTATTGCTTCTCACACGGCACTGGTAGGTAAAAATGATAATAATGTTAAATACACACATACTAGAGCTATAGTAACAAAATAATCAAACAATGAATATAACAATTATTTACAATCAGTTATTGTGGCTCTTCTTCTGTAAGGTTTATCTATTAAAGCAATTTATAATACAATAAAAATATTTAGTATTTTACGACCAATTATTATATAAGATATAAGAGTCATATAAATAATAAGAGTTATAGACCTCTGATGATGGCATTGATTCGGTCTAAATTAGGAATCGTTACTTTCAATAGAGTATTATTCAATCGTAAAAATCCTTCAGAAATTGGATTCAAGAAGAATAACCAACTGTCCCTTTTTCTCACGTTTGAATAGCACAGTCCTGTCAAACCAAACCCCCCGACTGTCACCCGATTGTTTTCAAATGATGGATGTCCTCGGAGGACACGCTTGACCACTACCGATGCACTATAGGTGTCGTCGTCATCGCTCGGATAGATCTGTTCGACAAATCCGGTGAACACAACGGGTGGCAACTCTTCCATACGTTTCGGACCCTTATCTCGACATTCAGGTCGAGTTCGGATCCGATACCGGATTCTGGCCTCACAACTGATCCATAGTAGACTTAAAGCACATATTATTGCAATAATATTGAGATCTTTTGCTAATATAATCATTTTTGAATATAAATTCTATTTAAATTGAAATTTATTTAATTTTAAGAAAATTTGTTATTAAATAAATTTTAACTATTTTTGTATTGACTTTATTTGGATTTTATTTCGACAAAACCTGTTATATGAAGACGTGGGTGTAGTAGTAGTGGACAGGTATTCAAGTGCTCTATTACTTCATACATTGATTACTAACTATTGCCAGATATTTCATTGTTAAGCCATATGTTCACATATTTTAATAATATCGACAAATGATTAATATTATCACAAAATTTGTGTAATTAATCTCTTAAGTCATATAATAAATACAATAAATCTATAGTTTTTTAGTGTTTACTAACACAATTAGTTATTAAAATTTGCTTATTGTTAATAAATTACTTATTATTTATATGTTTAAGAGTAAAACTTTTGAATATGTTTTTGTTTAATAATTTAGATTAAGATCTAATATAATTTAGTTTTATTTTAACTTTACTTATATTATACAGTATACTATATATAAAATTATAATGGTCAATTTTTTTTGTAAATATATTTTATAACTAAATATATTTTATAACTAAATATAATTTTTTCTGAATAATTCTAATAATTAATGCAACTTATATAGCATTTTTAAATTTATAAATAGCATTTTAGTATTTTATCTAAATTTTATAATTTTTTTCTTAGATTAAAATAAAAATAATTATAAATTTCATAATAATTTAGTTAGAGAAATCAAAATTAATTATATAATTGAATTTGAAAATTGCAATTTTATTTACAATTTTGTTGCCTAACCGGCAAACTTTTACGACATCTGACCATAAACTTCGGTACAATTAATACATAAATATAGAGAAAATTGTAATTTTAAAATAAAATTTAATAATTATATATTTGTTTAAATATTCATATAATTTAAATAATTTTTAATATAAATATTTCAATAATTATTATAACAAATAGTTTATTCATTAGACAATAAAAGAGATGTCGTTAGTATTGACAACATATGTAATGTAAAGCATGCTTTCAATACATAGACTCATAGATTATTATCAATTTATAATATAATTTGGTTTACTGTGTATACTGTAATACAGTATTATATTTGTAGCGCTTTAGCTATCATTTGCCTGCATAGCAATCGTTTAATTTTGTAGCCTTTATTGCATTAGAAGTATGAATTGATGGATACATTTCATATGTATTAATATTAATAGTATTTAAATACTTTATAATAATAATAGACATATGTTTTGATGTATTGAGTGAAGCAATTGTTTTACAAACCAAATCATATTAAGACAAGTGATCTACAAGTGATGCGAGTGTTGTCACTGAAGACATCACTGTTGAGCAACAGTGAAGTGTTGTCGTTGTTGAAGGAGATCCAAGAGAAACGCCGTAAACTAAAGGATAACAAACAGTTGGCCACAATTGCATACGAAAGCATCAATTTCTTAGAGGACTCGGCCGCCAACACTACCACCGATGACCAGATCCAACAATTTCTGATTGCAGTCAAAGACACGTTTCGGTTGACCAAAGCTGAGAAGTTGCAGATTATTAATCAAAGACCCATCACTTTAGTTGAATTACAACTTCTGATTGAGGAAAATGAAGAGCGATTTAGTGAGGAAGCCATGGATCAGTTGCTGACACTCATAAATAACACACTAATCAATACTGATATTCAAACCGATGAAGACATCGCTGAAGATAGAGATAACAGCGATGATAACGATGAAGATATCGATAATAATAGCGAAGATAATTGATTATTAGTTATCAATAGAGTATTCAAATTATAATTTCAATCAATTTATTAAAACTATTATTATATTAATATATATTTATATAAAATACATAAGAAATGTGTTTTTATTGATAAATTAATTTCATCTATTTTTTGTAAAAACATTTCACTATTTCATTAAATCTTTATATTAAGTTTATCAAAATCTTAAATTAAATCATAAAATATAAATGACAATTCATTGAATTTTAAATTATTGTTAAATTATATAAAATATTTAATAATGCAATTTAAAAAACAACATTACCGTAATTTAGAGTATACTTTATATTATTTTTATCATAAGTTGATTATTAAAATATATAAAAAATTAAACAATAATTTGATTTAAATTAATTAAATTTAAAAATGTATATCTTTTCAATACTACAGTACTTATAATGATATATTAAATTTGTATTACCATAATATAAATTCTATTTAACTACCAGTTTAAATAATTTAATTTAAATTGATATTAATAATAATATTACGATAATGATAATAAATATATCCATATACTGTATATATATACTGTAATTTATATATACTGTATTTACATTTTTATTTATACAAATGTATGATTAACTGACAATTTAATAATCAGATCTCAGAAATAATTGATTTGCATACCATTACAGAATGTGATGATTATGACTGTCGAGAGCTGATGACATATATGACATAAATTTAAATGTCATATTATTTACAAGTGTGGACCAGTACTTCCCTAATACACTGATCGCATTCAACATAACAACACCAATGAAACTTACAATTACATCTCTCTTTGATCCTTTCCTTCTGTGAATGATAGCCTCGACCACAACACATGAGATCACTGGTAAAGATAATTAAAAAAATGAATTAAGTATTTACTAAAATATAATTAATAATAATATATCTGATTTCAATCATATACTATACCAGCCGTCGGTGCCTTTTGATGCGCGATTGCATTGTCGACCATAAGTTCCCAGAGAACCAGTTTTATTGTTTGGTTCACAAAAATCTGGAGATGAATTCAAATAAACTAAGTCGACGTCAGTCGGCGGCTTAAAGGACAGGTTTATCGGTACCAAACCTGGACTACCTCTTGAATTCTGAACATAAAATAAAACATCAGTCAATTACATAATTATTTGTTCAAAATTATCAATAAATTAAAATCTTTTTTGTGATTTAGCTAAAAATATATAATAATTTATTCTTAATCATGATTTTAGAGTTGCAAATAAAATAAATATAAGATTTCTAGTGTTTACTATTGAGGCAAATGATCCATAAGTCATGGATGCCGTCTCTAATTTAGTAGACTCTCGTTTAGTTGTAACCGATGGACTAGTATTAGGTATTTTTAGTCGCACTTCAGCTGCTGATTCAAATTTATCTTTAAGCAGATCTCCTAATATGAATAAATATAAATAAATTATTACAGAATATACTGTAATTTGTAATAAAGTAAACCAAATGCCAACCAATTTGTCGAAATGATGGCATAGATCTCCAACAAGTCTTCAGTTCACAAGAGCCACTCACTCCATGACATTTGCATTCAATTTTCATGTGATTATGGATCACCTAAAATGAAATTTTAAAAATTACTATCGATTTTGTTGAACACCACAACAATACAATTTAAAGAGGATTAACTGTTTGTGATGCCTATTATAATCTATTAGTTTGAAATCAAGTTCAGGGATATATCATAGAAAGTATAATCGTGTGTGGCTTCAAAATATATATAAATTTATAGTGAATATAATGTACACAATGTCTATTGTGTTGTCAATTGAATAGAAAATTAAATTACATATTTTCTTTGAATATATTAGTATAACATATGTTATTGTTAAGTGTAAACTGTCAGTCATAATGGTATATGTGTTTTGTGGTGAGGAGTGTCATATTTATGAATACCTTACGTCCAGCTTCAGTATTATGCAGATTCACGAAAGCCTGAACACTGTTAGGCTTATTACTTCGGGCAGCTCTTAGGTCACGGGAGTCCACAAACGTTTTGGCAAAAGCAATACCAAAAGCTATGTTATCACTACATCCTATAGTTTTGATAAATTTCTTACAATTGTTACTCAGTTTTTGAATTTGACATTTAATTAGTTAATTACTGTCTCACCAGCCCATTGAAATCCATGTGCCGGACTCATAGCAATGGTACGATCGCAGCCACATTTGGTCAGTTGTCCGTTAGAGCAATATTTGGTGACGGCGTGTGCAATACCAGCACTCTGTATGGCATATACAAATGCGGCCTCACGGGTACCAACCACTGGATATATAATTTTAATAATAAATGTATAGTTATTAGTTTAGTTATCAATAAATAATTATATTAAAATTTTTAAATAACACAATTTTAACAAGAATTATAAATATCTATTTTTCCTGTAAACCCAATCTTTAAATAACACAAAAACAAATGTATGACTCAATAATTTAAATGAAATCTAAATAAATATTTTTGTATACATTTTCTAATCAATTATAGACATTGAGATATATTGTAAATTGAAATAAAAGTTTTGTTTTAAATCAAAACATCCAGAGAATCGTTGCATTCATTCATCTATTCATTCATTTAGTTTTTCAAAAGCTTTACAGACTATTGACAAAAACTTTTCATTTAATGAAATTTGAAGAAAAATTAAGAATCATTTGTCGATTGATGGAGATTACAGTATAGCATAAATATATGGCACCGGGAGATACATCTATATATTGGACTAAAAGTTTATTTATTGAACGCTTTTATTTTAACTTCTCTTTCATTATTATTTCGACTCAACATTTAGACGCTAATAGGTTTGGCAACAGATCTGTCTGTGTTTTACTAAAAGTTTTTAACCCAAAGTATAGTACAAATAAATTAATATTTTCTCGATTTCTATCTTATGTATATATAATGCATTAATTTAGTTTTGATAAAATTACAAGTTTTGTTTCAATTATTGATATTTTAATAGTACTAAAAATATATATTAATTTTGATGTACCAGTCAATAAACATATTTCTCATATTAAGATAAATAAAAACATTAAAATAAAATGTTTTTATTATTGATTGTTTAGCTATCATTTGATTTATTTAGTCTTATTTATGTTTATAAGTGAATAAAATTAAAATTATTTGAAACCTTCTTTAGGTATTTTGGTAAACAATCTGTTAGTTTCTAATGAACTACAGTTCCAACGCCTTTCCCGAAACTGGTGCTGACATTCAGTGACGGCTCTTAAGGCTCCGATCTTCACGCTGTCCATGACTTCAATATTTTTACGACAAATATGTCTTTGTTTTCGTGTTAACCCAAAAATCGTATCACACATTCCTATTGTATTGATATTTATTGGTGGTGTGCTCTCAAGTGACCATCTATTTTGAATATAATATATAAATTTAATATTATATAATTATTATTATAAATTGTTTTTAACTAAAACATTATGTTTATTAAATAATTGTCATAGGAATTTATTTTAAATATTTTTGCAATTAAACTACTGTATAATGAAATATACATAAATATAATTTATATAAAGTGTATATTAGAAAATTATTTAGAAAAACTTATGAGTGGATTGAGTGTAAAATAGTAATAATAACCAAAATATGGTATACAGTGTACTATACACTTGCATTCAATTATAAAACCCTTAATCTCTAGTATTGGGAACATCAAGGGGTCAGTCAGCTCATCATCCCTGACATGAGTTTCAAATTAATCAAATTCTTGTCTCGTATAACATATAGAATGACTGAATAAATTATACTATTTCTGTATTTTCATTTTATTTTCAAAAATGACTTGTTGTTATTAAATTGTATATTCATCATTACAATATATATACAAACATTTTATTATTTTAATTTAATAAAAAAATTATTAAAAATATATTGTTTAATTAGTAGCAAAAACATTAAATTTAAAACTTTAAACATGGAAAATGCTAAATATTATAAAAACAAAAAAAAAGTTTTCATATATGATGTAATAATTATAGTTAATTTTGACTTTTGCTACACATTATAGAGTTATCCTCTTTTCTATACATAATCAGACACTATATTGCTGTACAAAACATAAAATCCTGTACTTTAGGCCAGTCTAACAACATTCCAGATATAGAGCCCAACATAAGTTAGTTTATTATAAACAAACAAAATATTAAATATATTAATTTTAAAGAGAAATCTTATAAACAGTAGTTGTCATATAATGTAAATTATATATTGTTATTGTTATTTATTTTGTTATTTGAAACTTTAAAAGTTTTTCTATAATCAATTGTTCAAATTAAAAACAAATGTTGCAAAAATCAATTTAGTAAACTATTATTTTGATAAAATTTATAATTACAATACAATTAAAAACTAATTCTATAATACATAACATAAAAGAAAATAATGATTTTATATAAAAAACAATTGTATGTTTAAATAAATGCTAAGTATTTGTATATATATATCGACAAAATCAGCAAATAGTTAATAGAGAAGTAAAAATAAACAAAACTATTGGTCTATAATTTGATTATAGTTTAGGCGGATCTCATGTTGTCTTTTATTTGACAAACAAAGCAAAACATCCGCCGTTTTATTTCACTTAAGAAATGACCGCTATTTTAGTAAACATTAAAATATATTCTGTATTATATGAGCTGATAATTGTCAACATTTTTTTTAGTATATACTAACCGACTCTTATGTAAAGCTTATGCCGCAGTTGTTGTGATAAAATGTTTATTACATTTCACTGATATTCGCACTTACAGTAAAGTTTGTAAACAATTAAAACATTATTATAGTAGTATTACGATAGTTATAAGTTATAACACAAAGTTTGCCGATATGAGTGAGTTTGTGTGTGTGTGTGTGTGTGTGTGTGTGTGTGTGTGTGTGTGTGTGTGTGTGTGTGTGTGAGTGAGAGAGAGAGAGAGAGAGAAAGAGAGAAATAAACCAAAATATTGTCTGTGTCCTTAAATTAATTATTAAATATAACTAATATTACTATACTATCATATAAATGAAAAATTTATAAATATACTCATTTGTATTATACAAAAATTAATTTTACATTAAGAAAAAATAAACTGAAATTTTACAAAATTTAAACTCAAATACGACTGAATTTCAAATTTATTAAATAAACAAATATTAAATATATGATGAATATTTTAATTGATAATTTTCGATTATTTTTATATAACAATTATTTATTTTACTGATTATATTAATATTAATAACATTTATTATTAATATATATATTTAATATTTAATATATTCTATATTATAGTACTGTGTATTTTAGTAAAAATTATGACAAAATAAAAAATAACTAAAGATTAACTAATTATCAAAATGATCAAGATTAAAATAATTTTAATGATTTATTTCATAAGTACATACAAAAATTGAAATTTATGTATTAATAATAAAAATTAATTTATATTCTGTATTATATCAAAAAATTATTAAATTTTAATTTTAAATAATATTGTTATGAAAATATATAATTTGTTCAAAAATATAAATTATATTTATATTAAACATAAAAATTTTGCAAATCGGGTCCTATGATCATGTTATTTGATGAATGCAAAACATTATAGGACACTAATTTGAATAATTATATTGTAATGTTTATTTTATTTGTATAATTTTGGTAAAATATTTTTTAAATTACATTTCTTTAATTGCAAAACAAACTCTTATGTAATTCAATTCTTAACCTATAATTACGTTTAAACATTAAATTCAATAGTTTTAATTTAATTAACTAAAATTAATACAGTATTTTATAAATTATAATGTAAAAAAATAATTAGCATAAAAACACAATATAATTTCACTAATGCTAAATAGTTAATTAAATTAAATGATCGACAATTATATATCATATATATATACCATATAATAATAATTATAGAATTTATTCATAATTAAAGTGAAATTCAATTTAATAAATATTTTATACTTAAATCACCACAAAAAATATATTACAATAAATTAAAGCCAAAACTTACATAAATGGTTAACTAAAATACTATTAATAATATAACAAAAACCTAATAGTAATGGCAATGATATAGAAAAGTCGGGGAGAAATTGAAACACAATTCACGATACATATAATCATTTGTCATAAATATTTTATCATAAGTTCTATACTTATATACCGTATATAATAACTCAATACTAATTGAGTTTTTATTGATTGAATTTGAGGGTTCAGTGCATTATTTGGTATTATAAGGAAATACTCTTTAAATTACTACAAAAAATCGACTCAAATATTCCGTGTATAATATATGTATTATTATAATGCTATGAAATGAGCTGTAAATGCATTTGCAAATTAAACCATCGATACGACTCTTACAATGGGATCTAAAAGCTTAGTCAAGTACTGTATTACTAATCATAAAACAAGTGATGAATATTATTGTAATCAATATTTAAATAAAAAATATAATATTTGTAAAATTCTGAGTTTACAGCAACAACTAAATCTAAACAAAAAACTTACAAAAGTTTTTAAAAAGATATTTTATAATATATGAGAAAATAAAGTGATGAAAATAGTTTTGACGCTAACTATACTTACATTAAATGACAATTGAAAACAATGAAAATTGTGATGCAATGGCTTAAAAGTGATGCCATCGCCAATACAAATGGTTATAATACCGATATCCGTGTGATTAGTGAATGGCATACACTTTACACATTGATTTATAAAATGGATAAAACTTTTTTTATATTAAAAAAAACGAGACATCAATTGAAAGCACTGAGCATTTGAAAGCCCAGTGCATGTGTCGGGTCTCACAACTCAACACATATACTCTGCTTACAGTACAGTATAATACATCCAATTGTATTGATTTTGATTATAATATAAATTTACGGTATATTACAGTAATATTATAACTTAATGCCGACACTCGTGACATCGCGTGTCATACATTGATTACACGTGCAATGTATAAAAAAACATACACATGTGCTGTCATAATGTACTATCAATTATCAACTTTATTATTAAATTAATATTTATACTATTAATTAAATTTATTAACTAATTTATTATATAACCGTATATTAAATGTTGAGTAAATTATTTGTTTTGTTTAATAATAAATATAAAGTTTATTTACAAAAATATTATACAATTTATGCTAATATAGGCCCCAATTGTGTGAAGTGAGGCCCAAACACATGAATTACTTGAAAACAATTTTTGCTTAATTTAAGCGCTTTTTATGTTTGATTATTACGTAAGACTCAGTCAATACAATACAATAACAACAAACCAAACAAAACAATCAATAAATTAGTAAATCGTTGTATCAAATGATGTGCTGATTATAATAGTGTCTTCATTGTTGTCATCGCAAGTGATTTGCCATCAGATGGATGACCACAACATTGATAACATGGCGTCTCTTCAATTGCTGACATCGGACGACTTGACGATGGACTCGGCGGACAAGTTATCGACATTTGATTTGCAATTGAATAAACTATTGTCCGCTAAACAAGAGTTGGTCACCACTTATAAGTCGGAAAAGGAATTGATTGTCAAGAAATATGAAGACACTGTCAACAGTTTGAGACAAGAGTTGATCTCAAAAGAAAAACTACTGAAACAAACTATCAATGAGTTGACAAACGATAAGATTAAGTTAGAGGAGAAGTATCGACAAGAGGTCGATGGGGTGACCACTCAGTTACAAGACTTAAGATGTGATTTGACTGTTAATAAACAATCTGTAAGTGATCTGCAATCAGTGGTCACTCAAAAAGATACAAAACTTGTTGAATTGGAGACAGAGTTAACCAAATGTTTAAATGATAGCAATTTGAAGACTAATGAGTTGGAGAAGCAGTTGACTGAAGTGAACAATAGTTTAACTGAGATTAAGAAGAGTCGTGAGTTAGCACACAATGAAATTAATTCATTGAAAAGTCAATTAACTTCCTTGGAGTTGGAGAAGAGCTCATTGAATACATCGCTTTCAATGTCCAACGAGAAGAACCAGAGTTTGGATACGAAATGTGATTCATTACAGTCTGAGAATCAAAGACTTAAACAAAAGATTGATTTCGACCATAAATCTAAACAGGAAAATATGGAAACTATTAAATCATTGACCACTTCGATCAATGACAACCAAAAGGAAATATCACGACTACAGAAAAGTTGGTCTGAATTGGAAAAGTCAAGGATCAGTGAAATTACTTCATTGAAACAAGAGTTGAGTGTCAAAGATCAACAATATAAGGAACAAATTAATAAATTGACAAATGAAAGCAATGTTTCACATAAGAAAACTGTCAATGATATCAACGCTTTGCTTAAGAAGTTACAAGAAGCTGATGAAGAATTTCATCGATTTAAAGACAATGCAGAAAAAGATAATCAAACTTTGGAATTGATTGTCTCTAAGAAGGATGAGATGATTCTTAATTTAGAAGCAGAGAAAACTCGAATTGAAACCGAATTGACTAATAAAGTCATAGATTTGACCAAAGAGTTGGAGGATTATAATCACAATATGTCTGATATTAGTTCAAAACAAGACAAAGCATTGAGTCAATTGTCACAAACGAGGGCTCAATTAAAAACAGTTGTTAATGAAAAAGAGGTCTTAAAGACATCGTTAGTAAATGCGAATGAAAAATGTTATTCTCTTGAGTTTCAAATTGATTCACTTAATAGTGAAATTGAAAAATACAAACAATTACTGGAAAATGAATCAAAAAACAAGAAGGAAAAGAGCCAATTGATGGAAACCATTAGTGACTCACTGGAAGAAAGACAAAAAGAGATCGAAAGGTTGAACAAAACAATTAAAGAAGTAGATGTCAGTCGTCATGAATTGGAAGAATCTAGGAGTGAAATAATGAGAGACTGCGATGAACTGAGAACAACAATGATGGACATCGAGAAGTCACGAATGGAAATGAGACGTGAGATCAATGAATTAAAATCTATTAATACTTCCATTGAAAATAAATTGAAAGCAAAAGAAAGCGAAATATCTGAATATAAGAGACGAATGGATCAACTGAAAAAGGAAAAAGACTTTTTAAAGGATTCACTCGAAAATTCGAGGTTTGGATTGTCATTAATGGCATATTTATTGAAATTGGTTTATATTTATAAAAAATATTTTTATTTTAGTAAATCGTTGACACAATTGAAAGACATAAACAAGAATCTCTCTCAACATAGCAGACAACTATCAGCACAAATAGCACTTAACGAAAGTGAAAGGCGAGAGTTTGAAAGAAAATTGAATTCAACATCAAATTTAATCACCGATCGGGACAGTAATGTGTCGTTACTAAAGAAAGACAATGAATTACTTAAAGAACAAATAAGTAAATTGGAAAAAGAAAAGAAACGATTAGAAAGAAGTTACGCTTTGATGGAAAAAGAAAGACATACTTTGAAGAATAATTTAGATGATATCCAGAGGAAGAGTAATGAAACATCTGACACTACACAGAACGATATGATTTTAAATGAAGCCAATGTTGTGGCACAGGGTTTAACAGCACTGGAGCTCAAGAATTATGACTTACGGCGAAAAATTCAAGATTTGCAAACACGAATGCTTGAAGAATCCGATGGTCTTAATGGAAATGATATGTCTTTGAATGGCAATGCTTTCGATGAATTAGACAAACTTAGGTTCGCTCAGAAACAGGCAGAAGAACTTATTGAGAGAAAAGACTTTTCTACCAAACATTTCGCTAATTTTGAAAAAGAGGTTTATATAAGATTTATTTTACCTGAATATAATGTATAGCTATTTATTTACTAGATTTTTATACCGTAATGTTGTCTCTTATAGTTAAGTCGTTTATCGATGAGTCCCAGTTTGACGACAACCCCTCCGCGCTTTAAAGAACCGCCTTTTCGATCACAATCTGTCTCTAAGATGAACACAATTGGCAAATATAATGCATTTACCAAAACAACTGAAACCTCAACACCTTTGCCAACATTTTCATCGACACCGGGTTTAAGTAATGTTAAAAGAAAATTGAATTATAAATGAAACCGAAACCTTGAAAAATAATCAGATTTCTAGTCTTATTTTGTTAACATTTTGTATTTTTTACTTTTTATTATTTTTTAATCATTCACAGCATTTACCTCTATATGCCATTTGACTTAATTTAATTTGCCATAAATATTAATATTCAATAATTTTAAAAATAGTCTTATTTTGGTAATTTAACCATTAATTTGACGTAACATTCCATAAAATTCCTTATTAATAACGAACAACATTAACGACTAACCAAATAATTTTGATATCACTAAATCTTATGATTTAAGTATTAACTAAATGTTAAAAACTCTTGATATAAAAGTATTATTTTTTCTAATTTCTATGAATATGTTTTGTTATTCTTTCTATTTTTTATACTTATTTTTTATTAAATTTAATATTTTATTTTTAGTTTTATTTTAAGGTACTGTATTTGTATATTTTACACCAACGTCATAATAAATGTATAAATCTATAAATAACATTAAACTAATATTAATATTTAATGTATTCACCTATCAATTAGTAAATCTGTATAAGTAGTTCCGTCCTTCACCTAAAGTGCCGCTAAATTAACTTAAAAATTTAGATTAGATTAAATGATAACAAATAAACTGTTCATTCATAACAAAATTGTTGATTATAAAAATATATATCTATATTTGTTTATAAAAAATATGTAACTGGTTAACGATATATAGATATTTATAATTAATATGTTTAAAATTTAAGTTATTTATACAACAAATATATATATATAATAAAACATTTTTTTGTTTAAAGAATGTAAAAATTGTTTTAAGTTTATCTGAACATAACTTAATCATTACAACTATTAATGAAGTTTCAATTTGCTGATTGAGATACATATTAATGTCATTTTTAATAATTTTTATGAAAAAACAGATACAACTATTGAGATATTAGACTTGAATTAAATATTTATTTGATTTTATCAATTCAATTATTAGATATTTATTTTTCAATGCATTTGATTGTCTCATGTATTTCATTGAAATAAATTAATAAATGGCTAAAAAACAGGCATTTCATTGAAGGTCATGACATGATCACCAGCTTTAATAATATATCATAAAATTATTGTTAAATATTTTCACTATGTATTTATATAACGTACAACTCTATTATTAAATAAAATAATAATTATTATTAAAACATACATTTTAGATTTTAATTGATATACCAAATTTTATCTAAAATTTTATAAATTTATAATACAAAATCTATATATAATTATATATTTCTAATAAATATAATTAAAACATTGAATTTAAGACAAATATATATTACAATTTGAAACATTCTCACATTGATTTGTCCAGTAAAATAATAATAAAATTTTGTTAACTTTTAATAATTAGCACATTTGAATTAATTATCAAATATTAATCTTTATGATATTATATAATAATAATAATAAGATATTAACAACAAAAAACTAACAATTATTAAGAGTATCAGTTTATGAGTGAAATATAATGTATAATCAATTCAAATGTGGGTATTATTGGGTATTATGCCATTACATTGAGCTTTATATTGAATTTTTAGTTAATAATTATAAATAAATTTATAATTATAATATACATATGTATAATATACACTACATGTATAATATACATTGTATATATATATATATATATCTACTAATTAATTGGAAAAATAATTAAAAGTAGTGATAAAAAAAGTTAAAAAAATTGTGAGTAAAATAAGGATTGGATTAAAGGATAGTATTGTAGAGGCATTACATCCATCTTCCTTACACTCACACACAAACGTCTTGACCGATGGGTTGGCCGTCTTATAGCAGTCCCTTCCGGATGTCTCGAAACCACAGGACCTGACAATTCTGACTTCTTGTTCGATCTCTTGTTCCTGTTTTCGACAAAAGCTGTATTTTCTCGGAAATGTATCGTTGAGTGTATTGCAGTCGACATAAAAGTTGCGAATATCGTTAGATAATTGGTTTTTGTCTTGAGGTCCACGGGCTAGAGTGGCACAGGCCTTATCCAGGTATGAGTTACAGTTCCAACAGTGGATGGCCAGTCCACTCTTGACCACAATCAACAAAATACATACAATTAACAGATTTCGTATCATTATTTCAATATACAGTCAAATTAAATGGTGAAATGGGGTTAAGAGGCTATACTGTCGAGGAATAGCTCTGTGAAGGACACAAACAGACAACCAGTTGTTGCCAGTAATACAAACTCTTGTAAAATGAAAGTTCACTTTTAAGTTATGTGTGTGTTATGTAAAACAACTTTTATATATTTTTAACAAACTCTCAGTTCTAGTAAAGGCACTGTTGGTTCTCACTCTTACATACAAACAGCTCCCAGTGTTGGCTCTCTCTCTCTCTCTCTCTCTCTCTCTCTCTCTCTCTCTCTCTCTCTCTCTCTCTCTCTCTCTCTGTATATGTAATATAAAAGTTACAAAAATAAAGTGATCTCTATTTTAGAGCACCAATACTTTGTGACACAATTTGCATTAACATCATCTCTATTAATAAATTTTAGTCAAATATACAACAAAATACTACACTTGTTGCTAAATTATACCAATTCAACCAACGGTGCTCTGGTGGCCAATACTATTAATACTATATGAGTTTCGTTATGTTCAGCACTTGTGATAATGTATTGCCTATCCTATCAAATCTATGGGTTCACTTGGTTTGGGTTTGTCTACTTTGGTAAACATGTGGCACACAAATCTCTCTCTCTCTCTCTCTCTCTCTCTCTCTCTCTCTCTCTCTCTCTCTCTCTCTGTTTGTCTTTTTTTGATGAGCCCTCACAATATGGTATTTGCATTAAAAGAGTACCAACCATGAAGGGGAAGGGAGGTTCACATCATTGAAGCATAAAGTGCAACAAAAATTAAGTTATAATTGTATCGTATATTATCTAAATTTATATCATGTTATCAGATATCTAATGTTTAACAGATCATTATATTTATTACAACTGTATTCATTATATATTGAATTACTATATTTTTTAAATATTTAAAATTACAATATATTTACATTTTAATTTTATTTAAAATTCATAAACTTGATATATACTTAGTATTACTGTATTGTAATTTTAAATAAATGGCAAACTATGTAATATAATTTATTTATATAGTATATAAAATTACTGCACTTATTGTTATAAATAAAATAATGGCTCTCTATTATAGACTATATTTTATAATTTATTAAATACATTATACAAATAGTATTATTAATATTTAATAGTTGATTAGCAGTTATCTGTATGATAATTAATCTTATAATATACAATCACTATTTATTTCTTAATAAATATATTTCAAATTTATTTTTAATAAATAAATGTAAGAAAATAATTATTTAATTTTATCTTAAATAATAATGAAAAATTATTTAATTTAATAACGTTTTTTCTACATATTTGTTTGTTAATTATTTATATTTTATAATATAAAATAATTAAATAGTTTTAAACAAAGTATCAAAGCTTTTAAAAAATAAACAAAATTATATTAGCATTTTTTGAATCTAATTATGAATGAAAAATATAAATAATATATGATTTAAATATAAATAATTAAATTACAACAGAAATAAAAACATAGTTTTAAAAAATCAATGCTATCTCACTATTAGTTATATTGAGAGTAAATTATTCATTTTTATTTTTATTTAATAAAAAGATTATTTCATTCACGTAATTTTTAATAAATATTATTTAATGATTGAAATGTAATAAAAAATATTTTTTAACATAAAAAATTTATTACCTTTGAATACAATATGAAGTTTTTTTTAATTGTTTTTAATGAAAAATTTGTTTTACTATTTGTCAGTCTTATACATTGTATACATTCAAGTAATATAAATAAAAAAGTGTTAAAAATATATTAATACTTATTATGATAATTTTAATTGTAAAACAATACACACATTTTTCATATGTGGGAGAAAGTTAATTAATAAATGTACAAAAATGTGATTAATGTTATTGTTTATCATTAATTTGAATACTTTTGTTGAGTTAAATATTACTAATGAATAGAAATACTGTATTAATATTCACTTTACTTTGTTAACATTAATTATATATTTATATAAAAATATATTATGCATATTAAGCATATATATACAGTAATATATACACATTGTTTGATTATATTTACATGACTTATTTTTTAAAATACAATATTTTTATATTTTACTAAAAATATAATTTTATAATACATATTAAATTATTATATATAGAATATTAATATATTCTATAATTTAAATATTTTGTAAGTATTTTAGCATTAAGTGGTATTTTACAAAAATTAATATTTTTTTTATTAACAAACTGTCTGTAGAGTTAGGATACGTCCAGTGTTTCAGAGGATTGTTGGATCTGTAGCTCAAATCAGAGATTTTTTTTAAATTTTCTGATTTAGATTATAAGCGAAATATTAAATGCATAATAATTATACCAAATTAAGTCATTGGGTGATAACTAGAGATGGGCAAATAGAAAGTTTCTAATAAATTTCCCTGAGAAAGTTTCTCATGAATAATTTCCTATAGAAATTTAACTTTATTGTTATACTATGGGATCCCCATATCTATAGCTATTGTAATAATATATAAATAATGAGACATACTACTATTCATATAACATTATACTATACAAAATGTGTTACCTATATGTAAAATAATTATAATTATTTAGTAATAATCAGTTTTGTAAATTTTAATAATTATTTATTATATATATATATAAGAATTTAAGTTAATTAAATAAATTAATTATTACTTGTAAAAACAATGTATTGTTACATGATAACATATATAGAGAAAAACAAAATTAACCATGGGGATCCCATATATATAGAAATTTCTCTATTATTTTATAAATTTCTCTTTTTTGCTAACACTAGTGATAACATAATATTAGGTCTATTAAATTATATTATGTGCAAATATTGAATTAATATGCATAAAATTGTTATTTATAATATTATTATAATTTTAATAATATTTACATATAAACAAAAGTTTGAAAGATAAAATATTAATATATCAAATTAAAAAATTTGTGACAAATTTAGGTACTTATGGTGTAAAATATTGACTATAAAAGTAATATCTAATAGTATGCTGCTATAAAAAAATATTCAATTATTACTGTACTTTAAAAGTTATATAATACATACTTCCCATAGAATTTAATTTAAATTAATAGTATTTAAATTTTTTATATAAACAATCTACTGTATGTTGAAAACTAGCAAATAAAATATGGCACTTAACTTGGTATCAATAATCGCATTTATGGTTTCAACTGATATTATTGGAAATTATCACAATTAAGGCTAAAACAATAATCGGTTAAATTTATGTCACAAATTGTATATTTATATTATGATGATAACATAAAACTTATTACATAAAATTTAGTATAAAAATTTACTTACATTAATATTACTGTAAGAAATTAATTGACATAATAATGCAAAAACTTATTACTTATAACTTAATAAAGAATTTTCAGAAATAATATATTTGTTAAAAATGATTGTATTCTTATTTACTTTAAAATGTATTATACTTTTAAAGATAGACATATCCCAACTCTACTGTAATATCTATTGTAATTAAAATCTTATTAATCTAAATCTTAAATCATAAATAACTTCAATCTTATTTATATTTATTACCACAATGTTAGTAAATAGTATATATGTACAGTATATAATTTACAATAGTATTAATATAACTACATGTAAATTACATACAAATATTGAATAACTTTGATTATTTTTAAAAATTAAAATAGAAAATTGATTAATGGCCATTTCAATAGTCTTGTTGAAACTTTTTTGAGCATATATATCACAATTTTTTTATTTGTTTCATTTGATTTAATTGATTTTTTGAGTTCATTGGACTGGTATCTAGTTTTGGTGAAATAGTTGATCGCCTCTTTGACCACTACTTTAAGTGTCAGTATAAGCGATATTCTAACGAGTATTTCATAGAAAGTGTAGGCACTGTATGCCGTTTGAAAGATTAATATAATGAACTCAATAACCAATGTCTTGATTATGATTTTAATTGCTAACATCACTATCTTTTTTGTTAAATATTGAATGATTTGAATGTTAATTATTGACTCTTTGATTGTTTTCATTACAGGACTGAACACTGGTTTCAGACATGACTTAAATGTTAATATAAGTAAAGTTTTTACTGAAGTTCTAATCACAGGATATAAAGCTCTTCTCATAACTGCTTTACACAAAGTTATGGTTAATGTTTTGGTTGATATTGTAATTACAATATGTAATGATTTGTCGCAAATAAGCTTTAATTTATTTGTAATTGTTTGCTTGACTATCATTTTTAACAATACAAATGTTATAACTTTTGTTATCACTTTGATTATTGTTATGTCATCTGATTTGACATCCAATTGATTGCAGTGTTTGATGTCATCCTTATGGCACACATTTGTCACATTGATATCAATGGCTCGTTTGCTTATAAATTTTAAACCTATTTTAATAAGAAAATTAATTAAATTATTATTTGCTTTAATTTATTTTTTAAAAATATTTTTTATTATATTAGATTAGAAACATGTAAAATATTTGTTTTTAATTTAACTACCGGTATTTATAATAATAATAAATCTTTAGATATTTCATATTTTTAGAAAATAATTAAAATAAATTTCCAGTATTAACATCAGTATATCAAAGGTTAAATATGTCAATTGTGTATTTCATATTAATTTATCAACCTAATAAATGTAATATTTATGATATTTAATTTTATTACGGTATATATTGGTTTAAATATAAAATTACATGACTACTAATGATAATTATAAATTATATTATTCGAAGTTTTACTGTTTTTATTGTCAATTTTATATACTATTATATATTACTACTTTTATATGTTATTTGTATTATATTTTATCTGTTTACTGAAAATTTTACATATAATGCAATTACTGTATTAATAACAAACAATATATAAAAATTTCTCACTTCATGCACTTAATCATAATTATAAATGTTGTATAAAAATTTACATTAAAGGTATATAATTGAAAAATTTATAATCACAGGTATGAAATAAATAAGTTGAAGTTATTTATTAAATATTTACGGTATATTGAAATAGTAAAGTATTACTTATGTAATATTTATATTTAATGTTTATTGTTAAGATTTAAATAAAGTTTAAGTTTTTAACTTAATTTGCTTTTCATTATATTTTAAAAAAAATAAACTAGTGTACTGTACATTAATGTTTATATTAAATTTTTTAAATAAAATTTCCTATTTAAATACAGTATATATTCTATTGTATTAAAATTTTCATTTATCAATTTAATGCCATTATTTTTTATGTTATGTTATAATAATGCAATTTATACCAATTGATCTATTATTAGACTAAAGTGATATTAAATCAGATTTATAGTATAATAAAGTGCACAAAAGTCAAGCGCTATCCCATCAATTGTATCAATCAAATGAGCCAATTGTGTTATTTTATAATTAATTATAATAAGTTAACCAAGGTCATTGTTCCATTGACTTATATTAGAATATATTTATCATCAATTGTATTACAATTATGGTAAAACTCAAAACATTGTTTAATTTTAGTTCAACTAATTTTGTTTCTAAAGTTTGTCATATATTTTTTAACTTTTTTTTATTGAACTTTAATTGTATTTTATTAAAATTTTTATAAATATATTGTATTTTTACTAATGATAAATTTAATATTTATTTATTATTTTTGCTACTGTTATATTAATAAGTTATAAACTATAAACAAATAATTTACTTTCTATAATATATTATAAAGATTATAATTAAAGTATCTTTGATTTATTATTATTTTTTAATTTACATATATTTATATATTGCTTATATAGTTTATAAATCAGAATATGACTAATCACAATTAATAATTATTATTATTAAAATTTTTTAAATGCCAATATATCAATCAATACTTACAAAGTACAGTACTTTCCTCCAAAAAAATCTCATTTTTCAGATTTAAATAAATATTATTTGTTGAGTAGTTTGACTCCAATGTATAATTACTTTTCTGATTAACGTTTGATGAAATAAATGACATTAAAATCAATATCCAATACATTGTCCGCATTTTTGATTAAATTATTTGACTGTATTAAATACATGTATAACATATACAAACATATATAAAAATGTGTGTCAGCGATAAAATTAAATCATAAACAAAATAAATAATTTATGTTTTTTTATTTAATAAACTTATTTATTAAAAATACTTTGCAATAGATTTAAGTAATATTTGGTAAAATTAATTAAATAAATGATTTCCCAGGACTGGCTGAGTCTTGTCTTAAAGCAATCACCTAATGTTATAAAAAAATATATATTAATATATTTTAAGATATGTTTTAAGTGGGAGACTATGTTTACTCTTGACTTTATTTGATAATCCAAAGCTCATGAGTCTCTCTATAAGTAATCATAAAAATTATTGTTATAATCAAATCATTTAAAAATAAATAGTGTTTCACTTCAATCGATATAACAAAACGTTTATTACAATAACAGAAACACTCCAATACTGTGAATGCCTTTTAAATTGATATTTAGTTTCATTTTCACTCTTAACTTCACTGAATTGAATTGTTATAAATTTTTATATAATTATTTAACAATTAAATGTTTGCTAAATCCTTATTGACGCAAATTATTATTTAATTTACGTTTTTACTTAAGCTTATTAATTATTATGTTATTATTTACATTTATCAGAAAATAATTTTTCAAGTAATATTACTATCACATCTAATTATATCATAATTGTCTATTACTATTGTACAGTACAGTACAGTATATATAATTTATAATGTACTGTATTTTTTTATATTAAATAATTAAATTTTATTTAATACTTATTGTAATGTTTCCATCAAGATATTTTTAGATTTATTATCCAATTACATAACAATTTAGTACATTTTAAGTAAATTTGTTAATTACAAATGCAGTATGTTTTTATTAACTTTATTATTAAAACATTAATAAAATATTATTAATAAAAATGTGAATCTTAATAAAAAAAAGTTGATGTTTGCATTGTACCAAATATAGCACTTTGAATACTAGCATTTTATTAATTGTAGTCATTAACATAGCAATATTTTTTTGTAAAATTAATTAAGACAATTACTTAAATTATTTTAATCTATCAAAATCTATTTGTCATTATATAAGATCAAACAAAAATAAATTTTGTTTAACATTTCCTGATTAAGACTTTTGACATTTGTTTTTCAGGTCAACATTTTTTTAATGTTATACATACTCATCATATTATTTAAATTTACATTAAATACTTTTATAATATAATGGTTTCATTAATGTTGTTAATTTTATTTTAACATTTTAACGCATTTCACATGTTTTACATTAATTTTGAAGCAAAATTAATGACTAATATTACAATTTTTATTAATAGATGGATTTATATAACAGTATATTATTTATTATTATGTTTGTATAAATATAAAACTTTATATGCCAATTTATTCAAATTATTTATATAATATCATATCATAAATAAAATTTTAATTATATTTATTGCAACTACTGCCAATACTAACTGCAATATTAAATAAATTATATGCAAACCATTATATTTATCATATTTTTTTAAAGGAAAATCACTTTATTTACAAAACACTTAAAACAATTTAATAATGAATTTTACCGAAAATAACCTAACGTTTACTCATATATGTAATAATCGCCTAAACAGGTGTCAATTATTTACATTTAACTTTGTTTTATTATTATTTATGTTATCGTAATATTATATTTTGCATATTGTATGGCATTAACCATATAATGTAAAAATGATAGACAATGGGTTTCAAAAATAATCAAATTTTTAGCGACAGTATTGTCACAGAAATGATAGTCACAAGAAATAGTAAGTCTAGTAATGGCTCTAAAGTTTTTAGCCGAAGAGTTAAAGCCAATGCCAGAGAACGGAATCGTATGCATGGCTTGAATGCCGCTTTAGATCGGCTCCGGAAGTATATACCCATTGATAGCATCACTATTGGATCAAATCCAGGTATTGATATTTTTACATTCACTTGCACTTCAAAATAATTCAATTACATTAAATTTATTTTTATTTTTTAGTTATTTTTATTTAATATAAAGTATTCAATTATTAAATATTATTTATACTGTATAACTTAAGTCAACAAATATGAAATGGCTCAAATTTTCAAAAGTTTGTTATTTTATTAAATTTTTATTTATTAAAAACATTTATACAGTTTACCGGTATTAACAATACTGTATATACAATTTAGTTCACTTCAAAAAATTATTTAAAGTTTATTTTAACAGTGAATGACTTATTATCAAATGCTATATTTAAAAATTAATTTCAAACACTATTGATAGCATAATATGATTTATTTGTATTTTTAATATTTTGTGATAATCTATATACAGTACAGTATATTGAAATATAATAAAATATACTTTATATATCAGGGTTGCTAAAGGGGGTAGGGTAAGAGCTCTTACTCCCCCTGAGATCGAGAATTTTTAGATCTTACACCCCCCCTGGTCTAAATCCAAAAAGTTAAGGGGCCCCTACCAATTTTCGGCGCCAAATGTTTTTTTCATCTATGTAAAATTTTATATTAAAAAATAAATATTAAATTAGTTTTAATATAAATTAATAGCTTATGTAAACAAAATAATTAGATTGTGGGAATTTAGTGGGAATTTAGTGGGAATTTAGTGGGTATTTAATGGAAATTTATTGGGAATTTAATGGGAATTTAGTGGTAATTTAATGGGAATTTATTGGGAATTTACTCAAATTTGGTAAAAATTGTTGTTTAAAAATGCAATAAAAAATGTTCACCCCACCCTATACCCCCCATGCTTTTTCGATATTTTTGCCATTTTACCCTACCTTATACTCCCCTGAAATCGAAAACCTTTAGCAACCCTGGTATATATATATATATACTCTATAATATAAAAAAACATATAATAATATAGAGTCTATATATTTCGTGTTTAAATTTTTTTTAGTGTGTCTGTCCTCTACTACTACTACTAGAGATGCAAATAAGAAAAAAATTACACTTTTAGCTCTATTATAGGTATTTAAACGATTGATATTAATTCTTATGAAAAATATATTGTATTGATATAATAGTAGAAATAAAATATAAATTTTTATACTTAAAGTTAAATATTTATTGTCTATATAAATAAGAAAAATATATAAAAGTAAAATAAATAAATATTACAAGTTATGTAATGTATTATTATTAAATATATATATAAATACATATATATATAGTGAGAAGGGTTTGTAATGATTCCTTCCCTCCTCTTATTTTCAAAAAAGTTCTCTGTGTTCTCTACTCACTGGAAATTCCTAGGAAATGTATTTCCTTATTCTAACATCTATTAAATCCTAAATAACACATTTTATTATAACGTTACTTCAGTATAAATGTTATATTAAACTTTATTTTTAGTGATATTGATAAATAAAATGACTAAATTTATGGATTTAAAATTTATTTTTGAATATTCCAATGAAATTTTATTGAAAATATTTGTTTTGGTACTATTTATTTTAATAATATAGATCATATTTTTTATTTTAACGAGCTAGGGAGTGAAAATAAAGTATTTTCTATATTTTCCGGGAAATTTGGAGAGATTTTATTAGGTAACTTCCCTCCCTTGTGAATCATTTCAAACCCTAATAATGACATATAATGTAGTGATAATATAAATATTTTTTTACTTTTAGTAACAGTTAGTAACAACAGTTTTTAACTTACAAATGAATCTAATTGTTTGCAAAATAAAATAAATGTTTTAATAGAAATTCAAAACAAAAAATTGGATTAAATGGTTTACTGTTAAGTGTGAATATTACAATTATTATAAAATAATTAAATATATAATAAATTATTGCATATTTTGAATAATATATTATATATAAATATTTATAATTTTTATAATTATAGGCAAAATACAAAAACTATCAAAAATAGAAACTTTACGTTTGGCTCGTAATTACATAATTGTTTTGACAGAAGTCTTGCGATTCAATGAATTACTTAATTGTCTGACTTTCGGTCGATTATTGTCTTACGGATTATCGCAGCAAACGGTTAATGCAATCGCATATCGACTTAATGTTCAACCGAAACATCTTTTAAACTGTGATTCAAATACTGTTTCTATAATATAATATCAACTTTATATTAATATTTAATTTTGTGCTAAATTTAATAAAAAACAAATATTTAGTTTATATTTTTAAATCTAATATTTATACTCTATTAATAACAAGTAATACTTTTTAAATATTTGTTTTGTTAAATTTTTTATGTAAAATACAGAATATGTAATATACAGTATATAATTTATATAACAATAGACAAATGTATTTATCATTAAAAAACACGATTTATATAAAGTTATTCTTTAAAAAAAATAATTATTATATTTAAAATATTTTAAAATACTATATGAGGTCAACTTAATTAACATGTGAATACAATATTTAATAAAAATAATAAATATTCAAATAAAATTACTGATTAATAATCAGCGATTATATTTTAAACTGAACAAATAGAAAATTTTATTATTTTTTGAAAATATCAATATCAAATATTATTTTATGAATTGCAATTTAGTCTATAATATTATTTCAGGTTAAAAGTAATTTAGCATATTTAAATTTTCAATTATCTAGTGTCAAAAAAAATCCAAATTATACAAGAACTCAAAATGTATTTAAACTGTATTCAAAATATATTCAAATATTAATACAATACCGATATTTTTATAAGTAATTTTTGAATAAATTAGAAAATAAAAAGTGAATAAATGAGAGATAGAAAGAAAGAAAGAGAGAGAGAGAGAGAGAGAGAGAGGTTTAAAATTTATTTAAGTATTTACTTAATTTCTATTTTACTTTACAGGCTTTAAGTTTATTGTTATAAAATTATTTGATATATATTATTAAAGTAATATAATATATTAATGATTTTTAAAAAAATTTTGAATAAATTTATAAGCTAGATAAACTAAATATCTTAAAATAATTTTTATAACATATTAAAATTATTGTATTACTATGTTATTATATTATATCATATTCAATGTTTCTCATTAATAAAATCTGATAATAAATAATATTAAAAACTAAGTAAATAATGAATGAATGTTGTAAAAATGTATTTATATTTACATTTTATTTTATTTACTCAATTTACTTATTTTTATACAAAAATAGTATCGTAATATGCAGTATATTTGTATTAATATATAACATTTTTGTATAAAAATTGAAAAATAAATTTAAGATATAATTCAAAGAGTATTACAACTTTTAAATCTTACACAAACTAATGATAGACATTAATGACATTTTAACTATAAATTGTTTTGTTATTTTATACATAATTAGAATATATAATATTTATTTTTATATAAACTTTTTTGTTAAAATTATAATATATTTAAAATTAAGTTTTTTTTAAAACTTTATATTATACTAATTACTTATAAGTAGAGATGGGCAAATAGAAATTTCTAGAAAGTTTCTCAGAAATAAATTTTTATAGAAATTTTACTTTATTGTTATTCTATAGGAACCTCATATAAAGCTATTATAATACTATATTATTGATAAATAATTTAAGCAACAATATTATGCAAATGGGATCCTTATATTTCAAATGAATAAAATAATGTTATTATAATTAGTTATAAAATTTATTCAAAATTTTATTATTTTTATTAATTGAATAATTCTGTTATCTTGAATGTCAATTAAAATATTTATAACAATATTTAGTTATAATTAATAAATTATAATATACTTTTACAATATAGCAAAAATTGAGAAAAAAATAAATTAAAATTGTGATTATATAGACAGAAATTTCTTTTAGAAATTTCTCAATTATTTTAGATTTTTTGCCATCACTTGCCAACACTACTTATAAGTTATAACTCATTAATTTAAATATTGAAATAAATTTAATCGCGAGATTAACGTATATATTAGTGGTTATTATTTAAAATTTTAATGAATGAATAAACTGTTGATGTTTTAGTAAATAATTTGACAAAAAGTGATAATAATAATAATAATTGTAAAATAATATGTTTGAGTCAAAGAATTGGTGGGATTTTATCATTTTGATCATAATTTGCATCATTTGTTTTACTGGACTTCTGCTTCTCTACTATTTTGTTATCTCTTGTCGTATCAAATCTCACGAAAAAAGTGGATCCGTTTCAAAGAGTGACAACTCTGGTCGACAATAATCATTCAATTGGTGATTAAACATCAATTATACGTGCAATACGTTGAATCAAATAGTCTTTTTTTTACACTATTTAGTTAAATATATTATTAAATGCTAAATAAGTTTATAATTTATTTAATAACTTATTTCTATATGCTCTTATTTAATTTAATTTTAAAAAATTAATAAATTTATGTTTTAAATTATTGTTTATTAATTAAAATTATAAGTAATTTTATACAAATTTTATGTCAATTATAATATTATATCAAAACAATCATATTTAATACATGTATAATAATTAAACAAAGATAATAATAATTTTGCAATATTATAATACAAACATATATTTGCTATTCTAAGCAATAAAAGATAACAGTTGCACACTATATTCATATATCAATAAATTACTTGATTTTAATTAAAAATATGATTTAGTAATCAAATATTCAATATATTTATTATCAACAATTTATATATTTATGTGTTTATCATATTTAATATTATAAGTTATTTTATATAAGTGTAATTTATATTAAACAATGAAAATAATAGCCACTTTATAATATAATATAATTTTTGTTTTATAATTTTTAATACATAATTCAAGTAATATTACTATAAGCATAAAAGTCTGTATTATTTATAACATCGAAGTTCTAGATTTCTTCAAAATATTTTTGTTTGTTTAATCAATACTATTATCACTACAAATAAAAAACCCAAAATCACTCTTTAGGTAATTATATGAAAATTTAATTTTCGCTAAGTAAATAAAAAATAATTAAAACATCAAACAACATTTTTTAATTTATCAAATTATTATTAACTTACTCACTCACTCACTCACACACACACGCACACACACACATACACACACACACACACACACACACACACACACACACACACACACACACACACACACACACACACACACACACACACACACATACATACATACATTTACCTCTTTACACTCATATACTAAAGTATATTTCTTAATTTAAAACATTAAATATGATATATTAATATAAATTTTGTATTATTTAAATGACTAGATTTAATGGAAAAAATCAATTTATATAACAATTGTTTAAAAATGAATTACTCATAGACTTAATGATGACTTTAAATCTACGATTAAATGCATTGAGAGTATAATAAGATTACATAAAATAAGTGTTAGTTTTGGACTGAAATATAGACCAACTTTATGGTAGAGCCCGGCTTCACAAATATCTCAGCCGGCAAACAAAAGTCTTGAAACTCAATCTAAAAATTGTTATCACTTTTATTAGACTTTAACATTAAATTTTTTAATTGAATACCTGTCCATTATCTCCAATGATACTTATTTGCCACATCATAGATTTGGTGTTACGTATAGTACTGATCCTATCGACAATAATACAGCTCAATATGGGTGACGACCAAAATGATATTAACCCATCTTCAAGATATAGTTTGTATGTTCTCTCAAATCTATCGGTTTTATCAATATATCATTTGGTATATACTTTAATTGTTTAGCAGATAACTGGAAAAATATATTAAAAAACTAATACTTACTTAATCTCTGCCTGTTTTAAAGCCTCCAAAACAGTCATTAATGGACTCACACTTATTGTTACTTCTCTTTTTTTTCCCTTAAACTCCACCAATACTTTAGCGCCGGGCTATCAATCAATTAAATAAAAATAATTATTAAAGTTATTGTATTCAAAGTAAAATTGATGAGTATTTTCAGTGAATATGTTAAACTAATTTTTTATGTATGAAAATAACAAAACTATTTCAATTATATTTCACAACAAAACAATTAATTTGATTATAAAGAAAAGCATTCTTACCGGAGGTTTAATATTTCTATGAGGAAGAAGAAAGGGTGATATATGTAGAGATGCCTCAAATGGTGACCAATTGTTTACCATTTTAGGTGATGAATGAGACTCCGTTGGCGGCAATGTATAAGATATTTGAGATCCAAAATCATAGCCATTATTGTTGTTAGTGTTTAATATTGGATGATATTTGTGACTAATTGTGGGAAATCTGATATTGTCTGGTATTTGGTTGACATTTCTCACTTGTGATATATCGGACTAAAATTAATCAAATTTTGTCAATTTTATATTTAGCCATGTTCAATTTATTAAATAAAAAACTAAACTAAATAAATAATATATTACTGTAAATAACATGTTTTAGATAACTATTTTAAACATTTGACAATTACTTGAAATTAAATACTTGTGTGTAAAACATTCAATGTTTATTTGTAATACAGTAGTAGTATTATAATGTGTTACCTATACTGTACTTTATATTATACAATATAATGATTTAATAAAAATAACTTCTTATAACAAGTTATAATATTGTAATTAATATTATATATAATGTATGTGTATATTAAATAAATATATTTAAGTTTAATTTTACAATTTAGTTAGTTTAATGGTGTTAAATATATACTGTATTTTATGGTATTATCAAAAATGTGAGATTGATTTTTTAAAATATTTATTTAATATATTTGTGAGCCTATCGTCACAATTGAATAATGAGTTCAAAATAAGTTTTACTAAACAAATGCAAACAAATACTTTTGTGATAACTATAAATATATTCAGATTTTTTTATTTAATTTAAATAAATATTAATGAATAGATATACTATTTTAAAATAACAATTATAATTTATATGTAAACAATGAGTTTTTTATTTGATTTTTAAATACTACATTTATCTTTATCTAAAACTGATTCAAACTCAAATTGTTTGTATTGGTTATAATTTTAAAATCTAATTGTAAAATGTATATTATTTAATATATTTTGAAAAATTGTGGTACGGCTATAGTCACCCATTAAATTATATGTATTTTGAGGTGTGGGTGAATTTCCTGATATACATAAAGTTATAAAATGATATAATGATAATACTACAGTATATAACTGTTAAGTACTAATATTTAATACGTATGGATGTGAAGGTAATTAAAATCAAAAATAGTTTTTTATTATTATTTTCAGTAATTTTTGCGTAACACTTATCGATTAATTTAATAAGTATAGAGCTCTCAAATTTAATTATTATTAATAATAACAATAATTACAATAAGACTGAAGTGATGCTCCAATTTTTGGCGCATAACTCCACCCTTTACTCCACACCATTGATAAGCAAAAGCATCACTTTTTACACACTTTTACACACTTTGATTAAGCACTCATTCATTAGGTGTATTGAGACTTATAAAAACAGATCACGTTTGTTGATAACTTATAGGCCATAATTAATAAAATATTAACTAACTATACAGTAAAATGTGTGACTGAATGATATTAATTGAACTCAAAATACTATAAACGTTTACTATAGTTATATATAATAGCAAGTTATAGAAATCTACAGTATTTAAATGTGATTCATGTAATTAAATACTTTTATTTCTAAAATATATATAATAGTGATCGTAAATTATAGAAATATATTTGTAAATTATAAATAATTTGTAGTAAATTTTGTTATAAAAATAGTTTTTATCTAATAATAAAATCATATACTTACACAATCTACATTATATTATAGTTAAACAATGATTAAATGACTACATTAACTATAAATTTTTTATTTAGATTATTTATAAATTATATTCTATAATACTATTTATTTATTAGCAAATTGGCATTTCTAATAAATTCATGTACTAAATATATAACATTATAAATCATTGAATAGTTCACAATTCAGATTACTATTATATTGTTATATGAAAATTTGTCAAAAAATTATAGATATTTTATTTTATATAATAAATATAAATAACCTCAGAATCTTGAGTTTGAATTTGAATTTGTTTGTCCTTAATGTTGATTTTATTGTTATTTGTATGATTGTTGTTGTTATCGGTATGATTATCATTGAGTGCTTTATTAATGAAATCGTTGACAAATAGTTGTTTAGTAGTCCTGTGTCTGTGAGCCGCTAACTCAATGGCTTTATTTAAAGCAATTTTATCGTTTAATAATCTGGAGAACTCTTCAATAGTACACCAATTGATTGATTTATTGATAACATTTGGGTCATCCTTTAAGACCAGATTTTCTTTTCTCTGCAAACTTAACTGTCCTCTCAATAATATACACGCTATGGTTAAGATTGGGTATAACATTACGGATGATAAAATTCTGCATAAATAATATTAATATATAGATATATAAATTATTACTATAAAACTATAAAACTATGTATATTCGTAGGTGTCATATTATATTATATTATTATACTTAAATACTTTGTTTTATACATGCTTTATACAGTATTTAAATAATAGATAATGTATATTTTAGTATATATTATCTCTATAATAGATATAACAAAAATATATTTTATATTACAATAAAATTTAAGTAAAAATTACAGATTATCAATAAATAGTTTTATAGATATACTATATTTTGTTAATATATATTATATTTATATATTCATATTTAATTTTAATAAAATATTTTTGAATATAATTTATATTTAAATTTGTAATAAATGTATTTGTAGTTTTTTTTACTATAAAGATGCAATTAATTTTTATAATTATGCTATTGTACATTAATTTTTAAAATTTATATACATGCAACATAAAAATTATTTCATTTAAAATAAAACTTTTAAAATTATATTCTGATAATTTATAATAAAATATAATAACAATTTAAAATTAACTAAAATTTCATAAAATTTCATATTGTATAAAACTATATATAGTACTGTATAAACATAATACTGAACTATATCTTTATATGATTACTGTATTACTAAAAAACTGTTTTAGATTTTAGATTTAACTCATATAGAAAATGAATGATTTTTTTATATAAATAAAAAACAATTTTTACAAAGGATTTTAAATATATTATTTAACTATATAAATAAATACAAAATATTTTTAAAGCATTATCTAATAAGTGCCATTATATAAATATATATTATCTTATTTTTAAGCATCTATATAGTATCACTTTATTTTTTAAGCACTCAATAGAAGATTACTAATACATACGAAAACAATATTGTAAATTAAAGATCAATTTTATTCGTATGTAAAGATATGGAAATAGAAATTTTTACTAAATAACCATGAGAAAATTTCTTAAAATAAAATTTTTGCTTTATTATTATATTAAAAGATTTTTAGATTGAGTAACATTACTAAAAATGTTAGAATTTCTAAAATTTCATATAAATTATTTTTAATTGAATGTTATGTGAAAGAGAATAAATATCTTACAAGATATGTGTTAAGTATTAATTTTGTTAATTTTATATGATTTAATAATTAATTAATTATTATTTTAAAATTAATAATAATATTTTGGTTTACTGATAATTATAGTGTATTACAAGTTAACTTAAATTAATAAAATAAAAATTAACATGGCGACTTCATAGACATAAGTATTTTTCTATTTATATATCAATAATTAAAAAATAAATTTAACCATTTTGATTTTGAGTTTATATTTTTTAAATTGCTAATGATATACTTTATTGTATTATATGTAATATTTTATTGAAATTATTCTAATCATACATAAAATTACATATTATACTTACAAATGAATATATAATACATGATATTATTAAAAAATTAAGAAAATATATTATTATACAATATTATAAATAATAACAAAATTTTTAAGTTGAATAACTAATTTTGTATACTTTGTAAATGATTATTGTTGTAAAATACTTTAATAATAACAGTTTGTCACTTGTTTGTCACAGTTTGAAAACTGGAGTTTTTAACTTAAACTTAAATAATATAATATATTAGGGTTAGATCAGATTCCATCCCTCGTTTTATTTTCCAAAAGTTCTTTATGTTCCCTACTCGCTGGGAATTACTAGGGAATCTGTTTTCTTGTGCTCAAGGGAGGAAAAATAAAATATATTCCATATTTTCCGGAAAATTTTGAGGGAATTTTTTAGGGAAGTTCCGTTTCTGGGAATGTTGATCGAACTCTAAATATACCCAATATTTAGCTAATTTTATTGTTAAATAAAATATTTTGACCTTTTTTTGAATAAATCCCTCAAGTATTGTGATATTTTTTATCAAGAATTTATTACAAAAATATGAAAAATTTTAAAAATTTTCCATTATATACTTAAATAATTTTAATATTTCTGAATTAAATACAGTAGTATTTCATATTTAAAATCTATATCATATCATATTTTTATATAATACTGAATTATATCAAATTGAATAATCTTTTTCAAATATATTTATACTATAAATTGAGTTATATATTTATTTCCTCGAAATTTCTACTGATTGATATCATTTAAAAGTTTTATTGTTTTTCTTTAAAAAAAACTTTTTACTTTTGCTTTTTAAATTATGTGCAAAAATAACATAATAATCAATCGATATTATAATATACTACATCAATAAAAACTAGGCTGTAGTACACTATATCTTTAAATTGTAACATAAATACTTAATATGTATTGTCATAAACAATATATTGATATTTATTTAAATATATTGTTTATACATAATATAAATAAATATTTTTATATTATGTATAATTTATAAATGTACAATTGGTGATGGATCAAGTTATTAATAATATATACTTATTTTTTGTATTATGATATTAACATATGTTTATATTATATATTTAAACTTTACTTAAACTATAATTGTCTTTTGGTTATTATTATATTTTTAGTTTTAAAAATATGATACTATATATGCAATTTTTATCTTTAGATAATAATAAATCAACATTTATGACAAATATTTAAACATTTTAAAAACTGATATAAATATATATACAATTGATATTTACTAGAATTCAATAATGTTAAGATTAAAAATACATTAAATTTGTTTTTATCTTCATATAAAATTTCATTATTCATAATTTTTATTTTTTTCAACTAAATTTATTTTCTTAGATATATAAAAAACTATTATTATTTTATAATACAGTAAATACATTATACTAAAAAATATATAAACTTTTAATATATTTTTATAAAGTTAAAAATTTTATTTTAAATTTTATGAATTATAAATAATAATGTACTTAAATTATACTAATTATATATTACTATATTGTATATTTTAAAAACTGTATATTTACAGTTCAACACAACTAAAATTAAATATACATTATCAAAATGATTTAAATATTAGTTATATTTTTCTAAACTATAACATTAATAAATTAAATCAATTTGTGATGTATTATAAAATTAAGAATAAAATAAATGAATTAAAGTTAAATATAATTATATAATAATATAAATATTTTAATTATTAAGATTACTTATATATTAAATTGATAACATTTGTTAAATTATAATAATAAACACTATTTAATGTATTTATAAATTATGTATATATTTTTTATACAGAATATACATATAAGTCTTAATATTTAAAATAAATTTTTATAATGAATTATAATAATATATTTTATATTTATTATAGTTAAGGTTTCAATAAAACAACTACAAAATTCCAGTAATACTAATAAAAAATAAGTTTTATACAGTGAATAAAACTTAAAAGATTTTAATTAAAATAAAAAATGATACTCACAAATATTTAGATAAATCAATCAATTAGTAAATAATATGTATTAAGTTGTTAAATGTTTTAATAACTAATATTAATATTTTTAAAACTAGTAAAAGAGATAATATTATGAATGAATAGTTTGACCGCTTTTTGAATGATGGCTTAGTTTGAAGTGAGATGTAGTCATAAGTGGGAGGAGAGACTGAGTCTGTCATTCACTACACTAAACGTCATATAAATTATCATCAAATCAGAAAACATTGTTTTCTATCCTCTGATTTGTAAATATGTAAAAATATTAAATAATTTTTTTAAAACAAATTGCTTACAAATTATTTAAAAGATAATTTATTAAAAATATAAATATAAACCATTTATTTGATAGAAATATAAAAGAATATAATTTAATTTTAAGTCAATGAAGATTTACAAACAAAATCAGACTTTTAGAAATTTTTATGAAAACAAATTAAATGTATAAAAATATAAATATCTATATACCTGTATATAAAATATATTTACAATATTTGCTAATAGCATCACAAATGTATTTCTAACAGTTTTATTTTCCTTATTTTAATGCTTTTTACTAATAAACTTATGTAATTGAACAGAATTTTGTAAATTTAGTTAACTTTTACACAAAAATTGTTATAAAAATAATAAAAGACATTTAAAAAATCCATTACTTAACCGAAGACATGGCAATAACAATAATAATGAATTTATATATTATAAACTGTGACCTATCATAATAAGAATTGAAATATTAAAAATAAATTTAAAAAATATTTTTTTTAATATATTACATTATTGCAAGTATTATATTACATAATATTTTTTATTTTACATAGTTTATACAATACATACACCCATTTAATATTTACTAAAAAACTTAATTTATATTCTATAATAAGTTATATTAAGTAAAGTCAAAATCACTGGATTCCGCTTAAATGTCAATCTATCGGAAAACAAAGTTATTTATTGTAAATATCATATTATTTATTTTCTTACAATTACAAATCTATTTAATATATTTTTTTGAAAATAAGTGATTTTTTTTATAAATTTTTCTATATTTTGGCTAAAATTGATATTATTAGATTTTATAGATTTCATGAAATATATATTATAATAATAATAAGTATTAAATCTACACTTTATTATTGAACTCTTAATTTGAATATTAAAACTTAAAAGCTTTAAATTTTATTATAAAATTGTATTAACTATATATATATTATATATATACAGTAGTTATATCAATTTGAGTTTAAATATTAACAATTTTATTGAATGTGACGATTGTGTAATCTAATAGATAGAAATAATTTGTGGTTAAAGATAGAAATAAAGTTAGTATTACTTAGTAAACTGATATCTTTATTTACAACTTATAAATGTCTCAAATAATATCTATGACTTAGAGACTGTAAGTTATAGGTTATTAGACAATAAAAGAGTAATATATTGTATAATACTGTATGTATTAATATTAGTAGGACTTGTCAGTAAATTATTTAACTTATTCATAATAGTAGTATTAATTTGATTGCACTGATAATAGTGATAATAGTGATTAGTGATCACTGATTACAGTAAGAATTTAACAGTAGTTTAGTATCAATATATATATATAATATTAGTGGGAGAGATAATTATGTAAGAAATATAGGAACTCATAAATATTATTTGTTGTAGTCGTGGGCTCAATCAGTTCATATACTTTACAATAATATACTGTAATAGAGTTCATATTTACATTTTATATTATAAATAATGTCAAATCGTATATTAAAGTCAACTTTTTTTTGGTCATTTAACCCGCAATCCAGTCTAAACTCAATACATTATTTTTTTATTGTCTAATTGTGTAATTTATTTTATCTTTAAATTTTTTAAACATATTTGTTTTATTTTAATTAGTAGTTATTTATAATTTTAAATTTAAGTGGGTTTTAGTTGTTCTTTAAGTTTCTATAGTCTCTATTGTTGACAAAAGATGTTTAGTTTATAATTACAAGTATTAACTATCAATAATTGCTTATTAGTGACAAAAACACATTTAAACTTTTATGTAATTTGTATAAAAAAATACAATTAAAAACAAATTTAAATTAAAAAATAGTATTAAAGAATATTTAATTGCAAAATAAAATAAAATACTTTAATAATATTAAAATTCATATATGAAAATCTATAAAAAATATATAGAACTATTATATTTTGTATAAAATTATTTTTTTACTAATAGATAAAAATACAATACATAAATAAATAGATATGAATGGTATAAATAAAAAAAGTTAGCCATATAAAAATTGCTAATAAAAACAATTAATTAATTAGTTGTATTTTGTTAATATCGGAGATATAAGTTATGAAAAAGGTTTGCAATCAAAAGGTATAAAACATAATAATTTTATCAAAAGAAGTGTTGAAACAATAAATTCAAGAAAATTAAATAATGAATTAATATATTATGGCACATATCAGGGACGATATAATACATGAAAAACATAAAACATATTTAATTGTTTATACAATCAAATTATTTTTAAATTCTTTTAAATGTTTTTTTATTATTTATATTTACTTATTATTAGCTAAAATCTAAGTATTTGTTTACTATAATTTTATATAAACTTATTTCACCAATTTTTATCTTCAATTTTAATTACTATAAAAATCTTGTCTTAAAATTAATGATTGCTAATATACGCCATATATTGCATATAATTTAAAGTTTTATTTAATTTAATTGAGACAAGTTTATCAAAGTATTAGAAAATTTTTATTTTTGTGAATTACATACAAAAAATAAAAAATCAATTGAAAAAATTGTTTTTATGTATGCAAATGTGCGTTTGTGTGTGTGTGTGTGTGTGTGTGTGTGTGTGTGTGTGTGTGTGTATGTGAATTATGCAATTTTTTGAAAATCATAATCTTATATTTACTATTTATTATATATATTATATTACATTTATATTTTATATTTATAATAATTTATATAAATTTATTTATATTACATTTAATTTTGATGTTTAAATTGTTGATATGGTTAAAATTAATATCTCTAAAAAATTCTATTTTCAACAATACATTATATTTATTATATTAATATCTATACAAATAATTAGACACAATATTAAATTGAAATACCTTTTGCCAAACAATAATATACTGTATTATGAGTGGGAAGACAACTAATGTTCTGTATATTACCTAAATTTGAATTATTTTCGATTAACGCATTCATCCATTAATTCTAAGATTTCAAAGTATTAAACATTATATTAAGTTATTTAATTCAAAGTAAATAATTATAATAAATTAGAAAATAGGTAAAGGGGTTGTTCACATATTACATTCACACTCTTTAAGAAACTAGACCCTTCTCTCCCTTATGTTCGCAATTATTCGCATGTAGTCATTTAAAAAAATTACGTTCACATGTCCCTAACCGCTAACCCCCCCCCCACCACTAAAAAATAAAATATCTAAATGCGAACCTTCTTAAGATCTCTACCCCATCCTTTCCCCCTCTTTCGCAAAAGTTCGCTTTGGCCCCTCAAGTGCGAACGTAATATGAGAATCACCCCTAAATAGAAATTAAAATAATGTACTATTGTATTGTATTTTGCAATACTATAAATAAACAGTTATTGACTTTAAAAGCAAATGTTTAATGTTTAAAAAAATTTAATTAATAAAAGAATGAGATTTTATGTGATAGATGTTAATAATACACTGTTAATGATTTATCATTAAAATAAGTAAATTAATTATAAATTATAAACTAAATGTTATGTAAATGTTTAAAAAAAATTATTTTTTAATTTAAAAAATGAGTTATTACATAATATAGTAAAAAATTTTATTAAATATTTTTTTGTGCTTTAATTTTATTTATTATATTTTACAATAATTGTTATTGATATTATTTTAAAATCAATGATTATTAAATTATTAAATAAATCATAAAAACAAGGAAATTATTTTTTTTAATTACCGGTAAATATCAAACTAAATTTAACTAAGTATAATTTAATATAATCAATTAAAAACTTTATTAATAAATAATTGAATAATTATTTTAATTTGTAAAAATTAGTTGTTCTAAATATACAGACTATATTCAGATTAAACTCAAATAAATTTTATTATTAATTACATAAATTTCAAAAATAAAACATAAAATATTATTTATATAATAATCGGAATAAGATTTTGTTTGAAAAGCTACACAAAACAAAATATTTAATAAAAAATAAATCGGACTTAAATTTATATCTTATATTAAACAAAATTGTTTGATAATATTGTATACTTAAATAAAGTAAACTAAATCTGAAAAATAAATTAAATGAAGGACTTATGGAGTGTTTAATTAAACATTGGACTTATATTTCATTTGTTTTAATGAAATATTTAGTTTTATACGTTTATAATCACTTTAATAAAATCATTAAATATAATTAAATATAAATAATTGTAATTATATAAAATGTTTGACAAGACCTATAGACCTATTGGTTTTTCAATTGATTAGAGAGCCAATCGAGACCCTCATAGAGACCATTACCCGAAGTGGCACACGTGGCCTGAATATACCAATTGCGGTTCCGCAATGAATGCAAACCCAACTTATCGGTGATCTCCGCCGCATTCATCGCATTCGGTAAATCCTAACAACAAATCAGTTAATGTAATGTAAATAACAAATAGTTTATTGTTTAACCTGTTTGTTGGCGAAAATCAAAAGTACGGCATCCCTGAGCTCGTCCTCTGCCAGCATTCGCATCAGCTCTTCTCGAGCCTCACCGACACGTTCTCTATCATTGGAGTCGACCACAAATATCAAGCCCTGTGTGTTCTGGAAGTAATGCCTCCAAAGCGGCCGAATCTTGTCCTGACCGCCGACGTCCCACACCGTAAACGATATGTTCTTGTATTCAACGGTCTCCACATTGAAGCCTATAATATATCAATCAAATTAATATAAGATAATATGTTGTAAACAATGTCAAGTGTTGATCGTACCGATAGTGGGAATAGTGGTCACAATTTCGCCGAGTTTTAGCTTATAAAGAATGGTTGTCTTGCCGGCCGCGTCCAGACCGACCATCAATATGCGAACCTGTTTCTTACCAAACATTCGCGTGAATAGACTTGAAATGGTCAAACCCATAGCCAATTGGTCACCGAGTGGTCAGTTTGTGTCTCCGAAATGCAAGAGTTGGCCAACAAATGCCTAATAATAATGAATATGAAGTCAAACACTATTTGTGGTGACGTTTAGCACAACTTGTGTTCACTCTATGTATGCTTTCATTCAATTGTCTACACAAACAACGTTACACTCAATCCATTCAATTGATTGTATTATTTATTTGTCTAAATTACTTAACAGTTATAATGAAAAATATCATATATTTTATAATAAGATAAAATGTTTAACATTTTTATTTTAATTTAATTACTGTAAACGATATCAAATTTATAACAATTTCAGTGAATTAGTTTTTAAATTAGAAAATAAATAGTGAATTCGTTAAATATATGATAAACTATAGTTAATGTACTGAATAGCAAATATAAATGATTTGGTCTTAGGTTTTGGTGGTAATCGGCAAATATAGTTTGAATTCCGGCGGCAACTCGTCCTCACTATAGAGTCTGTCAGAGAAGTATATACGTCTGAGACGACAATTTGCATTAATGGTTAATCTCTGTGTCTCCACGTAATTGGTTCCATACGCCCGACGGGTAAAGTCGGCCAAATTGAAGCCAATCTGATTCCAGCCGTCATCCAAACGCAAAGGCATCGTACAGATGAAGTGTTTGACGCGAGTCTGGCTCTGATAGTTGGACGCACGGAATCGCCGTCGGATCTGTTTGTCGTCAATAATCTCGACCTCAAAAGAAAAGTATTTCTTCATATTTTTAACGATAATCACCAGAAATGGCAATTTTATGCCCAAACTGGCCCTCGGCTGTGACGGACATGTGATATAAGTTGTCGACACATTGGCGCCCGTGATCTCAATCACCAAACTCTGGATCTCATTATCGGTAATGCGTTTAATCGATCCATTCTTGACTTTCTTGTCCCAAATCTGAAGAGGATTTGATCCAATGCTATAAAGTACTGAAAGAAAGCCACTTTGAAACGTGTTTTTAAACATTTATTACAAAACTGATCAAAATATTGTCAAATCATATGATATATTAATTTAATTCAATAAATAATAATTCAATCAATTGTTTTGTTTATTATTTAATGTTTGAATGCAATTCATGTTTCTATGACAACATAATAAGTTTTCATCAAATTTTTAAACACATTAGTATTATCACACTTTAATGTACAGTATTATACTGTAGACAATAATACAGCATTTTATAATAAATTACATTACATTAAACTAAATTCAATATTTTAATTCATCATAATTTTATACACTTTATAACAACTCAATATAGTTATTCATAGATTATCACTAATATATACATTTAGAATATTTAAAAAAACTATATTTATAGTATATTATTATACTGTACTACAATATATAACATTACAAACTGTTATAACTACAGTATTATAACTATTATTCTACAACTAGATAATCAAAAATTAATTAAAAAATATTTTATCCTATTTAACTTTTATTTCTATTATTAGTAATATTAGTCTATATTAGTAATATGATATAATATTTTGCGTCTAACAAAGTAGTGGTATTTATTATGAATAAATTAGAAATATTTTAGAAGTTTATAATTATATAAAACTTATTATATAATAATTATATTAATATATTACAGTACTGTATAATAGTGTTGTGTATATAGTCTATATTAGGTGATCCCTTAATATTATTTTGTATAATAAAATATTTGAGCATGCTAAAATAAACTTTATTTGATAAACCTTTAAAAATTAGTATTAATAATATTAAAACAATGAATTTGACAAATATTCAATTATTATGTTTATATACTTTGAATTATTTTTAATAATTTATTGATTTGTGATTATAATTGTTGTCAATTCATTTAATGTTAAATCTGTCGACTCTATGCCATATAAATTTTAGACTACAGTAGAGTATTAATACCAGTGTTGGCAGAGACAAAATGTTTGTATAATACAAAGTGTAATATACTGTACAGTATACAGTAATATAATGTAAAATACATGACCAATTTGGTTTACAAAAAAATTAGCGCCACCTAGTGCTAAAAGCATTGATATAAGCAAAGTAAATCATGTTTTATAATAAATATAGATTTAATATTATTTTTTATTAAATTTCATTTTTTTATTTTAAATTATTTGATTATTATAACTTAGAAATAACGATTATAATAATAATGCATTTTCTAGAAATTATATTTTTACTAAATATTTTAAAGTAATTTTTAACATAATATACAGTATATTAGTTTTAAAATTTGTATAATACATATAGTATTTTACTGTATTATACAAAAGTCAAAATTCAAAAACTTGTATTTTTCAAACCCTGATTAATACACACAATGTGTTACACAGTATTCAATATATTTATAACAAAATAATCGAAAAATGATAAACATTTTAATCATAAGATATTATTCATAACTTTATTATAAGTTTTCAAAGTTTTGTCAAATAATAAGTCATTTGTTTTAATTATAGTTAAGACCTAAATATGTCTTCATGTGAGTCATTATCACAAGAATTGCAGACATTGTTTGCCTTTATTGACCAAAATAGTGAACAATTCATTGATTTGTTGGCCAAAGCCGTCAAAATCAAGAGTATTTCGGCACAGAAGGACACCAGAGATGATACCATATTTATGGTTAAATGGTTTGAACAACAATTGCAAACCAGAGGATTGACCACTGAGTTAGTAGATATTGGTTCCGAACAATGGCCAGATGGACAAACATTGCCGTTACCACCAGTTTTATTGGCACAGTTGGGCAATGATCCCACAAAGAAAACACTTTGTGTTTATGGCCATTTGGATGTCCAACCGGCAGATATTGCCGACGGTTGGAATACTGACCCATTTGTGTTGATTGAATTGGATGGCAAACTTTATGGCAGAGGAGCTACCGATGATAAGGGCCCTGTTATGGCGTGGATTAACATTATTGATGCTTATCAGAGCACAGGTATTGACTTACCCATCAATTTGAAATTCATTTTTGAAGGCATGGAAGAGTCTGGATCTGTTGGACTCAATGAACTCATTATTGCTAAAGGATCCACTTTTTTAGCAAATGTTGACTACATCTGTATTAGTGATAATTATTGGTTAGGAAATACTAAGCCATGTCTGACTTATGGTCTCAGAGGTAACGCATATTTCTTTGTTGAGGTGAAGTGTGCGGCAAAAGATCTACATTCAGGTGTTTACGGCGGTTCAGTACACGAAGCCATGACTGATCTCTTAGCTCTGATGTCAAAATTGGTAGACAATAAGGGAAATATCTTAATTCCCGGTGTTTTGGATGATGTTTTGCCTTTAACTGCATCTGAAGAAGCTATGTATGAAAGTATTGATTTTAATCACCATTCATATCGTGAAGAAATAGGAACAAAACGATTACTTTTTGAGACAAAGTCAGAAATATTGGCTCATCGTTGGCGTTATCCATCTCTTTCAATACATGGCATTGAAGGCGCCTTTTCAGGTGCCGGAGCTAAGACTGTGATACCGCGTAAAGTGATCGGCAAGTTCTCCATACGGTTGGTCCCCAATCAGAATCCCGACAAAGTTGGACAACAAGTAATTCAATACTTAGAGAATGAGTTCGCAAAACTTGATTCTCCCAATCGGTTGTCAGTTATCAGACGTAAAGCAAGCAAACCATGGATTGCCAACACTGATAATGACAATTTTAAAGCCGCAAAATTAGCCATTAGTTCCGTATTTGGTGTGGAGCCTGATCTGACTCGAGAGGGCGGATCAATACCAGTAACACTGACTTTTGAAGAAGTGACCGGAAAAAGTGTTATATTGTTACCAATTGGCGGCTGTGATGACGGCGCCCACTCTCAAAATGAAAAGATTGACCGCAAAAACTATATTGAAGGCACTAAAGTGTTGGCCTCTTATATCTTTCATTTGTCAAAAAATTAAGATTTTTTTTATAGATTATTAACTGTTGTAAACATAATTTACTTATAAATTAAATAATACTTTTTGATACTTTTTAGGGAAGTTTGACATTTCTTTATTAGCTTTTATATTAAATAATTTTAAAATACTCTATATTCTAAAATAATTAAATTTAATATATCAATTTAAAAAGTATAATAATAATTAAAAAAATAATAATAATATAATAATAATAATAATATATATTTACCGGTAATTTCTTTGATTAATTTTTTTTTAATAAGTTGTGATTTTTTACAATTTTAAATTACTAGTAATACAAATATTTTTAAATTCATAAATTTTCTAAATAACTCATTTATCAGTATATTAAACAAATACCCGGAAATATCCAATTATTTATATTAATTAAATGCCAGTAAAGTTTTAACATATAACTAACGTAAATAAAATATAAACCATTTATTTATCACGATTTTTACTCGCATTTAGATTTTATGCTATTTGATTACCGGTATATACTATACTAAATAAGTTTATATAAGTTATACCGTACAGTATAACATTGAAAATTCAAAATTATTTGCTTACGGTAATTGACAAAATTTGTTAGTTAATAATTAATTAATAATTATGCAGTTAAATAAATTTCTAAAAATTAAAATTTTATTGATTATATAAATAAATTTGATTTAAAATTTATTATTAAAATAAAATTTTACTACTTTCTAAAATTATAACCAAAAAAATCTCATGCATTGAATTAAATACTGTACATACTTTTATCAATACATTAATATATCGCTTGAATTTATGATACATTTACGGTAAAAATTCAATAGTTTAATACTTATGCTTTAATATTTTAAGTATAAGAAATCTCTTTGAAATAAAAAATAACTCAACTTTGGTTAAGATTTATATAAGTTATACGTAATGTTGAAATTATAACATTATTTATTATTCCTATCAATCAATTACCATTATTTCCGTTTTGATATCCATTACACCCATTGGTAAGACTATCACTGAAAGCTTTGGCCACAAATGGAAGTACTGTTTCGGGACTAATGAGATGCACGTGATGTTGACCTTCGACTTGGATTAACTTAAAACTCTTACACTTTCGTATATATAATTCAATAAAGCGGTCATTTACTTCTTGAGGATCAAGTTTTACGCCATTTTTGGCTTTAATTATTATGAGGTGACACTCAATACTTTCGAGATAATTGTAAAGAGCATTACTATCCATACGTTGAAAAAGAACGGCTTTTATGCGATTATCTCTCGTAAAGTACTTTCCCTTTCTGTCTGCTGTTTCTTTGGATCCTCTCTTGAGTAGACATTGTGCCGCCTCACGAGTGAGCTGACCATATATGGCGTGAGCGTCAATCAACTTATTAATAGCAGTTTCTTCATCATATACCGGAGGTTTACTGTTCTTTTGTTCCAATGTTAAGAAAGCATTAATACAATCGCCGGTCCTTTTGGCCAATTCATGGCCCGGAAAACTCAATGGCTTTACCATATCTAAAGCTATAAGTTTAGTCACATTTTTGGGGTAAAGGCATGAATAGAAAAGACCAATAGCGGCACCCATTGAATGGCCTAATATTGTAAACTCGGACCACTTTAAATGATCGACAACCCTCTTTAGATCCATTAGAAATACTAAGTCATGATATGGACATCCATCCAATAAATGTGAAGATAATCCATGTCCCGGAAAGTCTAGTGCTGTCATTTGTATAATAAAATATATATTTTACCGGTAATATAAACTATAATATATTGACAATTACTTACCGACAATATATAGTGATTCCGGTAAAAGAGGGATCAGTGTATCAAAACTGCCGGCGTTGTCCTGCCATCCATGAAGTGCTTCAGCATAATATTAATATCATTGTCAATATGATTGTTACCATTTAAATCATATCAATCTCAAGTCAAATACAAACCAATTATTTTATTTGTGTGACGATTAGGATCACCCCATGCTTTGGCCTTTAAGAGGCCATAGGGAACCGGTATCTCAATTTCCATGTAATGTTTGGGCATTTTATTAACACTTTTCATACAACTATACCACAGATATCTTACAAGTATTACAATTGACAGATGTCTACAAATAAATGCATTCAATTAAATGATTTGTTTGAAAATAAGTGAAAATATAAAATCATTGAAAAGTTAGATAAGTGTTTGCAATAAGCCTTCAAATAAATTCATTGCCATTTCATTAAAACAAATACTTTAGTTATTTATTTACGTTAATTATTTCATTCAAATTACTAAATTATCATTTGATTTACTTTTAGTTAAAAAATTATATTTCAATTATTATTAACAATAAAAAAATAACACAAATTTCCTCAAATGGTTTGCATTGATAATTATTACATACATATTATACATACATATTATACTTAATTAAACAATAAAAATCAAAATATCATACTTTAAATACAAACAAACATTTAATATCCAATATTTTCATCTATTGTTACATATTGTACATTACAGTTATATAACTGTATATAAATGATAGTTTCAATTAAATATCTCAATACATATAATTAATGTAAAAATCAAACAATTTTCACTATTAATACATTGTTGTCACACAATATATACAACAAAAAGGATCAAAACATTTGCACTAAAATGTACTCAAAAAAGCACTGAATGAGTGATACTTTCATTGAATACATTATACAAACAAATATATGATATAATATACAGTACTTTAAGCCTATCGTATCATTCAATAGACATCACATGTTATGGAATGCATTGCAAAATGAACTCAAAGTGTGATGTAATCAATGCATGCATTTGTCATATCATTTGATTGAAACTATTTTTATGTTTATTATGTGTTTAAATGTTTAAATCAGTGATAATCACTTTAATTGACTATTTAATCATATTTTTATATGTTTTTTAATTAATAATTTACTATATATTAAACATTAATATCGATTACAATTGTTTAAGCAATTGTAAAATTAACTAAAAATCATCGAAAAATAACATTTGATAATCCATTGGACTTCAGGTTTTTATTATTATTATTATTGTTTTATTTGATAATCATTTAGTAGTATTGTTTAATTAACTATATAATCATTTGTCTAATCATTATTTTGTATTTTTAACATTTTCATTTTAACTTTATTACATAATTTACATATACCTATACCTATGATGTACTACCATTGATATACGTATACCTGTATATCATATGATTTATATGGATATTGATGTAAAATAATTGTTGAAATCACGTAATATATTAATAGTAATACTGTAGATGTAAATATACATTAAATATAAATAGATATTAAAATATTATATACATATTATACACTTAATATACATTTTAATGACTGAAAATTAGTCATTTCAATGAATACACACAATGTATATGGTTTGGGAAATACACTAATTGTCGAAAAACATCTACTATTTCCTCATATTTTTTAAATTTTACTAATTATTTTGGACTTTAAATTATTAAAAGCATTTTTTATTTGGAAAAAAACATTTAAATTATATTAATATAATATACATAATTTGTTTTATCAATTAATATAAAATATACAAAAATATTTTGATATATTGAAAATAATTGATGATATTTACATTTTATATTATCACTTTTGTGCTTTCAATAATTTTCCCAAATAATTATTGTAAAAAGTTAACATCCAATTTATAGTTAACTAGTTAGATCTCCACGTAATAAAATGTAGCATGAGCAACATGCATAAGCAATAGTTAACACGTGCAACAATACTTACGCGCTTACAGTTTATTATAAAAAGTATATTTTATTTATTTTTTATTTAATAAATTAAAATTATTAATAATCGCACATTAAATTTAATTGCTTGCGTGACAGATATTTACTACAAACATTTCCTAATTATATAGTAGTATATAGATTAACTAATATTTTAAATGTCATAAATTTATGTTAGAAAAATTATTTTAAATCATATATTTTTTATTGATCAAATAAAATTAAAACTTATAAAATCAATTATATTTACCATAGTTTTTATTTTATAAAAATTAGATATATTAAAATGTGACTATAGTTTAGGTAATGTTTAAAATTAGATGTTTGTTTGACATTTCTTATTTGTAAAACAAGTTTAATTAAAAATACAAAAACATCTAATATATAAAAATACTATTTGCTGTGAACCATAGCTAACTATACCTTGAATGCCACGCATATATTGGTCTCATTTATAACAATTCACTCATTTATTACTAAAGTTACGATTTATTGTCAAATGATATAGTTATATCATATATACATATTGTATATATTAAACATTTCATACATTAAGTTAAAGCCATATATTGTTAAGTAAATATTGCATATAAATTATTTAATTACATAATAGTCCATTCATACGGTACATCAAACACAATGACTTTGCTTATATATTGTAAGTGTTATTAGTTATATACTTATTTATTATTCATAAGTAAAATATACTGTATTATAAATTATTTATATACAGTATTGTCGATTTATGAAAAAATCTTATTTTTTATGTTTTATTTAATAAAAATAAATACATTAATATATTATGAATTTAATATTTTTCCTTACTGAAAGTTATTAATTTACTATTGACGATATTTTTCAAATTTGAGAAATAACTTTTTCAATTTAGTTATAAAAGTGTTGCTAAAAATCAGTATATCATATGTTTTATAAATTAATTGTATAATTTAAATTAATTTTTATGTTATTATACCATAAAAAATAATGAATCTTATCGGTATAAATTTTATTCACTTTTATTTGTTTAATTATTTGTTTTATTAATTTAAAATATCAAAATAATAGTTATTGTATATTACTATTTTTAGTTGAAATATATTATTTATTTGTATTATCTTTACATATATTAAAAAGTTTTTTTTGTCAGATAACAATACATTACTACTTCATGAATAATATTTTATATATTTATTTAATTTATATATTTAAAAAAACATAAAGCGAGACATAATATAATATGATTTTTTCAATAATGTTCAATGATTTTTCAATGTGTTTCGCGATTATCTATACTACTATATAATTTGGAAATGTTTATATATTTATATCTTGGTCACACTTTTGCGCGTTACAACAATTAAAAATGATTAAAATTAAAATAACGGTTAAATAAAAAGTATTGTTAATTAAACAGTTAGTTTTTTAATTTTATTATTGTTGCACGTGTAAAGAAAAAAAACATTTAAATTATATTATTGAACGCGAAATTTAAATAATTTTTTTGATTTCAAATTTTTGTTTCTTTACACGTTCTATACATGTTGCTCGGGACAAACTAGTTATTAATTAAATAAATATATTTATTTATTACTGTATATTACTAATAGCGTTGCGCGTGAAAACGTTGCTTAGTGTATATAATATACAAAATTAATAAATTATAATTATAGAGATTGAGATTGAGTGGGTGTATAAGAGAGAGAGAGAGAGAGAGAGAGAGAGAGAGAGAGAGAGAGAGAGAGAGAGAGAGAGAGCGGGTAAGATAATAAGTAGGTGAAAGTGAAACAAAAACAAAGTAAAATTAAATAATTTGTATATTTTATTTGTAATTTTTGTTAAAATAAAAAATATATTACTTTTTTTAATCACTTAAATAAAATGGGAATGAAATAGTTTGTATTAATTTGTATTAAGAGTTATAACTTATAAGAGATACACTTTTGACAAATGAAATATATTATAATTGAATTATTACAGAATGTCAGTCACATTATTGACATATCGGACACTTATAAGAAGTCGTAAAATATCTATGAAATACAATATATTGCCTCAAGTTTTACAAAAACAATACATTAATGATATGTCAAACAAAGTCGATGATAGTATCAAATCATGTGAAGTTAAAGAGTTAACATTTCCACTTCCTTATGGACAGTTAGCTGCCAAAGAATGGGGAAATCCAAATGGTTTACCAGTGTTGGCAGTTCACGGATGGTTAGTATTTATATAAGATTTCAAGTAATCAATAATTTTTCATAAAAATGTTTAAATATATTTGTTTATCTCTAATATTTAAAGGTTAGATAATTGCGGTTCATTTGATCCTTTAATACCTCACATATTAAAGCCACACAATTTGCATGTCGTTGCTATCGATGAGCCCGGAGTTGGCTTATCATCACATAAGCCATTGGGCTCAGAGTACGGCCGTTGGAATACTGTCCTTGAAATGAAACGAGTGATCGATGACTTGAAATGGGATAAACTGACTGTTTTGGGTCATTCACAAGGTCTGAGTCTGACATTCCCAATGGTCTGACAAAATAAAATTTAAACTCATATTTTTATACCGTATAATAAACTTGTATTTTATAGGCGGACATTATGCTCTACTTTTCGGAGCCATTTACCCTAATTTAGTTGAAAGAGTTATTACAATTGATATATATAAACCACTTACATATCATGGCACCAATTGGGCCAAAAAAGTGTCCAAAATAACAGAAATTCATATGAAATATGAGGGCTATTTGAAAGATGAATTAGAGAACAAATCGCGAGCACCGGTATATTCAGAGCCGGATGCTCTCAAACGTCTTATGGAAGGCCACGGAAACTCATTGAATGAAGAGAGCGCCCGAATACTTATGAAGAGAGGGGCCAAACAACTAAATAGAGGCATAACTTTTAGCCGAGATATTCGATTAAAGATCCCATCACTGGACCCCCCGCCCACTGACCAACAAATGACTCAATTCATGACTCATCTCAAGTCTGATCTATTGGTGATAAATGCTAAACAAACGCCTTATCAGATGCCTGAAGATGTTAAGCAACGATATTACGATGTATACCAACAAAACTGTCGTTATTTTAAAAATGTATCACTCGATGGTACACATCATCTCCATATGAATGATCCCATTCCTGTTGCAAATGAAATTAATAAATTCATTACCGAATCACTTGCATTACAAACCAAATCAAAACTTTAGTATTTTTAGTATTTCTGATTTATAAGTAAATAGATTTTAAAATATACTTTATTATATTTTTATTTATAATAAATTTATTTAATATATAGTATATTATACATATATATAGTATATGATATCTTTAATTACCAAAAATGACCAAAAAAGTTGTATATATTTTGAAATATATTCTTATAATTTGAATTACTGGTAATTCTAATATTTATTAATAAATTGTATGAACTACAGTAGTATTCCTGCAAAAATAAACTACAGTATAATAAAATCTATTGCAAAATAGTTGGATCTAGTTTTTTGGATAAACTACTCTCCGGAATATAATAATAATTTAGGTACTATAGCTGTAATTTATTTATGAAAATAATTTATTATTTTAATTTATACTGTTTTTATTAATTATTAGTTACATACTTTAATGAATTAATTCTGTTTAATCTATTACAGTCTATTAGTTTATTACAGTATTAATGTACTTATTATAGTCATTAATACAATTGTTTAAAACTCAATTTATAATAATTAATGAGATTTATTGTAAATATATATATTCACAGAGTTATTGTAAATTATAGAATGATTTTTAAAAATATATAAATTCTATTGAAATACAATATTACTATTTATTTTGAATGTAAACAATTTTTATGTAGATTTCAGTAAACTTTAATTATTAGTTCTATAAATAATATTTCGAAAATTATTAGTAAAAAGTATCAAGTAACTTTACAAAAAAACATATAAATTAGTATAAAATATACATAAAATTTAGAAATTTATTTAAACGATTATATTATATTTTATTATTAAAATCAATCAATTTTTAAAACTTTATAATTTTAATGAATTTTCAACAAATTGTTTCTGAATATTTACTTTTAATAATATATAAATAACAACTATATTTCTATATAGACTATACTGTATAGTCTATACAGCATTACCTGAGTTACTATTTATTTAATCTATTTATAAATTCTAACTTTTTATTTATACTAAGGTTTTTATGTACTGTAATATTAATATGCATTTTGTAAAATATTTTATTATTGTATAATCACATAAATTTTATTTTTTTATATATTTTAACCTTAGGACAATTCAATACAGTACAATACATATGAGGTTAAATACTATTGATTTTTTGTAACATTAATAATATAATTAAAAGTTTATTGATACTATACCATTTATATTAGTACAATAACCTATGTCATTATTTGCAAGTTTATAGAAGATTTATATAGACAAGACAATAAAACTAAGCATGTTCAATTCAATTTAATTTAATTCAATTCAATTCAATGTTACTTTTTTAATATATGAAAATAATTATTAACTCTATCTATAGTGATATTTGTTTGTTTTATTAATATATAATATTCTGTTTTATATTGTATTCATAAAACAATAATTATAGTCATTTTAGTTTAAGTCTATGGTTTATTGTGAGATCAAAACAAATACATTTATGAAATAATATTATATCCTTGAAATATAATGTTAAAACAGACAAATTAAAAGATAAAAATATGATAATATAGTACTTTTAAATCTAACTTATTGTCATGAAATATGCCTACACTTAAAGCAGACAATATAAAGCTTTGCATACTTTTGAATTCATTATAATTTTATTTATCAGTCTTTTCATTGTAAAAATACAGGTATATTATGAGTTATATTGTATTTTATTTCGAGATTTTATAACTCAAAAAACCTAGTTTTCCAACAAATTTATTGATGACATTATACGATAAGATAATCATAATTATTATTATTGTAATAATAATAGTAAAAGTAAAGATCATTTTTGTTGAATATTACGATAAATTAAATATTTATTTATTTGGTTAAGAGTTTAATTAGTCTGTAATAAAAAAATGTTACAAAAAATGAAACTTATTTAATATGTATACTTAATTAGAGTATATATCAAATATTAATAGTTAATTCAATATTATGATAATACTGTATATTAAGTATACAGTACTGTATAGTCTGTACATTACTATACAATTGATACCAATTTTTGAATTTTTTTCGACAAACATCACAAACAACTGTATAATACTATTGAACCCAAACTGACTGTAAGTACAGTTATAATAATTTGTTGAATACTTTTTTTATTTTGTTATCACATATAACCAAAATAGATATAAATATTATGAAAATGTTTAGTTAATGTGTGATAAATGATTGTTTAATTTTAATGGTAATTATATACAGTATATATTGTGATTGATTAGCTCATAAGTGAAGTGTTGTCTATAACGAGTGTTGACTGTAAGCCATCATTCAGTGCTTATATTGAGTTGTGTTGTGTATAATGTATTGAATTGAATGCTATTATTATTGAGTAGTGTTTTGAGTGATCCTTGAAGTGAGTGATTATATTCAACACAAAAGTCGATGAAATATACAAATAGTAATCAATTATTTTGTCATTAATTTTATCTTTTATTTTCAAATCAATATTCAAATCATTTATTTATTTTAAATTTTGATTTATATTTACATTATTTGTGATTATTTGTAATCAATAGTCTGATGACAAAAGTTTTACACAAAAATGTCTGAATTGATGGCAAAAGCTATGAATTGTAGGGAAAACCCATTGGTTTTGCATTTGTATTGAATATCATATCTCTTGTGGTGCGACTCAACCTCCGAGTCGGTCACTACTGTTAGCCATCACTCACATGGATGTGAATGTTGGTCTTCGTGTAGTTCGAGGACCCGATTGGAAGTGGTCTAACCAGGGTTTGTCATGACTTGATTTGACCCCAAACGACATGACTTAATGATTGTCTTTAATCAAACAGATGATGGCGAGGGTCACGTCGGTACTGTTGTAGAAGTGGGTCGTCCTGGCTCTCTGGCCACTCCCGACAAGACTGTTGTGGTTCAATGGGACTCCGGGTCCCGGACTAACTATCGGATTGGTTATCAAAATGCTTTTGATTTGCGAGTGTTGGACAACGCGACTATTGGTTTCCGACACTATAATATCATTTGTGTCGGCTGTAAGAAACACGGAATCGCTGGCATGAGATGGAAATGTTTGGTCTGTCAGGGCGTTGATCTCTGCACTCTTTGCTATATGAATGATAAGCACGACCTGAACCACGCATTCGCTCGTTTTGAGACCCATTCTTCTCCCGGGTTTGTCTTATATCACTAATTGTTTTAATTTTATATTTAATTGGTATTATTTGATCATTAATTTTGTATTCAGTGTCGAAATGTCTAAAAGGAGTGCTAAAAACAGTGTTAAGATTCAGGCGAGAGGTATATTTGTTGGCGCAAGAGTTATGAGAGGCTATGATTGGGATTGGGCTAATCAGGACGGTATGTATTTTGTCAACATTTCATATATACCGATACTGTAATAATGTTATAATTTTTTTTTAATAAAATTAAATTATTATCAGGAGGTGAGGGAAAAATTGGTAAAGTTATAGACATCCGCGGTTGGGATAATGAGTCCCGTAGAAGTGTTGCCAATGTTATGTGGGCTTCGGGTTCTACTAATGTCTATAGAGTTGGTCACAAAGGGAAGGTTGACCTGAAATATGCCCTGGACGCTCCCGGTCCTTATTATTATAGAGACCATTTACCATTTCTGGGACAAACTACTGAAGGAGCTAATCGTATCTCCATTACTACTACAGTACCCACTAATTCAGAGAACCAGAGAAATAACTGTCCATTCAATGTGGACGACAAAGTTAAGGTAATTATAGAAGATGTAAACGAATTGAAGGCATTACAAGAAGGACACGGAGGTTGGAATCAACGAATGGCCGAATTTATTGGTCACATCGGAACTGTTCATAGAGTCACAGATAAGGGTGATATCAGAGTTCAATTTGAAGGATGTCATAATAGATGGACATTCAATCCAATCGCTTTGTCTAAAGTTATATCATATTCTGTGGGAGATATTGTCAAGATTTGTGATGACATTAATAAAGTTAAAGAGCTTCAGAAATCTCACGGAGAATGGAATGATTACATGTCGGGTACTATTGGAAAGATGGGTAAAATAGTTAAAGTTTATGAAGACCACGACCTCAGAGTCACAGTGGACTGTCAAACGTGGACTTTCAATCCACAGTGTGTGTCATTAATGCCCGGTTCTGCCACCGAAATGAATAATACTATGATATCTCATCCGAGCAGAGAAGACACGAACTCTCGTTTGGGTAATCTTTTAGAATACGAACCATTATATGTGGACACTGCCTGTCCATCAACTGGTGATGTATCTGTCAAAGTGAACTGTCCTCCATCTTCGGCAAAAATTACTAAAGAGAACTTAGCGAGAGAAGCAGCTCAGGGACGCATAGAAAATGTCAAATTAATTTTTGAGAAGTACCCGGGTTGTGTAGATCATAAAAGTTCGGGTAAAACAGCACTTCAAGTGGCCTCACATCAGGGACACATCGACATCGTACGACTTCTTCTTGAATTAAATGCTGATATTAATCTTCGCGATGAAGAGGGAGACACTGCTCTTCATTACGCGGCGTTCGGAAATCAGAGCGAAATCATGGAACTATTGATTAATAAAGGATCGGACATCGATGCCGTCAATCGGACGCGTTGTTCAGCTCTTCATATTGCTGTTAATAAAAACCATATAAACTGTGTTCGCGTTCTTTTAAAGTATGGCTGTAATTGTAATCAATTGGACTCTTATGGTGACACAGCTCTACACGACGCTATCGGCAAACTTGAAAATCTTGAAATAATTGAAGCATTAATATCTTCTTCTGGAATTAATTTTAGTCTAAAAAATAAAAGAGGTTTTAATGTTTTACATCACTCTGCACTTAAAGGAAACCATTTCGCCGCCGAAAAGATCATAACAAAGTCTCGACAATTAGTCGATTGCAAGAAAGAGGACGGGTTTACAGCTTTACATTTGGCTGCCCTTAACGGTCACAACCAGATTGTCGAGACACTCATTACTCAGGGACAGGCGGACATCAATATCTTAAACAATCGCAAACAAACACCACTAATGTTAGCTGTGGGTCAATCTCATTGGACAATCATTGAGTTATTAGTGCGATTGGGCGCTAACGTGAACGCCGTAAACGAAGACAATGAAACAGCTCTTCACTTATCACTTGCCAAATGTCGTGATCCACCAAAAGCTGATTTAGTTGTAACCAATTCGTCGATATTTTCAGATGTAAGATATTTTTAATTTAAAATTTAATTGATAACTAATTTTTATTTTTCCAGTTATTGAATAAGTTATCTGCCATTGGTTTTGCACAAAACATAAACCTTGCGATGGCGTGCTTTTTAATACAAGAAGGAAATGCTGACATCACCACTAAAAATAAGAGGTCAAAGACAGCATTGGATATGTTAGAAATTGCCGCACAAATGGCTCAAATGGATCGCGACCTCGATTTGACCCGAACTTCTAATGAACCGAATTATTCAATGGCTAAAGATTTCATATTAAGTTTGGCCGACAAACGAATAACTCACACAAAGAACAGTCACGAGAGACCACAAGCTGTTAGTAACACTTGCGATGATGTGATTAGTGTGAATCCACCTAAAGCTCAGGCCGTCATCAGTAACAGTGAAAGTGTTAGCAGTGAAACATATGAAACAACTGAATGTATTTTATGCAACGATTTTGCGGCTTCCGTCACGTTTAAGCCGTGCGATCACACAGTAGTCTGTGAGTTGTGTTCAGTGAGAATCAAACGATGTATTGAATGTCACCAATTTATTAACGCCAAAGTCGTGGTGCAGACTAATAGACAATTAAGTGATACAAATATAAGCGACGATTCAATTACAAACAAACTTCACACTAATTCTAACCGAAAACACAGTAATAATAGTAATATAAGTAATAACAGCACTAATAGTAATAATAGTTTAAGTAGTAATAAATCAAATAATAGCTCAATTCATAACAATAATAAACATAACGATTCAAAAGTTAATTACGAAAGACTTAAATTTTTGGAGTCAAAGATTGCTGAGATCGAGGAAGCAAATAGTTGTGCCATTTGTATGATTCCCTATACGCATAATGGCATACTTAGGATGGCATTCCTCTGTGGCCACTCTGCCTGTTATAACTGCGCCTCAACTCTTAAAACATGTCATATGTGTAGAAAAACTATTACAAGAAAAATAAATCTCTATTAATGATAGCAAACCTCTAGTGTTCATCATATTTGTCGTCACTTAAGCACCTGATTACTCCCGAAAACTATTAATAATTACAAAATAATGTTATAAATTATTAATATATTTATAAATTATTATTATTTACATTTTATTAGATTTTTATATATAACATAACTTAATTTTAATTTTAAAAATTTCTAATATATATTTATTAATATTAATAGATTTATTTACAAATGTATTTTTATTAGACAAAATAAGTCACATTATTTTTAATTCACTTAACATTTAATTTAATGACTAATCAATAGACAAATACCGTAATTAAATTTATTGTTTTAACCAATTCATCAAAAAAATCTTTAAAGTGATAATCATATCACTCGTGTATTTCTTCTATATTTCATATGAAATTCATAAAATGCATTACATGTAAAACTATGTCAACTTTTATAATACACAATAAGTATCCAAAAATGCATACTTTTGGTACTAAATAATTATAATTATTGTTTTATAATAAACAATTATTACAATATTTGTATTTATTTTAAAAGTGTGAAACGCTAAAAAATGATAATTAACTACAATGAATGAAATGAATCTCAAAATTTACTCAATTTATTATTATTAATAATGTCTTTTATGTCACAATTGTGAATCAATTTTATAAATTTATATATTTCTGATAATTCATTACAATATATATTTGTTTATTCTTTATTATTAATTAAATACTTAGTTGTGTTGCAATTGGTTTTGTTATAAATCATTTGTTTGTTAAAAATATTTTTAAAAACAAGTTAAAATTATATAATCAATTTCTATACAATTTGTTTATAATTTAAACATAAATACCCACTTTATTTAAAAAAAATATTTGTTACGACATTAGTAAAAAAATTTACTTACAATTATTAAATTAATTTTTAGGTTTTTGTAAATATAAAATTTTAAACCATAACATATCATAGATTATGTAATGTTTGGTTATTTGAATAAAATGGTGAAAGTAATATAAATTGTTGTATTTATTTAGTAATTATTGCTATTAATTATTTTTTAATAAATATTTCTAAATTAGAGTTTAACTTTCAATTTATTTGATTTCAAACTAATTTAAAAAAAAGTGTAAGTTATTAAAGTTACTAAATAAGTATAAAGTTATTTGTTGTGAATCGTTAAATAAGCTGAAACTATATTTRACTAAAAATATATTTGAATAAAATTAGTTAAAAATTTAGACATATATTATATTTATTAGCAATTGAGGACATTATCCAATATAAAGTATTTTAGTTTATTATAAATGTATGAATCAATAGTACAACAGATATACTGTAGTAACTGATGTGTCATTGGATTGACAGCTGTGTTGTTGTGTTGTGTTGTGTTGTCTGCCGTTTGTTTGCAAACATTCATCACATGACTGTTATCTCTATTAGATTTAATAATCATTTAGTGATTAAATGTCATTAAATTGTTAAACATTGATATGAATGACACAAACAATTGATACAAACAATTGATAAAAATATCTTTTATTTGACGAGATATGCGACCATAAGTTGTGTCCATTCATTCATTTGTCACTAAATGATCACTTTGTGGGCGTTTTTTAAGTACTAAGAGAAGCAAATATCAATGGCGTGGTCTAAATATCAAATATTTTTGGCACTGCTTATGGTGATCACCGGATCCATCAATACATTGGCCACTAAGTAAGTCAAACAAGTGATAACATAATTTGATGAATTAATATCTTATGATTTGACGTAATGTACAGATGGGCTGATATAACCAACTCTGTGGGCAAAGATGGTAAAAGTAGACCATTCAATCATCCCTTTCTTCAGGCGGTTTCCATGTTTTTGGGAGAGTTGTCGTGTTTGTTGGCTTACAAGTTGTTGTATTTGTATTACAAACAAAAGGACTATACGGACGAACAGTTGCCGCCATCGATATCTGGCAGCCGTTCATTCAATCCTTTAATATTTTTGCCGCCAGCGCTCTGTGATATGACTGCCACTTCGCTTATGTATATCGGACTCAATCTAACCTATGCTTCGAGTTTTCAGATGTTAAGAGGATCTCTCATTATATTTACTGGTCTTTTATCAGTCGCTTTCCTCAATAGAAATCTTAAACATTACCAATGGATTGGTATCTTTTTTGTGATGACTGGTCTCGCCATTGTTGGTCAGTTACCTTATTAGAGATCACTATATCATTGATTTAATATAAATGTTTTTAATCTAAGGTGTAAGTGATATGGTTTTTGGATCACATAATGACGCCAAAGGATCTAATGGTGTCATAACGGGTATAATATTTAATATTATTATTATTATTAAGATATAAATAAGTTATTGAATAACAGGTGATTTATTGATAATAATGGCACAAATAATAACAGCAACACAAATGGTTGTCGAAGAAAAGTTTGTTTCGGGCTCTAATGTATCACCGCTTCAAGCGGTTGGTTGGGAAGGATTGTATGGCGTTTGTATTTTGTCAACTTTATTGATTCCCATGTATTATATACCGACGGGAAACTTGATATTTAAGAATCCCGATGGTCAGATGGAGGACGCTATTGATGGCTTTGTGCAGATATTTAACTCATGGCAGGTGACTCTCGGGTTGTTGGGTAAGTTAGAGTGTCTCATCAGTTAATGTGATAAATATGATGATTATTTTGACAATTTATAGGTACGATCATTAGTATATCGTTTTTCAACTTTGCCGGCATTAGTGTCACCAAACAGATGTCTGCCACCACAAGAACAGTGTTAGACTCTGTTCGTACGTTTGTTATCTGGATATTCAGTTTATCAATCGGATGGGAAAAGCTATCGAACCGGACGTTCATTCAAGTGACAGGATTTTCCATTTTACTAATCGGAATGTTTCTCTACAATAATGTTCTCATTCGACCATTTCTTATAAGTCGAGGTCTCTTAAGAAATAACAGTTCCGAAGCTATAGCGATACTTCAGGATACGGATGACACTGAAAATGCTATCAGACCAACAATGCATAACCCGTCACTCCAGAGGAATGAAACTGAAATCTATAGTTAAAGATTGAAGTTTTGTTTTAAATGATAAATAACTTACGATATCATAGTTTGCCGCAATTTGTAGCACTATTTGAATAAATTTTCTGATAATTAGTTATACAAATAGTTAGTTTGTATTTATAAAAAGTTTAAAATATTTAGACAATCTATTACCGTATATATACTTTGTATTTTATGATAATAAAAATATATAAATTTTATATTGACATTACTGTTGCATTTTTTAAATCTTATACTTACCGGTAATCATTTATCCACTACATTATCAATCATTTATTATTAAATTTGTTATAAATATTGTATTTAATATCTTATTCTATAAATTGTGTAATTATTAATTTTGATAATAACTGTAGACTGAGATAAATCTTATGATTTACATGATATGCAAATCAATTACATTGAATCGTTGATATTAAGCACTAATTGAATTAATTATTTTAATATTTATAAAATTGATTGTCCAAAAAATTATAATTATCCTAGCTAAAAATACTCAAATAATTGGAATACAATTATATAACCATTAAATTGTATTTTATTTAATGAAAATAAATTTTGAAAGCATTTCGTCAAATATTATAGATTTCATCACATTTATAAAAATCTTAAATAAATAAAAATACTCTAAAATTGTTAACTATTTATTAATTGATAACAAAAACAATTTTATATATACAATGGCTTTAATTACAGCATAATCAAGACATAAAAATATTATCTAACTTATAGATCTATTAAAGAAAATATTAATACAAATGACATTATTATTAATAATATAATCAATATAATAATGATTTGTTAATTATTTTTATAATTAATAACAATTGCATTCTCTGTTACTTAGTTTGATGATTCAAAATCAAACAAAAAATAAAATTATACATAAATTTTTATTATTATAATATAAAATAAATTATTTATGTTTAATGAAATAATATTTTGCGATTTTTAAGGTTTAAGATCAGTATTGAAAAATGATTTGTACATAAATAGGGAAGCATTAGTTATATATCATGTAATAATTTACACGACTTTACATAACTTTTTAGGAAATTATAACATTTGTTGGATATATTTTTGTTATATTATTAGATTATTTTGGATCTAATTTCAAATATATGAATAATATAAGGTCTATCAAAAATATATAAAAATTAAATTTAAATATCTCTTGATTGTTATACATGTTTTAATCTCGTTTGGAAACATAAAAATATAGTTTAGAAAAATTGACAATACTTAAATCTTATTTTTATTAAATATTGTAATATTTTTTAAGGAATTGACTATAAATCGCAAAAATATTGTTTAATTGTAGGTTATAATAGAAATAAAAAATAAAAACTTTATAAATGTTTTAAAGCAATTGTTTTATATTATACAGAACTACAGTATTAATATTGTTATGAGTTTCCAATAAAATTACTTAATTAAAGTTAAAATAATTTTTTTATAAGTATATTTTATACTATTTTATAGATTAAGACATTAATAATTATTGAAAAGACATTTAATTTAAATTATAGGATATTTTTAAAAATGCCTTAAATTATAAACACAAAAATTAGTTATATAAGTATAACATAAGTATGCATCAAATCATGAAAAGAAGATAAAACTTTATACTATACTAATTGGTTTTCATAAATTTTATAGTATAATAATATAATTTGTAAATAAATTGTTTAAAAATTTACAAAATTTAAACATTTAATCAATAAACTGAAATACTATATAAATAGATTACTTGAGTTATAGATAAATAATTAAAAAATTATTTATTTCTGTTTCTCGTTAAACAATACCTTTTGTTCACTGGTTTGTTGTGAACTAACTTTTCTTTGACGACACCTTTTGTTGTGTCCAAATGAGTACATTCTTTATCTGCTTTAAGTCCAACACATTTACGACAAGACTGTTGACTACGAGTTCGCTTTTCATTAGATTTCAATGGCGTTAAACTTCTTGACATTCTTCGAGTAACTGAAGAATTCCTATTAATCGAAAGTTTTGTCGAAGAAGTTGCTAAAGAAGTTGATGCAGAAGTTGTGGTCAAGTTTTTCTTGTTTTTGTTTACAATTTTTTCATTTGACATTTTTTGATTAATTCTTTCGGATTTAACTTTTTTATTGATGACCACAGAATTGTTTGCTTTATTAACAACAGAAACATCTGTTTTCGATAAAATCAAACTATTTTTTACTTTAGTGTCCGTTATATTTGGTGTCTTAAGTCTGAAGTTTCGATTTATTTCCTTCGTTGATATGGACTTTGATTTGATCTGATTTTGCATTAATATGGGACCAACTTTTGGATAATTAAACAATTTTTTCGGATCGATAATGAATTTGGATTTGCATTTATGAATCAAACATGCCTTACATCTGCCGTTAGGTTCGCATTCACTTACTTTTAAATTACATTTTCCTATTAATTATGAAAATTTAATAATTTTAAATATTTATCTATTTATTTATTATATACATTATATAAATACTTTAACAACTAAAACATACCAAGATTTTCACACATGTAATTCACAGGTTTAACCAAATACTTAGTATAAAATTTGGCGCAACCGACACAACTATAATACAATAATTACAGTATTATTATTAACGTTTTGATAACAAATATTTTAATTAATATAATTTAAAAAATGAATACCTGAAGACACCAAACCTTCTTTGTGTATATTTATAAAACTTAGTCGCACCGCATATTTCACATGTTATGAAACCCGATTTCATCGATGATTTAGATGTTTGATTCATTACTATTATTATATATTATAATCATCAATATATTGTTTGAAATATATACTAAAAATTTTAATTTTAATAAACAAATCATACCCTTTGACTTAGGAGTTAATCCTGACTTAGATTTAATGTTTTGTGAGGCAAATGCTTTGGGATTATTCTTCTTTTTGTTGTTCACTTCATTGGTTTTAGTTTCAAACTGTTGTTGCAAAGTCTTTAGACCCGAGGGTACATCAAAGGTAAGTGTTTGAGGAACTGATATATCGCTGTTTTGATCCCATTTTGGTAAATCAGTTTGAAGTGACCCAAAAAATGAGATATTAGTTGGTATTGGTTTGGGAGTTGAGTCCAAACAGTTATTAGACGAGCAATTAGTATGACTGTTAGATTTGCTTTGGTATTCACAATCTATATGTTTGGTTTGATAATGAATTTGTATGTCTGGTATTGTCTCATATATTACATCACATATCATACATCGATAGACCTTCAAATTTAATAATTAAATGCTAATTAAATATGTGCTAAAGTTAGTCAACAAAATAATATACTATATTTACCATTTCAGCAATGATTATGCCATTAAAGTCGCAAATTAGTGATTTTATTCCTGACATTATGTTAATTGCAGTGACATTACGTTCACCCAAATGATAGTGATTTTTTAAATTAACGTTCAAATTATCCATAGATTTATCTATATTTTGATATTTATTTAATTTGTCACTCGCTGTCACTTTTTGCTCTAAAGTTACCAAATATTAACAGATTATACAAATATAACAATTTAATAATCATAAAAAGTCAATTTTTATATTAATTCATTAAATATATAATTATAAATAAATAGATGTTTAATGATACAATTCAATAGTATAAAAATTGCTTAATAACTAAAATTTTATTATTTTTAAGAGTAACTTATAATGGAAATTTCAAAAATTAAAAATTTTATTTTAGTCAACTTAATGAATTATTTATAATATACATTTTCATAATCTACAGTATATTTATGATATATAAATTACATATTTTTAATTTGAAGTTTAATATGAGCTTATTAATAAATTAGTTTTTTAATCAGATACCAATGAGTATCATGGTCAATTTAGAATTTTTACAAAACTAGAGGTGTAATTTTAGAGTGAGTTAATTGTCAAATTTACTTATAAATCAGACAACAAAAATAAAATATGATAAATATAGTTAAGATTATCAAAAAATTATCGACAATCAAAAGTTAGTACTTTTTCAATCAAATTGATTGGAAAGGTTTTGAAATCGTTTAACAATAAATTTTTATCAAAAATTCTTTTTATATTAAATAAATATTAAATAAATATCAATATATTTATTTTTAATACAATAATTGATTTATTTGTAAATAAAATATAAATAAATGTAAAATACAATTACATACTCATAAACATGACTTTAATTAATAGTATATTCAATAACTATTAAGAGATAAGAACTGAGTCGAAGGTTTGCGTCCAATGAATGCATTGAATCGTTGGGTAACTTATATGTGATGTGACTATCGCTCAACACTTGTCCGCATTTGTCAATAATTTTGGTTAAAATTTGTCACAATTGTTACAAATTTAATAAAAATTTGTAAATTTCGATAATTTTGCTGATAATAAATCACAAAATTATAATTACAATTCAATAAATTGCAAACAAAATAGTGTACAATATTTGGGTTTTATATGCAATGAGAGACTGCGCTCACAAACACTAAAAATTGCTCGCAATTTACGATATTTAGCTATATTTAAGAGATACCCTACTTTCCAGTCACAGTCTCCCTGTTCTCTCTCTCTCTCTCTCTCTCTCTCTCTCTCTCTCTCTCTTTCTATTACTCAATAACTTACTTATGTTAGCACTGGTACTCCAATACCAGAGCTATAGGCGCAAGACTGACAAAGGTTTGGGTTTTGACTTCAGTTACCACTCGATAGCATACAAACACCTCTTTAAACGTTTCACTAAAATATCACTTAATATTCTGTGTTTGGTTTGTACCGCAAAACTTGGTGTGACATAACATTATTAGATACATCATTACAATGTTATATAACTTTCAATATGTGCTTTAATATAGTATATATTAAATTTATCAGTAATTTATCACTTTATTTTAATCATATTATCTAAATTAACCACATTTTTCAATAAAATTTTTTATAAATTATAAAATTTTAAATAATATCGCTAAAAAATTTCATATTTATTCCACATTAATTAATAAACTAAGATAATAAACTAAAGTCTATACAAAATATAATTATAAATAAATACCTGTATTTATAATATAAGTCTAACTTTAAATATATATATAATTTTTTAAATATTTTTTTCTATGAATTATTTTGTTTGAATAGATATTAGATAATAAAAAAGATCTAACAGTTAATTTATAGTTCATAATAACAAATAATTAAAATAAATTGTATTTAATTGACTTTAAAATTAAGTCTCGAAATAGAAATATTTTAAGAAATATTCAATAATGCTATTCATTATTTATGAATTAAATTTTGAAAATTCATTTATGCAACTAAAAGTTTTCTTATATATAATATTAATTTATCTGATTATTATACTAAAATAATTATAAAATAATTGAAAACATCTATTTTATACTAATTGTTATTTATATACTATATTTATCAATATACTGTACTTAATTTGCTATTATATTATATTATAGTAATTTAATAAATACTGTTACATAATTACTAAAATGTTTTTAATTAAATATTATATATATAGTTCGTATAATAATATAATTAATAATATTTTTTATTAAAAATAATTACTTGTAAAATATAACTATAATATATTTACAGTGCTTATCTGTATATCTAATTAATTATTTTATTTATACCGTACTTATTTCTCAACTATATTGTGTTATACTGTATTTAGTGATAGCAAAACAAAATATAAATATCTAAAATAATTGACAAATTTCTATCAAATTTCTATAAAAAAGATGCCCTTGTTAATTTTGATATTTCCATATTTTATTAACTTGTATCAATAAATTACAATTACAAATAATAACTAAATATTACAAATAGTGTTGGCAAAAAAGAGAAATTTCTAGAAAGTTTCTATGGGTCCCCATGTTAATTTTGTTATTTCAATATTTGTTATCTTGTAACATTGTTATTATAAATATTAATTAAATATTATTATTAGTATTTTAATTATTAATTAAAGTAAATATTAATTTATTTAATTATATTCAACTATAATATAATAAAATGATGAATAAAATTTTACAAAACTGATTATTATTAGATAATTATACTTATTTATATATGTATCCCATTTGTATAATATTATGTCTCATTAATATATTTATAGTATTTCCAATAACTATAGATATGGTGATCCCATAGTATAACAATAAAGTTAAATTTCTATAAAAATTTATTCATGAGAAATTTTCTAGAAACTTTCTATTTGCCCATCTCTAATTACAAAACACAAAATAATAATAAATCTATTTAATAATACTTATTTATTTATTTATTTAATTATGAATAAAATTTTAGAAAAACTAATTAGATAATTATATTAATTTTATATACAGTATAGGAATCATACGTTGGCTGTTATTGGTATTCATTGGCGCGACTTACTGTCTGGAGTTATTGTATTTTATAAACGATGAATAAAAAAACTACACAGCGGAAAAAACAATGACAACAAAAATAAATTTATTTTAAATAAGTTGAGATAAAAATACAATTATTAATATATTATTAATTAAAAATTAAAAGTTAACAAAAGTTTATTAAAAAATTAATTAAAAAATTAATAAAAGTTAGTTAAAAATTTAGATAAAAATTGAATTAAAAATAATGATAGTTTAATTAAACAAATTTTTCAATTAAGTCAGTCACATTTTAATTAAATAAAACTAATAAAATATTTATTATAACAATTAAATTTATTTAAACTGCAAACAATATAAGAATTATAATAAGTATATTTAAAAATATACAGTATTAATTAACAAACAATTGAAAATTTATATATTTATAGATCCTGTATCTCACATTACTGATGACTCATGTAATCTAATTAATGACGACGATCATGACAAGTATGATAATTTTTCATTTTAATCTTAATTATTTATGTTTTTATTATTAATGATTTATTTTATATTTAGTTAGACATTATTTATAGCTATTTGTATTTATATATTTGTATTTTTAAATATAAATTAATATTTTTAATTCAATTATAATCGAATTTTATTTCAGTTTTATTTTTTTGGCTGTGTAGTTATTTAATAGTTAGTTTATAATAAAACAATAGGTCTAGACAGTAAGTCGCGCCAACTTATTTTAATGATTTTATTTTTGTTGTCATTGTTTTTTTCCGCTGTGTATTTTTTTTATTCATCGTTTATAAAATACAATAACTCCAGACAGTAAGTCGCGCCAATATATACCAGTAACAGCCAACGTATGATAGGAATCCTATTTGTCTAGTAGTGTATTGTACAGAATACCTATTATTATAATAGCTATAGATATGTGGATCCCATAGTACTAAATATACTAAAACAGTATAATAATAAAGTAAAATTTCTATAGAAATTTATTGATGAGAAATTGATTAGATATTACTATTTGCCGATCTCTAACTGTATCTATAATTTTTAGATATTGATGTTTTTTGTATATAAATTCTTCAAAATGTTTTGAATTTTGAGAATTTAGTTGTTATTTAAAGCTATCTATCTATATGTCCGCAAACTCATTAACTTTATTATCTATATATAAAATGCACAACAAATAACTAAATTATTTAAATAATATATATTTAAATAATATATATTTAAATAAACAAAATGATTGTAATAAATACAGTATTTTTTTAATTATTAAATTAGTAATAATATGTACAATAAGTTGTTTGGTTGATATCACCTGGTTTTTGGTCACAGTTTTTAGTTGAAAATGCATTTTATAGATTCTTTAAGAATTTTATAGAACAATAATAATAAAGTAAATACAGTATTTATAGATAATTATTTATGATAAATTTTCATGGTCAAATTTATTAGAAATTTCTATTTGCTTATCTCTACCTATAGTACACATTATAATTAATTTATTTATTAAAAAAAAAGTTTTCTATAAAATAAGTAAAGTAAAAATTACTATATTTTACTAAAATCGCTAATTAAAAACTTTAAATAATGAATTTACTTATTTATTATTTATTCAATTTATGTAAAATGCAATTTATTTATTAGATATAATGTTTAGTTGTAAACAATTCTAAAATAGTATTTTTATTTTATTTTTACATAAGATAGTTGAATCTGAAATCAAAATTAAATGACCAAATATAATATATTTAAATATAACTTATTGATGAAATAAATAATAATATTATTTAAATTATTATTTTTTCATACTTTTATAAATTATTATATAAAATGTTAACGATTTGCAATAAACTTAAATAATTGTATTATTGTATTCATTGACAAATCGTGATCACGAAAATCGATAGCAAAGATGTTTCATCCCTGACATCAATGTCTTTATCAGTCATCGATTCTATGGACTGACTCGACTCAACTTATTTGCACCGAAAGGCCATACATTGCTTTAGTAATAATTACATTATAAAATAGATTATAGTTAATAGTAAATAGTTTTTGTTAGTTTTCCTATTATTAAATGATAAAATATTAAAAATGTATAAAATTATAGCTAATAAGTCGCTTACTTAGTCTGACACAAAGCATTTCTATTAAAAACTTTCTATTATTAAATAAAGTATTGAACGTAAAGGGATTACCAGAAAATTTTCGCGATATTTAACTTCAAGTATAATCTAATTTTATTATATAAGATAATTCGTATTTTATAATTATTATAAAATTACAAATCAATAATAAAATTTAAATTTTCGACTAATAGTAGAATATCTTAAAAAACTTGTTATAATCTCATGTTCGCACAGGAGCTACGATATCTCTAAAACTATGATAAAATCAAATTATATTAATTGTTAAAATATGATTGAAGACATATTTTATTTTTATAATATTAAAACATTTTAATAAAATAAACTTGATAATTAAATTGTCCAAATTTAACAAATAAAATAAAACTACTCAATTATTATTTTTTAAATTCTCAAAGTTTTATTAATTTTTAAAAATTTTACATTTATCTATCATATATATTTTATTAACTTAATTATAATTTTAAATATTAACAAAATTAATTTTCTCTTTATAATCATTTAATTAATTACTCCATTTGAATATTAATTTTAGCAAATTAATTAAAAAAAAGTTTAGCGAATAAAATGTAAATTAAGCATAAAAATCATACAAAATGTAAAACTACCGTATAGTACAGTATAATAATACCAAATAAACATAAATTGTTGTTTAGTTTAATTATTTTGTTTTTTATGAATTATATTAAATTACAAGAAAACTAACTAACTATTGTATTAATTTTTTTTATAGATTTAAATAAATTGAAAGTATAAAAAGTAAATTATAAATTACAATCGCTATTCAGTGTATTACACGTACAGTATATGTATTTATGTATTATAATAACTACTACTACTGTAACCATTAATTGGAAAATTTGATGAAAGCATTGAATGTAATGTAAGCACATGTGAGCCATAACTACAAACATTGAACACATGTTTGACTCGTGTTTTGCTTTCATTTAAATTGAAAATTTAAGTTTTATTTACAATCATTTGATACAATTGACAACAAGACAGACATTTAATGATCAACTAATGCCACGCAAGAAGAAGTTTACGCCAAAATCGGCTTTAAAAGAGCCGACGAAGAGGGTCGTGGACTCAGATGATAGTAATGAAGACTCGGATGACTTTGACGATGAGGTGCAACACTTCGACAATAAAAAACACAAACATTTGCTGCAAACAAGTGCTTTAGCTGAAGACACCACTTCTGATGAGGACAACTATGCCAGTGATGATGAGATTATGCCTTTGGATGACAACACAGATGATGATGAAGAAGAGGATGAAGAGAATAATGATAATCGAAATGAATTTGTCGACAATAGGTTTGGCATTGAACTGAAAAAGGATGAGATGGCCAGTGATCTCGAAGACAGTGATGAAGAACAGATGGATTCAAATGCGTGGGGAAAGACCAAGAATTTGTTTTATAACACCGATTATGTCGACAAAGATTTTCGAAGTAATTTCATATTAGTTATCAATTTATAGCAAATTGATATTAAATTTAAGATTTTTGTTATTATAGGATATAATCACAAAGACTCGGATCAGGCTCTTTATGAAGAGGAAGAGGCTCTGGCCATACAAAAACGTCTTTTCGAGTCAATCAATGAGACCGATGTTGGCATTGAATTATTGGTCGGTGATATCGAACCGAAAAAGACTTCATTAGATGAAACTAATGGCGAAAGAGATGAAAATGAAGAGAAACTACAAATAAATTTCTCTAATTTAACACAAAGAGAGAAATTAGAGATTTTAAGAAAAGAATCGCCAGAATTGGAACCATTAATAACAGATTTTAGGTGTTATATGACTGAACTTAAAGATCGACTTTTACCGATATTACAAGTTTTAAGGAAACAACACATAAATCTAACAGCTCTTAAATATCTTGAAACACGATATCATATTGTAATTAATTATTGTGTGAATATTTGTTTTTATATGAGTCTGAAATGTCAACGAATTGATATCAAAGAACATCCCGTTTTGAAACAAATTATTGCATTTAAAAAACTCTTAACTGAGATCAACTCAATCACTACAGATAATAGCAATTCTATTGATAAGGAAATGGATATTATTTTACAAAAATCAATGTCTAATGAAAAGATTAAACTAATGAAAAAACGAAAGAAAAAGCCAAAGACTGTCGAAAATGACAGAAAGAAAGTCAAGTTTTCAAACGAATTGAATGAAACTAAAGTTTCAGAAAAAACAACAAATTTGATTAATATTTATGACAATAATGAAGAACAAGAAACTAATGATTTAACCAAAAGAGGTATTACTTATGAAATGGCAAAAAATAAGGGATTAACAGCTAAAAGGAAGAAAGAGTTAAGAAATCCAAGAGTTAAACACAGAATGAAATTCAGAAAAGCAAACATTAGACGCAAAGGTCAGGTAAGAGAAACACGAAAAGAGTTACAACGATATGGAGGAGAGTTGTCAGGAATTAAGTCGAGTGTTATTAAAAGTGTTAAATTTAAATGATTGTCAAAATAAACGTATCTTTTATTTTAAATCAAACTTTATTTTAAATTAAATTATACTCAAAATAGGATATTAAAAATAAAGGACAGAAATAGAAAATTACATTTGATTTTTATAAATTGCTTTTTTCATTTGTTTTATAATATTAATGAATAAATGTTTAAAAATTCATTTTAAATATTAAATATATTTTTTTGTAACAAATATTAATGTCATATTCAGTATGTTTGAGGTGTGTTTGTATTCAATAAATTGTGTGTATTTGATATATACCGGTACTGTATGTACATTATACTGTATATATACATATGGTATATATGAATTTAAATTGACGTCAAATTATGTCAACAAATCATGATTAATAAGAATATATACTATTTATGTGTGTATAATATAGTATTACTAACTTTTAATTAAATTTATTAATAAAAGCGTTAATTAATTAACCCTTTATTAAAAACAATAACTTGGTTTTATTTAGCAAAGCCTCTAATTTAATGAAATATTTTATATATAATCGATGAGTCGTTTAGAAATCAAAATAAATATTTAATTCTAAACTGTTGTATATATGAGGAAATAATAATTATAATCAAAATAAAAACATTAATATAACCATAATTTATATCAATAATAATAATAATTAAATAAAGTCCAAAAAATTGTTTACTCAATTACCGACTCATGAGAAGCCTCACTATCTCATCTGTTAGACAGTAGTGAAAGGTGTGGTGTCTACTAAAATGAAATGTATTACGGGTTAGTCGAGAAGTTAGCTCTATGGCACCGCCTTTTTATGCAGCGCTGCTTTTTCACGTCATTGCCCCCAAACTTAGGTTTGTCCAAACAATACAAACATTGTCCACAGTCATCAGCCAAACAGCCGGGACACTCGCGACATCCAATTCGACGACTTCGAGGAACAGCTGTTCCATCTTCATTAAACTGCTGCTTACGTTTGCCAGAACCTCCAGGATTGGCCTTAATTACAATACCGTTTGTGGCAGGTTTAGGGGTTATAGTCAGTGGTGGTAATGGAACTGTTGTTGGGTCGTCCAAATTAATATTCATATTAATTTCTGTTGGATCCAATGATATTGGAGGTTCCTTCTTGATGTTCGGTTTTATTACCACTTTACTAGGCTTTGGATTGATCTTTATCTGAACATTGGCCGGAATCTGACTGAGACCACCCAATCCATCTCCACCGCCATCACTTCCGGGGGTTCGGTTAAATATTTTCGGGTGCTTTTTAGGATCAATAATATACTTTTGAAGGCACGCTTGTAATAAACATGCTTTACATCGACCGCCGGGTACATCAATTTTCAGCGAACAGTTACCTGATTGAAAGCAATCGTAAAATTATTAAATGTTTTTTTTTGTTAAATTATCAGAAAATACAAACCATTATTAGCACACGTGAACTTCGATGGCTTTAATAGATATCTGTAGAAAAACTTCGCACAACTTTCGCAACTGAAGACTCCGTATCGTCGAGATATGTGTGAATAGTATTTGGTTAGTCCACATACTTCGCAGGTCACAAATCCTCCGCCGACTCTCTTTGGTGACGGTTTAACTAAATTGAATAAAAATGTTATTGTCGTTTCAATTACCGTAATAGCAAATCATGAATTTAAATAAATACCTGGTGCTGGACTATCATATGGTGAACCAGCCATCATAAAATTTGAGGGCTGAGCGAAATTCATCGGCTTATTTGGTCTGTTATCAAACTGATTCATAACCTGAAAATTATAATATAAATCACTTTATAATAAAACTCAATTAACAAACATTTGTGGGTACAAACCGTGACTGAGTTGGTGGCGACCTGATTGCCATCCATTTCCTCATACATTGACTCTTCAAAGTTCATTGAGAGGTCATCTTCGTCCTCGAGGTCGCTGTCCATTGCCATTAATGGTTGACTTGAGTTCTTTTCGACGCCATTATCATCGATGTGCTCCATTTGATAGTGTCGTTGCGCGTCCTCCAGACCTTCATTAATGGCCGAACATATCATACACCGATAGACCATTTCGGCCACTATTATTCCGTTAGCATCGCAGACCAGCGACCGAATACCCGATTTGCTCGACATCTTGATATTTACCACGTCTTCACTTTCTATTATCATCGAAAATATTATCAAAATAAGTAAAACAATTAATCAAATGGTGGATCAAATCATTTTACTGTTGAATATAACACAACATATAAAACGTGGACTTAATTATTGACTAAATTTAGTTTAAATAACAATTAAATTAGTGATTAATTGAGATAAGCGTTGATATGTATGACAAACAATGTGTTTGAGGACTGGCATTGAAATCAATGAAAAATCAATAGAAATAATACTGAGATTTAAAAGGAAAGTAATAGAGATTTACATAAAAATATATATAAATATTATTTTAATAAAATAGTTGTCATTATTATAATGTTTAATAAAATGTAATTAATTTACCGATAATTTGGTCAAAATGTCGTCCAAATGGTTGTAAGGGATGTCGTGTAGTGCGGACTGTACTCTCTGTCTGCCTATAAATATAGGTCACCGCCTATTATAGAGTCCGTCCATTGACTGCACATCCCTTCTGGCCATTAGTAAAGTGAACGCGAATTACGGCGACGAACGACTCTATACGAGGCACTTATCGCCGGCAATCATATCAATATAAAGTACCAAATGTTCGACTAAAGTATTAATTACTATAACAGTCATACGGCTCATAACATTCAATACTTTTTCATATTACAGTCATATCATTGAGTCAATGTATTTGCCGCTACACTGCACTACCAGTGCTCGCATATATAGAGAGAGAGGGAGAGACGGTATACGCGAGCGCTCCTAACAGTAGTGCTCATACCATACCAGTGCCACAACCAATGCCAGCCAATCGCCGCCCGCGTCAGGAGTCTTACCAACGATTCAGTAATACAGTCATTCCAGTGCTGACTGACAGCCACTCACAAACACAACGCCGAGCCCTCACATACTGGCAGATGGCGAGCACTACACACACCCTGTGCTCCGGTCGGCCATATTATACACGGATGTGCCGTACAATCTTAACACCATCACTACCGACGCCCATAACATATAACCATAAAATACAACCAAAATTATATATCATTTGACTTATAATAACCACACAATCGATGACTTATTTTGCATTCACACAACAAATACCTGACCACTCAATGGACAGTCGTTTAGAAATAATTAAATTAACCGAAAATATAGACTTTTATTGTTTAGTTTGAATATATTTATCGCTTTTCTAATATAATTAATGCATTCATTTCAAACATTTTATAATACTTTCATCTGATTTACCGAAACTTTAATCAAACAAAACATTTAAATTTGATTTATAGTATTAATTGTATGGTTTGATTGATTGAATATATTGTTTATTGTAATCAATTCACTGATTGTTTAAAATATTATTAATTGTTATCTAATTTTAACATTATTTGTATAATAAAAAAATGTTTAATAAGTTAATGATAACTGTATTCTACTGTATGTTAAGTGTTGAATGCAATTGAATATTAAATACCATTGAATATGTTATGCAATAATCAATTGATTGTTTGAAATGCGCGGCCAATGTATCGGTTGATACACACAGAGGGCACCACTCATGACATGATTGAACTGATTTTACAATCAAATTACCACAAGAGCTGAACCATTCATATCATTGTTTTAAAGTTTAAACTATAGTTTTGATGATATCTTATGAAAACTGATCAACAAATTCAAACATTTGTTTTCAAATTAAACTAATATTATAGTCTATAGTCTATAGTAATTAGTAATTACTGACTATAGATATTACTGTACTGTATATAACAGATAAAATGTATATCAATTGAAACATTTATTTCTAAACTATAACTCTATAGTACTGTATATTAAGTGACACGAAATGAACAGCTCTTATAGTTGTTTGAATGACTTATTGATTGTTTAAACGATTGAATGATTTGTCACTCATTTATAACAACTGTTTGATAGAAATGTTTTGACATTCAATGAAATATTGAATTTATTTGTCATTTATTTAATCGATTTATTGTCCAAATAATTACAGAATGTCTTCCAGAAGACGGTGTATGAGTGAAGTCACCGATTGTGCCAAATGTGACACAAATGACGAATCAGATGTCAAACATACGAAAAGTGGTGATCAAAACAACAGTCAAATCCCAAGATATATAGGCGGAGGACGACAACGACGACACTCGGACTCACAATCCAAGAGTGGTGTCACTCATAATCATCAAACAAATGCTCACTCGTCTAACGGTTGTCTTATTCACGGAATTCGCTCATCAAATGATAATCTGTTGTATCAGATGTTGCAAACATTAGATTTAAGTAATAATCAAATACCGGATCAGATCAGAACCATACATGAGAACCATGTCTGCAGTAATATCGGTAAAAGTAGATCTGTTCCAACTTCTAAACTAACATCACGTCAAACGACTCCATTTTCAACGCCATCGACACCAACTGATTCACGAAGACTTTCGGCAAATAGAAGTACATTAAGTCATACATCTTCGCCATTAAGACAATCCAAATCATCGTTGACTATGCCTTCAAGTTATAGTAATAGGACTACGAGTCAAAAGTGAGATATCTGTCAAATATTATGTTAATATATAATAAATAATTTTATAATAATTATTATTATTTGTTAATATTTGTTAATATTAGGACATTTGCCGAATATATGCCATTATGTGAGCTTCAAAAAGGTCTACAAAAGGGAGAGATTGTTGAAGTAATTATTAAATTGTTTTTTAACAAAATTTTATATTAAAACGTATTATTAATTTAGGGCGTCTTGAGGATTAATCCACGCAACTATACAGATGCCTACATAAGCGCACCGGTAATTTTCGGTATTCTCAGAGCTTCTACTAATAATTATCAGTTATGACTAACTGTATCTTTATTTGAATTTTTTATACTATTTTACTATATTTTAAATTCTTGTTATTGCTTACAGTTAGTTGACTATTATTTTATATAATTTTGTTTAATTAGTTTATCACTACTATTTTGTTTTGGTAGTTATATTATTAAATTGGTATTTAAATTGATTATATAGGAGGGCGGTCTAGACATATACGTTGGAGGAATGATTGATAGGAATAGGTCTTTAAATGGAGACAAAGTGGCAGTCAAGTTGAATGAATGTAAAGACTGGAAGGTTTGATAATATACTGTTTTCTCATACTTTGGTTTAATGTAAAATTGGGACAATTTGTCTAAAAGCAGTGTAATTATAATTATTATATTACCGGTAGAATAATTATAATCTATAGTACAGGAAATTTAGACACAAACCATATATTACATTATGACAATGTGTGAGAAAAAGGCATAAATATTCATAACTATATAATTATATATTGATTATTGGTTTTTATAAATCAATAGATTCTTTATGACACTCTTCGTGTTAATTATCACGAATGGGGACAAGATTTGGAGGGAATATATTTAAAATATAATACACACACTAAAGAAGCGGTTAATTTAATAGCCAATTGTTCTAATAGTACTTTGAGTCACATTGAGATTATTGATGAAAATGATGAAGATTTAGAAGAAAAATCATTAAGTGTTAGTCTTAGTCCAGATTCGATTGATACTAAACTCAGCAATGATAATGATGTCAATGAAAGTGTTGTTAAAATTGATGAAACTAGTGATACAAAAAGTAAACCCAAGAAAAAAAGATCGCGAAATAAGAAGAAGAATAAAAGTGATGTCAAACCTAATGCTAATGAAAGTGTTGTCAATAAAACTGGAAAAGTTGTGAAAGTATTTGACGAATTAAGCAAACGAATTGACAGAATTCGTGGTATAAGTGTTGAGCATTTAATGGAAGCGTTATTTTGGAAAAAATTTATACAAAAAACTGGAAAAGTTGTATCGATTGTTGAATCAAATCATATCCGCATTGCTGGCGGAAAATTGACGCATATGAAGGACAAGAACCAAAATTGGGCTCTTTTTGTTCCCAATGACTCGCGATTTCCTCGATTACGAATACCAATGAATTTATGTCCGCATGACTTCTATTATCATCCGCAACACTATTCAGATACTCTTTTTGTAGCCAAGATTGAAGAATGGAAAACCACTGATCATTTTCCAAGCGGTTCACTAATAAGACAATTAGGAAATGCCGGTGACATAGATGTTGAAAGTGATTTGATTTTAATTGAAAATAACATTGAAAGTGAAGAGTTTCCCGATGAAGCATATTATGGTTTACCAAACATAACTGATAATGAATGGGAAGATTTAAACAGTCAGTGGACTATTCCTGATAAAGAGATTCATTATAGACGTGATTTCCGCAATGAATGTGTTTTTACTATTGATCCGTCAACTGCTCGTGATTTAGATGACGCCCTTTCCATTAAACTCATTGATGACGACTTGTTTGAAGTCGGTGTTCACATCGCAGATGTTTCTCATTTTCTTAAAGAAGACATGCCTTTAGATGAAATTGCCAGAAGAAGAACTACATCAATATATTTAGTTCAAAAAGTTATCCCAATGTTACCGCAGATATTATGTGAAAAACTTTGTTCATTGAATGCCGGCGAAGATAAGCTATCGTTTTCAGTGGTTTGGATGATCGATAAAAATGGAGATATTGTTTCGGAATGGTTTGGCCGCACTATTATACGATCGTGTGTTAAGTTAAGCTATGAGTTGGCACAGGATATGATTAATGATTCAAATCGTAAGTGGAAACCAAATGAATTGCCAGAAATTTATGGCAAGTGGTCGGCCAAACATATATCTCAATCTATAAACTTATTGAATGATTTGGCAATTAAATTAAGAAGACGTCGCTTTGAAAGAGGAGCTCTAAAAATTGATAAATTGAAACTTCATTTTGTTTTAGACAAAGAAACAGGTCTTCCAATAGGGTTTTCTCCATACATATATCGGGATTCAAATAAATTGGTTGAAGAATTGATGTTATTGGCAAATATGGCGGTCGCACACAAGATATACAACACATTCTGTGAAACTGGATTTCTTCGTAACCATCCGCCGCCATCAGAGGATGCGCTCCGAGACTTTAATAAGTTTTGTGATTATAATGGTTTTCATGTGGACACGTCATCATCACTGCTATTGAATCAAACATTAGAGACTATTGTTAATAACGACCCGAATATATCTCGAGTTGTGGCACATTATCTATTGAAAACTATGCAAATGGCCCGATATGTGTGTCCCGGTATGGAAAGCGCATCATTACATCATTACGCCCTAAATGTTCCGTTATATACTCACTTTACTTCACCCATAAGAAGATACGCTGATGTTATTGTCCACCGCCTTCTGGCGGCCTCATTGTCCTATTGTCCTCAGATTAAAGATTCGCCGACCGATTTGCATCGTTTAGCCCAACGTTGCAACGATAAAAAGTTGGCCTCACGTATTGTCAGCGAAAAAAGTGCTCACCTTTTCCTTAATTGTTATATCAAACACATCCATAAAATGGAAACTAAAGCCATTGTTGTTCAAGTTTATGACCATTCTTTTGATGTTATGGTCATTAACTGTGGTATTATTTCACGGGTATATGTGGATCCATTACCGCTCAAACAATTTACATTTAGTACAAAACATGGTAAAAATGAATTGGTATTGGAATGGATTGATAGCACCGATAGTTTACCTAAAGAATTATGTAAACAAACCATCACTGCATGTCTTATTGTTCGCATACAAGTGTCTGTCAATGAAGAGGACTCAAGTAAATTGAATGTAAGCTAATATACAATACAATAATACAGTATTTTTATTAATTTAATTTTTAATTATTAATTATTAATAGACTTTATTGCAACATCCAAATGGAAATTTCATACAAAACCAATTCATCAAAACAACTAATACTCAATCTATTAGTAAATCTTGAAATTGATTTTGTTATTAAAATGTTATTTTTTATAACATTATTTTTATTAGTTATATTTAATATAAATATTATGATTTTAATTTTATGTCTAGTCGCTGAATGTATTTTAGTGAATAAAATTATATGATATTTTGATATTTTAAGCTATCAATTGTTTATATTAAACCATTATTTGTTATTATTTTATTTATATAAGTAAATTAACTTTATATGACTCGTACAATGAGTATAAATTGTTAACACATTTATTATAAATGTAATCACTTGTTATGTGAAGGCACGAGTAATCAATTTGAACCTAATTTGACAAAAATATACAAATGTATTAATTTATTGTATACTATGTGTTTAACAATATGATTCCCAATTAAATTATTAAAAAGATATATTAAAACATAAAAACAAAATAATAAAATATGTTTAATGGAGTGCTTATAAAATGTCAACAAATGCTAAATTTGGGACAAAAGTCTTTTTCAAAATTATTTAATATAATAACATAAATATATATTTTTGTAATTATTCTGAATAATTGATTGCAATAAATGATTTTTGCAAAATTATTGCCAATTATAGTGTATATTATTGAGTAAAAGGAATATCTGATTGTTTAGGAGGAACTAAACCTTCAAAATTAATTTTATCGCCGTATTTGGCCAAAAATAACAGACTAAAGACACCCAAAAGGATACCAATGTTTTGTAATAATAAAATCTTAAATGTTTGAGTCATTCCCTGTTGGCGAGCGTTGTCGAGTGCGGTACTCAGTTCGCCCATCATATCTACCAAAGCTATGTAGAGAAACATACCGCTGGCCAATGCAAAGACATACGGAGCCGCATCAGCCAAATCACCCAATAAGATGCCAAACATTAAACCCAAATAACAGGTACAGGCAGATACAAAATTATAGCCCAGTGCTTGTCTCATAGTCATACCCGACGCTAACAGTACAGCAAAGTCTCCTAATTCGTGCGGGAATTCTTCACAAATGACAGCGACTGATATACTAATGCCTTCAAGAATGCTTTGAGAGAATGCGGCTCCGATAGCAATACCATCAATAAAATTGTGGAGACCGTCACCGAAGATGATCATCCACGCAACTGTCGCTATCTCTTGTCTATCAGCACCTGATCCAGTCGAGTGTGAGTGTCCGTGTTTAAAGTTAAATGAATTACTTCTACTTCTTTCTCTATTAATTGTATCTAAAATCATAGATTCTGAACGACTATCAGCTGTTGAAGTCTTATCCATTTCATTATCTAAATTGTTTTCATGACTAGAAGTGATGTCATTTTCTGTCAAACTATCGATGGCAACACCATTAGCTTTATTATCATAATCTATATCTTTAAAGTACACTTGTCTGTAAACAAATGAGATAATTAAATATAATTAAATGTGATATCAATGACATCATACTTATGTGACACATGTTTGGGCGGATCAATCTCAGCGCTGGTACACGAAGGGATGGATTGGATATTAAGTTTCCTTTTCCTTCTAAACTCGACTACCATTTTCATTATACGTTCGGACCAAAAGAAGAGATAAATACCACCAAATATAATGAGAGCTTTCCAGAGATATACGTGAGAACCGCTAGTATTTAGATTGAATGCCTGAGGAATTAAATGAAATATCGCTGAACCCACTAAACTACCGACAGCTAAGCCTTCAAATAAATTCAATACTAAATCGTATGTCTTTTTGGTTAAAAGTGGTAGTATTCCGACTCCTATTAGGGAACAAAAGCTGACAATTGTGACAAATAGGATACCAAACCCCCAAATAGCACCAGAAGTCGGACGGTTCAGTGTTTTATAATGACTTTCTCTTTGTTCTATACATTGATGTTCTTGAAGTTGAAACAATATAAGTGGACACAAGCGGACAATTGATTGACTTAGCAGTTGTTGAGGAACTGGACTTTTATTGGAACTATCGATGAGTTCAATCAGTTGTTTGGATGATTTGCATCCCGAGGCCGCCTCACATATGTTACGAATTTTTTCAGAAGTAATATTTGTCTGCCATTTCTCTATCAGCCGATTGTCTATATTATCACAACTTCTGGTATCAAAAGTGCTTAATGACGAGGAATTAGTGATATGTTGTATAAGTTTGTTATCCTTCAAGTTCTCCAAAAATCCCAAAAGCTTAGACTCAACATCTTCTTCATCATCGTTGGCACCAAAAGTATCACTATTTAAACCAAAAATGGTTTCATCCTTCTTGTGTAAGTTGTTGTGAAAGTAATTATATTTCCAAAGAAGAAAATATGTCAACACTTCTATGTCTTCTAATGAACTTAAAGTCACTTTTGTATCGACTGTCGATACAGTTATCATCATTAGACAACTGATAGACAAAACAAGACATATTGTCAGCAATGGTCTCATACTTTGTTTAGTCTTAAAGTTGATGTCAAATATGTTGATCTCATTTGAGAGTCGATCCGTCGACCAAACTGTTTGTCCATTAAATAAAAAAAAAAGAGAAAAGCAATCAAACAAATGGTTAATCAGAGAACACAAGAAATGCCAACAAATCAATTGCAACTCAAGAAATACAAGACACAAAAGCAAACATTGTTTGGTGTCATCAGACAAATACTGATAACAATTAATTAAAGATAATATCAATGTTTAACACATAAGTTAAGCTCTAATGATGTTAATATCATATCAATTATAATACTAACACTTATCTCATTAAATATTTCATTCAATTACTAATTAAACATATATTGATATATAAATACATATTTTTATATATAGTGTATTAATACAGTACTGTATATCAAACGCTTCAAAAGTAAGAATTGTTTTATATTACAAGTGATTTAATTTCAATATAATAAATAAATGTTTAAATAATAAACAAAAATTGATTGATTACATGCAAAATTTTAAATTTATAATAACTTATAGCATTACAAACAATTAATTTTTAAAGACTTTAAAACATTTCAATATATTTTACATAGAATTGTCAGTAAATTATCATAAAATAATAATGTTATCACATAATGACTATTAATATCATCAAAACTATTAGTAATCAAAATATTTTTAGCCCCATATTTATCATTCATTTAAATTTACAGATAATTTTAAATTTCATTACCAATAAATTATTTGGATTTAATCATTATTTCAATATATTAGTTATCAATAATAGACTTATCGTATAATTTGTATACAAATTATTTGACAAATTCTTCAATATTTTTCAAATTTCTTTTTAATTACTGATTTTCACTGATTTTCACTAATTTTCATATATAGTCAACATTTTTGTGTAAAAATGCAAACACTGTGTGTCGACACCAGTCAACAAATGTTTATTATTTAAAAGTATTTTAAATAAAAAACATAATACCTGTACAGTGTATACAATACCTGTATATTAATTGTAATACTAATGATGTAAAACAAGATTTTGATCTAAAATGCAAAGAAAAAATTGACAAAAGTTATACTAATTTATAGCTAATATTGAGTAATAGTAAAGTACAGCACATGTTGTATATTATGTATTATTTGACAGTATATAGAATATTCTGATATTAAAATTAAATATTTTAATACATGATTTTGTTATAACTTATATTAAATTATTATTATTATTTAGAAATAGTGTCCATTAGAGATAACAAACTTTTTTTATTTATTTAAAAAATAAGTAAAATAGTAATAAAATAATATATTTAAAATAAAATTAGAATATTTTCGAATAATTTCGATTGAATAAAATGTTCTTCAAATGTTAAAAATATAAAATATTGATTATTTAATTACAAATTTAACAAATATTATTTATTTAGAATCGTTTCTTTATAATTAATATTTTTTTAAATATTTTTAAGTATTTACTTTTATATGATTTTTTTTATAATTAAATTTATCTATATAATGTAATTTATAAAAGTTATATTACTAAAATTATTTTATTTTTTATCCCATTATTTATATATTTATTTTATTACATAACCTGATCTTCACAATAATATAAAATATTATATACTGTATAAATGCAAATAAAACAATATATAAAAAGCAAAAAAAAATAATTGAAGATAAAATGAATAACAGATACAGTATTTATATATCACAGATATACTGTATTATAGATATTGTGAATAATTGTAAGTTTTTTCTATATAATTATGAAAGTAATGTTTAACGAAAATTGTAAGCAAACGTTAAAATGCGAAACAATTGTTTGATATAATTAACAGACGTTAAGAAAAGCAATAAATGAAAAGACTGTTATTCAGTGAGAGGTTGTGAGCGGTAAGGGGTGTGACTTTCCCACGGAGTCCACAGACACACACACTCTACAAGATTGTAGTCTTATAGCTCATGGATTGTGAGGGCTGTGAGTGATCACAGTTAAGGATTCATAGCTCAGGGGATGAGGGGTTGGACCACTCTATTCAATGTATGCCAAGTATATTGCGAGCCCTGTCTGCGCTCCGGTGAACGTCTCTCTCTCTCTCTCTCTCTCTCTCTCTCTCTCTCTCTCTCTCTCTCTCTCTCTCTCTCTCTCTCTCTCTCTCTCTCTCTCTCTCTCTCTCTCTCTCTCTCTCTCTCTCTCTCTCTCTATGTAAAGCCACGCGTCTATGACCACCCACTGCTTACTTGCTTGCTTTTATTTAATATGAGAGAGAGAAAGAAAGAAAGAAAGAAAGAAAGAGACTTTAAGATTGTAAGCTTTGATTGGACTCATCTTTTTCTTCTTCTTGCGATTACTTTTTATTCACACTTTAATACTCAATACGATCGACAAGTTGTGAGACTCACCTATGGATTGGCTTCAAGTAATGACACATTGAAATACAATTTTATTATATTATAGTTAATTAAAAGTACTGCAGTTGTGGTCTTTAAATATCATGACTTAATAGCTTTGAAATAATAAGTTCACTCATCAGACACACCATTAGATTAGTTTGAGGTAAACGCTAATCAAAATGATTTGCGCAAAAATTTCCAATTAATTTATAATAACTTTACACTTGATGTTCAATTTGACTATTTCTATACATTAAAGATTTTGTAGATATAATGCTGTGATTAGTGGCGCAGTCATTGTTTTAAGATATGCCGCACCACTTGTGCTCCGTTGCTATTGTGTAACAAATGATTGCAAAAACTTTTTTCCCACACTTTGTAACAAACGTTAAGAGATAATGAAATTCATTCATGTTTTTCATGGCATTACTTTGCAAACCTTTCGGCAAATTTTTAAGTTTTAGTTTTTATTATTATATGCTTTATTATAGGTTAAAGAGAGCTTAAAGTCTGATTTATAAAAGTCTCTTTTGATTTGACTATAAGTAAAGTATAGTTTGATGTCATGGCTCACATATACTCTTCAAAGATAATTAAAGGAAATTGTCGTCAATTACTATATCATAATGCAGTGATTCGCAGACATTTCAAGCATATAATAGTAGGACTATGGCTAGTAATGATTGTATAATATATTTTAATGGTTTTCATACTTAACTATCAAAATTATATTTTGTTATTATATCTCATTGTTACAGTTAATATCAATATATTTAATCAGTTAAATATTATTTATTAAAATAATTAAAACAAGTTTTTATGAATTATATTTTATTGAATTTATTTTATTTACAATATAAATTTATATAAATATATATGTCTATTGCATTTACTCTATGATTTAATACTATATAAAAATATACATGGGTTTTTTATTTTTTAAAACCGATTCTATACCACAATGAAAGTATTTGGGCATTACATTACATATATAAGCAAAATATGTATATATTTAAAAATATTTAATAAAATTATTGCTTAAATAAGTAAAGTTAAATAAAAATATAAATGAATTAATAAATAATAAGAATACAAAAATAATGCATTGAAAAAATGCAAAACTTAAGGCACTTAAGGTAAGCCAAATGATAAAATCATTAAATATTATATATGCTATATATTATATATGATAGTTATATTATGTTTATACTCTCTCTTTTAAATATAAAATCTTAAAATTAAGGAACAATTGTAATGCAAAAACATTTCTATTTTCAAACAATATTCATAATTCAGAGATCCATCTGAAAGCCGTCTTTGAATTGCAAGCAAACTATAGTTTAAGTTAGAGATCATTATAATAAAAGAGAGAGTATTTGACATGAAATTAGTTTTATATATAGAATCGATTTTATATGAAATATATTTATAACAGGAATATAAATATAAAAGAGATCTATAATAATGTTTGATTATGGGTTACAGTGAGCACCTGTATGCTGTATGATCAGGTCATTACCAGATTACCAGGGTCTCCATACACTATCACTGTTTAGAGAGTGATGTGCACTACCGGAATGCGACTCAAATACCATATCGACGTCTTGTTCACTTCCCGAAGGACTTAACTGTTCACTGGTCGCACTGCCGACAGGACTTATTGAGCTCTGACCCAATGGTGATTCAAGATATGAGTTATGACTCCACGAACCAGTTGATCCATGTCTGTATGCCATTCCTGATGACTGATTTAGATTATGATGAAATGACATTAAATGACTATTTATTGGAGGAGAGCATTGAAGCGGAAGAGAAAATGTGAAGTGAGAGGAGGCGGTGGACGAAGCAGACGACGGAGGTGTTTGCATATTGACTTTGCTATCGTGTGTTAGTCTAGTTGTCATCATCGGTGATGTCATATTGTTATTGATGTCACCAGAATTAGAACAAATGTTTGTGAGACCAGAGTTTGGGAAAATTCCTGCAGCGATAGCAGCCGGCAATGGTATCTGAACGTGAAGTGGTGTATTGGATGAGGCAAAGGGTGGGTTCATTCCCGGGAATGCATTGCCACTTCTCGATGGAGTCGCATATGAGTTGGATGTCATATTTGCCGCAGTGTTGATACTTTGGACACAAACATTCAAGTGGTTAACTACTCTTTGTCGGAGAGTGGTGTCCACACCATCAATACGATTAATATAACGTCCAACTTCTGTAGCGCATTCATTAAAACCGGCTCTATATTTGTTAAGAACACTTGGATCAGTTGAGATAGCGGTTGCCATTTGTTGTCTTTGAACGCTCTGTAAGTGGCGGACAGTCATCTCAAGAATATCTGCTTTTTCCAGCTTTGAGTGACGAGACGGGTCTTTGTTGAGAGCATCAAGAATAAGGACTTTGAGTTCATTCAAAGAGTTGTTGATTCGAGCCCTTCGTTTCTTTTCCATTATTGGTTTTGTTGCCTATAATTAATAACAATTTATTAGTAAAGTTAAAACACAATCAAAATTTATATCAAAACTTACTCTTCTGTGTTCAGAAGTCTTAGAAACTGTTTTGCGAGGAATATCAGTGGTCTGGGAGTCAGCACTCGATGCCATCGTTGCGGTCATTGTTTAGAAATTGTTTTGATTTCAAATCAATTTTATAAAAAAAACTTTAAATAAAAACTACGAAAAAGTTTCGCAAACTTTTATCAACTGTTTTGGAGTTGTCTAAGAAGTGACTGTTCTGTTTGGAAACAAGTCGTTGAATGTTATGTTAGAGTATTTGCAGTCAAAGTTTTGCTCACTTTGGTCGACATGCGTGGCACAGACAGGCCAGACATGGGACGGCATACCTACACATCAAACAGTACTTTACAACTGACTCTTTATCAATAGCTTCTTAGTTTGTTAGGGGAAGAGACCGCTTATCCTAAGAGGCATTTAAGCTGTGAGGGGGTGATAGAGGGGGGACTGGGGGTCCACACAGATAACTATAGTGTGTGTATGTGTTGTGTGCCGAGTGTGGGAATGTGTGAGAGAGAGCACAGGCATGAGGTCAGCAGTGAAGTGAAGCGCGCGACTCAGCACTAAGTTCTTGGGAAAGCTTCTCAATTCACTTTCCCACGAGTTTTGAACACTGAATCACATCTACACCTGTAGTGTAGGCATACATACAACACTATACACTACACACTACTACCAACACACACACACTGGCACACACACCACATGCACCCAACCAGCCATCACTTCACATCAAGACGTAATTGCATCTGCCTGTGCTATAGTATGCCTATGCTATGCCAGTGCTGTGCTATGCTATGCTATGCTATGCTTATGCCAGTGCTATGCTATGCTATGCCTGTGCTCTGAGAGCTCAGTGATTCTCACGCCAGCACTCGAACAACTAACCAGTGCTGGCATTACTTGACATATAGTGCAATGTAATGCTATGTTTGTTAATGTTTGTAGAGTTAGTGAGTCTATCTATCGCTGTATTGGTACGCGTGCCACAAGTGCCACAATCATATTACTTGCCTCTCATTGGTTGTACAGCCCGTGGGAAAAGTGTGGCCGAGAATGTGAGCACTAAAATAGTGATTCCACTGATTGTACTGATTGTCACCAGTATATGACTATTGACTATACGAGTGCCAAATGCATAGGCATTCACTGCATTACCACTACTATTATGCCCTCAGGAATGCTATCCCATCATTGAATTCACTTTGCATTGCTATACACACAATGTTTTACAATGCATTCAATTTTTATGAATCCATTACTCTATCAGTCCATTGCATTGAACAATACATAATCCCATACAAACATTTCGCTATAAAAATGATAAAATAGTAGTTTTTTTGGAGCAACAAAATATTTTTCATTTATTTGTGCACATAGTGTACACTGTAGTTGTACTGTAGACAGTGTAGAGCACAAACAGTTTTATTATTAGTTTTCACTTTTTAACAATATTTTTTAATCAAACCAATCTTGTTATTAAATTAATTATTTCAAATCATTAGGTTTTTATTAATAAGATAATAGTTAATAAATATTGTATTTTCTATATATATAAAGTTTTTTAATTGTAATCTTTGCAAATATTTTAGCTATATTATTTTCAAGTTTTATAATAATTTGCATATAATTAATAATTTTAATTAACAATAATTTAAAACAACTTTTTGTCTTAATACAAATCCCTTAGTTTTATTAATGCAAATTTAATGACACATCATTTTATAAGTTATTGTATTAGTATTTTATAAGTACAATATTATATATGATTTCATAAAATAAAAAAATTATTAGTTATCATAGTTACTATAAAATACATATAAACTTACAATAGTTATTTAATTAATAATTTATATATTTTCATTAATATTAGAATTTTAAGATTAACTGTTTTAAATTGGTATTAAAATTATTAAACAAATATTATTAATTATAATATAATTTTGATTTAACTTATTTATTTAAATGTTAAAGTCAATGTCAAAACTTAATTATTTTTACAATTAAAAATTGATTTTTGTATTAACCTAATTGTGTGAAATACACAATAAGCAAAATTATATTAATTATTATTGTAAGTAAATTATAAATTAACTAAATTAATTATTTTTAAATATTATATCATATGAACATAAAAAAATATGAAATATAATAGTAATGTATTTGTAATATCTATAGTTTGCAAATGAAACTATTAATAATATTTCATTAAAAAATATAAGTAAATAAACATATAGTAAGACTAATCAAAATTTTCACACAATATCTATAGCAATGTCTAATCCTTTATTTAAGAGTCAGTCAGCCGTCAAACTTAACACTAGTTTAATCAACACATTATCACACAAACACTTTAATCAAATCAAAACCAACTGTTTCTTATTGTTTCCTATCATTAATGCGAATACCAATAGTACTATTATTTTATCAAAGTTTATCAATAAATAAAATTTACTTATTTTGCAATATACTAATTAAATATAAATTAAATTTATTTACATTTTATGAAAACAACAATTAATTAAATGAAATTAGAAATAAAATAAGAAAAGTCCAGAAAAAACAGAATAAAAGAATTATTGAGAGAGAGATGTGTTAAACAATTTTTACTGAATTGAAATTGTATTATATTTAATATAATTTAATAAAATATTATTATATTTTACTGTATCTACAATTGCTACTACTTTAGTGTACTGTATATTAAATATCTTAGTTCTTATTTTTAAGTAATTTTGTTTTTCACTTACATTAATAAATCGGTAAAAATATAAACATAAATAACTTATTAAGTTAGGAATTGATAATACAGTCCATAATAATTATTGTACAATAAGGTACAGTATTATAAATTATAATGTTATACAATGTTTAATCTTTTATATAATACGGTCTAACAATTATTTGGTTACACATTTGGTTTTCAGTTTCAGTTTAACCCAAACTACAGAGTATTTGAATTTATAAAAGGATTGATTAATCGATTTGAAAGTAGAAAATATTATTAACAGTAAAGTTTTTATTTTAATACTAATAATAACCTTATTTTATGGGTTTATAATTTTATTTTGGTTTTAATATTTTTTAATTGTTAAATATTTGCATAATTTGGTCGTAAATGACATCAATTGATATTAATATATGGGTAATAAAAACTGTGGTTTAATGTATTGTAAGATTTAGTTGATATAAATTAATGAATTGAATACACAATACATTGAATTGTGTGTTGAATGAGATTGTAGTGAAATCTATTGACAGAAACGATGCAAACAAACAGTGTATTCAATAAACATATGATTGAAAACAACAATTCTTGTTGTTTTCATGTTTTTCGTGACCATCGCTGACACAACTTATTGTATTAATTGATAAGATGGCCAACAAATCACATACCGATGTAAATCTGTTTCCCATCGAAATACCCGCTTCTGTCAAATCACTCGCAAAACTATTGCCATCAATGGATGATTCACTTCTTCATCAGATTTGTGTTTTATGTAAACAATATTTGAAAGACAAGTGTTTCGATAGTAAAGGATATCTTTCGGTCAAACAGACGTGTCTTAGCAATGATCTGTTGGACACAAAAAGCTTTGATGTATTAGTCAATGCAATACTAATGCTTGCTATCAATTGTCATAATAATTACCACTTCTTCGACTCGCATCTCATAGAAAACTATTTAATAAAAAGTCTAAATTTGAACCAAAAGTTTGTCAAACTATTTCTGAATGATTTATTTGACGACAACATTGTTGGTGTCGATGGCAAAAGTTTTTCAGTTACCAGAAGACAGTCATATGTCTTGCGATCGATTCGATGGCGAATTGATGTCTCCATCTCTAACCCAATGGTCTCAAGAATTATGGAACCATTGATAGTATTTGAGTTGAATGTTATGCTTAATAACAGCTCTGATAAAGACTTGTTTGTCGAGAAAGTGGTTGTCTTTGAGTGCAAAATATCAGAGTTTCATAAATTGCGGTTTAATATCGCAAATGTTGTCAATCGACTCAATCAAATCCATCTTTAATATCATTTTATTTAAATTAATAGTTAATATAATGTTTTGTTTTTATTTATAATAATATTTTTATTAATTAATTAAAATGTATTAAATTTTTTAATAATTTGATAATTAATAATCAATAAATTAATATTTATTTTGTATCATTAACTTTGTTGATGTCAATTGCGTTAACTCTTTAATTAATATTAACTTAATTTTCTAACAAACTTAACAATATATTATTGAAGATTCAATGATGACATTATTCTTTATAACTTACTGTACAGTATATATAAAATTATTATTAATATATAAAATAGACAAACATATAATAATAGAAAATGATTTTTAAAAAATTGAAAAAATTAAATAAAGAAATATTTTTATGTTTTGTTAGTGAGTTTTAAGAATTGTTTTAAAAATGATTATTAATTAAATTTATTAAACAGTATATTAATTTTATAGGTAATAGAAATATGTATTGTATATATTATAAAATAGTAATTTGCCAATTTTAAATTAGGATTTATTTATCTAATTTAAAATTTTAATCTAATTATTTTTCATAATAATAATGATGACTATTGCTATCGAGATTTTTGAAATTATTATTAATAACAAAAAAGATGTTTATCTTAAGTTATATTATTCAGTTAATTGTTAAAAATAAAATTTGTAGCAGTTTTTATTTATTTTATTTTTACTAAATTTTGCAATAAATTATATCATTTATCATTATATAACATAAATAAATTTCATAAAAGACAAACTTGATATCAATAATAAACTTAATACGACTATAATATAAGTTATGAATTTCAGTTTACAATGTATTTGCCATTGAAGATGCAATTCATATACAATATATTATACAATAATTCGTTAAATAAAAAGCATACATAAAGTTATCTTAAATATGTTATATACTGCACAATAAATTAAATATATGTAATCCATTAAAATGGATAAATTTAATACTTTATCATAAACTGTTTGCAACAAAACGTGAGAAAAGTAAATATTATGTGATTAATAAATACAATGACACTGTAATCACAATAATCGGTTTGATTTACCATAACTATACTACAATGTTATATACAGTTATATGTTATATATATTATGTACAGTACATAGCTTTAACAAACATATAAATTGAAAATGTATTAGTTTGTATGTTTTTGTATAATAGTAAATACCATCATATTGTTAATAAAAATTACAATTTTGTAAATCAATGAATAGTTGATAATGATATAAAAAATAATTATATTAGTTTATTTAATAACTTATAATTTAATTATTTTAATTAAATTCTTTGTTAGCTATTTAAATATACTGTAACTTGTGTACGATTCCTCTGATATATTTTATCCAATATTGTTAAACTATTTATATATAAGTTAATATATTATACAGTATAACATATTATTTAAACTTAAAAATAATAAGTTTAAACGTGTAGTTTATTGCATTAGGGTAATTCTAAACAAATAACTTATATTAAATATAACATAGTCTATGTTACACGGATATAGATTTAATTTTTTAAAATTAACTAATAAGTACAGTATTATTACAATATATCAACGTATGTTAAACGCATAATTTGTAATACAGTATTCAATTCAAAGCAAAAATATTTTTAAAAAATCATTTTAATCAAATTTCTATAATTTTCTAATATATTAATTAAATATTAAAAGTTTATTATTTAAAACTCAAATATTATTCAAAAAAAAATTGAATTTTATTGAGAAGTTATTGAAAGGTGAATAATAAAGAGCAGCTTAAGATTACTGCACTTAAAGCCCATAATTCATATAAAGGTATTATAAAGTATATAAACTCCTAAATCTAATATTAATATTGTATTGAATTATTGTATACCGAAATATTCGGTCGAAAAAATATTCTTTTGTTATAAAACTATTGAAAATTTATTGATTTTAAACTACTTCCGCAAAATAACTAAGTTTGACATTTAATTTTTTGACATTAATATTAAAATTGATCAATTACTATTTATGATTTATTATATATTTTGATATCTCAAATCTAATTTTTAAATATTTTTTGTTTACCTAACTTATTGTATCGATATTGAAATTGATATATTTTATTAATAATGATGGTTATATTGACTATTTAAAATAATTATTTTTTAAAATTCAGATTTAAATATTATAATAACATTATTCTACAATAATAAAAATAGACTGTTTTTTATTAATGTATAAATAAAATTTAGTTATATATGCATTCAATCATTTTTTAATGATATATTTATCATAGTTTACAGTTTAGATTATTAATGAAATTGATATTTTATGTTATATATATTATGAAATTTGATAAATAATAAATGAATTAATAAAACTAATATCACAAATATTAAAGTTATTATAGTTTTTTCAAACTACTGTATAATATAATTTTCTTTATAGACGATCTCAAATCTAAAGAGTGGTATTTAGACATCAATTATTATATAAATGATTTTCTCGTCAATTTGTTATTGATGTAGATTGTCATCAGAGACCAAATGTAAATATATTTAGTAAATTTGATTGATAGCATATGTCAAATAAAATATACTTTAAATTATAATCCAATTTTGTTTATCGTTGACATCATTTCAATGTTTGTCTATATTTTCAACTATTTTTACAAAATACAAATGAATTGTATGAATATTTAATACGAAGTTATTATATCAATATTTGTGAGAAATAATAAATCTAATATAATTAATAATACTATAAGTAATAACTATATTTTTCTATTATTTAATACTTTTTATATTAATTAAAAATTTTATCTTTCTTATTTATATATTTTTTAAAAATTTATCGCTAACTTATATACAATCTTATATACAAACATTATCTATATCATTGAATATTGATAATATAAATTTATAGTTTATACATTGTTTGTTGTGGTCATATTAAAAATATATATAAAACTAGTAGAAATTGATGAATAAATATAATTGAGTTCTGGAATATATATATATATATAATATATATAAACTTATTTGTTAAGAAAACATAAAGAAATATAATATATAAAAGTTAGTAATATTTGTTTACACAAGTGTTGGCCTCTGAGAAAACACGTGTGAAAAATGATATATATCTACCATACAGTATAATATTTAGTATAAATGAAGTGCCAGCGAAACATTGATTTTTGTGAGCCCAGGTGCAAACTATCAGTGCTTTCCCAACACTTACTTAAACAGCTTTAGTACAGTATATGTCAAACTATTGCCTATCAGTCCCTAACATTAGGATGATCTGCATTAGTAATGCGTCTATTTATTAATAATTATTAGTTATATTAAGTTTTTAAGGGATAATTTAAAATTCGTCTATTAGTAAACACTCCCAACATGTTTCTCATAATTATTAGTTTATTTTGACTATTTCTAAACTAAACTAAATACAAGACATGTATTAATAATATACTGTAATATCTATTGATGAGATACGTATGACTAACACTGTAAAACATAAGACAATCTTTTGGTCAGTTAATAACTAATTGATGTTTTTGATAGCAATTTACAACAGATTATACACTTATAATAAAAGCTAACTAATGTTGATTTGCCGACTATAGAGTAAATTTACTTAAACTATTAGCAGATGGTTTACTACAATCATCGCTTAGATTTAGATATTAATAAATCTAATATATGATTATTTGAAAAAATGCTAATTTGGTTTTTTAGCCTTAACACATTATATAATAATTATTTTAGTTATTTAAGTAATAAATAATTGTCATAGTTTTCATTACTTTTATGAAATTATTAGGTATCATACGTTAGGTAAGAGTAATGTTACTCGAAATTACACTTTAAGTTTATTATGTGACCAAATATTGTGCTTAATTGTTGTCAACAAATATTTGTCAGATTAGTTACATATATTAGATTTATATTTTTAAAAAATAAAATATACAATTTATCATTGCACCTAAAGCAAAGTGAGTAAAAAAATTAACAATAATTTTAAGTCTAGTTAAACTAATTTATTTTTAAGTATTTTATATAAATTTATTACCAAAAATTATATAATTGTTAAGTTATTTTATCAATATAATTTATAATTTAATCACTAAATTTTATATACTGTATATAACTGAATAGTTAAATCCAATTTTGTAGTTTTATTTTATGAATGACGTTATTATTATTAATAATTAATAACACTTTAAAATTTATATAAAGAATATCAATAAGCAATTATGTAAGTATAGACTATTTTTTAAAGAAATATTTAACGATAAAAATGTTTTCATTGAAATAATCAAATAATGTTATAAAATAATATTTAAAAAATATTGCACTGCGATAAAAACCAATGTATATATATAATAAAATTTATAAACTTTGATGAATTAATTGAAAAATATAGTTAACTTTACAAATTTCCGAAACATACTTTAACATTACAATAGTATTTCTATAGTAAACATACAGTTTTAGTTTTTAGTTTATTTTCCAATGTTAAGGTATGTTTCGTAAATTTGTAAAGTTAACTATATTTTTCAATTAATTCATCAAAGTTTATGGATTTTATTATACATAAACATTGATTTTTATCGCAGTGTGTATTTATAACTTTAATGTACGGTATTATAAAAATTTTTAATAGTTTAAATAACTATAAACTAACGATAGCGACGAACTTATTAACGACTTATTTATACATTATTTTAATAAATATTTGAATCTTTATTAAAACTTTAAACATAATAAATGACCATGTTGAAAATACTTATATAGTATATGTATTGACAGATCATTTCCTTGATGATAATTTAAAGCACTGGAATTTTTACAAAAAAAAGACTATTAATTTGTATTTTAATCTTTATTTTCTTTAAACTTGGATAATAAATATTAGTGTTACGTAATACGTATATATATCAGGTTTGCTAAAGGTTTTCGATTTTTATTTAAAGTTAGAATATTTATAATTTATATTTTTTATACAGTATATATACGTATTGTAAATCAATTACTTAAATAAAAAATAATAATTGCTTAATTAATAGTGAAAACATTGTATTAGATTAGATAAATTAAAAATTTATATATTAAACAGGTATCATATGATAAATATAAATTATATATGTAGTACTATATTGGTTATTAGTATAATATTATTATATTCAGAAACCAGATTTTTTCAATCATTGTAACCATTGTTACTTTGATAAAATTAAATTGTTACTATTTATTCGATGATTTGTAAACATAATATAGTTACAGTAAATATCATTTTTAATATAAAATAAAATTAAAAATGAAGTTTTGTTTAAATTGTTTTCAAAGATTTTTTAATTATAAAAAGCCGGTTATATTAGATGACATGTGCTTTAGGATTCATTACAAGACAACTGTATCATTATTAGTATGTTTAGCTATAATAGTAATAATATATGAATATCAAAACGATGCCATTGACTGTCTATCAAATGATCCACAAAAATATTCGACAAACTTATTAAATACCATTTGTTGGACACAAGAATCATTTGAAGTCATCGATTCTTTAAATTTATTTATCAATAATACAAATCGTTTGACAAATACTAAGTTGAGATCTAATAGTTATGTTAATAACTTTCATTGGATTGGTTTTCTGTTTTCAATGCAAGCGCTTTGCTTTTATATTCCTCACTGGTTGTGGTCATCGATGGAAAACAACAAACTTAATACACTTTTGTCAACTTTAATGGACAACAAGATTCCTGAAGAGAAAAAACTCCTTCAACTAAATTCTTGTGTCAGATATTTGTTAAAACATATGAGTAATCATGACATCTATGCCATCAAATATATGTCAACCAAAATGATATGTTTATTGAATTTAATAATTCAAATAGTAATCAGTAATGTGTTTCTTAGCGGACACTTTACTGGACTCGGATTTTATCTATTATTTAATTTACAAAACTCTGACCACAAATCCATACTTTCCGATGTCTTCCCGAGGACTGCCATATGTCGTCAAAACAGACTTGAGATCAATGACCTGAACAATGAAATACTTTGTTTGCTTCCCATTAATCTGATTATTGAAAAACTATTTTTATTTCAATGGTTTTGGTTTTGCATTTTGTTAATAATTAGTTTATTTGATATAATCAGTTATTTAGTTTATATATTGTCTTCAAAGTTAAGATATTATCAACTATTAAGTATTGCACACATTTGTAATCATCAAGAGTTGAGTTGTCTGTTAAATCGGTGCCAATTTGGTGATTGGCTTTTACTTAGATTTTTTGTTTATAATTTAAATAATAATGATTTTAATTTCATAATAACTAATTTATCTAAAAAATATTCAAATAATGAACCAATAATTACTGATTCAACTATCGTATAATTCTGTATATAATAAAGTAATGTTTTAAATATTTATATATATTTACTGTATTTTCTATTAAATATTCTCTTGATATTAATTTTGTGTATTTTTAGAATATAATAATTATATTATTAAATTAAAAATATTGTAATTAAATTAATAATTATTAATATTTTAAAAACATATTATTAAAATTATTTTTTATTAAGGAGTATTATTAAAATTATTTTTTATTAAGGAGTATTATTAAAATTATTTTTTATTAAGGAGTATTATTAAAATTAATTATTTTTACATTTAAACTGAACTTGGTAAAAGGTAATACCAAGTACCTGTACTAACATCATTTATTAAAAATTAACATTTTAAGACAACAATGTTTTAACACTAATTTACGTTATTTATTATAAAATATAAGTTTCATAATATTTTAATAATACTTTAATAAATTGATAAAAATATTAAACATAAATAACGTGCAAAAAGTGAGAATAGGGGAGCAATAGATAGTAAATGTTATGCAATGTGTTGTTATTATAATACAGTATATGTGTTAACATTAAGCCATTGCTTAACGTTTGGCAACAATGGTTGACGTGGCTTAACATCACTTCAATTGATTTGACCATTGATTCAGATTTACAGATAATACAAATCACAGATTTATATAATTTTATAGTTTAAGTCACAGTATATTACAAGTGCGACCAATTGGTGACCGACAAGATGTATGGCAAACGAGACAAGAAGGACGAGGAAGACCTGTCAGTTAATCCTTTCAGTAAAATACAGAAGACGTCAGTTCTTCAGGAGTGTCGGGTCTTCAATGAGACGCCGGTCAACGCCAGAAAGTGTGCACTGATTTTGACCAAAATCTTGTATCTGATTAATAGCGGCGAACAGTTGTCCACACTTGAGGCCACCGACGCCTTCTTCAATATGACGAAACTCTTTCAATCAAAAGATACAACTCTTCGCCGACTTGTTTATATTGGGATTAAAGAGTTATCAAAAGTGGCTGAAAATGTCTACGTTGTGACCAGCAGTTTGACCAGTGATATGAACTCAAAGGATGATCAGTGCCGACCGGCAGCCATGAGAGCGCTCTGTCAGATCACTGATGCGACCACTTTTCAGGTGAGTTTCAAATTACAAACCGATTACAACAAATGTATTTATTTATTAATTATATATATATAGGGTATTGAAAGATATATGAAGCAAGCGATTGTCGATAAGAACCCATCGGTCGCATCGGCAGCTTTGGTCTCATCACTACATTTGACCAAAACTATCGCCGACGGAGTCAAACGTTGGGTAAATGAAGCCCAAGAAGCTGTCAATTCTGATAATATTATGGTTCAAAACCACGCATTAGGTCTCTTGTATCACATCCGTAAAAGTGATCGGTTAGCTGTCACTAAACTTGTGACCAAATTTATCCGATCAGGTCTTAAATCGCCATATGCTTTGTGTCTTTTAATACGGATTGCAAGTAAATTGATAGAAGAGGAAGACAGAGGTCCAGAGAGTCCTTATTTTGAATTTATTGAGTCTTGTTTAAGACATAAATCAGAAATGGTTGTTTATGAAGCGGCCAATGCTATTGTTAATCTTCAATTTACTTCTCAACGCGAACTGAATCCCGCCGTATCTGTCCTTCAATTGTTTCTATCGTCACCGAAACCTACTCTTCGTTTTGCAGCCGTTCGTACACTGAATAAAGTAGCGATGAATCACCCGAACGCTGTGATGGCCTGTAATGTAGATTTAGAAAATTTAATTACAGACTCAAACCGATCGATTGCAACTCTGGCCATAACAACACTTCTGAAGACTGGTAACGAAAGTTCAGTAGAAAGACTTATGAAACAAATTGCATCGTTTATGTCGGAAATATCTGATGAGTTCAAGATTGTTGTTGTTGGCGCCACCCGTCAATTATGTCAAAAGTTTCCCCGAAAACATAACGTTATGATGACATTCTTATCTTCAATGCTAAGAGAAGAAGGGGGTTATGAGTATAAGAAATCTATAGTCGACACTATTATATCAATCATTGAAGATAATCCCGAAGCTAAAGAAGCCGGATTAGCACATCTTTGCGAATTTATCGAAGATTGCGAACACACTGGACTTGCGGTCAGAATTTTGCATCTCTTGGGTCGTGAAGGCACTCGTACTTCAAATCCATCCAAATATATTCGTTTTATTTATAACCGATTGATCCTTGAGAACGCTCAGGTCAGAGCTGCCGCTGTCTCATCGTTAGCCAAATTTGGCGCTCATTGTGAAGAACTTTTGCCTCAAATTCTGGTTTTGTTGGAGAGATCGACGTTAGATAATGACGATGAAGTACGCGACCGATCGACATATTATCTCAATATTTTAAAACAAAAACAAAAGTCACTCTATTCGTCGTTTATTTTAAGTCCACTTCAAGTTTCAATTGTTGGCTTAGAAAAGGCGTTGCAATCATATTTGTCGGACACTTCAGACGTTCCGTTTGATATCAAAACAGTTCCACTTTCGACAACACCATTCGTTTCGGAAGAATTGACAAAAAAATCAAATATTAACAACACTAACAATATTGTTAATAATCAGATTAAAGCACCGGGAGAAAAGATGGCCGCCACCCGTCAAGATATTTATGCCGAACAATTGGCCTCAATCTCTGAATTAAATGCATTAAAATTGGGTCCAATTATTAAGTCGTCACTTCCCGTAGAGTTAACTGAATCTGAGACCGAATATGTTGTGCAATGTATTAAACATATATTTAAAGATCACATTGTATTTCAATTTGATTGCACCAACACTTTGAACGACCAAATACTTGAAAATGTCAACATTTCAATGCAGGTCTTAAATCAATTGAAATTGTAATCAATTTTGACATTTTATAAAAATATATAATTTATTAATGTTTAGGTGGCCGATGGGTTTCAAATAGTAGAGATAGTCGAGTGCTCTAAACTTGTTTATAACATTCCCGGAACCACTTATGTATGTTTGGTCATACAAACTGACGATATCTCACAATTTTCCAATTCATTTACAAACGTAACGCTTAAATATATTGTAAAAGATTGTGATCCAAACACTGGTCAAGTTCTTGACGACGATGGGTATGTCAATGTCAATGTTAAAACAATTACCATAATGACCAGTGATTTTTATGACATTATTTAATTCAGATACGCTGATGAATATGTATTAGAAGATGTGGATCTATTGGTTGCCGATTATATGCAGCGAATAATGAAACCTAATTTTATGAGCGCTTGGGATGAGATGAGTACCGAAACAGAAGTCGAGGAAACGTACGCTCTATCGAACTTTAAGACTCTTGAGGAGGCCATCAAAAACATTGTGTCATTTATGGGAATGCATGCCTGCGATCGATCAGATAAAGTTCCCGAAGGCAAGAGTGCACACACCATATATTTGTCGGGTATATTCAGAGGCATCGATGAAGTTCTCGTTAGAGCAAAGTTAGCCCTTTCGGCCAACACTGAAGGCGTTACTATGAAACTGACAGTGCGCTCACAGAATGAAGAAGTGGCACAGTTTATCGCTTCAGCCATTGTCTGATTGTGTGACAAAACATCATTTAATTATACATTTTAATTATATTTAATAAATTAAGATAAATAATGTATTGATTCGTTTATTTCATATAAATTATAATTAAGTTAACAATGCATTTGTTTACAGAAAATTTGTGAGCAGAAGTTAAAACGTTTTTATTGAATAAAACTTAATAACATTTTTAATATTTGAACGATAATTCATATTAAGGAATAATATAATAATATACTGTATATCATATAAACAAATGTCTCCAAAATGTATTTACACAAAACAAATATAACATAAAAAGCAATAATTAGAGGCAAATATCTTTACAACAATTAACCGATAGTTTCAACGGGTTGGTTGTCATCATCACCACCATCTAATCATATAATAATGATAATAATATAATATCATAAATCATGTCATTAATTATACAAACCATTATTTGAATTATTGCCGGTCGATGTTGTGGTCAAATCTGGATCTGGAGATATAGGTTGAGCTATAAAACGAGGCGATGGAGTGTTTCGAGACATTTCCGATTGAGTAAGTGTTGAACACAAAGGCGGTGAATATGATTGATTGGATGAACTACTGATACTTGTAGTCAATGTTCTCGTGGATGAGTTTGAAGCCGATGAGTGCAGTGCTTGTGATGCCATTGGAATGATTTTCCTTTGTTTAAATGGCGGTTCTTCTTCTAATGGCTTGTCGTTAGTGGCCAAAGACGGATGCATTGAAGGCTGTAATGGAGTAATCAATACATATGGATTGGGTTTTGTACGAGAGTTAGCATCACTCGATGAAACTGAAGAGCCATCAGTTGTAGGATCTTTCTCTCCACGAAGTCTTTTAACTTCAGTTTTTAATGTATTTAATGATTCATTGAGTCTATTGTTTTCATTGCGTAAACAATTCATGTCATATCTAACTGTCGACAAGATTTGATCATATTTTACATTATCTGCTATTAGATCGTCAACTCGTTTACGTAAAGCCTTTACACAGTTATGACTGTCGAGATCACCCTTTTTAATAACAAGACCACATCCGGCCTGACATTCAATAATCTTCTCGGGATTGAAGTCACAGATCCTTACGTGTTGTTCCAGTGAATCCAAGTGTACGACTTGAGGACAGCCATTGGTTGCAAATTCACATTTAATTTCCAACTTATCTAAGATATGTCGCATAAAACGAGGAATCGGTTTGAGATCCGAATGACTGAGAAATTGTCTGTCATTCGGACAAATGCTTCTTTGAAATAACCATTTGTTGATACAATCTGTGAGTAAAGAGACATTGAATTAGATGTCATCTTAAGTATCATTAATGTCGTGTCCATACCTTTACAGAAGGCGTGTTCACAATTAGGCGCCCAAACAGCGTCTTCAAGAACTGAACGACAGATATTACAAATCAGGTCTTTGCTGATGTCCTCAGACTTAACAAAGCGGTTGACATCAAAACCCATGAGAGGCTGCTATTAATCACAACAACAATAATAACAATACATTAATCATATGATAAATCAATGACGGATTCAATCATTTGTTCAAATATTTCTTAACAATTAAATGGCTGTAAATAACAGTCACTTCAGTATACTATTAATACATACGACTCGACACACACTCAACACAACACTATTGGCAGTCAAGTCATCCAATAGACAGACTCTAAACACAAGTCACTGTACGCACTATAAGAGCGCTAATATTTAAACATTTAATTATCATTTTAATTGTTATTTACCTATAATTATATATAAATTTATTAAATACTCATTATTATTAAGTATTACAATCATCTATAAATAATATTAATATTGAATTTAATTAATTGATATTAACAATCAATTATTTCAAAATATGTACAGTATAAATTAAGTCAATTTAATTAATTAATTGATAAAAATGAAATAGACAAATTAATAAATGATAAATATATTAATTGCTATGCACATTGATCTTGCTAATTTTACAGAAAAATTGTTTTAATTGATAACATATCAACATCAAGCAAATTATAATACATATTTAATGCTATCATTGAACCTATATTTAATATATTTATGTTTATGTAAATTATAACATTTCATGTTTAGTGTTAAGCAATAATTTAAATAATATTTAGGCTAACAATTTGAATAAAAATTCAAAATTATTGAAAACATTTAAATGTTATGTCAATTATATATATTTCAATATACAGTATATACAGTAATTTATATACAGTATATATATTAAACTAATTTTTATAATTTATAGTTAAAATTTTGTTGAAAAGGATTTTCCAAACTTAAAATAATGTCAAATACGGGTTATTTGATGGTTATATGAGATTTGATTAGATCTCATCACTTAAGCATCACTATAATTATATCCTAAATTAACAAACTATTGTAACATTATATAAAATATTATTTTAAAACAAACATATATACAGTAATGTTTTATAAGCATATTATCCTTTAGTAAAAAACAAATATTAAAATAATAGACAAAATACTTGTCAATTAGTTTAATACAATATAGATATGATTTGGTTGGCTCATAGCACACCCTAAACACCTTTATATAACTCTTCAATATAGTACAGTATATATATATATATAATCATTTAATGTCTATAATATGGTAGAGACTATAGTCAATAAAACAGCAAATGATAAAATTAATATGTGTTATCACACTTTTACAATACATCTCGCATTAAATTATATTTTCTAGTAGTTTTCAAATATTATTTTATATTATTTATATTTATAGAAAATAAAAGTATACTATTATACTTATTAAGGATAATTTATATTGTAAATAAGTAAAGATATTTGTTATATTAATAATTTAATACTATAGTAATATAGGTATTTTTTAATTTTAAATAATAGTTTTCATTATAGAAACACTTGTCATGGTAAATTTAAAAATATAATAAAAATTATTTTAGAATTACATATATTTTATCCTAAACTATTTAAGTAATCAACAATAGCAGCAAACTATTAAATTAATTAAATGTATATATAAATTTTATAAATATGTACATGCTAATTTATTAGAGTATAAGACCACATCATTAACAATAGCATATATAACACTTAAATCTATTATCTAATTAAGAAATATTTGTCAAATCATTTTAATCCTTATAATATTCAAATATTTATATAATTTTATCAAGTTTTAAATATTTACTAAGTTATAAAATAACATTTGTATAAATAAACTTTTAGATATTTTAATAATAATATCTTACAATTCAACAAAAATAATTTAAAACTTTGAATATACAGTATTTAAAGCGTATCCTTAAATATTATATAATAATAATGTACATTTTGCCTATAATTATTATAGTTATACATTTAAAATAAAAATGAGTTATATACTGAATAATTTATATACTATACATTATATACAATAAACATATGGCATTAATCATTAAAAAGTCAAACAAAATATAATAAATGAAAATTTTAACATAAAATGCATTTAGTTTTAGTTTTGAAGTTTTGGAAATGTTGTAAAAATTATGAGAAATAGTATGAATTGGTTTGAATGGTATGAGTAGTATTGCGGGTCAATAAAAAATGTTGACTTAATTACATAATAAGTAATGCTTTGAAAGAGAGTAAGTATTGAGCAAAAAGAGGCAAAACTGTTGGAAATGTTGGTAAAACTGGTTGACTGACTGGTGAGGACTGGAAGTGTTGGGCATTCTTATGATAATAATTACAGAACACATTCCTTAAGCCAAACTCATGACTGACTCCAGACTTAAGGCTTATTTGTTATGAGTTGTCTTTAGTTCTCGTTTTCCTCGAAGCCATACAAGACATACAACAATATATGCAAAAGACATTAAGCATTTGGGCTCAAGTGCTGCACCCCATCACCGGCACTAACACTGGCACTGGTAGTGCATTCAATGCCAGATGGGCTCGCATTGCACTTCATTGCAAACCAAGCTTCAAAGGAAACCATTTAAACCCATTTGAATGAGTTGTTCCTCACAACAGTCTTATACTATAAGTTATACCATTCAAACCAATAGTCTTTACCATAAAATTTATTAACAAATACATTCACACATCGCATACTATATTACAGAGTTAGCAACAAGTTTTCATATATCAATACTAACATTAAAATACATTAAAATGTGGCAAAAAATATCAAATCCAAGAATATTGCACTCATTCACTATCATTATATCATTAAAGGGTTCACACATTCAACACAATTCATTACTTGTCAACCCTTACTATACATAATATACATTACTATACATAATATTATTTATCAAATAAGTTATATATCACTACTATTTATCAGAGCACACACATTGTCGCTAATGTTATTACAGTACAAAAATTAAAGCAAACCATACATTAAGATATTTTTAGAAATAAACTTTAAAAAGAGTCAAACTTACGGCCACTTTGTTACTGAAGTCAAATCGAGTCTTCATTTCTTTCAGATGTTCTTCAATGTCAACCACATTGTCCTTCTTGTCCTTTGCGACCAACAAATATGAGCGCCAATTACTTGAGTCAAATCCCCAGTGACAGGTCCTGTTCTCACGGAACCGATGTGAGTGACAAACAAACCTCTGGGGAGCAAACAATCCGTGACATTCCAGACATTCAATACATGTCGAGAACGGGTGGACATAAAGCATCGGTATATAAAGGCCAACACATTTACCGAAACATTTGTGGTATACTTTGAATGTAAATAATTTATTGTTCATAGCATTGGCACTAATGGATGCTTTCGGCGGATTACTGTCTATAAGTGCGGCACATAGCCTCTCGGCGTCAGTTTTGGTGATAAGGCCACAACTCGGCGCTGAGAACGGTATGATTTGTGCCGATTTGAGTATTTCCAACTGATCCGGTGTACAACGCGAACAAAATATCTGCAGTTCATCACAAACATTGTTTATCTGCTGAAGGCTGAAGTCACGTAAAACAGTGGTTAGTATTTGAGGCAAACACAGCCTCTTTTCTCCGCCGACAATAAAACACGATATGATTTGGGTCTCTAAGACAGTCTCAGATCTATCGCACCTGTTCTGGTCGGGCGGTGTAAAGATAGGGGGCTGTTGTATGGGAAATGGCGGAGCAATACTGTGTGAACCATCATTTAAACCAATTTTTTGAACACTTTTCGATGACTTTAATGACTTAAAACGTTTCGCTTCTTTAGTTGACTCGTCCGAAGACTTAGAGCTCTTTGTTTGCGATTTTGAGTCATTAACTGATGAGTGAGACATTTGAATTGTACTTAACGTCGATAATGCAGACAATGAGTTGGACGATGAATGACCAGACGGTATGCGTTGAGAGTGTAGTCCTTGTAACTGCGGGTGCGGCCAATCGGGACCATTCAAACTGGTCGTAGCGCTCGCCTGATAGCTCTTTAACACTTTCTTGAGCCGTTGTGTGTAAATCACAGGCGTTGGTGAATGGCTTTCGGATGGCTGTCGGGCCACTCGTTGGTAGTGACCTGACGTATGTGGTATTGAGTGAGTCGTTGTTGCCGTCGAAGTTGAAGGTAATGACAAAGGATATGGAGACGAACGATGGCTCGCTTGTGATGATAACTCTTTCATTTTCGATTGACTTCGATGGCCAACCAGTGACCCGAAGCTTGAAGTCAACACATCTGCTGTTTTACTATCCATGGCTTATATGTTTATCATGAGATGATATCTCGAGTCAAACAACAATTACCACAAATGTTATGATATCTGATCATTGAGTTCAACCCATTCTTATCAATCACATAGTTATCAATTGATTGTCGTCTTTGTGATGGATATAGTCATAGATTTGGTCATCAAATGGTATACTTATATAATGAAAATAATAAACAAAACAGTTTTCACTATATATTGACTATATTTGACAATATATTGACAATTGATATATAAAATCAATGGAAGCGTTCATACAGTAAGTGTTGTTATGTATTGAAAGCAGTGAACGAACGACACGACAGTCTGGCTATGAATGCATACAATCATAGAATACATTGAATGAATGCATGCGTTCATTGCGTTCAGTCAGAGGACTCCAATGTCTGACTCTTGTCTTGAAATGTTTGTCTCTATCGAGACTATCGAGTCTATCGAGAGGTCGTTTCCAGAGTATAGACGTCATACCAGACGTATCATAGACGCCGTTACCAAACCAACTACACTCCCGCCTATACAACCACAACAATACAACATTACATATACAATATATATGACCAGACAATTGTGGCCACAGGTCATCAAATTATCATAATATTAATTGTTTAGTATTAATATGACCACAATATTACCGACGGATCAAACACCACAACACTGACGCCACGAGTCAGGCATACAGTGGGAGGCATAACAAGCCATGTAAGGGAAGGCTCTATACTCTGTACTGTAGATACTGTATAATACAGTGTATATCATAACAAGCGATACCTTTAAAGCCTTAATACTTGAGAGTTATTATAGCTATAATGCAATCGTTTGTCTAATGTTTAGTCAATGCAATCATCAAATACTATACAAACACTTTGTCCTAATTATTGCCACAATTTTGACAACAAATTCATATTTGTTTATATTATACGGTAGTAATAGTAATAGATTTATAGCATAATAGACAGGGAATGTAAACCAATAGATGTTTGATTAATAATAGATATGTTAAGCAATATTTAAATGAAAGCAATTATTATTAATTATATGTTAATAATAGCGTCTATTTGGTTGTCCTTCAGTTAGTTGTCTGACAAACAACACATCAATCGATTAAATTATTTAATGTGTTTTTTCAATAAACACTTGTAGTGTATGTACAGTATGTATGTATAATATGTCTCCCATTGACTCGTAGGTAATCAAATGATAAGCAGGTATAGACATAATATAGTATACATTTATTACTACTTTAGTGTAAAAATGATGATTTGGTTATATATTTTGCTGTCAGTGCGCTATTACTGCTATATCATAGCTGATAGTGAATAATATTTTTACAATATTTTTGTTGACATACAATATCTAACTAAAGCAGTACTTTGTTAGGCAATAGTTATTTAAGTTATTTATTTAGTCTCAAAATTCATTGTAAACGACACATACAGTACATAACAGTATCACATGATGTCGTACTACTGTATAATACATTATAAGTTTGTTATAATGAAAATATAGTGAAATGTGGTAAACAATCACTTGATGTCATGTATTACAGTATACAGTACTGTATAGTAAGGTATAGTCATGTGATGTTTGTTAGTTATCAACGTTATCCATGTTATCCATGTTATCCTTGGTCTATAAAACCTATTGAATAAATACAGTATTATTGATCAACTTGTCTATGTATAAACAACTATACTTTATTATTTTAGATAATATTATATTATGGCAATTTAATTTATAAATATCTATATTAAAAGTCTAATTATAAGCATTAATATTGAATAAATTAGATTTAGTTTGCAAAAATACATTTGATATTAAATGATGAATTTATAAAAATGGATGATATAATCAATTAAAATAAATTGTATGAATGTATTGTAATATTTCAATAGCATTTAACAAATGACTTTCAATTTGTCTACAGATTAACAAAATTTATGATTAGATTTAATAAATTTTAAAATTAAGTTTTGCTTATGTCTACTATTTTTTATGATAACTGTTGTCTAAATTTGACATTTAATGATATACTGAATATCTATATATAAAATTATCTAATAATAGTCAAGACAGCAATATACTGTACTGTGTAATACAATGTTATATTTATAACTAATATTTAAATATATCAGAAATTAGTTTCTAGACATTTGTATTGTTAAACATTATTATATTATATAAAACATTAAATTACATTATAAATATTTCATTACATAATTTAATATTTAGTGAAATGATAAAATAAAATGAATACCAAATATATAAAATAATTGAAAAATGTTAATTTTTATTGAATTCAATTTGAAGGCAATAATAAATATTAAATCTGTTAAACTGTTTGCTATTAATAGCAGTTAATATGGTTTTAACACTTTTTAACATTCAATAATTTGTTGTTTTTTAGACTGGCTTTCAAAACCTATAAATCATTTTTCTTAAATTAAGCATTAGATTAGCATTTTGTCAATTTTTACTTATTTCACTATTTAGTCAGTCATATACAGTATATATTCATTTATTAATAGATTTTGTTCAATGATTTTTTTACAGTAGTTATGTCTCCAAATAATTTTCAATCATATTCACATATAATTTATTAAGTATTAACTGTATGGGCAAAAAATATTTTAAAAATAATTGTATTATAAATTTGAAATAAAAACAAGTGTCCAGTATAAAGTACATCCATTATTTCCTACTAAATAAAGTTTATTAGTTATTTCTTAAGAGTTTGATAAGGGGTTGACTTTAAAAAAAAAATTATATAAAGCAACTAATGATGATATACAGGTACTTGCAATTGATTACTAAATTTACATTACAATAAATATAATGTCTTATTATTAAATTTGTTTGAAAGTAAATGATATGACAATCGCTATGAGTGTCAAGTGGGTGATTAGGTTTAGTATTTTTATAAGTTACCTTGGTTATATTATTGTTATTTTTTACTGTAGTACATCAATTACAATATAACCGTAAAATCAATGAAAATATGGATAGACAGTCATAAAATAATAATAATTATTTAATATAAATAACACTGTGTTTTCTCACTATAGCCTTGAGTTGCCATAAAAGTGATGTATTTTTTAGATAAACTCATTGCATATGTTTTATGAACTCAATTGCAAAACTATTTTATAAATGAATCAATGTATGAAAATATGAAAAACTATCACTTTTTTATTATTTGTCTTATAAATTGCAAAACTGATGGCTCAGTTAGTTATTCATCAAATGTCTGGCACAAGTAGGCAACAAATTCCTCAGTCTTTTAAAACCAAACATAATATATATATACAAATAAATCTTATGCAACTAATTATTGTCTAATAATGTTTAACATTGGACTCATTTAAATTTAAATAAAGAAAATAGCGGTTAAATTGTTTAAAATAACTAACACATCAAATACTGTAATAAAATTAATCTTAAGTTTAAAAACACACCCATTTTTTATCCTAAATAATAGTCGTTTAAATAATATTAAATCTTAGCAATCATTTAAGTTTAAGACATAAAAAACAAAATATTCAATAAATAATATCTAATGTTGTTAATTGCAAATTGAAAGAAACAAAAAATACAAATAGAAAGCAATAGTTGTTTTTATAATTATTTTTTAAAAAGAGATATGTTTTTATTAAAAATTTTTAATTAATAATAATTTTTAAAAACAAATGATATTCAAAAATCACTTTAAAAAAGAAAAAAATATTTTAACCAAGTATCACAAATATAACACTTATGATTAATTTAGAATACATATTCAATTTAAATTTTTAAAATTATATTTGCTTATATAATTTAGCCGTCACAATATAAATAAATAAATATAATTACACATAATTCTTTTATTTCAAACAAATTATAATTTAAAGTAAAAATTAAAATAAATGTGATTTTTTATTACATTATGTTTTACATTATTTTTAGTTTTACATTTATTACATTATTATACATGGCAATGTTTTTGTTAGATTGTTTATTCAAAAACTTGTAGTATATTTATTTCATATAAGTATTAAACTAAACTATAGTATATTAATGATTGACTAAACTTTCTGCTAGATTATTTCAAATAGAATGATAACACATAACACAAGGCTTGAATATTTGGAAATTTCCCAGAAAATTTACCGATAAAATATTCGGTCGACACTTATTGAATATTACATTCAATTTATAAAATAAAGAGATGAAGTAATGATAATTAACCAATTATAATAATAAATAAATAAAATTTAATTATCTATTTAATTATTATATAAGCAAAATTAGCATTAAAATATTGCTAAAATAATTTTTTAATGGTTATAATTATTAAGGATTTCGATAAAAAAAATATTGGAGTAATTGGTTCTTCAAAATTATAAAAATAAGTTGAAGTACTGTAGTAACCAATTGATTGCAAATTGACGACAGACTCAACAACAAACTCATTGACTTTATTGTCTAAATTGAGTCCCAAAAAAAAAATATATTTTTAAGTTAACAAACTTATCCGTCAAAACTTATTTCAAAACAATACATCGTTTGTGAAAAAATATATTTTGAAAAATTGGAGAAAATTTATATAAAATTCTTTTTTGAATAGTAGTCGAACTCTAATTATAAAATATATTGAATATACTGTAGTTTATTGTGTATTGAAAATAAGTCCTATAGTATACTCCTATTATACAATATATCAAATAAATCAATCATTTGAATAATCAAAACGTTGTGACATAAAAAATTGAAATCATATAAATTTTATGACACTATTATGTAGGAAATGGTCATTCATTAACTGATATCAAATGTTTCTTAAATGACTGATTTGACAAAAAGTTCAGTCAATTTGGTCGATAAGATTGGTGTTGATTGCAACACATTTGTCGCTGATTTTACTTTTTTGTTGTATTTGTCACCAGAAATAACACTTTAATAAATATATCGATTGATTGACGACATCCCATATTCAAGGTCTTCACGAATACTATATTTAAATCATATTCTATTAAAAAAATTAATTTTGAATGTTTTAAAATGTAAAAAAATTTATTTTTGTTAATCAAAATGAAATAAAATATTAATAATAAAATTTTATAATACATAAAATTATGTATTTTTATATAAAAATAATAAACCCTATAAAAAGGCACATTAAAGAAAGAAAATTATATAAATAAAATTTTATATTAAAAATAATACTGTTTTTTAATATTGATAATTAAAAAATGGAATCAATTTCTTTAAATTTTAAAAAATTAAGAATAATTCAGATCTAGTTATACAATGGCTTTGATTTGATATCATTTCGACAACTTTTGATGTTTTTGCTTAAATATTATGTTATAACATAAACAGATAGACTATATTCAGTATAATGTAATGATTGTTAAGTGTAATTGTAAGAGCACTTAAACCATACTTGAGTTGACAGGAACTAAACTAAATAATAGTCACATATATATATATACTATACCTGTATATTAAAAATAATAACAGATAAACGATTATTAAATATGTATTTTCGATTCTAGTATGCAATTAACATTAAATATGAGCAACAATTGTTTTTTTAATAAAAATATTGTAAATAAAACCACACACACATACTATATATGAATGGTTTATAATATTCTTAAATATAAAATTTGCTAAATTGTATAAAAACAAAATTATAAAATCTTAAAGTATTAGTTTTTGTTATCAATAATTTGGTTTAATTATACATTGTCTTCGAGTGACATTAAAAGTGGATTTACGTATTCAAAACCCTCGAACTCTGATTGATCGATCTTCTCAATGGTTTTCCTAAAATAAGAAGTTTTTATTTAAATTTTTTTTTGATATATTTATATACTGTATATATACAGTATATCATTAATACAGTCTATATAATAATCTATAAAAACTATGAAACTTACGGGTCATCAGGTGTGAGCTGAACCGGTTCATTAGTGAATTGCGGATCAAAGTGCTCTAAGTCCCGATCAGTTTCTAATTTAGGTTTATAAGGTGGTGTTACTTGTTTAGCTTCCAACTATTAAAAATTATATTTAGTTGAAATTAAAAGTTACACAAAACATATTTCATTGATTACCGCTTCCCAATCAATAGTTCGGAAAAATGGATGACTCGTAATATCTTGAAATCCCGTTTCCGGATGACATCCTAATCGTTCACTTGGATTCTTATTAAGAAACCCTTTGAGTACAGATTGTGCCTTAACTGAAATAGATCGGGGAATACGTATAGTCTTCTCAAGAATAACTTGAAACAAAAAGTCTTCCGTGTTTTGGTCAGGATTATCGGTGGCGCCCACAATATCAAATGGAGATCGACCCGCAAGCATCTCATATAATAAAACGCCCAGTGCCCACCAGTCAGGTTCAAAACCTACAATAGTTTACATTATAGTTAGTAAATGTTATCGAGTTATTAAATATAGTCCTACCATAATCTTCTCCTCGAAGTATTTCAGGTGCAATATAATTAGGAGTTCCACAAAACGTACTGGTTGTATCTCCCTGTCTAATTCCCTCCTGTTTTAAATCAAATTATCCATAAATCTTAGTAATAATAATTGTTTATTTAAAAATGTTGATAATCTATGACAAGTCCTTACTTTACACATTCCGTAATCAGTAAGCTTTACGTGTCCCTCGTGGTCAAGTAAAACCTGTTTATTAATACAGTATAATTGATAAATATTAGGTAATTGTATAAAATAATAAATTTATTAATAACTTACGTTATCAAGTTTTAGATCTCTATAGATAATTCCTAAAATTAAAATAAGATTAAGATTACGGTAAATGTATGATAACAACACTAATGGTAGAGACCTCTCTCATGTAGGAAATTGAGTGCCAATGATATTTCTGCGGCATAGAAGCGCGCGTGTTCTTCAGGTAAACGTCGTTGTCGTTGCATATGAAACATAAGATCACCGCCGCGGACAAACTCAATCACAAAAAATAGTCTTAAAAAGCATAGAAATATGTTAGACATAAAAAATCAAATCTTTAAAATAAAATTCTAATAATCAATGACTAACCGACTGGCAGTTTGAAAACATGAGTGAAGTCCGACTAAAAATGGATAATTAGAAGCCGTTTCAAAAACATGTTTTTCGGTTTGAACCCAATCAATGTCTTCATCGTCGGTAACCAATTCTTTTTTTATTACTTTCATGGCATAAATTCTTCTGGTTTTTTTTAGTTCAACCATTAATACTTTGGCATAAGAGCCGCGACCAATAACACGAAGTAATTCAAAATCTTTCATTGAATATTGCGATGACTCACTAGCGTTGTAATTGTCATTATTTGCATCAACTTCTTGTCCGGATCTCATATCTTGATTATCATTATCATTGTGTACAGAAATGACAGGCAATATACTACTGGCTGAGTGTTTCTTTCGACCCGGTGTTCCCGTCCGATGCAGATTTGATTGATGTATAATTTGAATGCCATTCGAGTCATTCCGAGTGGTTTGTTGTCCGGGAGTAGACGGTGTGCTTTCAGACGAGTGCTGATCAATTTGACCGCTACAGTGATGCTTAAATAATTTATGACATTTCTTATGTACCATTAGTTTACAATTAATACATTTAAATCCCTGACGTCCTAACCCCCAAATGCGATCCTCACAATAGGCACAGAATGCCCTCTGTTTTAATGAAAATAATTTGTTTTAAATTTACTAATATTATTATAAATCAATTATTAATAATACCGGTAATAGAAAGATAACAACTTTTAAATTTTTCATTTATTCTTAAATAATTTTATGTTATTAAAAAATACGGTACATTAAAGTTAATTGGAAAAAGTTATTCAAATGTTTTTTAATACATAATAACTAAATGAGTAAATGAATACAACGATAATCCCGTTGAGATAGAGATACCATTAGAAAAGATAATAAATTTAAGAGGGAAAGGGAGGTGACTCTAATGTAAATATATAAATATACCGTTAATATTCATAAAATATAACAATTTTCTGATAAACTAAAATAAGCTTTTAGTCAATATTGTTATCAGTAATGTGCAACTTTAAATGACCCAGATCATTGTACGGTATATTTGCGTGTGTAAATAATTTGTAACCACTATTATCGGTATGTTATATCATAACTTATAAGCTATGCTTTATTTTAAATAATTATAATAGTGGTTATATATTATTACAATAAAACTAAGCTACAACTTAATATATTATTATTTATAACACTATTCTTAGTAAAAAAAATTATTTAAATGTATCAAATGGTAAAATAAAACTATATATTTAATGCAACTCTAGTTATTTAAATGTAACATAAATCTGTTTGTATTAAATATGAGTCTAATTATCAACAAAATAGCTATTTTTGTTAAAGGATTATATAACAGATATATTCAACATTTAATAATCTAAGTACTATAATATGTAAATTGTTTGATATGAATGGTGTGAATACTATTAAAGTTATTATCATATATTTACCGGTAATTACTATAATATATTATAATGTAATAAAAGACAACAAATGACTCACTCTATTAAATCTTTTGGCTTGAAATGTATGTCCATTGAGTTTATAAAGCTTTCTCCATCTGCGGGCTCCTCTGCGGTAAATACTTTTGTCTTCACCGGGACACGGAAGGCCGGGATATTGTGGTATACTTGCAAATACTATTATATGACAAATTTTAATCAATGTCATTAAATAAATCATTTGTCTTAAGCAATACCATGGATTGTAATCTCCGAGTCTTTATTTAACTCATATAAACGTATGGCCTCTTCGAGTTCTGCTTGTGATGATATGACACAGGGATCTCCTTCTTCATCGACCCATTTCATTGTAAAGTTTTGTTGTTGACTAAAGCGACAAATCTCTCGCATTTCATTGCATAGATCGTTGAGATATATGTCATCCTTGATGTAGATGACCATCACTTCACTACAAATAATAACAACATATCAGTGATCATCAAATGGTAATAAAATAAGACAAATGATGACAAACCCATTGAAGGCGGCCTTAACTCTAATCAAGTCGTTGTCCATATTTGTCAGTCAAGACTACAACCAAAACCACTGATCATTACATTAATTATCACTTAAGTAGACAAACACTTCAACTAACTGTAAGTTTCAATACAATCATCAAAACTATTGTCAAATCAAGTGTTAATTAAATGATTGTATTTAAACACTCGATTAATACACGCATTGTATTGAATTGTATTGAATTGTATTGAAATGTATTGAATTGTATTGAATTGTATTGAATTGTATTGCAATGTGTTTGACAACAACACAAATCACTCGTCAATTACTGTAAAGACTGCTTCACTGCAAACACATGACAAACACCGCCCTCTTATGCAATAATAAGCAAAACTTTATAATACATGTGTTTATGTTTACATTCAAATGATCACCGATGGATCAAATACCAGATATATCACTATTACTGCATCATTCAGTAATCACATTCAATGATAGCCACAACAGAAGTGTTGAAAACAATGACATTTCACGAGCCGTCAAACGTTTGCTATCATCTCTTCAGTCGGTCAGCAAAAGACTTAAAACAAATACAAATGAATTGATATTGAAATCAAAGAGTTTATTGAGTGATGATTTGGTAAAATGTTTGTCCAAATTAGAGACAATAGTCTTATATGAGGACACGTTTGCCGAGACATCAGTCCTGTCGAGTCTGGCGTTGGCTTTACTGTTGAATCTATGCTTAAATGACACCAAAAAAGCAATTCATTTATTATTCAAATTGTTTGACAAACAAATCATTTCTGATATTTCTCTAAATGATTATCAAATTGATAACCAATTGACTGATGTCTTAGACTGTTGTATTGAATCAAACGATTTGTCAAAATTATCACTTTTGACCTCAATTTTGAATTGCAGTCAATTTTGTGATCATCTCATGGATTATCACACAAATGTCTTCATTCAACTTCATTGTCATATAATAAAGATATATAATGAACGACTGGTTCATCAGTTTCATGTCTTTAAACTAATTTATCATTGGTTTCGTGTTTTTCACACTTATTTAAGACAATTGGCACAAAAGGAGTCGCAAGTGTTTGACGACAAAACAATTATTAATCAAATATTGGACATAATTGATACCAATTGGGAACATCCTATCAATGGAGTCAAAGATAGTATTAAATTGATTTATAATTTAATTCTTGAAATATATACTACTTTTAAGAAGTTGATGCCATCTAATGCTATATCAATACTAAACAGTTATGATTTGATTGCTGAGGAAGTACTTAAAACAAGTCGTTTAGCGCTAACATCTAAAGCAAAATACAGAAAACTATCGATTTTAATGCCATTCATCGGCTGGAAAGCAATCATTGAATCTGATCCACAATTATCAACACAAATGCTTAAATACATTTCTATAAACAGTTTGTCGACGGCTATCATAGAGTTATATAAAGCAATGATTATATCAATGAATGACAACAACAATGAAGATTTATTAGACAATTGGTCGCACTATTGGTTATCAAGTATTAGTGAATCACTCAAATTGAAGAACAAAGTGATTCACAACAATATGATCGCTCATATACTTCCTTTTACTATCAAAAACATTGACGGATCAACTCAACTGATATTTGAATCATTAAGTGACTCTAATATAGCTGAAGTGGCATTAGTTCGGTCTGCAATTGATAATAACATTACCATTTCATTTATGCCATCATTACAATGGTTTAAACGAATTCTTATAAACAATGAAGATATTGTCCGCGAAGAAGGTCTTAGTTTGTTATTAGATGAAAGATTTATAACTAATAGAAATCAAGTAATGGATCTATTTTTGTTATATTTGTCATCAAATCTTAATGTTGACAATCCATCGTTTAGACAAAAAATTGTCAGCAAAATAGACCACTTTCTTAATAAACTTTGTATCAGTTTATATGATAAATACTGTTTACACGGCTGTTATGATGAATCAGATCTCAAGATTGTTGATTTTCTTAATAATTTTCTTGAAATTATTGCATCAAATTTGATATCTGGCTCTTCATATCAAAGAAGAATGACGTGTTTATTACTTTTAAATACTTTTATTGTTATTAAAGAGAAAAATGCTATTTTATTTCATAAGGATTTGGATTTAAAATCAATATTTATTGTGATTATATTGTCTGTTATAGACAAAGATGATAAAGTGAGAAAATTAGCCTCAAATATGATGATTACATTTCATAATAATTATAAAGAACTGTTTGATTATAATTTAAATATTATGGCAGATATTGCTATTAATTTTGTGAATAGTCCGCGACATCAGGAGACCCATTGTGGAGGACTAATCTTCAAATACATTATAACATGTTTTGAAGAGTTTGATGTTTATGACAAACACATAGCATCTAAATTAGATTTAATTGAATTTTTATTATCAACGGCTCAAAACCAATTAATGTCAGCAAAAATAGACTTTTTTAATTCATCAAAAAATAGTCCAATTCATGGCTTTTTATTAACACTTAATAATTGTCTGTCTTTTGAAAATTTAAAAGACTTTATAAATGAAAAACGATTCAAAGATTTAATTGAGACAATTATTAAGACATGTTTTGATTGCATAGATCTAATGTTAAGTCAATTATCAAAAGCAAACGTCCAATTTTCGCCGTCTTTTCAAGAGATGTGTCAATCACTGGAATCAGTAATTATTGAACGAATTGATGGACTTAAAGAGCAAAAGTTTGACGACATTTCTGCTTCAAATGATTTCCAACTATTATTATCAATGTCTTGGCTTAATATCAAAGAATGTAGTTTTTTATTACAAAATATTATTGATTTACTCATATGTTGTCCACACGATATCATTGATGAAGAAATGATTAGAAGTATAGGGAATAAACAAATAACTATATTAACTAAATGTCGACATAAGGGAGTCATTGAAGCTACTTGTATATCATTAACCAAATATACCAATTCATTAATTAAGATGAAATGTCAAAATGATATGCATATTAATACACTTAAGTTATTATTAAATGATTCATTAAATTGTATCTCAAAGTCGGCCATCAATACAAACATAACTCGGAAGTCGGCCGGAGTGGCACTCATTATTCAGGCTATTCTTATTGGCGAATCTGAAGCATATAACAGTGGTTACAAATTAGATAAATCTTTATATAGCCAAACAATAAATCATTTAATAGAGATCGCAAGCCTATCAGTTTCTACAGATATGGACCAAAACAGTGATTTACCACAAACTTATTCATTGCATATATTAAAATCTATCGTAAATACCTCCTCTCTCTCACGACTGACCATTCAAACAGTCGAAAGTCTTTTACCAATTTGTATCAAAGGTTTTAGTTGTCAAGTATGGCAAATACGTAACGCATCGCTTCAATTGTATGGTTCGTGTTGTAGCCGAATGCTTGGTCAGAAAAAGACGAGTGATGTCGACTACTTTATGATTGATGGCTCGACAATCACATCCAATGAATTATTTTCAAGATATCCAACACTTTTTTCAGCTTTTAAATTGCAATTAAAGCAAAGTATTGAGAAAACGGAAAATGGATTTTTGTGCTCTGAATTGGTACCAATTATGTCATTGTTTGCATCATTTTCTCCAATAATAATTGGAGATGACTATAATGACAAAGAGATGTTAAGTTATTTTGTTAGTCTATTAAATAGTAAGATTTGGAAGATCCGAATGTTGACCGCAAAGACATTATCCCGTTTGTTACCAATCACTCAATTGCAACAACTTTTGCTACAATTGTCTTCACAACAGAATTTAAATTGTAATTCAATTCATGGATTAATGCTTTGTTTTAATCATTTGCTTGAATTAAAAATGCAAATCAAATCAAAAGATTATGAAGAATTTAAAAACAAATTTAATGATATATTTAGTAAATTATGTATAACTAGTGATTGTTATATTTTAAATTATATGTTTAATGAATTGTTTGCTCATAACTATCATCAAATTGAATTGTGTGGCCAAGAAATAGCCACTAAATCGGAACAATCCTATAATGATAACAATCAAACAACCAGTTTATTACAAACTTTAGATAAGATAATATCAAATGTAAAGTTTAATAAAAGTGATGACATAAGACTAATGGCAACTAAAAAACTTAATGATATTGTCAATGAACTGAATAATAATAAGAAAATATTAGATGTAATCAATTCCCAGATTATATTAAAAACGTGTGAAATACTATTTGTAATCCTTGAAGACGAAGATAGAGTAGTCAGAAGTGAAGCCGAAATTATTTCTTCAAAATTAATGTTTTCTTCTAAATATACACTTAATAGTCAATGTTTGTCTTATAACACAGCTATCGATTGTTTATTTATTTGGTTGATTGATAACCAAACAGTAGAGGATCAGTTAAAAGTGGACTTTCTATGGCATAGATTGCAATCTGTGATATCGTTATCCAAATTATTTGGATTTCAACAACAAAATCACATACTCTTTGAAAAAGAAGAAAAGAATGTCTTTGCCGAACCTGTCTTTCAATTGTTTAAAATATATGAATCATTGAGACGAGTAATTTCACGCCACACGACAACAATCGACGATAAGGCGATAAAACAATTAGCAAATGATTGTCGATATTGTTTGAGTAATAAGACATGTCTTGACATTAAAACGATAGTTTGCTTTAGTATTTGGAAACTTCCGAAACTAATTCTCTCTATTAGTGCTTTATATTTGCAAATTGAAAGTCTAAATCATTATTTTCAATACAATTTTAATGATAATTTAAAACGTATTTTAAGTGATGAAGAAATTCAAACAATTAATGAAACCCATCAACTCTTGTCAACAAAATTTGTATTTTTATTACAACTTAAACGCAACACATTGTCTGGATTTTCTCTCATTAATTTCTAAAATTATTTGCAAAATGCAATAAATTATTTTTAAACTAATTAATCATTGATATATAGACTCAATTGTATCTTTAAATACTCTAATTAATACTGTATTTAATACCACATTAGGACTGTCCTGTCATCTCTGGTTTTTCTTTTTGTATCCAACCCGACGCCAATTTCTTCAACTCGCCGATAGCTTTGCCCGGATTCAGATGTTTAGGACAGGTTCGGGTGCAGTTCATAATAGTGTGACACCTGTACAATGAAAACGGGTCTTTAAGTTTTTCTAATCGTTCAGCTGTTGATTCATCTCTGGAGTCAATCACCCATCGATAGGCTTGCATGAGAGCTGCTGGACCTAAATATCGGTCACTATTCCACCAATAACTGGGACATGAAGTGGAACAACAGGCACACAAAATACACTCATAGAGACCATCGAGTTTGTCCCTGTCTTTAATGCTCTGCAAATATTGAGTGCCATTACTTTTTTCTTTTCGCTGAAGCCATGGCTGTATTGACTTGTATTGATTATAGAAGTTATTTAAATCCTATATTTATTGAGAAAGAGATAAAAAAAACGGTGTTTTAAAAAAAAAGTGTTAACAAATTAAGATATAATATATTGATATTTATATTTATATAACAAACCGGTACTAAATCTTTGACGACATATAGGTGTGGTAACGGATAGATTTTAGTATCCTTACTTAAATTGTCTTCAATTTTACAAATACAAGCCAAAGTGTTGGTGCCATTAATATTCATGGCACAGGATCCACATATGCCTTCCCTACAGGAACGCCTAAATGTTAGGGTCGGATCCATTTCATTCTTAATTTTAATCAACGCATCCAATACCATAGGACCGCATCTATCAGTTAATTGATTGTCTCATTAAACAAATGGATTCATTATTATTGTCTCTAATGACTCACGAACTGAGGTCCACATCGTATGACTGCAAGTGTGGGTTCACTGAAGGGTTTTCTGGATTCTATACATTAGTTTATAAATGATATGTAAAAAAGCAAATGTTATTTAAAACAAACACTTAAGACATTCATTATCTAATCTAATGACAACTTTCTGATAACTAATAATTGCTTTAAAAGTTTTATAATTAATGTAACAATTTATCAAACATTTTAAGATAAAAATAAAAGATTTTCTCCTAATTCTTATGTTGTCTACAATACCGACAAATAATTAATTATATTATCGTTAACTAAGTCATAATCAATCACTTATTTGGTCAACAATATGGCAATTACTAAGGCATTCAATGAATACAAATGTTATAATAGATAGTTAAACGATTTGAAAATAAATTTTATAAAATTAAATAATCAAATAAAAACAAATTACAATTAATCGACACATTTGTTATGAAATAATTATTAAAAAATAATTAATAATAAATATTAATAGTAATTAAATGTCAAACCACTGACCCATCGATAGACTGAAAACTTCTTAATCTTCTGTTGTTTAGTTTTAGGCTGACTATCCGTTTGAACACTTCTCACCTGTTTATCAATTGGTTCATCAATTAATTAATTAATTATATATCCATTAATTAATTAATTATATATCCATTAATTAATTAATTATATATCCATTAATTAACACAATTATCAATTTAATTACATTAAAATAATTATCAAAATTAATCAATACATACACCGATCGGATAATATAGTAAAGACCTATTATTGGTAACACTTCGGCTAAGAATTGATGACATAGTAGTGATTGAGTTGAGATATAATCACAAATTGTCTTCAATTAGTGTCGACTTTATATAACTATCACTAAATAGTGTTGTCTTTAAGTGTCTCTCAATTTGTCTCAAATCTCACAATATTTCTCTCAACGACTCAAACAGTTATTAACCACAGAATGTGAATGTATTTAGTTTTCGGACGATTCTTGCGCTCAAAACAATACAATTAATAACCGAAAACTGAATAACAAAAATGTTATCTATTGTGAAGTATATGTCATAAACAATGTTTGCATTTCAATGTTCCCCACAATGTGTTGACCTATACTTAATGTTTGACTTAACTGAACGTCATTTATGTCAATCATATTTCATATCAAGTGATTGCGTGTCTTCTCAAACATTCAAACCATTCAGTCATTGATTGCATTCATTTGGTCCGCAATTTAACTGTTAATCTGATCGGAAAATCACTCCCGAAATGGCCGTCGGAAAGAAAGCGTTGACTCGAGAGGAGGAGCTTCTGTTGCAAGACTTCAGTCGAAATGTTTCCACCAAATCTTCAGCACTTTTTTATGGCAACGCGTTTATAGTGTCGGCGATTCCCATCTGTAAGTGATTATCGATGACATCGATGGCCACTGAGTACTGATTGTAATTATTATCCGATATTAGGGTTGTTTTGGCGGATCCATCAAATGGATTTGTATCAGTCGATTGCGGTGTTTGTATTGGTATCAGTAGTGACCACTTGGTTGGTATCATTTGCTTATAAGAACATTAAGTTTGTTTTGAAGCATAAAATCGCTCAAAAACGCGAAGAAGCCGTCGCTAAGGAAGTTATGAAAGGTATCGCCGACGACAAGAAAATGACAAAAAAAGAGAAAGACGAAAGAGTTTTGTGGAAGAAGAACGAAGTGGCAGACTATGAAGCGACCACTTTTGCCATCTTCTACAACAACGCCCTATTCTTAGCTCTCGTTGTTTTCCTTTCCTTTTATATATTGAGATCCTTCAGTCCAACTGTCAATTACTTGATATCAGTGACCGGTTCGGGTGCTATGTTGGCCCTGTTTTCTACCGGTTCTCGATAATCGGTGACATATATATGCATCACTTCTAAGAAATTCATAAAATAATTGAATTTTGATTTCATTTTGAATTTAATAAAAAATTTTGAATAAATTGTCTTCAATTAAAAATAATGTTTACATAATTTCATTGTTTTTGAAAACACAACCAATTGATTAATGTATTGTCAGAGTTATTAAATGGTATATGTAATGTCTTATTATCTTTAGATATATTAATTTTATATTCAAACTGATCCGGATATATCATTATCTTTTTATTTTGAATGAAGATCTGATGAGTTCTTAACCATCTTTTGAATAAATATGGTTTGATTTCAAGTTTAGTCAAATAGTCTCTATAGAAATCACCCGAAAGTATATAAGTATTTGGGTTTTGAAGGCCAGCATAAAGTGTATAGCAGTCATCTCGTGTCTTATCCATCGTATAAAACATTGTCATTTGTTTCCTGTGATCCCAAATAAGATTAGTTAGAAGTTTCCAATTCTTCATATGTCTTCTACCAATCATTAAAATATTATCAAATTTGTCAAAAATATTATTTCTCAAAAGCATTTCGACAGCATTTCTATCGATAACCTCTCTGTCATATCTATAAACATATTTTCTTAACTGAGACTTGTCTTCAACAATGTCTGCGTGTGTAGCAAATGCTATATTGAGACCATCGATGACTAGATCCAGAGGTCTATTAGTAGTTTGTTTCTTAATAAATTTGTGAAAATTTTCCAACTCTTTTTCATATTCAGAAAATGAAGCCATCATTAAATCATTTTGTTTGTTAAATATCTTGTCTTTGAATAAGTAAATCAAATTTTGGTGATCTTCAGTCGACAATTTGTCAAGAGTTTGTCCACAACTGCTGCACAAACCCTTTCTGTCGACAATTGTATTCATTTCTTTAAATTCAAATCTTTTCATTATTTCGATAATAATATCTTTCAAATGAGTTTCAAAGACAACCAAATTAAATGAAAAATTTCTAAATATATCTAATGTCTGATCGAAACCAATATTTGAATTATTTATGTATTCAACTAATTTGCCAATCATTTTGTCATCAAATTTAAAATCCGGATATTTTTTAGTCAAATCAAATGTGTGATCAAAAAGTTTGTGTTTAATTGATGAGTCAATTAAAGAAATGATTAGATTTTTGTCATTTGATTTCAATTGATTCAAGAGTTTCATTGCGTGAACACAATTATCTTTTGATGATTTGGCTAAACCTATGACACAATCAATGGCCACCTGATCGGCAACTTTGTTGTCTTCATATTTATTTATTATCACATCAGTTGTCTGTCGGATGAGTTGAGCGTCTGTACTGTCAATAAAGTCACTGAAATGACTAATGAAATGACAATAACGAGAGGCAGCGATACAGTTGTTAGTGATATTTGGCGACAACTTTATGTAATTAACTAATGATTTAAACAATTTGTGGTCAACTTTGTGACAGTCATTACCGTTATTCAACAGAAATGCTGCCATCAAATCAAACTCATAATTATGTTTAAAGACAAGCCTTTGTTGAGTTAATTGAGTCACCAATTGTTGCCAATTTATGTTACCATTAGTTTCACTTTTCTTCTGAAGAACAACTTCTTGAATTGACTGTAACTTTGCATCTCTTCTTAATTGTTGATCTTTTAAAAACTTTATTTGACTTAACAATCGTTTAGTTGAGACATTTGATAGACAATTATGTCTTGTAATGTATGATCTCATCAAATGTGTGGTCAACGCAAACATTGTGTCAATCAATGGTAAAGTCGTGTAAATTATTAATATTAATAAACGATTGAATCATTTGTAACCATAAATAATGTCAATTGAATTAAGTTGTCATTCAATATAAATACATATTAATAGTGTATTGAATATAAACATTATTCATGTGTTTGATTGACTTGAATATCAAAACAATGCCATGTGTTTGATGTGATGGTTGACCACAATATCGACGATATATTGGATCCAAACTTCATTTGATTTGAATGACAATGACTAAAGCAAACAGAAGAAAATGTAAGTATAGGTTATTATTTGACAGTCAATTGATTTTAATTTTATATATAAAGACAACAATTTTAGTGAATCTGAGCTAAAGTTGATGACAATTCAGGATATAATCAAAGAGTTGCTGAAGAATCTGAGTGACGGTCAAGATGTGAATTTAACGAAACTTAAGTGTGAAATATCTCAGAAATATGGTCTCAAATCTCAGCCCCGATTAGTTGACATCATATCTTGTATACCATATGAACACAAACAGCTTTTATTACCTAAACTCAGGGCTAAACCGATCCGTACGGCCAGTGGTATAGCCGTAGTGGCAGTGATGTGCAAACCTCATCGTTGTCCTCACATTAATATGACTGGAAATATATGTGTGTACTGTCCGGGTGGACCCGACAGTGACTTTGAATATTCGACCCAATCCTATACCGGTTATGAACCGACATCAATGAGAGCTATTAGATCTCATTATAATCCTTATCTTCAAACCCGTAACCGAATTGAACAATTGAGACAATTAGGACACAATGTGGACAAAGTTGAGTTCATTGTAATGGGCGGCACATTCATGTCATTGCCTAATGAGTACAGAGACTATTTCATCCGCAATCTTCACGACGCCCTTTCAGGTCACTGCAGTTCTTCAGTAGAAGAGTCCATACTTTTTAGTGAAAAGAGTCGAACCAAATGTATTGGTATTACAATAGAGACGAGACCTGACTATTGTCTGAAACGTCATTTGGGAGATATGTTAAGCTATGGCTGTACACGACTTGAAATTGGAGTCCAATCGGTCTATGAAGACATCGCTCGGGACACCAATAGAGGTCATACGGTTAAAGCCGTTACCGAATCATTTCAATTGGCAAAAGATTGCGGTTTCAAAGTTGTTGTGCATATGATGCCAAACTTGCCGAATGTTGATTTAGAAAGGGATGTCCATCAGTTTATTGAGTTCTTTGAAAACCCTGATTTTCGAGCCGATGGCCTTAAAATATATCCAACACTTGTTATTAGAGGGACTGGTCTTTACGAGCTATGGAAGAATGGTAGGTATCGCAGTTATCCACCATCTGTTTTGGTTGACTTATTGGCACAAATTCTTGCTTTGGTACCGCCGTGGACTCGTGTTTATAGAGTTCAGAGGGATATACCAATGCCTTTAGTGACTTCAGGTGTAGAACACGGAAACATAAGGGAATTGGCACTCAAAAGAATGAATGACTTCGGAACCAAATGCAGAGATATTAGAACGAGAGAAGTGGGTATTCAAGAGATACATCATAAGGTGAAGCCCGAAGAAGTGGAACTCATTAGAAGAGATTATGTGGCTAACGATGGTTGGGAAACATTTCTTTCATATGAAGACGTAGAGCAAGATATACTTATAGGTCTTTTGCGTCTTAGGAAGTGCTTGAAGCCAGCGTTCAGACCTGAACTTAAAGGTAGAGTTTCTATTGTTCGGGAACTACATGTTTATGGCACAGTTGTGGCCGTCTCTTGCAAAGACCCGACTAAGTTTCAACACCAGGGATTCGGTGCACTTCTTATGGAAGAAGCGGAACGGATTGCCAGAGAAGAACATTTATCCGATAAAATTGTTGTCATTTCCGGTAAAATTAATTTTATTATAAAATGTCATTATTTCTTGTTTTTTTTAAATAAAACAATTAATCTATTTAGGAGTCGGAACTCGAAATTATTATCGAAAGCTTGGCTATGAATTAGATGGACCTTATGTTTCAAAATTATTATAAAATTATATCTTATCTATAGTTTTATTATTTGCAGTTTTCGTGATATAATAAACGAAAGATTTTGACTAAAATATGAATTTTCTGTAATTATAATTGTTTTGTACATTAATTTTAATATTTAATAAATATATTCATTTTTGTTTTGTTTATTGTAGTCAAAACATTATTACCTGTAGTTATAGTCATATAAATTAGTAATTTTGATTCAGAACTGACATAAATCGGTAAATTTAAATCTAATTTTAAAGTGTTGAAATATATATATATATATATATAGTATATAAGAATCAATTGAATTCAATGGGATTTCCAAATGAATGTCTATTCATATCAAATGACGTCTTAAGTGACCAAATGCTAAATCATCGTTTCATTTAATCAGTTTTTTAAATAAATTGTTAATTCAATGAAATAAAGGTTAAATCAATTAAATTAGAAAATGATAATTTTAAGTTTATAATTTATACAATATAAAATTTTTTCATATGTTGATTAATTTATAAATATTTTATTACAAATCAATTTTTAAATTTGATAACTTTTAATATTAATATATATATATAATTATCTTTAAATTTATCAATAAAATTACTAATAATTTTGTTGTAAATAATAATCAATGGTTTGACAGTTTCAACTACCGGTGCCATCATTATCATCATCGTCGTCCTCATTCTCCCGAAGCCATGTCATAAACCGGACTACACTAGTGATGGCCATAGCCTTTCCTGGACTCGTTTTGTCGGTTTCTTCCCACTTGAGAAACGCTTCGTGAGATATGACAGAAGTATCGTAAAGGCAATTAAATATATTTGAAAGTAAATCTATTGGAAAATTAATAATAAAATGTTAGCAATCATTATGTCAATCATTAAGAATAATCATATACTTGACGGGTGTTGAAGTCTTTCCATAAGTTCTGTCAGTACTTTAAGTGCTTGTAATTCATTGTTCAGATTTCCGTCCAATATTTGATTCAAAATAGAAACCATTTTTGTTAATAAAGATATATCGACTGTCATTGCAAACGATTCATTTCTTGGATCTTGTGGTGCTATTCACAACACATCACAACAATCAATATATCATTTATTATATAATTAATATTAAATACAAACCATTAATACATCCATTAATGATAGCACTGAATAAGGCACTCGTAATTGGAGGATCAAGCTTTTGATGGGTATTAAAATGTTTCTATAATTTAAAATTAATTTATTATTTTCTATACCTTTAATCAATTAATTGTGAGTAATATATCTTACGTTTATTATATTATTAATTTCATTAACGTTTTCATTTTTAACGAGTTGTTCAACTTCTTTGATTAAAGTTTGGAGTTTTGGCTCAAACTGTTTCGTTGTAAACTCAACGCCCTATTAAAATAATTTACTTATAATATAATGGTTTAAATAATTTATAAATTTGTATTTTATTATTACGTATTGACTGACAAAATCCACGACATTTTGATTTGTATCTAAAAAGTCAGTCCAACTTAAGTCAGAATTTTGCCACAATTCGTTGGCTTGCATTTCATTCTATATAAAACAAAATCAATTAATTCAAACTATTGGTAATTAAATTAAAACAAACAAAATAAATAATACTCACAGTATATACAGAAACTGATTTAATAATTTTTGCTATAAATTTGGCTCCACTTCTTTCTTCGCAAACTATTTTAATATCAATTAAAAATTTTTTCCTATCAAACGTTAAGCCGACAAATACGGGAGCAATCACTTCGGCGATATAGTCCCACATCTTTGGAACGTCTATTTCTATGTCACTCGACATTTCCAATATAGCATTTAAACTGAGAGTATCCGACAAAATAGTTAATCAAATAAATCAATAATAATTCTAATTAATTGAGTTTACCCTTTGAAGAAGTGGTCGAGTTTTATATAATGATTGCAAAGAAGATGATTAATAAGTTTACCAATAAGGAAGTGGTCGGTCTGACTAGAGTTGTCCAGTGCTATATTGAGCGCTGTTGTCACATATGTGTCAACATTGGAGTCGTGACAAACGGTAGTGACATCGAGGACTGATTCTTTGAAATTCTTAACATTTAAATACTCCTGAATAGAGGCAATACATTTGTCGCCTAATTCTTTGTCTGAAATACTAGTACTGCCCTTCAATTGATTTTCAATGTCAGGCGTTTCACGGCGTATAGAACTGCTGCGACTATTGGGTGCACTGGCTTCCCGACTACCGCTAAGACTACTATTTCGTGAAGTCATATTTGGATATATCGGTGAAGATTCTGATGGAGATTGTCTGTGTGATGAAAAACTTCGGGCAAGACTTATAGCCTCATCTTTTTCGGCACCGCGTCCTCCTGTCTGAGACCGACCTCCACCACTGCGACTCGATTGAGAGTAGCCGTGTTGCTGATTGGATCTACCTTTACTTGAATCTCTTGATGATAACGTCCTTTAAAAGATATATTAAATCATTATTCATTCCGATGAAAACTATCATTTATATTACTTATGTGATTGCTTTCTATTATCATTTAGATCTAAAGGTGAAAATCTATTGGGAGGTTGTTTGTCGTCAGCAGTCGGACGAGTGGACGATCCTCCGCCACGACTACCGAGTGACCAATTACCGATACCACCCATTGGACCGAGTTGTATATTATCGTGACTTTGCTATAATTATAAAAACGTGTATTATTATCATTATTAAACATAATATTATTTAAAACAAAAATATATTTTTTAAAAATCAGAAACGAGGAATTTTGTCGCCATATATTGTCCGACAGGGATAACGTTCATCAGATTATTGTAATATTTATTATAATTAGTAAACTATATTAATAATTACAATAATGTCATACCATTTGATTCTTCATAAGTGCGAAGTCAATCTTCGCGGGCGGCATAGCGTTCTGACTCTTACGTCCGGTTACTGTCTTCCATTGATTGCCATCATTGGCATCGTTTTGATTGCCTATAAATAATCATTACTTTAGTATGCTTTTTAAAACTAGTTATTAATGACAAACAATCAAATATCAGATATAAAAGATGTTGTCTTCAAATTTCATCGGACAGGGATAACGCTCATCATATTATTGACAAATATAAATAAAATCATTTTAATTATAAATACCTTTTTTCCTTTCTTCATGTTTTCGAAGAGTGTGTTGTTGTAAATCCCGTGATTTTTGTTCGTCTTCTTTTTGAGCGTCTTTATGGATCTCTTCAATAGTTTTGGGTAAGTTCTCATCGCGTCTGACTTTCCAATTATTTTTACGCATATCGTTGATGTCCTTCAACATGAAGCGGACCCGTGAAGACGTTCCTTTGACATCCGGGTCCTTCTGATTTGCAATCTTTTCCATTCGTATAAAAAATGAGTTCAAAAACTCCATATATTTTGGTTTACAGTTATTGTCAATCAGTTTCTGGTCCTGAGTTTGCGCTTCATTTTCAATTTGTTCACCAATTGTACGAAATAAATAACAAAGACATTCAAGTGACTCGTCGTCGGCTTCTTTGATAAGGTTTTCAATACATTGAAGCATAATATTTGCTTTCAACATATGAAGTTTGTATAGCTCTCCAATCAATTTAATATTTCCTAAACTTCTTTTGCGAGCTCTTCTCTTGTCGTCGTCGAGTATTTCCCACAACTCTTTCTTTTTCTTTTGGTCCATACATTTATCGATCACTTCCTGTCTCTCTTTGAGGTCAGTAATCGTGGCATAAATGTCTGCTTCAAATTCTTTTTGACATTTAGTAAGAAGTAATTTATAGAACTTGACTTCTTCGGATCCATTCTCCCCTTCTTTAAAAACTTTGTAAGTTTGCAAATGTAAAGATAAATGTTTGCAAAGATTAGCGTATTGGACACAAAATGCCGGTTCATCGACGGCTTTCTCAAAAATCAGATCTAATACGCGTCTAAGTCTGTCTTCGGTATCAAATTTTAATCCCATAATTTTGTTACTTAAATCATTGAATTTCTGTGGCGTAAGTTTATTAAGAATTCCTCTAATCTTTTTCAACAGATCTTGTGTTTCCTGTTCTTCATTATCGAGTCCGGGATCGGGTCGGGACATAGGTTTCCATGCATTGCCTGTTGTATGCAGTTTGACATCCTGTGTGAGTGATGTCGATATAATCTTTCGTTGTTTATCGGGAAACTTTCCCGATTGACTCTTTCCTCGATTCAATGGAGGCTTTAATACGATAATAAATTATTTATGTAATCATAATATTATCTAATCTTCAATTAATTATAAAAACTTACATTAATTCTGTTTCGGAATTCTGTAGACTTTGCAAATTGTGGTAAAAATAAGTCGTGAGCGTAAGGAACCGGGTGACTGTCCCGTGAACTCGAATCCTATTTTATTAAAAATATCATATAATTACAATTAAGTAATCATTTAAATAAATATCACTTACTTTTCGTTGAATGTCTTTAATTTTATCTGATTTAAGACATTCAGGCATTTTGTGAATGTCTGCATTTTGCGAATGATGTAATACAGCCATCAAAAAATCTCTGTCATAATTTTTGATGCCATCGGTATCCACTGGTGTCCACTGTCCGTCTTTATACGGCAAGTTTGGACGCAATGGCAGACTGTCTTTAGTTGTCGACATTTGCTCATTGCTTTCATCTGATGAATCATTAGACAGTACTTCATTGGCAATATTATTGTCACTAATATTATTATTATTATTACAAACAGTTTCTGATTTGTTTGATGAGACGATCACAGACAAAGACTCATCAATAGTCGGTTGGACCTCAAGTTTGTCTACAACTGACACATTGTCGGTCACATCATTACCACAATTGTTCACTTTATTATCTCCTAATTTTTTTTCGTCAACTAATATTGTCGATTCATTTATGTTTTCAATTATATTATTATTATTTTCAATTACTTCTTGTTGAGAATAGTCTTTGGCTTTCATTTTAAATAAAATAATTATAAATTAATATTAAGTAAATTACATATCAAATAAAGTAGCAAATAATGCAATCAAAAGAGCAAAATAAGTTAATTTTATCAAAGAATGAGATAATACGCGCAAATGTATTAACACATTGAAAATAAAGATAAAAATGTGTTATAAATATCAGAAAATTTTGTGACTAAAATAGTGACTCTCGTTCACAGACTATTATGATAGAGTCAAACCTGAATTGCCTTTAAAACCATTTTTCCTTTTATTAGAAAAACGGTGTCTCTTTTGGCCACATTTCGGGGGTTTATTACTAAAACTAGCCATTCATTCAATTATCTACTTTTTAATACATTATTCACTAATAATATAATTCAAGTTATTTAAACACATTTTTCAAGACTCATCACTTATGTATAAAAGGCTAAGTGAACAACTGATTAGGACTAGCAATGAGTGACTAAAAATAGTATTACTAATTACGTCAACATCTTATTTGGTTTATATATATATATATATGAGTTCAAGACTAATACAATTCATTAATAGCGACATAAAATTATCACAAATTAATTACAAACCTATTTCCGTATTTGTCTTCTCTGTTATGTCATCAATGGTTTGTTCAAAACTAGTGTCCGATGACTGTCCATTGGTTGCACTCAAATTTTGCACACTATTTAATTCAACTTTTATTTGACTACTATTAACATCATTTAAAATATTTTGAGCTGATTTGTCATTTAATAATTTACTATCAGTTTTATTATCAAAATTACTATTAGAAGAACTAATTTCAGAGTTTGTTAAATCATTGTTTAGTGAGCCGTCATCACCGGCTATTGAGTCACTAATATCACCGTTTTTGTCATTTGTTTCACTAATTGATTCACTTTTAGCTACCAAATCGTCTGCTTTCGGATCGACATAATCTGTTTCGTTGACTGAAGAAGCAGTTGTTGGTTGAATGTCTAATGATTCATTAGGAGGAGCCGCTAATCGGGAGACAGATGTGGTAAACTCCATCTGAATCACTTCCTTTTCAGACTATAAAATAAACATAAATTAAAAAAATAAGTTTCAATTTTAGGCAATCCATACCAAATTGGGTGTTATTTGAATGGAAGCTCCGGGATGTGACTTATTTCTATGATTGCTAGATGTCTGTTCTTTTGGTTCAGACTTATCTTTAGCCAACGTCGCCAGATCTATCATATTACCACTTGGGTCCTGCAATAGTGCCGGACGTTTCTCACGTTTTATGTATTGTTTTGGAGGCATTTGTGAAGACTCATTGGGATTCATGTCATTGTTTGGCGGTGCCATCTGAACAGTTAATTGAGGTGTTGATTGTATTACAGGAGGAGCTGTCACAGCAGTTACCGCTGGCACTCTTGATTGGTGCATTGCAGAGGGCATTATTTGATGTTGAGTTGAACCCTGATGTTGATGTTGATTGTGATGAGCTGGGAACTGATGTTGCGGATACACTGCCAATTGAAAATAGGTTAGACATTCATTAAGTTAACAGTTAACAACTAAATTACCGTTACCATATTGTGGTATATGTTGGCCACCATATTGTGGTTGCGCTGTCGGCTGATACATATAGAAAGTTGGCGCCGCCTGTCTTGGTGTGTACTGTCATATATTATTAATTTTATTATTATGTCATTTATTAGTAACAAATAAACTAATGTTAATTTTGAACATACCGGGTGAGTTATATGTTGGTTATGCATAAACATGCTCTGTATATTATGTTGTGTTGGTTGCGTTACATAATAAATTTGTTGTGCACCGGAATGTTGGGGCATATTATGCATATTAGTTTGAGTTGGCTGTTGAGCAGCATTGGGAGGACCAGACGGTGCTCTACTCATTAAAGGGGGTCTCGGCTGTGCCCGTGACTGCTGTGGTTGTTGCTGTTGAGGAGCAAATGTTTGCTGATGACTATAGCCTCTAATTTGGTTCATAGTTAAAACTTGAGGCACACTTGTTTGTATCACTTGATACTGATTTGAGCCAGCATTTGCCACCGAAACAGGCATTGGGGCGCCGCCCGGGTTTATAGGAGACACCTGTGACGGATGGCTCTGTGGTAAAACAACCTGTTGAACGTTAGCAGCACTTGGATGTGATTTGTTTAACACTGGTTCGTGTGATGAATGTGTTGCAGATTGAATGCCTTGTCTGGCGGCCTATCGGATAAAAATTCACACAATTAACATAAATACATATTTTTCAACTATATATCATACACTTGAGTATGTGAGCCGATGGTCAGGTCGCGAGTGGTTTTTTGTTGGTGCCGACCCTCTCGGGTTTAAACTATTTAACATTTCACAAACAATTCAATAAACTCTATTATTATCATTATATTTAATCAAAATACAATTTACTAAACAATTATATAATTAACAAAATAACAGTCAATATATGTTTGAAAAGTATGTAAAGCATTGACTGACTGTGAGATGAGGTCATAAACCTCTGCATAAGTTTTGGTAATGTATTGAATGCATTGACCGAAAACTTGAAGATCAACCAAAAGGTAACGACTCGACACACTATCGAAAAATCACTTCAATCACACACTCATACTATACATACTGTATATATATATATATAATACAGTATATTGTATATGTTATATATAATGTATATGTATATACAGTATAATATACACATAAATTATATATGCATACAATTATATAATGTAATAGTATGTTATATAATTAAATATATCTGAATTTATAGACAATAAATGAATAAACAATTAAAAATTTTAGTCAACTAATAATATGAAGAAATGGTTAGTTAGTATTGAGTGTATAACTGAGTCGCCGGTTAAATGGCACATGTATTGCATGTATTACACACACATACACAACATGTACTCAACATTGCATTAATACAAGTATTTTCAATGTTATTATAAATGAATTGGAAATAAATGATAAAAACAACAAATATTTATTTGACTGAAAAAGCATTGGAATGTCTGCTGTAATCATGGTTTAGATGTCAGACCAGTCTGTAGTTGTCGTCAACCACTGGTTTGCACTACAAGTCATCACTATTTGGGTCACATGTGGACAAACATACCTTTCCTTATCATATCAAGTGATGGCCAATACATATAATATATAGCATTATATATACATTACCTGTCAATTAGTTGTTTAAATGACAACACATTGGATTGTAATTGTTGTCCGAAAATATAAATATAGATAAATAGTTAAAATGATAATCAATTTAACAATATTTACACTAATTTACATATTATTTATTATTATTGTCTGCATTATTATCATAACATTATTTAATCATTTAACTCAATAATCACTAATTGCTTATATTTTGACAATTAAATCATTAAATCAATGCAATTAATGAGTGATTTGTGGACAAAAGTGTCAGTAATTGAAACAATCATTTAATATATAAAAGCATTGAATAGTAAACAAAGTGATACTTACTTTAATGGCATTACAAGAAAGTGTGGATTAAAATCAATTAACCGTCAAATCAAGTAATAGTCATATAGTTTGTCATTAATTGTATAAATCAATGATTAAATTGATTGAAACATTCATTCATTTTAAACAAACAAACACTACATTCATGTATTAACACGATATTCGCCATTAAGGCGGATATGATGTCATCACCAATGAGTCCAACACTTCAAATACCATTCAATCATTACGTTACCAAATATAACATAAATTTACAATATATAGTACAATATATACTAATATTAATACAATATTATAAAAGTATTTTAATTTTCATTTGTCATTAATTTTGATAATTTTACTCTTTTTATACAATCTATTGATTTAATTTTATGAAAACAAATATCACAAGAAAAGCCATGGATCTCATCAGACAAGAATCGAGACATAAGACAATAATAACAGAAAACATGTCTACAGCCAATCTCATGGGCATTGATTGGCCATTCATTACAGATAATACATGTCTTGAGATCGTCGAGCTTTCGCTTCATTGCATTACTTTCTTCAGTCTTGACATCACTCGGAAAGACACGTCTTATAACATTAAGATATGAGTTCTTCAATCGATAAAAGTTTATTAATGGCAATACAAATGTCAATAGTTGTGCAAAAGTATGCCACAAGAGTTCTCTATTCATTATTTCTAAGTATAGTCCACCAGAAGACCAGTTTTGCCGAACCGATTGCATTCCTGTTCCCAATCGCAACAATCGTTCCCAAAGTGACCGATATTTGCCATAATATAAGAATATCAATGAATTAAGAAAATCCAAACTTTTATAAACATTTTCTGTCTTTTCCAACATATTCTTCATGTTCTCTCTATTTATCCTTTGCTTAACCCAAGGAAATAATATTTGTATCAAAATTATACCATATCTTTGATATTGATTAAGATTGTCTCTAATATTGTTATCACTGTTTAAGTTATAATATTTTAATTGAAATAATGACTGTCCTATGGATACGCCTGTCCTCTGAACTGTATTAATCCAAATATAAATCTTGATGACTGCCATCACTTCTGGTCTTAAACTGCTAAACCAATCACTCTATAATTGTATTAAATAATTATTATAAATTAACAAATCATTTACAAATATACCTCAATATTAAAGAGTTTGGACTCAATAATATCAATCAATTCATTGTCCAATGTTTTGGAGTCAATCTGTTATTAAATTATAAATGATTAGCAAAAAAGTCAATTAAATTCATGTCTCAATTGCACACCTGATTCACACGCAATGTATATATTTGTTTGTATGACTTGATATCCATTACAACACTAGAGTCAATCATTTTTCAATTTATATCAAAACAAATCAATATTATTATTATTATTATTATTATTATTTAATTAACTAAAATATTAACACAAATGAATATATGATATTAGACTAAATTATATGATATACTGTAAAAATAGGAGTAAATCGAAAGATTAAACCAATAAAAATCAATTAATATTTATTAAATTTAGTTTCAAATATTATTATAATTTTAATATAAAATGTTGAAATCAGTTATCAAAATGTAAATTATATTTATTATTAAATCCCACAAAAAATCAGTTCATATAAAACACAAACACTTTTAAATACTGTATAATTCATATACAGTACAGTACTGTATGTAAGTTAATGTTACCATAGTTTATATTAAACATAAGGTTGCCAACTATCTATCATTATTATTATATTTATATTTATTGTTTGAAAATCTTAATTGCATTTCATATAATATTAATTAAAACAAATTTGTATTAAAAATAATTTCAATTATAACTTTAATGTGTAAATTTTAAATAATACATAGATTTAATATTGACATTAATGTATAAAAGTTGTCAAAATAAATTTATGTATTACTAATTGGATATGCCTTTGGTTTTAAAATTTTGTATACAATATTAAAAATATTTAATTTTTATTTAATGAGTTGACAACCTTTAATGTATAAACAATTTGTCATAAATATTGTTACTGTATTTACTGTATTTATTTTTGTTATTAAATATTATTTTACTATTAATACAGTATAACATCAATACAGTATTAATGTATTAAATTTAACATAAAGTACAGTACATATATTGCACACAAATAATATAACAATAAATATATAGTTTTATATCCCCTTTATTTTCAATAGTAATGTTAATTAATAACTTTATTAACACAAAACTTATATAAATTATTGTTACGTTGTTTAATGTAATATTATATACAGTGTATTAATATACTACTGTATAATAATAATAAATTAATAATAATATTGTGATAAATATTTAATATTAATTGAATTTCATTGAATCATATGATAACATATTGATTATAAACTGTATAATAATATGATAACTATTTAATTATTTGAGTATAAATTAAACTATAATTTTGATGTAAACTATATGTTGGATGAGTTGAAGCATTGAATGAATCAATTGAAGCCATAATTGAGTGAATTGTTTGTAAACTATATGTAAATAATAAGATTAACATTAAGTTTATTGAGTGCAACACGTATTGTATAAATCAATGCATTTGATGGACCATTGCTTAGACATTGAGCACTGATTTGAGTTATTTTCACATTTTTATAACTAATAGTTAATTAATTCAAGTATTTTATATTTGATAGCAATTAATGAGTCAATTACCGACTCTTTTGATGACACGTTTCACTCAAATTGACATTTCTTTGAATCAATGATTGATTAATATATGAATTTTATTTTTATACAAATATTATTAATATATTTAATACTTATTTTTGTTAATTCAATTGAAAGCACTTAATGTCGATTAATAACCTAAATATCAATTATATTAATAAACATTTAAGTATTTAATGAACAAGTGATAGAAATATTGGTCACATTTTATGCTTCAATATCAACGATGTTTTGATGATAATTATCTAATAAAGTGTTTGAATGGCAATGAGTGAAGAAGTATTGGATTCGTGGGAAGATATGATTGATGATAATGGGGTACAAACCATACATACATTCAATAATTATGACAATCATTTAATTTGTTTTTTTTAATCAGCTCTTAGACAACAAATTCTCTGATATGAATATAAATAACTCGAAGACAAGTGTAAAGTCGGCCACAAGTGATGGTAACTCAAGCTTTGATGTCACACAAGAGTCACAACAGTGGCCACAGTTAACAAACAACAGCACTAATGATAACTCAATTCGGATTCTGAAGAGACCAACAAATATAGTGTCAAACATGTCGTCGGCCAACACTTCCAGTAGTGATACAAATCAAAACCAAACAATTATTACTTTGGAGGACAACACACGTACACAATATGTACCACCCGTTCGGATACTCAAGAGACCAGATACTAGATTTTGTGATCCTAATAATAAATCACTAAATAAATTAACTAATGGTAACAAAAGTACTAATAGTAAGACATATGAAGAACGAGAAGCCGATTACGCCAAAGCAAGACTGAGAATATTAGGCAGTGCTTCGGCACCTGAAGAGGACACTAATTTAACACAGAATTCATCACTCGCTGCCATTGCTATGAATAATAGATTATCACCTGAAAGCAGTTCAACAAAATTAGACTTAAATAAACATTTAAATGAAACAACAAATAATGTGCCCATCATTAGGCTTCCACTCGGACCCGATGGCACTAAAGGTTTTAATAGTCAAATCCGCGCTCAACAACAACAACATAGGTAGCGGTCTTGTTATTCGTCCAGTTATTTGAAAATTCATATATATTTCTATATATCCATGTGTTAAATGATTATTTGATTATTGAAATTACATGAATTTGTGATGAATTTCGAAAATTGTTCTACACTTTGAGTTTTTTCTATTTAAGTTTTGAAATGTTTAAGTTTAGTGTTTGTTTTAATTTTTACTAAAATATAATTATGGTATATTATTTGGCGAATTACCGTATTTGAATTACATTATATACAAAATATAAAATTATCTTAGTTAATTTTTTTTATTTTTAAGTATTAATTTGTTTACATATTTTTATTAAAACTGAGTCATAAGATACTGTATATCAAACTTATAAGATTACACATACTATATAACACACACATCGTTTGTAAACATTTTTTAATTTAGTTAAATCTTAACATTTAATACAAAGAATTTTTGATTAAAAACATTAATTCAAAACTAAAAAATACTGAATTTTAATTTCAACAACTTATACATTAAATAATGCAAAATACTATTGATTGTATAATATGTTTACGGTATTAGTAATAATGCGGTAAACGTATAAAAGATGTTAAAGAGGATCATCTGTTTCTCACTTATTACACAAATTGATACAAATATTTTAATGTTTTGTTTTTATTTTAAAAGTGAGCATGGTGATCTTTAATTGAAATACATGAAATTCAAATTAGTGTAAAACACATAGAAATTATTTGAATTAGTTTATATTGTGATCCCAATAAAAGGCATACTCTTAAACAGGAGGTTTAATATTTAGAGATCATAAAATCTAATTGTTAATTATTTCATATATTTGCATAAAATATTTAATAACTTCTAAATATTTATTTATTATTCAATTGTATATCTTTTATAATATTTTGTCACAATAGCCGTTACTTAAATATTTAAATTGTAATGTATTTTTATATAAAAAAAAATATACATTATTTTCGTAAAAGTTTTATATTTCATTATAAATTGTTATTAAGCAAACTTAAAATGAGATAATTTACTGACTTATTTGAAAAGAAAACTAATTTTTTAAGTTCTTTGTATTGAATACTCTTTTAATTAGTTGATTACAATCTTATTTGAAAGGCACTTATTTGAATTGATGTAATATATTTACCAAACAAAATAATAATTATGAAAATATGTATAAAATCAATTACTAATATATATTTTTTAATTATAACCACAAAAGTAAGTATTTTAAATTATTTCAATATATGATATATGAATGAATAGTATGGACGGTTGATAACGAAGTGGTCCAAAGATATGATGAAATGATTTATTTGAAAACTACTTTATATTTATATATATATATATATATAATTTATATACAAATAATTACTTTGTTATGTAAAGAAACCATACTTTTAAATATATTAAAAATATATTAGAAATAAATCCAATTACTCATTATTTTAATTTATGAATAATCCATTTGTTGTGTTTTATTTGGGTGCCATCAATACAGTTACGAATTCTGTATAAAATAAATTAATAAATTAATTGAATTAATACAATAAACAGATATACAGTATTGGTTGATATTGAAATAGGTTAAAGATTTTAAATATTAAAAACATTAATTATTTTTATGTTAATAGTTTGATAATTATATATTTTGTTTATTCACTTATTATAGGGAAATGATGTCATAAAGAAAGTAATTATATTTTATATACCGTATCATTCAACTAATAAATCATTGTTTCCATTGAGTTGATATAAAAGCAAATATTAATAAATAAAGTCAACTTTTCTTTTACTCAATTGCATAACAAATCATATAACATATAATGCATTCATCATAATAAATGTAATCACAGAATATTCTGTATTATATGCTGTTTTCAATCATAATCTGTGCTTTTAGTGTTGGTATACACTCAACATTAATACTTATACTATACATACAGTAATGTTAATATCTATTCATATCTTATTAATAATATGTTATTTTCTGTTTTGTTAATTGAATCATTACTTCATTTCAGACAATCATTTCCTTTTTTGTTTTATATAATTGCATGAATTTAATGATATATTGAAAAATTGTTTTAAATTCAATTGTTTTGTTTATAACAATTTAAAACTCAATATTTATATATTAATTGAAGTGGTTTTAAGTTATGCTTTGATGAGTATAATGCCTTTTATGTTAAATTTATAAACAATTATTATATTCTAATTAATGTTTGAATAGTTTTCAAGTAATACTACTTATATTAAATGCAAATAATTTGTAAGTAAACTAGTATTTTAAAAACTGAAAGTATCACTTTATCAAAAATTTTAAAACAATTTTTTACAATACAAACCATCGTAATTAACTAAACCATCGCCATCGAGATCTGCTTCTCTGATCATATCTTCAACTTCTTCATCGGTTAGTTTTTCGCCTAAATTTGTCATAACATGTCTTAATTCCGATGCACTGATAAATCCGTCACCATTTCGATCAAATACTCTGAAGGCTTCTCTCAATTCCTCTTCTTTGTCCGTCTCTTTCATTTTTTTAGACATCATATGTAGAAACTCATTGAATTCAATGGTTCCATTGCCTAAGTATATGAAATAATAATTAATTGATGAAATATAAGATATAGTGTATCCATACCGTCCTGATCAACCATTGTGACCATATTTTTAAGTTCAGTTTCTGTGGGTCGTTGTCCTAAAGATCGCATAACAATTCCTAATTCAGTTGCGGTTATCCTTCCGTCCAGATCTTTATCAAACAACATAAACGCCTCCTTAAACTCTGCCACCTGTTCTTCTGATAGACCATATTCTGCCTGTCAGTCAGTAATTATATATAACAATAATTAACAATTTATATACTCTTTAAACATTAATCTATTTTTATCCAATAATAGATTTATTATTTTGTGCTTTAATTTGCAAAATTAACGCAATGTTTAAAACTAAATCTATGGTTTGCGTGAATCTTTTATTCATTTTATATTTAATACATTTTATATAAAATCATTATACAAAAAGCAAATTATATATGAAATCAATTATTATTAGTTTAATATTAAATATGAAATCCTAAAATCAAACATTAATTGCAAATGAAATATTTGTTAAAATGAATTTATATTATTTGTCAATGAAATTTCAAATATAGTTATTGATTGTATTCTGGATTCTTTATTTAGTGCCTATAAAACGCAAACATTTATTTGATAAGTAAAACGTAAAAAGTAATAATAAAACAATTATTATTTCAACATTTGTTTGTTTTAAATGCGAAAGATTTGTTTAAAAGTTTTGAAAATTTCTTGAGACATAAAAATATATGCAGAATGTGTTTATATAAATTATATACAGTATATTATATGATATATGGTATATATATATAACTCGTGTAATACATATGCAAAAACATCCGCAATGCAGATGAAGATATGCCAGTGATATAGGGATAGAGATTCTGAGGGATATAAAGAGATACAGATTGGATGTACGAATAGGCAATGACTGGCAAATGACTGTACTGTATATATATATATACAGTATATTGTCAATGAATACTGTTTTTAGAAAAAGCTTTCTTAACTTAATAGGTTTGGTACCAAAAATAAGTTATTGGCAGAGAATTAGGCACTACTTTATAAAAAATTGAATGTTTTTGAATAGCAAATAGTACTCAACTTATAACTATAGCAAACATAATTCAGTTAATCATATAATAGCACTTCTCATAAATATATTGTGTGATGATTTTGATGCCCAAAACATAACTCTATTTATTATGAAAGATGAGTATTTGAAAATATTATATCAAAAAACGATAACTTGTTTTGATGTTTAGCTTCTGAAATTGTTTTCATACAAATAAAAGAAAAGAGAGAGACGTTTATGTAACTAATGTTGCAAATGATTATTTGCCAATATTTTGTTATCACTACCAGACTTATTGGCACTTTTGGCACTTCCATCAGTGATTAAATAAGTGAATCAATTGATGTTGAAGTCATTGAAAAGCAATCAAAACATACAATGCATATAAACTTATAAAATAATCACGACATTCAAACTTAATTATATCTAGTTTTTCGACTATTTATTTTCATTAAATCATTTATTTGTAATTTAAATAATTATATTTGTAATAGTAAAAAATGAATATTGTATAAGTTATATTTTTAAATAGTTGGATTAGGTTATTCTAACAATGTCAATTGATTTCTATTACATTTATAATTAAAATCATTTAAAATAGATAATTGACGAATGTTTAACTTGTTATTACATAAATACTATATAAATGTTTAATTGTTATGTTAATTTTATTTATTGTGCATAAAATTATCTGTAATTTACTAGATATAGTTAAATTTACAATATAAAATATTTTAAGTTAAGCATTTTGATAATATAGAGAAAAAATAAAAAAAAACAATATATACAATAAAAATTTGTGTACTTATTGTATACTATAAATAACACAATAATTTATCACATGATATTTATAAATTTATAACAATTTAAAAATTCTTAAATTTTATGGTAATTTTAAATCATTAACATTAGATAATTTTCTTATATAAAATTTAAAAAGATTAATTAGCTTAATATATTTTTATAGTTTATTTAATTAGCAAAATATTTAGCTTAAAAATGGATTTTTATACAAAATTATAAGAATTTATTTATAATTAAGAATATTATTATCAAATTTAAATACATAAAATTAAAAATGTAATTTTAATTTATTCTTAATATTAAATTATTTTTTGTATAATAAAAAATTATTTGAAAAAAAATCATAGTAATTTAACATTAAATTAGTATTTTTTTTAACACCAACACATAAAATACATAACTCAGCAAATAATTTACTACATATACTAAATCTTTAAATATAATATTAATTTTTGGCAATATTATATCATTTATTTTCTGCAAAATGACAAAGTTTATAGAAAAAATATAGTAAAAATCATTATTTAATTAAGACCATTAAAAATTTTTTTATATACGTTTAACATTATAAAATTATTTATTATATTTCTTTTTATTTAAAAATAATAATATATAGATTTCAAAAACATAAAAAAAACAATAATTGTGTTGACATAAATTTCATTGATAAATGAAAAAAATCAATATTACAAATACTATATACTATCATATGATACAGTATTATAAAATATCTTTTAAGATATTAGGGTAATATAATTTACATTTAAAAAAATAAGTACAATGTATTTTTATTTTTATTATTTTGTTTCTAATTTTAAATACGATTATATAAAATGAATGGATTAATACTGGTTATAATTTTTAAGATACATTACTTTTTTTTGTGTCCGCAAAAAGTTATTTAAATTTTTGATACTTTGCCATAAATGGTGTAAAAAATTTATTTAACAAAATCAAAATATATTTTTAATTATTTGTTTATATTTTTAAAATTATTAATTATTTCATAATTAAAACAATATAAATATTTATTTTTATATTTATTTAGATATTTACGTAAACCTAAATTTTTAAATAATGATAATATAATTGACATCAAACATATTGTTTAATTGATTAAATAACTATTAAATAATTTTATATATTTATAATAACTATTATTTACTATTTTTAATTAATGTCAAATACAACTTGTATTATACAAGTCACAAAAGCTCTGTAATTTTATGAAATATTTTATGTTTATAATAAATCAATAATTTAAATATTTAAATGCAATACATACCATAATTTTTAGTTAAATTATAACTATCTCATCAACTACAAAACAGTTTATATACCAAGTTCAATATTTAAAATTTAATTAATAAATTTGTCATATATACAGTATATATATATATATATATTTACACATTCACACATATATATAGAAAATAAAATGATGCAAAATAAGTGTGTTGTGGTCATCAATGCATTTAGGGTTACAATAAAAAATTGTTAGAAGTTGTAGACAAAATAAATTTGTTTTTTATGTAAAAAGTATTTAATTTTTATTATTGGTAAAGTGTGCACACTTTTAGCAAACAATTGATTATTAAACTATTATAAGACAACAAATGAATTAAAAGACTTTTTATATGGTGTGTTGTGCCGGCAGTTCACTAATACAGTAATACTAAGAGATAGTGAGATAATATTGTCGTAACTTAAAGCATACAAAAACGTTTTGCACAGACTCTGCATTCAATGTACATAATCTCCATGTGTTTGACTATAAGTATCTATAAAGTAGTAAATTTATATTTTAATTAATTCAGTTTTCTATAGTTTTTATATTATATTTGATTATAAAATTTACAGTATTTAGTATTTAAACCATCACTGTTTTGTTAATATTAATGTCTAACATCCCTTTAATATTATTATAAAACATTTTAGTGTAGTCTTTATAAAACAAAATTGTTAATTTATTGACAGTTTTGGGATGAATGAAAAAATTATCTCTGTTTAGCACTATATGATTAATACATAGTAAATGAATTACAAGTTAATTATATTTTTAATTATTTATACTTAGAAAATGCCAATCCTATCTAATTAATTGGTTTTATATCTATTTTAAAATTAATTTTACGATTTTATATTAGAGAGAGAGAGAGAGAGAGAGAGAGAGAGAGAGAGAGAGAGAGAGAGAGAGATACATACATACAATCAAAAGTCGATTTTTTCATTTACTATTTATAACTTTAGTAAACATAAAAATTATTAATATGTCTAATGCTTAATTGCTTGAATATTATTTTTTTATAAAATTGAGTATTTTAACAATATCATATCATAACATAACATTATCATATATCATAAAAATTAATTTAATTTTAAAGACTACTGTTCTTTCAGTGTTTTTTAAACTCTAAATTCAAATTTGTGTTTAAATAACTTTCATTAAATTTAAAAAAAAATAATTTTATGGTTTTATTAAGAATAGTGATAAAAATGTAAAAACAATACCGATTTTAATAATATTCAAAATACAGATTATAAGCTGTGGTCTAAAAATAGTATGTGTTTAGCGAAAACTTTCTCTTGAGTTTCTTAGCACTTCATTGCTTACATATTACAGTGTTTTGCTGTTCACATCCCATACACCTCCCATACACATCATATATATATTAGAGCACCGGTACGCCTAACCCTACAATTAGTTTGAATGGTAACATAACACGTGATGTGCTACCCGTCCAAAAAAGGTCTGGTAAAATGTGAGTCGAGATTCTGGTGCTCCAGTTATGTCCCATACAAACAACTCTAACTTTCAATGAAATCGTCATTCATATTGTGTTTTTACTGAACACTTCGCTATTATTCAGAGAGAAGACATTTATTGAATATCTGTAAAACAAATTTTTTCATTGCGTGAGACATTCAATTAATTTTATAATATGGTATGAATTTAACTAATAATAACAATAATACTATACATTATTGTTTATATTTTATATTAATTTATATAAATGTATTTATTTTATTTCTTTTTGTTTATTGAATACAAAAGTCTGCTGAAGAACTATCCAAAGAACAGGTTCAAAGTAAGTCATTAATTATATTTATTTTACATATTTGTTATAAAAAATTATATATATATATATATATTTAAGTAATTACTGTAAAAATAATTATATTTTATAACTGTTTTATTTTAGCTATAATCTAGCTTAACTTTAATTTTGATAATTAAAATAATGTTTATATCATTTTTAATTTTTTAATTTATTAAAGTTTTTATTATTTTAATAATTTTAAAAATATTTATTAATATGTAGAATATTTTTTTTTAATTAATTCAAATATTTTTAGTTCTTTGTTTAAATAGTTAAATATAATAGTATTTTCAAAATATTGATTATAATCAAAATAGCTTTATTTAAAACTTTGAATTTGATTGAATGCTTAAAATTATAAGATATAAGATATTTATATTTGAGTACCATTTAAGTAAATGAATTCAATTTATATACAATTTACTCGATGTGATTGTGCACTGACTATAACTGTTGATATTAAATAATAACACAGCACTCAAACGTAGCACTCATTTCTAAAAATAAAATCACTTTTGTATTGAATTTTGAATCACTTGTAGTACAGTATGTGTGCAAAAAATCAAATTCAATTATATAACATTTATAGAATATATATATATATATATTAGAAAATGTTTGAATGAATAAATTTTAAATGAAAATTTCATATTTATATTTATAAATATCAAACCTTTAATATATATCTCATCTCATAAAATGTTAACATTTACAGCATTAATGAGATAGTAATTACTGTATAAATATATCGCTATTAGCAATTATAGATTAATAATGCATAAACATTTAAATACAGTTTAATTATATTGTACTAACTTACTGTATAATTTTTATAAAAATGTTAATAAAATTATATATTTTATATTATATGAAATTTATAATTATTAATTTTTGATCTTTATTTAAATAATTATAAAAATATATTGTTGTTTGATTATTAAATTAGATTGGAATTCATATATAATTTTAAATAATTTAGAAACTTTAAAATATATGTTTTATATTAAAATATAATATTTATTATTTATTTATCAATTTTAATCATTCAATTAATTAATTGATTAATTATCTTAATTAAAAATAATTAATAAATGAATAGTAATCTAAACTTGTCTTTGAATTAGTGCTTAGGAAAGCATTTGATATGTTTGATAGGGATAAGAAGGGACACATCCACACCAATATGGTGTCCACTATATTACGGACATTGGGTCAGACCTTCGAGGAAGGGGATCTTCAGGCATTAATTGCTGAGATAGATGCCGATGGTTAGTCATACAAGTGTTTGAATTATTGATATCTATATTGAGTTTGAATAGGAAGTGGAGAACTGGAATTTGAAGAATTCTTGGCACTGACTGCCCGATTCTTAGTTGAAGAGGACGCCGAAGCCATGCAGGAAGAGTTGAGAGAGGCTTTCCGTATGTACGACAAAGAGGGCAATGGATTTATCCCAACGTCTGCCTTAAGAGAAATATTAAGAGCTTTGGACGACAAACTTACTGAAGACGAATTGGACGAAATGATTGCTGAGATCGATACTGACGGATCCGGAACCGTTGACTTTGATGGTTAAAAATTGTTTTGATTTTTTAGACAATTTATAAATATATCAATATTTTTTTATTAAACAGAGTTCATGGAAATGATGACTGGAGACTAAATTAAAGGATTATTTATTAACAATAAATTTCCAAAATTGTTTTCAATAATAAACAGCATATTTTATTCACTAAAAACACTTGAAATATATGTTAAAGAAAATAACTAAAATTTTACACAAAATGTTTTATCAGTTATTGCTATCAGTTATTTATATATATATAAATATATTAAAAGTTGTTCATGTTATAAGTTATAAATATAATTTAAGTGATTGTAATTTAAAATTAAACAAAAGATGATAAATACAAATATAACTTAATACCAATCTCTAATAATAATGTTAAATTTATTTTGTATTTTATTAGTTTTTTTTAAGTTGATCATAAACGTTAAAACACGTTTTATTAGCTTAATTAACATTTTTAAATCCTTTTGAATGAAATCCTATAAAACTTTTGGTTGTGTTTGTTGTAAATGTTATCATTAAATGAAACAACAATTCACTATTTATTCTTATGATGTCATAAAATAGTGTATATGTATTACAATCCATTAAAACTATTTTATTAGTTTTCGCATAATAATCGTATCATTAAAATAAGTGAAAAACTTTTTCTTTTTTGTTTAATACTGAAAGGAGGTGTTCTAACATTTTAATTATTTATTAGTTATTATTAAATTGATAAATAACATTATTATTATAAATTTTAGAGAATAGTAATTAAGTATTATTCCTACTTTGATGATAATGATAAAATTATGAATAATAATTAATAGTAAATAAATAATATTATACTATTAAATAATAAGTAATATTAATACTAATTAATGTTGTTAGTATAATTAGTATTTAATGATAAGAAAATTATTAAGTGATATTAAAGTTGAATAAAATAAATACTTATTATAAATATCATAAATTTTAGCAAATATACTTAACTTAATATAAATTAATAAAAAATAAATGAAAAGCTTGTATATGAAATAATAAAAAAAAACTAATATAATTAGAATTAAATTAATTTCTATTGTGAATAAATTATAATTTTAAAAATTACTAGACACAATATATCAGGTAAATTTATTTATATTTGACTATGATATGTAATACCTATTTGAATCATAAATTTTTATAATTGAATATATAGTTTTAAAAAAATATTTATTATTTTCTTTTTTGTTAATCTATATATTAAATGTTTATTAAAAAGCAGAGAAATTTTTAAAAACTTTTAATATAATTATATGAACACATTTGTGGATTTTTTAGCATAAAACTTGATTAGAAATAATTACTATAAATAATATATATAAATACTATAATAATATACTGTATATTCAGTCAATATTATAACGTGTATTAAAAGATATTAACGAAACATAAAGCATACTAAAAGTGATGACAAATTAAATTATTTTTCTTACATTGTTTCGTGAATTTAACAGAATTTAGTGACTATTATATACACAACGTGTCTCTCATAACATATGTATATAAAAATTGATTTCAATGTTGAATAACACGTCCACTAAATTCACAAAACTTTGATTTACGTAAACATTAAATCAATTAATTAATTGATTTATTTATTAATGAGTTTATTGTTGACAATCAATGTGTTTGTCATTAACTATTCAACACATATTTGTTTATAATTATCATTGAATTTGGTCGACACGTCCTCACCGGTCATGTATTGAATCAATTGAGTGATATATGTCTTTGAATATTACATATGATATTTTCATTACCATATCGTCGATAACTTTAAGTGGATCTCAAATCACCTCAATTTTGTGATAATTACAATAAAATTAAAGACTATTAGATTAATACAAGAGATGTCTCAACAGCGAAACAGATCGCAAAAACAGATGGCATATCAACAGTCATTACTTGAATCTCAAGAAGAAGTGAACGGTTGGAGTCATGACTCACATGAAGACGAAAACAAGAAGTCAATGAAGAAGAGGGCGTTGAGAGGCGATTACATGTCGATAGCGGTTCTCTTATTTCTTTATATATTACAAGGCATACCATTGGGTTTGGCGGCCAGTATTCCCATGATTTTGACGAACCGAAAGGTCAGTTATGCAGAACAGGCGATCTTCAGTTTTGTTTCGTGGCCTTTCAGTGTTAAACTTTTGTGGGCACCGATTGTCGATTCGGTGTATTGTCAGGCAATAGGTCGCCGTAAGACATGGTTAGTGCCGACTCAATACTTTATCGGCATTTTTATGTTAGTATTATCGTATACTATTGATAACCTTTTGGACAACTCTGGTTTAGGACCTAATATTTATTTATTAACGACGGTCTTCTTTGCGCTAAACTTTTTAGCCGCAACTCAGGACATTGCGGTCGATGGTTGGGCTCTAACAATGCTTTCCCGTGAAAATGTTAGTTATGCGTCCACTTGTAATACAGTTGGACAAACAGCCGGTTATTTCTTGGGAAACGTTGTATTTTTGGCTCTCGAATCAGTAGACTTTTGTAATAATTATTTACGAAGTGAACCGCAAACCACAGGATTTGTCACACTTTCGGGATTTTTCTTTTTCTGGGGAATAGTATTTATGATCTCAACATCTCTTTTAATGATTTTTAAACGCGAAAAGACTAATCGTTTGTCCGGCGATGAGCCCGATATGGGTGTACTTCAAACATATTCAATGTTAATCCGAATTTTCAATTTGCCATCCATTCGGTTATTTGCATTAATACTATTGACCACTAAAGTTGGTTTCGGTGTTACCGATTCAGTGACTGGTCTAAAGTTGATTGAGGCCGGTGTTCACAGAGAGAACTTAGCATTGATGGCCATCCCAATGACTCCATTGCAGATTATAATGCCGTGGATTATCAGCAAATACACTAACGGTCCCCGACCTCTAAGTGTGTTTCTTAAGGCTTATCCAATTAGGTTTGCTTTTTATATTTATTTAAATATTTGATACTAATTTTGCATATTTTTATTTATAGACTATTGTTTGGTATAGTATTTGCTATAATCCTTTGGTGGACAAAATATGTCAGAAATCCTACCGACGGATCCTTTCCAGCCTATTATTACGCCGTTATATTGTTTGCCTATGCGTTACATCAAATAGCGCTCTACTGTATGTTTGTGGCTCTCATGTCATTTCATGCCCGCATAAGTGACCCATTAATTGGTGGCACTTATATGACATTATTGAATACAATAACCAATTTGGGTGGCAATTGGCCGCAAACATTATCTCTTTGGCTCATTGATCCATTGACAAGAAAGACATGTTCGGTAAATAATATGTCCTGTAATGATGCCGTTTCTCTTAACGCTTGTCAAGCCAGCAATGGCAGCTGTGATGTTACCACTGATGGTTATTATGTTGAAGTAGTGCTGAGCATTATAATTGGTTTGCTTTGGTTTAAATGGGGTCGGAGTAAGATTAGAGCTCTTCAAATGAAACCAATGACTGCTTGGAAGTGTGCGTAACAAAGAGTCCAGCATTTGGTCTAATATTTAATTGTTTATACATTTGATGACTTTTGCACATTCCTTCCTTCAATTTTTATGTCCAATATTTAATAATTGTTGACATTTTATAACAACTTGAAGAGAGTATATAATAAATAGTAAAATTAATTAATTTATTAAATTTTTATTACTATATTTGTAAATTTAAAAGAATTTGTTTTTATAATATTTTGTTGACTATAATATAATTAATTTTTTAAGTTAGATTTTATTTATTTTAATTGATTGTAATACATATTTGCAAAATTAATAATAATACCAATGAAAAATTGTCATAAGATAACATTATATTGAAAAAAATGGCAGTTTTTGTTGCATTGGCTCCCATTTGAGGCACAAATTTTTGAAGACTCGTTTACAAACAATATGTTTGAATTACTTTAATCTTATTAAATGGACAATTTTAGCCACAAATACTAGATATTATGTTGAATGTTAAGGTATATTAGCGGAACCACTGGAGTAAAACCTGAAATATCAAGAAAATAAAAGCTTTATTAATAATACTGTATCTAAATATACTGTAGTATACTATACACACTCATCGCAATTGTGAACATTTTGGGCACTCTTTAGTTGAACGACGATATCAATTAAACCAGAAGAGCCAATCTCTAAATCAGATATACATCCAGAAAAACCAGAGAAGCGATTGCCACTCATGAGTGTATAATCTGGAAGACCTCCCACATAGATATCTCCGCTAGTATTCAACATTTGCAGATCACCTTCTGATTCTCCATAGGACTCATGCATGCCATCAATGGTTAGACTTCCTTCTTTACCTTTGCGTTTAACATCAACTGTATGTCCCAAACCATCGTTTACTTTAATAGATGACCTAATCTTTGCCAGACCGCTACCCAATTCAAAACTGAACTCAACTTTACCGTCAATGAGAGCCACAGCCATAAAATCTTGACCGACACCGTTAACCTCTGGTGTCTGGCCGTGAAAGAAAATAAGCCCCTCATCTTCTTGTGTCATAATACTAAACTTAATGACTTCATCCGCCGAACTAGAAATATGTGGTAAATATTGAGGACCTAATGTGAAGAAACCGTCTCCTAATAGTTTAATGGATTCGGTTTCAGTAAATTCTTCGGTCTCATCACAGGAATTGCCTTTGTATGGTAACGGACACAAACACTTGTATGAATTGGCACCTGTATTGACACACTTGCCATTCTTGCACGGATTAGTCAGTTCACAGATACCATTCATATGTTGACATAATTTACCTAAAGTTGTAATTAATATTACTGTAGTAATTGTATAGATATGTTATAATAAAAAATTTGTGTTAATTAAAAAATTAAAACTACCGGAATAGTTAGGTCGACAGATACACTCAAAGTCAAATCGATTAATTTCCCGACACTGACCACTATTAAGACAAGGCGATCGCTGACAGAGAGAATCAGAGCCACAATCAACAACATTGGATGATTCGATGACCGAGTTTGTCAAATGCATGGAAACGTTATTCACTTCAAACTAATTGATAAAAATAATTAATGTATAATTTATACGATGAAAATAGTCATAACTAACAAAACCCAGACATCCATGAAATCCCCGATAGATTTCAGCTAACGGTGACAGTTTGATCTGAACCTTATCATAACCTCCGATATAAAGAGGTAGTCGTAGATCGAGACCCTGAGTACGTCCAGGAGATTCCCCTTCAATCGGTAAACTGTTTCCAACTTTTAATAAGCCTTTTCTTAAGAAACGTTCGGCAGTTATTTCAATCCATTCATCTGTTATGAGTCGTATAGGACTCGTAAGTATTGCGGGACCCGAACCCAAGTCAAACCTAAATTCAATGCTCTCATTCTTGATGGCCAATGATATGAAATCACCCCTTCCATCATTATTTTGTGCGCTGTATAATATAAAACCATTTTCTAACTTTTTGGGCTTAATTTTGAGTGAAAATCTGATTTTTCTTAGTGTATCTTTAGGTGTAGGATATGCTACATAAGCGTCATTAAAAAGTGCCGGCTCTACAATGTCTATCTCTTTATCACATCTTTGTCCTGTCCATCCAATTGGACAAAAACAATCAAAACCGCCACTGAGTTTATTACGACAACGACCTAAACCACAGATTCCTAGATAGCAGGCATCGCCTATTTTTTCACAATTTTGACCGGAGAAGCCGGCAGGACATACACATGAATATCCCGAAGGCTTAAGTGAAGTTTCCTGACATAAGCCTTGATTGGCACATGTATTTGGAGTACAAGTTTCACAGTTTGAAACAGATTGTGCTTTTGCATCGTTGATCAATTCATGAACAATGACTCCAACTTTGAAAAGGCTGATACAACCAATAAAACCGGTGGTAAAGCCATTTTGTTTAGATATTTGGTCAAAATCTGGTACACCTCCTATATATAGTGGTTCTAAGAGATCGAGTCCTACATTACTTCCGGAAGACGTGCCTTTAATTTCCCTTTGATCTTCAACTTGCAAACTACCAGTTCTTCCATTTCGGCGAATTCTTACGGTATGCCATTTGTTTATTTCTAGTATTGTCTCACTTTTCAATAAAGCTATTCCTCCTCCTAAGTCATATCTAAATTCAAGCCAACCATCTGTGATCCCGAGTGACATAAAATCACCGGATTGTTGTTTGTGTCCGTTATATAGTATAAGTCCGCTTGAATTTTCAGGTTTAAATGAGATCTGTATCTCAAAAACAGTGTAAGCGTCTGGTAGTGTTGGTCTAACCATATAAGATAGTGGTGTTTGAGTAAATCGTGGCACTACTCCCGTCACTGTTAATATAGACGGTATTTCCACTCCATTTGGCACTTCTTTATTTCTAGCATTGCATATATATGTACCTATAATATGTAATTTTATAACTCATTTAATTATTTATTTAATAATCAAATCAAAAACAAACCCGAATCTTGTTCTTTAACTCTATATATAGTGATAACCCCTTCGCCATCAATTGTCACTTCAGATGGAAGTGAACCGCTCTGTTTAGACCAACTGAAAGTGATTGGTGCGATCAGCGATGTTTTGCAATCCATTATTACAGTCGACCCAAACGGAGCACTCCTTTTCTCGACTGCTTCGGGAGATATGGTCGGCATTTCTATAATTATTTTTTAAAATTATTTTTTTTTGTTTAAATATTATATTACCTTATTATAAAATGACTAAAAACTTACACAAAGTCCATAATTAGTTAATTTTAAATAGAGATTAATAAATTATTTATATTATTTAGTAATAAAATTTGTATATTAAACCAATAAATAAATAATTAATATATTATAAGTATAAAGACCTTCAATTGCCAAAACGTAATCGCTATTATAAGTTCCCGCATATGTATCAACAGAGCATCTAATTTAAGATAATTTTTTATATACATTATAAGCAAATATTTCATTAGACCTCTTTATAGTGATACTTAACCTATAGATCCCTCCATTTTCTGGTTTAACTCCATTGACAACAAGAATTGATCCCCGAGTCATAACATTGTCAGCGAACGGTCCGCTTTCACTCATACTCTTCCACTCGACTTTTGCCGACGGATCTCCAGAGACGTGACACTGTAGTGTCAACTGATCTCCAGAATAAACCCTTTCTTTATTGGCAATTATTTTTACTTCAAGCGTTGGTATGGCTGCAGATAGGTATAGGTATATACAGTAGGTATTAAATACATGAAATAACATTTAATACAAATAGTTAGTATTAGTCTTATTAACATTTGTATGTTAGTCTTTGGATATATTAATAATTTAGTAATGATATGCATGTAATTAATAAGCAAAACCAAACCGATAACAATTTAATCAAAACAATAGCAACTAATTTAATGTAATATTAATGAGACAATTACAGTATATACTCGATTTTAATGATATCTAATATCAATGTACTGTCTATCATGACATCGAAAGTTGTTTGTTTGACAATCATTTTTGCCGATAAAGTCAATAAAAATTTAATCACTATTATATACTGTATATAATGCAAACATTTACTAAATCTATTGTAAATATATTTGTTTCTAACTTGAAGTCAAATTTATTTGAAAATGACAAAAACAATACCTCTGACATTGAGGACAACATAATCTCGCGACAGAACTCCTAAATCAGAGGTAACGGTACACATCTGTGCCAAACATAATATTTGAGAAAAATGATAAAATGTGTCGACAGTTGACATACATATCTTCCGGCATTTTCCAGTCGGGAGTTTCTAATCCACAATTCATTGTTGACTTCTCTGACATTTTCTAAAAGTGTGCCGAAATCTTTAGACCACCTAATGGTAGGCGGAGGAGAGCCACTGAATTGACATTTGAGCTCAATATTAGAGCCAACAAATGCCGTTTCCTCCTTTCGGAGGATATCTTTATAGTCAGAGTCCTCGACAATGACTTCGGCCACTCCTTCAGCCTTACCGGCGGCGTTCACAGCTGTGCACAAAAACCTTCCGGCGTCTGACAACTGAGCACCTCTTATCTCAAGTCTGCCACTAGAGGCGTGAACACCGGGAGGCAAAAGACCTCCTATTTTACTCCAGTCAATAGTAATAGGTTGATCACCTGATGCACTGCATTCAATAATTACTGTATCTCCTGGTCTGGCTGTCTGTCGGATTGGTTGTAACTGAATCTTTGGAGGCGCTGTCCAGTAATTTATACGATTATACATTATATTAGATTATATTGTTTAGGATTAAAATAATTGGCAAATAATGGAAAGGAATGTTAATAAGGATTAGGCAAGAGTTGTGCCTCACCTCTGGCCCAAATACCTTGCGGTCAGTAATGCAAGTATTATAATAATGAGTGAAGATAGCAATATGACAATGACGGCGCTTTCAATCAACTTACCGACAACAGCTAATCGGGCTCTGGCCTCAAACAATACATTGCCGTCAACCACACCCAAGCACTGGTATTCTCCGCTATCTTCAGGCTTGACATCATCAATATAGAGGACACCATTTTCTATATTGGAAGATAATGGTAGTGATTGATTTCCAGTCCGTGTCCACTGTAATTCCACATAACGACCGGTTCCTTTAACGAAACATCTCATCGATGCTCTATTACCAGCAGCAACAGTGACCACTCTATCTTCGACAACAACATGTGGAACAACTGTTCCAAGAGTGTCATCTTCAACGATTAAATGAATACGCTCTTCACTACTCCCAAGCGGTGAAATACTGGTACACTAAAGACACAAACGGTTATTATCCGTAATGTCTGTTTAAGTCAAAGTCCAATACTGACCACATAAATACCTGAGTCGGCAATCGTAACATTTGACAATTCAAATAAAATTTTGTTATCTATTTCAGTGCTGACTATCAGTGACGGTGCAGTTGAATAAAGTTGTTGTGATATACGTTTCCACGTTAGGGATGGTTTAGGATTACCGGTTGCCTCACACTCTAGTTTTACCCTTTCATATGGTCTAACTCTATAAGGAGTCGATTGTAATATCTTAACATTGGGTGTACTTTGAATCCTCAATACTGCCTGTGATGTCACTCTTCCAGCAATATTCTCAGCCTTATAGCAGATAAATATTATAATAATTTATATATTATTAATAAATTAAATATAAAACTACTTACAGTGCAAATATAAATGCCGTCTTCATCACCGGTAACTCTGTTGAAGCGAATCACTCCATCCAATAGTTCAGTACTTGATGTGAATAGACTGCCATCACTTCTTCGCCATTCAATAGTTGGCGGAGGAATACCAGCCGTAACTCGACATTGAAATAATGCACTGAAAATACAGTACAATATATGACTATTTATATAAAAATTAAATAGTTATGTCATCATACCTGCCATCTTTGACTACAGTTTGCATCGATTCTGGGTATATCTCAATGGCCGGTATCTCTCTTCTCTCAATTTCAATAATGGATGAACTTTGAGCTGAACCCTCGCGATTGTCAGCTCTACACATATACAGACCCCTGTCTTCAATGATGGCATTCTCAATGAAAAGTATGTCGCCATTTGTTTTATGTCTGAGTGGTATTAAATCGTCGCCAACTTTTTGCCAACTGATTGTTGGAATGGGATTTCCACTGGTGATACATCTCAATTGGCCACTATGTCCCTGAACAATGGTTTGTCTCTCGGGCTCTATTTTAGCAGTTGGTATAGCCCGACCCGATTCAATGGATAGACGTACCTGTCCCTGACTCATACCATATATGTTACGAGCAGTACATGTATACAATCCCTGATGATTTTCGGTGACCCGTCCAATAATGAGCATACCTCCGACCTGTCGAGAATCGTGCGGTAAATCGCCTCCAGAATGACTCCATTTGAGTTCAGGAAGAGGATTACCCGTCGTTTTACAATCAAATTTGATTGTTTCTCCACGTCGTGCCTCATAATTAACGGGAGATATAGTAACGTGTGGTTTGGAACCGGTATCAGCACTATCTTCACCGTTGACTAATAATATTGTCCTTAAAGAATCAGTTCCAGCAGTATTGCTCGCGTGGCAAAAGTACTCCGATTCATCACTTTTACGGACCGAATCTATTCTGAAAATTCCGTTCACAAATGTTGAACTTGGGTTCAGAATATTATTGCGTCCGCCCGTCCATCTCAGTTCAGGGGGTGGATATCCTTCAGCAGTGCACCGAAATTCAATAGTATCTCCAACTCTGACCTCTTGATAATAGGGTTCAATTCTTACGCGAGGTATAGCCGGTTGATCTATCGATTCAACACTGAGTGTTGCGTGATCTTGATCTACACTTCGGAGGTCAGAACCGGTGCATATATAGACACCACTGTATTCCGATCTAACATCAGGTATTGTCAATATTCCACTAGCTTCTGATGCTCGGGGAGGCAATGATCCGCCCTCTTTAGTCCAGACAAGGTTATAGGTGACCTGTATTATCAAAGTGTATAAGATTAAGGAGTTTTAATTTATCAATATTATAATGAAACTATATATAAAAGTCATACATCATTGACATGAGACACGCCATTGCATCGAAAAGTAACGGTAGAACCAAAGGGAACGCGTTGTGCTTTAGGTTCATCGATACGGACCCGAATTGTAGGACCCGATGCTGATATTAGCTTACATTTACCTCCCGGTTGTAATGGATTACCTCTATAACCAAATGCACACCTAATTGTGTTATGATTAACAAATAGTTATAATTAATAAATTACAAATTATTCTTTCAACAGCTACAATATATACAGTAATTACATACTGTTCACAATTTCTACCGGTATAACCAGCAGTACATGCATTACATGTGGGCTGACCATCGGAATCAAGTCGACACGTCGTCGAAAAATTATTATCGGCATTTGTTAGCGGACAGGGACATAGCTGACAGTCATCAGGCGAACCACGTGTGGGATCACCATAATACCCATCAGCACAGAGCTCACAATTTTCACCCCGAGTATTATGACGACAATTCTGGTGAAACAATTAAACATTTTATCACATTTTTAAAACTATAAAATTATTTGAATCAAATACCACACAATATCCTGTATTTGGATCACATGTTTCGGAATGAAAGTTACAATTACAACGAGTACATCGACTGTATCCCGGACTCGTGCGGTCAACTATATAGCCCGGAGCACAGCTTTCACACGACAAACCAGTATAGCCTTATATTTGGTTCAAATATTATAAATTATTATAATTTATTAATACAAGATAATACATTTTATTATAAAAACATACCAGGGGGACACACACATTGTTCAACCTATAATATTAAATTAGTAATTAATTATAGGTATAACTCAAGAATATTTTAGTAATTGAAAAATAGTAAATGCTATGAGTAAAAAAAATATTATTAAAACCTCAATTGCCATTAAGAGACCAGTATTTTGTGGGACAGCAATATCTAGTGATAGATCTGCTATAAGTGTTTGTTTCATAAATGGATGAAATGTAGCTCTAATTAGAAAGTCTTCAATGTTTGATAAAACCAACAAAAAGTCTTCTCTTGTCGCTAAAACCGATGCTTTATATCTATTTGAATCAATCTTTTGCCAAAATCCTTCATTTAAATCTATTTCATATGTCTGAACATCACCGGGAGATAAAGATTTACTGTTCACATAAACCAATGTAAGACCATTACCCTATTATTTTGACATTAAATATTCATAAATTAATAGAATAAATATAAATTAGATTTAAATATAAAATATATTATTAATTTAATCCATAAATTACAGTAATCTCAATGTCGGCGTCGGAATATAAATCTCCTGTTTCTCTAATACTAAACTGTTGAGTATACCGTAGTCTACCACCATATGATGTTAACTGTAAATAATAAATGGTTATTTGTGCTAATTATTATTTATTTTGAAACTAAGTTTAAAATAAATTAATTAACATAAAAAACAATATACTTATATAAACCTTATTTCCAAGAAAATGGTCGGGAAGTGCCCAAAATAGTGTCTCTGTATTAGATTCCCTATTAAATGAGGTAAAACTGACTTCATTTTGCGCCAAATTTATGACTATTCCCTCAGAAAATATACGAGATTTATATCTATTTGTTAGTTGAAAATGATGTTCGTATGGATTGGACAAGTCTTGTAAACGCATTGTTTTATGATATCTGTAATATGAACTGGAACTACATCTACGGGTAACTCCCGAACAATAGCATTGTGTGCATCCGTTGGGATTGTTTTGATCCAAATTGAAGAAACCATCAGAACATTGGTCACAATTGATTCCCCGAACATTGCTTTTGCAAATACATTGTTGATTTATATCGCATTCACGCACTGCACTGCCTCTTGTATCACATTGACACGGGGTTACCACTAAAGTTAATATTACATATCATCAATATATTTGATTAATCGTTTTAAACTAATTAAGCAATAATTTACAATAAAATCTTCAGATACCTCTATCGGGACTGCAATCATATGGAGTTCCATGAGTTGGATCACCCGCATAACCAGGTGCACATTGGTCACAAAAATCACCTTGGGTATTATGTTGGCAATTCTATAATGGATATTATTTTTGAATAATAAATATAATATTACAATAATACTTGTTGTGTACATACTTTGCAAATTCCTGTTTTAGGATCACAATCACTGGAGTGTCCATTACAGAAACAGGGCTCACAATGGTATGATCCGATTGCTGTCCGGGTATAACCAGAGATACAATGTTCACACGATAATCCCTAAATTAAAACTAAATTAATTAAATCCCAGTTATTATTATTAGCTAAAAGATTGTTTAAAAACCTGATATCCTATAGGACAGCGACAAATCTCGACAGTGTGTGCTTCGGGTAAATAAGTCTCTACTCTTGTAGTCCTTTCAATTGCAATATCCATTGTAACACTAAATAAAGTGATTGATATAACATCAGAAGTATGCGTTGCTTTCAATAGTATAGACTCGATGTCCGCCAATGCAGTCATGAATTTATCGCGACTGACTCGTTGGCCATCAGATAGTAACCATTGGGTTTCAAAAAGAGGAATTGATATAAAATTATCAATATTTGCCATTAAAGGATTGTTATGTTTGTATATAATTTTGATGCCATTTCCTATAATTTGAACGTCTGGATCATCATTAGGACGCGATAAAAAACCTTTTTCATATCTATCAATAAAATATTAATAATTAATAATTATATGCTATTGTGAGTTAAATATGGAAAAAAATGAAAATTTTAAAGAGTATTAAATATATACCTGAAAGTGTAATTTAAATAACCGCCATAAGAGATAACTTTATCATAAAGAAATTGTTGGGGAAGACTCCAATAATAAGTAAGTTTGGGTTGAAGTGCAAAATCTTTGAACACAATTTGATGGTTTCGGTAATCAATTTTGACATTTTTGTCAATCACAACACTCCTATCCAAAGCACTTAATTTAATAATATTATCGTTTGTTAGTTTCAATTGAATGTGATCTCTAAACCAACGACTCGATGCACAGGCCTTTGTAACACCAAAACAGAAACATTCAATACAACCATTGGGTGATTCTTTACTCAAATGAAATGCACTGGCAGTGCACTGATCACATCGGGCACCGGTCACTAATGGTTTACAGTGACATAAACCTGTTGATGGACTGGGATGTGTTGTCAAACTTCCAATTGGGTCGCATTGAGTTTCAGGGGCTATAAAATTATTTACAATAATTAGTGATAACTAATTTTAGATACAGATTTAAAAAGATAATTACATCCGCAATCACTTTCATCACTTCCATCGAAACAGTTTTGGACGCCATTGCATACAAGAGATCGATCAATACATCCGCCGTCAACACATAGAAAGTTATTTATAGGACACTCTAATCAAAACATATAGTATTAATAATGCAAATAAAAGGCAGTCTTAATGCTGACCACATCCAACTTCGTCACTACCATCCGGTAGACAGTCGTATATATTATTGCACCTCAGCTTTAAGTCAATACAATAGCCATTTGTACACATAAATTGATCACTTCTGCAAATGCCTAAAATATATAAATCAATATTAATATTATTTTTAATTTATATTAAATTTATATAAAAATAAAATATTATTTTGAAAACCTTTTTGTTCACAGGGTATGCCTTCGAGTGGATTCCCAGAATAACCCGTAGCGCACCTCTCGCATCGGGTGCCCTTATATTGCATACAACACATACATTCACAAAACATACACATAATTGTGTGAATAAATTATCAAACCTCAAAACCAAGAGGACAGGCATCACATATGACATCACCATCAGTAGAATCAATGTGACACGTGGGTGAATACCTTTAGTTTTTAATACATTTATAATTATTATTTTAATTAAACTGTTATTTTAATTATTATTTAATAATTGATACCAAAGTTTTATAAATAATCAAAATAAATGGTTACATAAGCTTAAGCTTAATGCCTACCATTCTTGAGGAAACCCTGATGGCCATAGATTAGTAAGACTTTGTTAGCACAAAATGTTTATTATAAAAGTATTGTTAATAATTATACCGAAAAATATTATAATAATTAATAGTCTGGAATTTTATATATTATATAATAATAAAATTATAATATTAAAATGACTTACTGTCGAGATGGTGTTATATGAGGACAAGGACAGGGACGACAACTATCGTGTCGGCCTAAAGTGGCCAAACCATAAAATCCTCGTTTGCATTTTTCACAATGAATTCCTAAATAAAAATAATATTAAATTTACAATTGATCTTAAAGTAACATTAATTATGTTTTTTAATATTTAAATATTTAATACCTTCAGTATAATGTTGACAATTAAAACATTCATGAGTTTGTGGATCGCATTCATTTGAATGATGATTGCAATTGCATACAATTGACGGTAATATACATCGACCTAAATAACGACCGGCCGTTTCTCTCACATAACCTGAGCTACAATACTCACATGAATCACCTAACAAATAATAAATTATATTATTTTTTATAAAAAAAGGGCTGATATGCTAACCTGTATATCCCTGAGGACAGAGACATTTTTCAACGTAAACTGCTTGTTCTGATGACATATTGGAAAGCATAGAGCCATCCATTTCCAAGTTTAATATACTGGAATCGATGATCTGTTCGTCATAAGTGGCCTTAATATAGATATACTCAACATTTTGGAGGGCAATCATGATATCCTCTCGAGTTGTCGTATCAAAGAGTGGTGGACTTCTAGCATTTAAGTCATTTTTATGCCACTCTCCCTCCCAGAAACGTATCTTAATTGATGTTTCAGCATTTGGATTGTATGCACTTTTAACGTAATGGTATAATGTTATACCATTACCTCTAAGAATAATATCAGGAATTTTAGCCGCTTTTGGTAAATATGGCTCTCGATATCTAATTGTATATCTTATATATCCTCCATAACTCTGTAATCTATTGCCCAACATTTCCTTCGGTAGATTCCAATAGAAATATACGCCGTCGGGAGTGTTGGCTAACATTACATCTGATTTGATACTATATTCTTGTAAATTTGGATTATAAATAATTTCATTTTGAATGGGAGGGTATTGTTGACTGACATCTTTATAATTGCTATTCGGTTCCCTCACGAGTGGAATAACGGTTATCTGTGATTGAATGCCTGAACTAATAATCCGAAGATTACTACTATGACAAGTGTCGGAAACTCCGAAACAGAAACACCGCAAACATTCAGATGGGTTTTGTGCCAAATCGTTGAATAGCGGCGATTGACAAATGGATTGTTTGGCTAATTGTATTGAATATATTTGACGTATTCATAGATAGTATTTAAGTTATATATATATACAGTATATATATATATATATATATATATATAATAATAGTCATTATCTCACGTTTAACTGTAAGAAGAGCGTCGTGTGCGGCGAGAACCGAGTCTTTTGTATTGATGGCCTCACAACTCCAGGCTCCCTGATCTGACAACTTGGCCTCATGTATGGTAACAGTTCCTATGCCGTCAACACTTGTCACTGTAACTCTGGGTGGATGAGGTATATGATTCCAATTGAATCGCCAACTGATCAATGGTGTAGGCGTTCCAATAGCTTTACAGCTTATATTAACAGTCTGTCCTTCCGATACAGATATTGTTTCTGGTGGTGGTATCACTATAGTTGGTAGAGAACATCCAATCTATTATATAATATAAGTATTACATCAATCGTGAAGTTTGTTATTAAATATAATAATTATAATATTAGAATCACTTCATCAGTCTTGTCCTGACAATCAAACTCTCCATCGCATTGATAACTTCGAGGAATACCTTTAATATATATATATTTATATAAAATACATTATAATTTCATTTTATTAAATCTTAAATTTATATAAATCTAAATTCTAAATTAATTTTAAGATCATTATACTATATAAGTTATAGCAATATTTTATTTTTTAAAATGTTTTTTGATAAAATACTTTTATTTTTTTATCATTTATGAAACTATTAAATAATGACTTACACTGATCTCCAGCGAGACATTTATATTCATCATAACGACATGGAGATCCCGGTATATTATTTGACTCTGTTATGCATTGATGAACAATCATTAAATAAATGATACATAAGTATAAATACATTTTTATATAATTTATAAAACTTAAGTTCTAGTAATGTTTAAAAATATGATGTATAATACAGTTTAGCATATATATGATATTAGGCAACATTTTGTGATCAAATGTGTGTTAAGTTATAAAGTAATGCTAACATAAAACAAATGGCAATAAAAGATTTGTGGCATTAAGTTATAAGACTCACCGCAAAACTTTTCATCGCTGTTATCTCCGCAGTCGTTATCAGAATCACACCTAAAAAGTGAAAGACCTCTCATTGAATAAATAAAAGCTTTTACTGAGCCCTACATAAGCTCATTGAGTGGTTAGAGTTACCGCCAAAACTTGAGAATACAGCGACCGTTTTCACATTGAAATTGATTGGCTTCACAGTTATGGATGCAATTCAGTTCATCCGATCGATCGGTACAATCATAGTCACCATCACTACAGTGCCAACAATAACATGACATTTATTTTTCAAATATCATATTACTTAATATATGATAAACACATCAAACTGTTTAACCAACCAAACATATTCACGAGGTATACACTCTCCACTTTGACACGTGACCTCATTCCGGGTACAAAATTCTGGTGATATCGATATAACCTCATTAGGTGTCGACTCAGTTATATTAGGTGATACTAGAATTGGTTGGATCGGGTCTATGCAATAAATCATTGTTGTCTTAAATTGATTATTATAATCATAATCATTGTATATATATACTTGTATATACAATTGTGCATTAAAATGTGTTATCATATTATATTATATTATTAAAAACGCTTTACTTATAATACTTAAACTTTTTCTTAAAAAATAATTATCTTAATGAATATGATAAAATTTTAAATCTAAAAAATTTAGAATTTTATTTTAAAAGTACTGTATATAAGTATGATAACATTCATTTGCATAATTTTTATACTTGCAACTAAAACAATTATTTTTTATAATATAAATTCTCCATATTAAAAAAAATTAAGAAAAATAAAAAGACAAAAATTAATAAATACTTATTTATTATTTATATCTAAATCATAAGTTTAAAAAATTAACATGAACAATTTGAATTAAATTATTAAAACTATATAATTTTTTTAATATTATACAATTAACAATAATAAAATTAAAGCATTTATGAAACTTACATTGAGATCGACACAAACAGAACAATATAAGCACCAATAATAAACTTAATATATTTATTTTTAATAGATATCTCATTTTTTATTATAGTATCATAAATACAGTAAAGTGAATAATTAAAAAATAATTAGATGATGAAAAAGCAATACATTAATTTTGAGAGATTAAATAAATTAGATTATATATGAAGTGTCTCTATTAGAGGCTCTCTCTCTCTCTCTCTCTCTCTCTCTCTAGAGGCCAATATGTTTGAAAAGTAGTGGAAATATATTTAGGAAATAATATTTATTTAAGAAATATAAAGCAACGTTAATAAGGAATGCATATTCATGAGGAACTATATAAAGTTGCATTTGATGTTAAAAGTGGTAAATGTTGTGTTTATTTTATAAACATAAATCGTTGCGATTTTTTCACAAAGAAAACATAATGTTTATTGATTTAAGTGAATCATTTGATGTGTACAATGCATTACATGAAAGGGTTTGGTCGTTCCGATGCTCCCTCAGCTCCCATACCATACATAACACCATAACAAATGTCAAGAATGCTGTCGTTTTGATGCTTTTATATAACATTACTGTAAGATTCAGATTCTCTGATTTGTTAGATTCTCATAAGATAGCGCTAAAACAATCTATAATTTAAATCAATTGATCCCATAGTCATGTCATAACATACCATCGATATACACTCAGTCATCAGTGTGTGTGTGTGTGTGTGTGTGTGTGCCTGAATGTGTGTGTTTGACAGGTTATTATAAATTTGTTTTACACAATGAAAATATTGTTGTCTATAATTTTAAATAATTTTATTATTCTTTACTTTAATAAGCTTATTCACTCTGAATATATTATAGTTTTAAATATTGTATTTAATTTTAAAATTTCAATAAAATGCAAATATTTTATTCAAGATTACCGGTAATGCTAATTATTTAACTAATAATAATTAATTTTAAATTTTGTTAATAAAAAATAACTACAGTATAACTTTACAATATTTTTCTGACATCTAGCTAAATTATCAATATGCTAACATAAATTAATTTTTAAACAATATATTAAAATAAAAAATAAATAAATTTCTCATTAATATAGACATCAAAATATGTGTTTCCCATATTTGTAGGATTATATATTGTATATTAATTGAGGGATACATATCTTTCCAAACCATATAAGAATCCTTTTGACAAATTTTCAGAACAAAACACATATTTTGATGTCTACTGTATATTAATTAAACTTCAATTAATATGTTTGGGGTGTCATCAAGATTTATTAAACTATCAAACATATTATGATTGATTGGTATTTTTAAAAAAAATTGACAAACATTTTTTTCCTAATGATATTTTATCTGCTTATTGTAATGTTACCGGAAAATTATTTTTATGTGTTACTACTTAAAACAGTTTAACTGAAATTTTATTAACTACTTAATAATTATATAAATTATATTTTCTCTTTATTTGTCAAAATAATGTAATTAACAATTGCAACAAATATAGTCAAATATAATTTATTCAATGCTATTATAAAATTTATACAATAGATGACCCATACAAATTAGCGGTAATTGAATTTTTATTATCATTTACTTTAATAGCATTAGACGTATATTAAAATATTTTTATAATTCCTAAATTTAGATTAAAAATTCAATTATTTAAGTGAATATTTTAAGTGAATAAACACTTAAATTGAAGATACTATAAGAATGTTAAGTGTTTGTCTATGTTTACAATTTGCTAGACTTTATGTAAATAATAAAATAAATTATTTCCTCTGTGTATTTGTTTTTAAATTGCTTAAATTATTTTCATAGAAAAACATTTAATAAATATTAATTGATATAAATTTTCTACACTTTATTAAAAATTATTTGTTTAAATAAATAATAAAAAACTAAATATTATGAGAAAGTTATTCATGAAAATGACTAATTTCTTTATAATTAGGATAACTGTTTGCATATTGATTGCTACTATTTCCTGATTCGTCTAATTCAAGATCTATATAATCAATAAAATACACCAAAAATAATTAATTAAATTTTAAAAATATAAAATGTTATAAAATACCCATTTGATCGTAATGCACATCCATTAACCATAAACCTAAAGTAATTAAAGATAGTTAAAACAAATTTAATAATTATAAATAATTAATATATTCAATGATATCCAACCTTTGGCCGGTGCTATAGTCATCTTATGGTTCCAGTGTTTATATGACGGGTTGTTTAAAAGATATTCAATTTTTTCAATACTAAAGCAATTGAGAGCCACATCAATAATGCAACCAATCATACGTCTTATCTATTATTTAAATATTATTATCATTTTTTAATATACAATTTACTTTAGTATTACAGGTATTTATTACCTGATTGTATAAAAAAGATTTGGCTGTTATTTCAAAGTTAAACAAAATGATCGGATAATTTGTTTCAGTTTGTGTTAATGAATATAAATGTTTTGTTTGATTCAATTTAAATTTAGTGATTGTCTTAATGGTATTAGAGGTGATCTGTCGGTTGTTTATAATGCCTTCTTTGGTTGTGAACGACGAGAAATCGTGTTCTCCTTCAAACATATTCATCGCTTGATTGATGGCTTCAATATTTAGCGGTCCTCTAATATAATGTCAATTGAAATCCATATGAAATCTTAAATTTATTATATATATCAAACAAAACATGTTATTTACTTAATTATATGACATCTGTTTAGTTCACAAATGGGTAGAAAATTATCGAGACATTCATGGTATGACTTATCTTCGGTGTCCAATACAGCCAACCGATATAAATACGTTCGTGACTTAGCACACGATCGGGCATTGAATCCATTGGGAACTAATTGAACACTTAATAATCTAAAATAAATCAATAAACCAATGATTATATGACAAACACATCATTTGACTCAATCAAGACGTGCCTAATATCGTGTCCATTCTTAAGCAAATTGGTATTTACTGAACTAATAATAAACGATGGCTTATATGTAGTGTTATTGTAAGGATGTGTCAGATCCACATGAGCCGAGTTGGCCAACGCGTGGACACCACTATCTGTGCGGCTACTAATGGCAAGTCTGGCGCCATAAATAGGTTTCAACTTCTTCTCAATGGCGCGCTTTAAAAGAAGTCATCAATTGGTCACTGCATTGACAACAAGCCATCAGTTATTAATTACTTCGAGTTGATATTGAACTGACCAGTCAGTCACCGATGTCTCATCCCGTCGTGTTTGTCGTTGAAGTCCTCTAATGTTAATAACATTATGTTTTGGTAAAACAAATATAATAATCAAATGTATGCTAACGTATAGTGGGTTCCGATATATGAAAACTTTAAGAAATAGCGACAAGTTTTGAGTCCTTCATATGACAAGTGTTTGGTTAGTCCTCCCATGTCTTCGGTGTCTTCAATGGTAATGATGTTCGCAGTTATGACCGCATGTCTGACATACAATGTGTGCGGCAATAGAGGTCACTATAGTTACAGTTTGTTATCAATTATTGTACGAAAAAGTTATATATTTATTAAATTACTATTTTTTATTAATAGTAAGAAAATTATTAAAATTAAAAAATTAGTATTTTTTGTAGAGTTGACTGTTTTACTAATTATAATATAATTAAAAATGATTAATAAATCAAAAGAATTGTCGGTTTTTTCAATTATTGATATTAAAATTTAAATAATAATTACTATCAATTATTGTCCATGTACAATTAAGTAAAAACATCAAATTTAAAACTATACAATAAAACCAGTGATAATTATATAGTATATAGCATTTCCAAATCAAACTTTTATGGCATATATTAATAGTACTTCTTATACAATCATATTATAACCAAAACATTGATTGTTGATAATCATTAGTCCACATTATTATTATTCTGTATATCATATGATTTGTTAAATAATTAAATGATTTATTGCAAACTTAATATTATTTGAACAATTACAACAAATGACAAAATTGAATGCAATCTATTGATACTTATTTATTTAAATTTAGTTTTTAGTTAACATGATTTTTAAATAAATAATAATAATTAATATATTATTAATGATACAATTATATAGTATTATCATTTTAATTATTATTATTAGATAACATAAGAACTACAAATTGAAAGCTAAATATATTAATAATTTAAACAACAATTAGATTAAGTATAGATATGTTAAATACATTAGACAGGAGTACTGTATTGAATGTTATTAGAGTCACAATCTGCCGGATCTGATGTATGTCTTCGTTGATTACCCGAAGATGAGAGGGCGCGCACTATCTTTGGATTATATAGTTTAGGGTCGGAGACCATCCTTACAAAGAAACTTCTTTTATATCTGAGACTCATCTTTCTCTTCCTGTCTAACATAAACACTTCATCGACGGCCTCGTCTTCTGCATTCTCTTTTTGTTCTTCTTCGACAGCTTTCCTAACTTTTGTATCCATTTCCATCATTTCAAACAAATCAGTTGCCATATCGGAGATGACTTTAAAAGCATGATCCACGTCCTCATTGGTAGCTCTTTGGGCGCACACACAGAAGCGGATGACAAACTTGTCATTAAGAGAGGCCGGAACCATATGGAGCTTTCTTGAGGCGTTTATTGATGATAACAGCTTCTGGTTGATTGTATTAGTGCCCTATCGTTGTAAAACAAGTAGTTTTTGTAAGTGATTAGTAATTTGTCAACAATTTATGCAAACAATGACTACCTTTAGGCGAAAGCAGACTAATCCCAGATGTACTTCATTTATCACTTCAAATCTCTCATCTTTTCGCAAAAGAAGTTCAAAACGTTTAGCCAGTCTTACGTGCTATCAATGAATCAAATAATCAGACATTGATTGACACATAATTCACTAAATTTATTAATGATTTTAAATATTTGACTATTTTTTAATTGAAATTTTTAAAACAAAAAATGCATTAAAGGTTTAAATATTTTAATTAAAAACATTTTTATGTTAACTCATTAAACTTAAAATATGAAAAATGAATATATTTGTTGACACATTTTACTTTAAAAAACATTTTGATTATTATTAAAAACTTGTTTATCATTAAATAAATTGATTATACAATTAAATGAATAATGAAATAAAATGATTTGTTTGATAACTCATTAGAAGATATACTTCTCTAATGTATTTCTGTAGTCCCTCCACACCATAATTGCGAATAACAAACCATAGTTTAAGGCTCCGAAACCTACGGCTCAGAGGTATACCCCAGTGCTATAGTTATTGAAAGGGAGACAAGTTTTTTTTGAGTGAAAAAATAAATAAATATTTTTTTTTGAAAAATGATCGCATATTCTCTCTATGCATAAGCTTTATAATCATTACTACTGACGCGATAATCAATTGCTTTTTCAGAGTAACTGTGCTGTAGATAAAGTGGATCGACTACCAGGGCTTCAGTGAGTTTGAAGCGATCTTTAACCCTGTGCTCAAATATTTTCACAAAAATTACATTTTCACGCAAACAATTGTATAGTTTTGTGACATACCATAATAGGGAGCAATCAAAATTGACCAACATCCATTTATTTGGATTTATATTAAATGATGAAGCGTACTGTCAAATAATATTATTTTTAATATTTATGTTTTCATAATAATAATACATATCTTATTTGAAAAATCAAATTGATTTTCAAAATATTTTTATCATTTTATAAATATAATACTATACTATAAGTTATATTTTATGCTATAATTTAATAATGTTAACAAAACTCACTTCAATGCCATACATGAGATACTGAAACTCGGGACAAATGAAAGCACTTCCCGCATAAGCGGCGTCCACGTGAAGCCATACGCCTTCAATGGTTCAAACATAATATCAATACTATATTAAATATGACTTTATTTGACTTCAAATATTTATCTATAATATATTATATAATAACTATAATTTTATAAGTAATTGTGACATTATTAGTAAGTTATTAATAGCGATAACTGTATAAAACTATTATTTCTTTATTATATCTAAGATTATATCTTTGTTAAAATTACATAATATAATTAATTTTATTTTTTATTAATTATTTTCAATAATTTTATGTATAATCAAATATAATTTAAACGTAATAATAGAATTATGTTATGCTTTTATATAATCGATTAATTAGTAATTAATAAAAAATATTTTGTTGTATACTATTACTTGACAATATTTTATTGGTAGTTCCGTAAGTTATGTATTAATAATAATAATAATAATGATATGATTTATATTTAATTTAATGATTAAAGTTTTGTATGTTTGTGTTGTTTTGCTGAGTGTTTGGTATCGCCAATTGTGTGTGTGTTTGATGCCGACGGTTAGGTTACCGATCGGCCAAACATCTGAGTTCCCCCGACAAGCAGTTCAAACCTGTCCACTAACCCATTGGAAGGTTTGGGAGGTTTATGTAATGGTTTTTATGAATATTTATGAAAATTACAAAATATTATTTTCTAAAATTTCCTATAAATTAGGAATACTCACTAAAATATAAATGAGTTTAATTATAATTAATTATATTTTGGTAATCAGTAATAAAAATTTTAATAATGTATATTTGAATTTAATCAATAATTATTTTTATAAATTATTTATTTATAATTAATTGTTAAGTATTTAAATTATTTAATTATCAATTTAATGATATTTATCAACAAAAAAAAAATATAAACCAACTATTTTGTATCCTTTATTAAATATTTTGTAAAAATTGCCTATTTTTAAAAATGAATTAATATATTAATAAATTGTTGTCAATAAAAATAGTACAATATATACTATATACTGTATATAAAGTTTATATATTGATTATCAATTAAATATAGTATTGTATAACTCAAAGTTTGGACAAATATAGAAAATCTAATTTTTAAAGAAATAATTGCATCTAATGTTGAAATGTTTGAGTCATTCATTGTGTTCACATATTTCATACATCTTTATAAATGTAATTTCGTAGACAATATTTATCACTATTTGACCGTTAAATTTGATGTTTGAAAAATCAATTGAATTTGATGTTTGAATACTCTATACAATCACTTCCAATAAATTTTTATATTTTTAAAATTAGTTTAGAAAAATTTAAAGACTTGTTGTCTATAATAATTTACATCACAATCCTTTGACAATATAAATAAAATTGGATTTTTTTCAAAACAAATGCATAAATATTATTTAAATATTTTTTAGTTGACACATAAAGTAATAAAATTAAATAAATGTATAAAATAAATGTATTAGTCATACCCTGGTGTTGGCAGACCTGTCCTATTTCATGGAGTGCATCAAAGGAACAGCAAGAAGTAGTGCCGAGAGTGGCGGACACAAAAAATGGGACCAAACCGATGGCCCGATCCTCTTGCATGGCTTTCTCTAATGGCATTCCTCTTAATGTAAAATTCTCGTCCGTATCGAGAATCCTAAGCTTTACAAATGCAATCATCGCTGCCTTCTCTACACATGAGTGAGCCTTCAAAGTAAAGTATAATAAATAAATGTGTTTTCAAAGACATTTGCATTTAATAATAATAATAATAATAATATATTTGATTGTATTATAGTTTGAATACTTACTTCCTTAGAACAATATCCTATTAATTTGGACAAAAGCACCCCTTCCTCGATGAATGGTTGCTGTTGTTTCAACAAACGTATGGCATTATGTCGAGCGGCCAACAGTGACACCAAAACACAATCACTCGCTGATCCCTAAGTTAATATATTTCATATTATTAACTAAATTATTTCTATTTAAATTAAATATACAATATTTAACCACTAAAAGTCTAAAAATGTATAAGTAATATGTATTGTAATTTTTCATTTCTATATTCCTATATATATATATAATCATCTAATTAAGTTATTTTTAATGATCCATTAAACTTATTATCAATATAAATAACAAATCAAAATTTTCATACACTACCAGGGTATTACTGAATAACGATAATTAAATGATTTACTTTTGAGTGTTTATTTACTAAATAATAGCAGTTTTCCATTAAAAGTAATGTTTTAATTTTTAAATTCGGTTTATTCTAGATATTTCAGTATATAATATCAAAAACATTATTAATATTTGACCTAATCTATTATTTACGTAATATAATACTAAATTAAAGTAAAAAACAGTAAAAATTTGTGAAAAATCAAATTTGATTAATAAAAATCTTATGATTTTTTAGATATTTTTTAATTAAACATCTATCCACAGAATTTATTTTCAATTAACAATCATAATTTTGTTGGTAGCTAATTTAAAGTACTAAGTTTTGTTGCCTATAATTTAATATTTACTGTAATATATTTTAAAATAAAATACAGTAATGTTATATTTTTTACAAATTACTTAACTTTTTTGAAATCAAAACTATTCTTCATTTAAATGCAAAGAATTTAATGAATAAAATTTAATAAATAATTAATATATAATAAATTCCAAAAATAGCTAAAAATTCCTTACAATACTATTATATAATGAATTGAACTCAATTATACCGACGAGAGTAAACTCAATATATTTTTATCAATCTATTGTATATACTGTAGTATACAACAGTATACTACAGTATATTATATACTCAATTGAATTATGAGTATAATAGTAGGTATACCTGAATAACTCCTCCACCTTTGCTTTTATGATCTGAATGACAGAGGAAGTCATTGGGTAATCCAATCATTTTGCCCATCCAGTCCAACATTATGATCTCCAACTCTGTACATACAGGACTGGCCGCCTAAATATTTTTATGAAATTATATTGATTAAATAATATAAATCTTTTTTTAACAAATAATAAAATATCATATTTGACAATATTTTAAATAATCATTTATATCTATACAATAAATATAATAATATGTTGGATACAGAGCTGTAAAAATTCATAAACAATATAAAATATGGTAAATTATTAATTATTAATAACAGTATAAAATAAATATAAAAATATATAGTAATATAAAGTGAAACGAACCCACGAGAAGCCAACACATCCAATAGCATCGGATAACATATCGGCCAAAATAGAAGGGTAGGAATTGCCGGCCGGGAAGTATGCGTGAAACCTGGGATGTTGCCAATGGGTGACTCCCGGCATAATAAAGTTTTCAAAGTCTACCATTATTTTGTCCCAATCTTCTGATCTTTTAGGAGCAGAATCAGGTAAGAAGTTCTTAAGATATCCCGGTTCCACATCTGGTGTGACTTTTCTTTGAGAGATTGTCTCTAAATAGTCGGCGATATAGTCAACCATTTGTTTTCCGCGACAACGAAACTCATTTGTATCCATTTGTTTGGGAATTTCCTTATTTAGGTTATCTTTAGGATTATTAGTGTCGAGATTTTTGGCTTTAATAACAATCGTTCCCTTTTTGTCAGCGCTGGTAGTGGTTGCTGAAGATGTCGATGTCTCACCAGTCAGTGCACCGGTCGATGTTGTGGTCGGTGACTGAGTTCTATCGAAAAGGGAACGGCAATCGCCAAATAGGCGCAGATAACACAACCAGTCAAAGTGCCACAGCTTGACTATTTTATAGCACTTTACTATTATTGATATTTATATAAATTTGATGTTTAATATACAGTATATACAATATCTTCCAAACACTCATATATACAGCAACTATGATATGAAAATTATTGTCAATTAATTGACAAATTCATTGAAATGCCTCACTTTTATGACACATCATTTGCCAAGAAGTGTGTACTTATATCAAGTGTTTGTCTCTCAGTGATTACACAATTACAACATTTGTTGATAAAAATAGTTATACAATATGTTAAATATAGAATATCAATGATTTTTGACCACTTTTTATAAAACTTACAAATATAATGAACATATGATAGTGTGATAACAAAATGATTAAACTTGACAGTGAGTTCACACTCTTTACCACAACTAATGATTGGTAGTCCGACCGCCCGTTTCATACAAGTGCTCAATGGTTTCCTTGGAGACAACAAAGAATATTCTTGAGATCACAAAATAATTTTTTTCAAAGCTTTTTGGATGCCTTTGGATGCCATCATCGAGAATGTGTTATCATATAAAGTGATGCGAGACTTGTTTAGAGAGTCTATGACTTATATAAACGGCATATCATATCATCATTTCATAGTTTTATTTTCAATTAACTTCTGGTATAATATATGGCAGCTCTATAATAGTTTAATATTTGACCCCAAACTCACACATCACATCTCATATTTGTATGAAAATAAATTGTTATCACATCTCTCTCTCTCTCTCTCTCTCTCTCTCTCTCTCTCTCTCTCTCTCTCTCTCTCTCTCTCTCTCATCAATAGCATAACACAGAGTAATATATTTCATGTTTAAAAGTATTCGCATTTTTATGGGTTATAATCGAGAAAAGCAAAAGCTATGATGTATTGTATGTCTTTGTCTGTAATAACAGTGCCGTTATAACCATAAATAGTTGTATATAACATGTAATGCAATTCATTATTTTTGAACGATCCAAATGAAATTAAACAATTTTATTAAACTTTTATCTTACAAACATATTTAAATTTAACATATAAACATATAACTTAATAATAAAATGTTAGCTTAAAACAAAACATTATAAATACAGTATATGAATCGTATAATATGATCAATATAAATTATAATCTATTTTAAAATAAATAATACAAAAAAATAATATCATATTAACAACTATGAAATGAAATTAATGTAAAATTAATAATAATAAACTATATTAAATTTTTAATGTTTTACAGTATATATCAAAGTTTAAATAATTATAAATTTGATTTTTACTTAGTATTAATTGATTTTCAACTTTTTATAATACATGTATATGATTTACTTTAATAATAAAAAGTAATAGTAAATAATACACTTATAACTTAGTACTAATTAATAAAATACTTATATTTGAATATTTTATCATATTATATCAAAAATAAAATAATTATAATAAACATTTTAATATTTAATAAATACTTTATCAATATTTTAAAAGTTGCTTTTGTTTATTTAGGCATATAATAATTTTATTTTTAATATATTTTTGGTATTTTAAATCTTAAATATAATTATTATTATTTATATTTAATTGTAAAATACAATGTCATTACATTTGTTATTAAATATTATATCTTCTAATATCGATTTACAAAAATACAAGAAACTGTTCAATAATATCAATTATTGAATAATAATATAAATCTTAATAATATTGTACAAACTTCTAGCTTTTATAATTTTGGATTATTATTAACTTAAAAATTAAGCATAAAAATATTGAATATTAATATCTTTTAATAAAGTTACATAATAAGTAAGTAATATAATAAATTAGTAAATTTATTATAATGAAATAATAATAATAATAACATAATTTATCATATGTTGAGTATCCAATCTGATACATAAAAACATAACAAAATTGCAATCGTTGTAATATTACCAAAAATATATACATATTTGTATCAATGATAACGCAATTCACATTATTAAACGAAAACTTATCGTTCATTTAAAATAAAGTTCTGTATTTAGTATACATTAATATAAATTTATATATTTGGTACTCCTATTCAAACAAATAGTACAATAATTGTGGCAAATGTTAACATTAAATAAGCTAGATAATTTTTTAATTAAAATATTTCATATAGTCAACATATCTAGCTTATTTAATGTTCACTTATATTATATATTATATAAGTCATATATCTATGCGTCAATTTGCCACAATTGAACTAGTTATATAAGTACAGTTTAACATAATATTTATATTATATTATGCAATACAATTATTATACTTTACTTAACAATTACAATCTTAAAATTGTAAACTTATATTATTACAATTTAATAATATAATTTGTAATATAATTTATAATAACGCCTTAATAAATATTTAATTTATTAAATATTATTTGTTTTAAATTTAAATGACTTTTACAAATGTTATATAATAAAGAAATAAAATAAATTAAGAAAAAACAAAATTTTTGTATAAACAAAAGTAAATTTTAGTTAATTAACTGATTGAAACTTATATAAATCAGAATATAATCAAATTTATTGAATTCACAATTTTTTGTTAACTAGACTTATATTGAGATTAATAAAATGTATGATTTAGAATAAATTAGAAAAAAATATATCATTTATCATTTTATCACAACAATCAATAGTTTGATGGCTTCTGTAAAATATTATTTGTTGAGACAAAAATCAGATTTCAATTAATAGTTATCTAAACATTTAACATAATTCTTCATCAATGATTTTGGTGGTCATAAATTAAGGCTCACATACAGTGAATATAATTTATTAGTTGGCAGTCAAAACACTTTCTCATAGGCCCTCACATAGAGAGCCGATTGAATGTCTCATAAATTTGTTTTACTTATATTTCTAAGTTATGATATATTTGTGATTTTTCATAATCATATTTCTCTCTCCTCTCTAAATATCTTATAGTATATTAACGGCATTCATAGCAACCACAAAGTGCTAGTCGTGGGAGACTTTTTAACGCTGGGCTCAGTCAGAAAAACGTTAGCTTTAACTTGTAAACTGATGTTAAAGCTCTGGGACCTCCTGCCAGCACACCTTTTCTTACCTGTACTTACAGACAATACATACTATAGTAAAACAATATTAAATGTTTTGTTTTTATTATAAATGAAATACTTTGAAAATTCTCAGAAAGCAAGTGATTCCTAATGTAAACTCCTATTAGACGCTTGTCTTACATATGTTGACCTCTCTTCCTGTGCATTAACTGGCAATTTATGTATTGATTTTTTGCTTATATTATATCATAAGTTATATTATATATAAATAAAAATCAATGAAAAGCAATTGAAATAAACTAAAGTTATTATTCATTTGAGATATTGATGTTTAACGCCCCTAAACAACAACAACATCGGTTGACAAATGAATTCAAAGGTGTTGTCACCAAATAGACAACTCGTCCGCAACTAATTACTCTCATGTTTTAAAACTCACGAACAAATTATTATTGTTTATTACTTTTAAGTCATTTTTTATTATAATTTTTATTCATTACTATATATAAATATATTATATATATTTGGTTATTCAAAAAAAAAATCAATTATTTTACAAATGTTTGCACATAAAATACAGTGACTAAGAAAATAAAAATACACCAAAACTCTAAAAATCTAAATAACATGTTTGGCAACCAACTGTCCTCAAGGATTGTGTATCTCTTTAGATGGTCAACAATAGGTAACAAGAGTTTGTGTTGTCTTAACTCTTAGTGTTTGTCTCTCAGATCACAATTACGCTCTCTTTCCTAGAAATGCTTTTTTCGGCGAGAAATAAGATAAAAGTTGACCTTTGCTTACATGCCTTAGGTTTTGTCATTACACTATCTTTGGAAAGGTATGCCAAACCCCTTACCCTTGTCATTGTCTAAAGGGACAGACAAGATTGGGCCTCTCCTTCTCTCTGCTAACCTAATTATTTTACAGCCCATCATTAAGGTGTAGGCGCACATATATCATAGTAGGTCTGTGTCAGCTTTATGTCATTGCATTATTGTCTCATTTCAAATCCTCTACAGTCATGTATAGTATAATAACAACTATCACCTAAAGCCATGTGATAATGACTTTCAAACAGGTATTCGTTACGGCTTTTCTCATCGTATTAAGTGTCGCTAACACTGTTTTGATGGCCATCATTGCCATTGATGACCATTGATGGTCATCTCAATCAGTATTTTTCAACTCTCAATCTCATTATTAGTTTATTTATAAAAATATAAGATCTCCAAAATTTAAGCTACATCAACTTAAGCTCCACCCCTAAACAGTCCCCCAATACGGTAGTCTAACTAAGTTATAGTACTATTAAAAATGGTAAACACCTAACACTCAGTTAGTTTTTATCCCGATTCCCATTCCATGCATATCATTATTGTATACATTTACTACTCATGTGTTTCTAATAAAATTTTACCAGTAGTTGATTAACTTTAATACTAACTGCAAATTGTCTAGCACAAATTATTATTATTATTATTATTATTATTATTATTATGGCAGTTTCAAGTGCTATAAGTATACGACCTTTATTTGCTGGATACCCATTTCAAGGTTAGTTATTTTATTTTTTATTAACTTTTACTTTTAAACTATATTAAAATTTGTTGAAATTGAGAACATTCATATTTACTATCAATACATAGTTTATAAAATAATAAAAATTTTATGCTTATATAATTTATGATCATCTTAAAATTTAAATATTATTAATAAAGTTTTTATTAGATCAATTTTTTACATAGTGAATGCTATAGTTATTTAACTTATAAAAAATAATATTTTATTCAACAATTTTATTTGTATTAACTATGTTATCAATTATTAAAAATATAAACATAAAATGAATATCTAGTTGTCAATAGTTTTGAAATTTAAATAATTTTTGCAAATTGAAAAATCATGGTTTTAGTATTAACATATCTATTAATGAGTTGTAGTAACTATCGATATAAATTAATGTCAAAATATTATTGAAGAAGGCATTAATTAACTATAATGTTAGGATGATATGTGTGTCCCTAATGAGCTGTATGTCCCCTCCTATGCTGTTCTCTTTAAATTCAAATCATTGTCTAATTTGGTCTCTAATGACAAACATTTGCCAAACCTTAATGAAGATCAATACTTGTTGTGATGTTTGCTGTTTTTGAGACACTTTTCAGTTGAAAGTCATTTGTGATCTTACGATTGATTTGAAAGTAAGAAAATTAAGTAAAAAATGCATTCAAAGTGGTGCTTACAAAATGATGAAATTATTAGTTTATTAGAAGGTGTAATCAATATTTTATGTTAATATCATAATTTTTGCAATTAAAAAATAAATATATAAAAAATAATAATTATAATTTATTAATTTCTAATGTACAGGACAGGGACGTGTCAATCAATTGGGTGGTGTCTTCATCAATGGCCGTCCACTTCCCAATCATATTCGTTATAAGATTGTTGAGATGGCAGCGGCCGGAGTGCGTCCCTGTGTTATCAGTCGACAGCTTCGTGTTTCTCATGGATGCGTCTCAAAGATACTAAACAGATATCAAGAGACTGGAAGCATACGTCCCGGAGTTATTGGTGGCAGTAAACCTAGAGTTGCCACTCCTGAGGTCGAGAAAAAAATTGAAGAATACAAAAATGAAAATCAAGGAATATTTAGTTGGGAAATTAGAGACAGACTTATTAAGGTTATTATGTTATACCATTAAATACCATTAAATAATTATTATTTTAATTAATTTATTGATTATTCATAAATTTTATATATCAAACATTAAACATAATTGTTTTAATAGGAAGGAATATGCGATAAAAACACTGCTCCCAGTGTTAGTTCAATTAGTCGTGTATTGCGTGGAAATAATAAAAACAGTGATTATAGAAGTGGTAATGAAAGTGATATTTCAGTAAATGATTACTCCATTCGTAAAGACCATAGCATTGATGGTATATTAGGCGGTAAGTGTTATCTGAAATTTAATTTGTTTCAAATGATTTGTTTTGCCACTTAATCTTATCCACATATTTACGGATATTTAAATACTATAAAACTGTTAATAATGTTAATAATTGCTATTATAATGGTATAAAGTGCTGATCCAAATGCGTTAAGACATGAATCTCATGGCAATTTAGCTGATATTTACATGATTTGTACGCTTTATTGCAGCTATAATATGATAAGGTAGCTCACACTTACTTACATACTGTGACTTATCACTTACATACTGGTGTGTGTGTGTGTGTGTGTGTGTGTGTGTGTGTGTGTGTGTGTGTGTGTGTGTGTGTGTTAACTACTGTCCAATATATATGCTATAGGTATCCCCATTACTATTAAGACTTCTTTTAATTTTGTGTGTAAATGTTGACAAACTGTAGCAGATGGTAATGACACGCATACATCGCATACCATTACCTATGACTACCATTTCTTTTAATATGTAGTTTAAAATTAGATTCATATGTGAGAGTTGACTGTTAAAAAAAGGTATTGTCCGTGAAATGATAGTACAGTTTTGTTAAAGTGAGGACACATTACTCTATATTAAGTGTTTATTCATTTTTTGTGATCAACTTTGTTTGAAACACAGTACAGAACATTTGGTTGGTTCAGACAATGTATGATTTGATGTTCAAAGTTATAGTTATTATAATACCGCCAGACTATGGCTGGGAATAGGATGTCAGTCAAGTATAGCGAATCTTATTTTATATATCATTCCTCACTCATTCTGTTCCGTCGTTCACATATTGGTTTCATATCATAAATACGGACGATATCGATGAATGGGACGTTACGCTAATTTAGGAGAGAGTCGGTTCTCGCACTCAGACACTCTCATCAGCCATGAGTCCCATAACATGAGAGAACAAACGGTTGCCCCGATATGAGGTGCAAAACATATCCACTCATATTAGCACTGATTCTTGCCTATCATATTCATGTATATTATATATTGTCAGCAAATGCGAGTCAATTGTGTTTCAACGCTTAAAGTCAATACCATTGATAATTGGGTACCATTTATGCGATTGAACGCCATTACGATTATACTGTACATCATTTTCATCCATTCTTTAGGCTTTGAAAAACATCTTTTGGGTTCAATTCAATTGGGAACTCATTTTTTATCAAATTGTTGTTATTCTTTATGATCCCTATAAGTGAGCCATTGCTTAACGCCTGTTGTCGACACCTGTACCCTATTATATAGTATATACTATATATATATATCATATATATTGAAATCTTTGTATATAACATAAATTTGTTAGTCAAGTCCATTGTTTGCATACCAGTGCCCGAACACTATCCAACTAATCTGGTATCTTATGTCCAGCAATTGTTGGCTCATCTTCGGCATCAACACTGTCTTTGACCGATTGTACAGCATTTCAATGAATCTTTAAATATGCGGTCTCTTCAAAGTCCAGCAAACTTTTCGGTATTCTTTAAGCGTTTTTTAGCCCAAACTTAACAATAAAGTGCACATTAGATGATGGCATTACATCTCCTCCTTTGCCATTCAAGTGATGGCCTAAAGTTATACTAGTGCTCACTGGGTGGCCATCAGTTAAAAATGTCACCAATAATGGCAAAAGTTGGCTAATATTGTTAATATTGTAGAAGTTTTTGTTTGTGAACCGCATATCTGACCAAAATTTAATACTTTTCTACTTTTGAATTCTTTAAACAACACATACATTCAGGTATATAAAGGATAGGGCACTCACTCAGTCACATACACTCACATATGATAGTTATGTTGTGCGGTGAGGACCGGCCCCACGCAGAGCACTTGAATGACACATCTTGTAGTGCTTTGTAATGGACTGCAGGCAGTCGTTGTCCGACATAAGCGACAAAAAGTCATTTTCAATGACAATTGCAATGTTGAGAACAACAAGTCCTGATCGCTGATCAATACCATAAATATAAGGTGTGAGCACTGTTGCGGTCCTTTTGAACCTCATATACATATTGTTGTCCAATAGTTAGCCCACCATCAAAATGTAACATAACCTATACAACTCATACAATAAGCCAAACAGTACTAAAAAATGACTACTATTTTGCTTATTAATCCAGTTTTGGCTTACAGTGTGGTCTCAGATCGTACCTATATTTCACTTACTGTCAAACTTTACTTAAATTAACTATAAGTCATAAAAATACTTTATTTGACAATACATTTACACACTTTGAAATCAATGCTTAATAGGATTACATGTCATTACAAGCACTAAATGATCGGTACATATAATCATTTTATTAAGGCTTACAGACTAACCATTTAACTGTTGATAGGTTTACATTACATGCAGTGCACCCGTATTACTGTATAATAATAAAACAACATAAATATATAGCTATAGATAATGTATACGGTTTAATAGTATCATAAAATCAATGTGTAGCCAACTTTTAACATTTTTTGTCAAACGCTTATTTCGGTGATATATTAAAATGTTATAACTGTTTACACAAAATACAAGATTATCTTTAATATAGATTTTCAAATAAGACTTCTTATGATTTTTAATGCTTTACTTTAATGGTTAAACAGGAAGAAGTGGTGATGACTCTGATTGTGATTCAGAGCCGGGAATACCATTGAAGCGAAAGCAGAGGCGATCGCGCACTACATTCACAGCGGAACAGTTGGACGAACTCGAGAGGTCTTTCGAAAGAACACAATATCCAGATGTTTATACTCGTGAAGAATTGGCACAAAAAACCAAATTAACTGAAGCGAGAGTTCAGGTATTTTAAGATTTAATTTTAAATGATTGCTTAAAATTTCATAAATATTAATAAAAATCAATTTAAAAGGTTTGGTTTAGTAATCGTAGAGCGCGTTGGCGTAAACAAGTCGGCGGAACTCAAATTAATGCTAACTTTATTTCAACGCCACCACCAATACCCGTGACGTCTACACCAACCATTAACATCGGCTCATACCCACAATCAAACATTACCTCCCATTATATGGATGCACCAGATTTCTCACATAACGGTATGTCTCATTAAAATTTTATTTTTATTAATTGTTTAAAAACTTGTTAATAACAAATTTGATACTATTGTGTTCATTAATATTATAAAAATTGCAAATAAATACTATTAAATATTCTATCATAAAAATTATATTTAAATCGTTGTTTATATAATAGTTAAATTTTACCAATAAAATAAGTATATATTTTTAAAAATAAAACAATACATATTTTAAAGATTAGCATATAAAAATAGTTAATTAAATTATTTAAATAAAATTTATTCAGTTTTAAAAATTTAGAAAACAATATGTAAATTATTTATAATTATAAGAAAATTATAAGATAAATAATTATGTGCTAAATGTGTGTATGTTTTATAATATCTAGAGACTGGTTGGACAAGAAATAGTCACCAAAATTTTGGTCCATCAGTACAGCCATCGTTCATCAGTTCTCATCAAATGTCAACTCATGGCAATTATGCGAGCGATCACTTCAATCAACCGATGCTTAACATTTTGAATGCTAATAATAGTAGCACTCATTCAAATAGTGTCGCTAATAATGATTTTCAATACAATGGACACAATGCTAATGAAAGCATTGGAGCCACCCATTGGACATCCGCTACATTAGGTTCGACCAGAAATATAGCCGACTCTACTTCATGGCCACACACTCACAGTGCTTTTGTCACCCCTAACGCAACCTATCAGTCCAACTCATATTTCATGTGAGACTTTGAAAACTTATATACTGTATATATAATATATATATATATTATATCAATTAAAAATTAACATATCATCTGATTTTATATAAGCCTACTCTATATTTTTATAATATTCACATTTACTTAACTTTTATAATATTATATATAAAAATTAAGTAAATTATATAAATTAAAATTTTTGATATTTCAAACATTAAGTACATTTCTTAGTATTTCATAAATTTATATATTTTTACTTATGTATAATAATTGATATATTATAAATATTCATTTAATTATAAGTCATTATTTGATTAATTTCATATTCAGCCATATTCATGTCTGATAAAATATACTTTTTGATACTTTACAAATTATATTATTGTATATTTATAACATTAAGAATATTTTTTATAGCTTATAATGAGTTGTAAATAATTTAAGTAAATAGTAAATTAAAATTATGTTTAAGCTCATTTTATTTTTTATAAACAATTAATTAATATACTATCAATATAACATTTTATACAAATACATAAAAATGATATATATATAATTTTAATGTCACTTTAAAACAATTATTAATTAACTAACATTTTATAATTTTGAAGAAATAATGTTTATATCAAGTTATAAATATAAGAATTTACATATATAAAATTTTATACAATGATTTTAAGATAATTGAATTTAAAAATAAATCAATTTGTTATATATATATATATATATATAATATGATTAATTAAATTATTTAACTAATAATTTATAACAATGTTTACATTAAAAAGATGTTTGAAGTCGTTTAATAATAGATTATACAGTACTTTATATAAGAATTTGTATACAATTGTCATCAAAACAATTATCAAATTTCTTCAATGTTTTTCTAATACTGATATCAAACGTACAAATCCTTTGTTTGTTTTGGTCGTCAAAAATATAAAAATATGACAAATAATTGCCAACTAATCTATTATCGGTTGTTTGGCAACAATGCAAATAAATAGTGGACTGAAAATATTGAACTCTTTGCTTAAATTAAGTCAAACAAATCGAGATTGTCATCAATAACATGACTTATTTACCAAACTATACACTTATTGTTTGGATTCATTGGCGAATTAAAAGGACATTTAAACTGATGTGCAAACTCTGGAGAGTTGGATAGTGTGCCGATTACCCGAAACTGTGCCGGACTGTGAGGATCATTCATTATTTGAAGTCTTAATGCTTCGGGAGTACTGGTCGAGCACCAGACTTGTGAAAATCCAACAAAAAAGAGCTGCAAATTTGTGAGATTGACTCCGGGCAGTGGCAACTCTAATGGATGTTTGCTTATCCATGATTTGTAAGCCTATAAAAATTGTAATATACTGTTAAATATTATATATATATAATGTACACATATATTCATTTACATTGTAAGCAGCCGTCAGACCTCCGTTGTCGGCAACATTTTCACCAATGGTTTGCTTCCCATTGACCTATAATTTACAACAAATCATTATATTGTAAATGTAGTGTATTATAGGTATATCCTTATACTGAACCTACCGTTTCATTTCCGACTTTATATTTAGAGTATTGTTCACTAAAGCATTTCATTTTTTCTTCAAACTTCTTAATCGTACTATTTTTCCACCACTGATGAAGATTTCCAGATTTGTCATATTCTCTGCCCTGATCTGCAACCATAACATCATTGCCATTGATTTAATTATATGAACCAAATTTATATATAAAATACCGTCAAATGCGTGACTTAATTCATGACCCATAACAACACCCATGGCTCCAAAATTCAATGATTTAGGATAATTGACGTCATAGAAAGGTGCCTTAAATTTAGTTGTCAATAACATTAATTTTTTTAACAAATTAATTTACATCATATTAATCAATACCTGAAGTATTCCCGCTGGAAAAACTGTAAATTTGCAAAACATGCATGACAATTACCATGATCAATTTATTTTATCATACTTTATAATAACTATGAAAATAAATATCTCACCAATTTGATTTTTAGTGGGTGTATAGTAAGCATTGACAGTGGGAGGTGACATTTCCCATTCTGATTTATTTGCCTTTAATTAAATAGTTAATTAAAAATCGTTTAAATAAAAGTTAAAATAAATTAATACCGATTTATCAATCTTTTGAAGATTTCTAATAAAAGCAAATTTATTTATTTCAATATTATTTTTGAAATATTGCTTCTCTTGAAAATTGAGCTATAAATTGAAAAATATAATATAATCAATTATCCAATTGTATTTGTATTAATTGAAGTTAACTATTTTACCCCATCATATTTTTCGTCTAATTTTTTGTCATTCAAAATAAAGTCAGGAAAACCAATCATATCAGTGATCGCATCAGCCTTTAAATAATATAATGTAAATTAAGTATAATAACAATAATATTAATAAAAATATTTATAACAAACTTTATCTTTAGCTAAATCTCGTGTTTCTTCATCCATCCATTTAAGATGTGGTAAATTATTTTTAAAGGCATCCCTGACCTCTTCAATCATAGTTTGGGCCATTTGTTTGGACTCTCCGTGAAAGACAGCCTTTACAAACATGGCTCCCAATGCAAAGCCCATTACACCGTTAGTATCGGTGACACAGTACCTCCAGGGGGACTCTGACCCCTCCGAACCCATTAATGCCTTTCGCAATATTTTCGACGCCTCTCTGAATGGCTTTGATAGACATGAGGTAAGAGTTTGGACAGCAGACCAACTCAAGTAATTCGCTAAAACTCTGTTCAATTCAATCAAATATTATTATTAATAATATAATATAAATATTTTTAATATACAAACATCTTCTTTTGATTGTCCATCAAATATTCATCAATGAGAAGCGTTAAGTTTATCATATAATCGGGTGAATAGACAACTATTGGTTCATTTTCGGTAATAGTTTTGTTAATTTGATTGAAAGCAAATCGAAAATATTGGACCCAATTAACAGCTCTTGACTTTCTATTTAAATCTTTTAATGTCATCTTATGGTAAGTTCTTTCATCATCTCTTCGTTGATCAGCCGGTATTGTTATCTATTTTTAAAAAAAATAATTAAATAAAATATATCTAACAAAATGTATATAATAATAATTATATAATAATTACAAAATAAATTTATATATTATGGTATTTATTAATTTAGTTTAAGTAATAAATAAAATGTTGCAATACTTGAGCCAATTTAGTCTCAAAATCCAAAACTTGTATCATTTGATTTGTTGTTGTATTTTCTTCTCCCCCAAGAAGTACTCCAACTTTTGTCATAAAAGTCAAGTATGCCTTTAGGACCTGTCATTTGAAATTAATAATAAGTTAATTACGATATTTAGTAGAAAATTGTTAAAAATATAAATATCTTATTTGGATAATTAATTAATTTGTTTTTATTTAAAAAAAATATTTTTTATAAAAAAAAAGTAATTATTCATTCAATATAAATAAACAATGATATAATTTACAATATACTGTACAATAATGTATAAATACAGTATAATAATTGCTAATATAAACTGAAATTGATTTCAATGATTTCTAAATCATAAATTATTTATATGAATATAAAATTATATTATAAACTATATTAATGTATATTTACTTCATTATTAGCTGATTTATTAAGATAATAATCTCTTGATGGTAATCCCAATCCATTTTGATCAATCTGTATGATATTATGCGATGAATTGCGTTCATCAGCGCCGACAGCCCATGTAAATAGTCCGCCCCTATTATATTTGTTATGTAGTAATTGTATGGTTTGTTGAAAATCCCATTTATTAACATCAAACTTTCCACTAATATTCCACCCATTTATCTAATAAAATAAAAATATAAATTAATGACTAAATAAATATATATTTTATTTTTAATAAATTTTATTTTAAGATATACATCATCTAAAAATTCTTGAAGTGGTTTGTGACCAAGTCTTTCAATGGTTTCATTTTTATCGACACACGAGTCATAATATATTCGGGCTTTTCTTTCGGCTTTATTTAATAAGTAATCATCTTTAGGCTCTTCTACAATATAAACAATATAAACAATATATAGTAATTTAAATTAAGTTTAAATTTCAAACAATAAATTGTATTATTATTATTATAACAAACCTAAAACATTTTTCATAACCAATTGATTTTCTTGCCATAATTTACCGAACGTTCCCCATATAGACTTACCATCGGGTAATGGGTTATCTCTGATCCAACCGCCGCACGCATATTGATAAAAGTCTTGACACGGATCGACATTATAGTCAATGGCATTGATGATAGCACTGGCAACTGTTATACACGACGGTGTTAAACAGTATTGAGCTGTTTTCATAATTACAACCAAATTTCAGATTTAAATACAAATTCAATTAAATGTTTAATGTTAAGCAAATGACGGAAAATGTGTACTTTAAGACTCATTAATAAAATTTAGTTTTATGTTAATAAATCATTTAATTATTGTCAACCCATATCAACCCATATCAACCCAAATAACATATTAAATAATCATTAAAAAAGAAATCTTACACTTGTTTTGAGTGCTGACATTCACATGAAGTGTAGTATTTGACTGAGCAGTTAATACTGATATAAGTATAATAATAACACAACTGAGAAATGCGATAACAATTAATAATAATTTTTCAAAAGGCGACGATCGGTCCCAAAAACTTCGGCGACGAACTCGCGATTTGGCCGAACCGGTCACTGGACTCCAAAATGACACACCGGGTGGAGTCGTCGATGACTTTTGGTGAATATTTTCCTGAATAGTCGCTTCATTAGCCAATTGTTGGCCACTGACTGACAGATTCGGATTTCCGATACCTGTGATAGTGATATCAGTGGGAAAAGTGCTCACTTCTGACACATCTTCGTCATCGAAGTCTGTTTTAGTATATCGAGGCATCTGTGGAAACACATCAATATATTCACCAATTTTTTATTAAATATATTCATTAAAGCATTAAATTTCACTGACAAACAATTACTTATATTTTCAATATTTTTTACATATTTCTAATATAAAACATTTAATTCAAAATCAAAGTTTAGAAAAACAAGTAATTCTATCTTTTGTTTTATTATTTTGATTTAGTTTTCATTTGTGATTAATTTTTTTTAGAACATATTGATTAATATCTACTAAAAATAGTCAATAAAACATAATATTTAATTCAATTGATTGAATTTCTTTTGTGATAATTAAAACTCATATGAAAATAATATATAAGTTTTGCTTACTTTGTTGTTTATAACTTTGTATCGACAAACTAACCGTATATTTTGTGGATGATTCACATTATATTCAATTATAATGAGATTTAGTTAATAAATCAATTTAGACATTTAAAAACACGATTCACATATATTCTCACTTTACAAGTGATACCAGTTATCTCCCAACCCTTACTTCACTTATGGCTATCGAAATAAGTTTAAGTGTCGGATATGACACTCTGATGACTACTTTCGATGAATTTACTGAAAAACTTAATTGTCCTTAAAAAACATGTAATTAACGTTTATTTAAATATAATATATAATATATACTATATGTTTAACTAGTTGAACATGAATTATAAATAATATGTTAATTATTTAAATATCGTAATTTGGGGTCAAAATAAAGATATAATTTATAAAAACAGTTATTTAAAACAAATATTATCGTTAATTAACTCACAGGTTTGAGTTGGAGTCCATTCATTTTATTTAATTGAATTTCATTTAAGATTATTTTATAATAAAATTATTGATTTTTTTGCGACTGAGTAGAGACCAAATGCCACACACTTCGCGGATTTATTGGCACAGTATGTGTGGCATACCATACCATACCATACCATACCATACCATACCATACCATACCATTCCATACGAGTATTGCGTCATTGAACGTACTGTGAGGGCGGTGGTCGACAATCTTGACGACCATCACCCCTGACCCTAACATTTTTTTAACCATTTGTATACCTATAGCCCTGTATCCCTAACTGTCCACCTCAATATGTGGTGCATTATATTTTTTATATTTTTAAAGTTTAATAATTGTCACATGATTTCTGAATCAATTATGATAAATACAATCTGATCCACAATTAATTTTTGGACTTTTATCTCATCGAAACTTTATTTGAATAAAATTGTATTGTATTCCCAATACTGTATATAATATTTAATTGATAATAAATTATTTCATTTATTCGTTACCTTCAATATATACTATAACAACTTAATTTTTAATATTTCATATATAAAATATATTTATATAATTTATTATATATACAGTAGTATCTATTTATATCTTTGATTTATTTTGTTAGATAAATATATACAATGTTTTAGATAAATATGTATAATACTTTCAAAATAGATGAGACAGGTTTTGAAGAATAAATTTCAAAATAATATCCAACAATATTAGTCTCACCTGTTTTGAAATAATTATAATATATTTATAAGTTTTATTATATAATTTATTTCGAATAAGTATTCCATAAAAATTTCTTATAGAAAATTTTTAGAAATTTCCATTTTCTTAAAATTAACTGATAATGAAATACAGATTTAACGTAATTTTACTCAAAATATAATATCTCATAAACTTATTTGAATGCATTTATTATAAATTATAGGTAAATTCCATTAATCTATAAATCATTTACATTCAAAATATTATATTTTAATTTTATTATATTATAAATATTTAGTATAATCTTCAGTTATCATTAAAATTTAATAATAATCTAAATTATTATTTTAAGTTAATTCAAATAAAAATTACTTACAATACTAATGATAATGATACAATACAATCAAAGTCAAACAATTATTACAATATATATATATATACAGGTATACTGTATATACCGTATATAAAAAACAATAATATTAATTTATCAACAATATATACTATTTGTTTTTTTACATTAATTATAAAATGCGATTTATTATAAAAGAATGGAAATAAATCTAAATAATTTTGAAATAGTTTGTCAAAAATTGTAGCAAATATTTGTAGATTTTATTGAAACACATAATGTTATGTAAAGTAAATGAAAATCATTGATATACAATAACAGGAAGAGGAGTTATACTAATTTATTTATACAAATTTTTAACTGATAATAAACTTAACTAATACTTTGTAATCACAAACTATGTAATTATCAATCATTTTTTCAAATAATAATTGATACAATTATTGTAGGTTTTATATATTTTTCAAAATTTAGCAAAACTGTTGATCAGTTCTACTTTTTAGTTAATAAAATGTGAGAAATTTATTAAATAAATAAATAGTATATTTTTTAAATGTTTGTAACTGAAGGGTAAATATTATTGTTAATTTGTAAAATTTCTATAATCGATTTGAATTAATCTTATATTGTTGTTAAATTGTTTAGTAACTTACAGTATTGTATTAGAAATAATTTATTAGAAAAAATATTAGACGAAAAAATTATTTATTTATATTTTATTTTATATAATGCTTTTACAAAATAGCAAGATAAAACTTTAAAATTGTAAAATAAATACATTTAGTATATAAAATAAATTTGATAAGTTTGCTTAATTGATTTTGTTTTGATAAACTTTATTTATCATATCAAGTAAAGCTAAACTATGAAACTACTACTTAAAACCTTGTCTTTAATATAAAAATTTGCATTATTTTACTATTAATTTATTGAATTATGACAATTCAGATAAGCTATATTAAGACTAGTATTTCATTAGTGTAATAGAATAGTAAAACATAATTTTATAAATATAGTAATATTTGGCACAAATTAAAATTTTAAAAAATGAAATTAAAATTTTAAAAAATGAAATTAAAATTTTTGATATAAATATGAAAATGGCATCAAAGCTGCCGTCTTATCAATGGATATACTTTATTGCTTATAGATATGCAGTAAAATATAGTCAACTTATGGGTCGACAAATGAGACGAGAATATAACGGATGCCTTTAGTCACACGAAGTCCTTCGTGATAATGAGTGAGTCTTCCGGGATGTAAAAAACTCCATCCCATTCGTGGCTCAGTTACACTACAATTATATCGCACAAAACGACAGCCCCCACCCTTTAAGTCAAACATATTTTTATAGTAAATCATTTAAAATCTTCACTAATAAAATTAATCATCATTTTTAATAAACCTCGTAATCAATGCCAGGAGAGTTGAGAGCAATGTTTACGGTATAAGTGGATGAGTCGTGATGTGGACGAAGTAATGGTTGTTCATTAGGATGATAGCGGACCACAAAATTCATTATTGCTTTGGGAGGCTAAACGACACAAACAATTATTTTTATTACTTTTAATAAATGTAGTCTAAGTTAGTTGTCTTACATCATGAGAGTAACCAATAAAGAGTTTTTCCTGAACGGGTCTAATATATTCTCTTAAGAAATACAGCCAATGCTGTTCCCATCCAATCTGATTCATATGTATGTCTCTTGTGGGCACATTCTCATAACCGCCCGCTAGTCTCGTGTCCTAATCATTCATTTATATTTTAATAATCATTTTAATGAACATTTCATATTTACTTTATTAGTTCCATCAGACCATTGGCCAAAATTTTCCATTATTTCTAAATAAAAAAATAATTTATTTATTATTGCAATATATAAACATAATTATAAGAAATCCTTATAACAAACCAATTAGATGTTTACAAAAGGCATGTGTCACTACTGGGAACCAGTAGACATCAGGACAGGGCTGTTCCACTTGTGTTTCAGCGTTTAATATATTTCTATAATCTTCATGAATGTATCGTTTTTCCCAATCTTTTTGATTTGAATACATCTCATATAAATCAGGATTTAATCGTTTTGTGTCAAACGTAGAGCTGACCACTAGATGACCAAAATCTTGTGAGTTTGTGACAAACATAAAGACTCCTTTATCTCTTAGTATTGAACAGAAAGTCATGTCAGGATCGGTGTCGGGATATTGAGTGCTATAATATGTGAGCGGAAATTGTGGCTCAACTTCATTGCTGTCGAGTCCTTTGAAAAGACTTGATTTTATGAGATAACACTCGGAAATGAAGGCAACGTTCCAAACACCTCTGGATTTGATAAAATAAAATTTAAATTCAAAGTTTCAGACAATAATAGGTATAATAATATTAATACATTTGTCGAATAATCTCAAATGAAAATTTTTATGATATAAAAACGTTAAAATAATTTTTAATATTAAATAACTTATGGTAATAGTAATAATAGTATACGGTTTATATACAGTATAGTAGTAATATTATAAAGTTGTATTAAATTAGATTAAAGTGTCAAACAATGATCAAAAGCATCAAAAAAGTGATGACAATTGCGCACAAAAGTGGTAGAAAATCAATGATCATCTGTGAAGAACTTGCGCACAGATTTACAGATAACTGTTAAAAGCGTGAAAACAATACAACGGAGCTCTCGGTTTGTTGATTACATATTTAACACATTTAGTGATCAACAAATGTAATCATTGGCTATGAGTGGTGTCGTAGTCAACAATAACCAAACCTGAAATGCATTTCTCAAGATATATCTATATTGTAATCATATTTATTATACTTTTAAACTCATTAATTGAGTGTCAAAGGGGTAAAGGACGAGGAAGTCGACGAAGAGGTAAGACTCGAAAGCACGGATCGTCTCGTTTTATATTTTATACAAATCCTAAACGACGAGAATATTACGATAATCCTAACGTAAGTTATTATAACTTTTTTAAATCATTATATCAATAGATTTAATTGCATTTTCAAACATTTTCATATTCTGGGTCAAACTTTCACAGATTGTGATGCTTTAAGATATATACTAATTTAAATATATTTTTAATTTGTAATGAATAAATTATACAATTTATGATAATGTAATATTATTTTTAGATGAGTCTATGTATTTATTTAACAGATATAGAATTATAAATTAAATTATCAATTCTTAATTTTAAAGATTATAAATAATAATTTGTTATAACAAGTATATTATAAGAGATCAACAATAACAAGTATAGATCAAATTAAAATATATAGCAATAATAATTAGTATATTCATAACGATTAGTTAAATTATAAAATATTCTGGTATATCTAATTTATGCATTATATTGCAATAACTAATTTTATTTTAGATTCCTTATAATAAATCAAACTATTGTAATAAAAATTTTAATATTAGCATATATTAACATTTTTATAGAATAATTATTCACAAACTCTATTATTGACGAGAATTTTAAAATTATTATATTATAAAGTAAAATTAGATTTGTCTTATTAGACATTCAACTTTGAATGTTATTCAAAAAAAGATCCCTGTCCTCAATAGGGATTGAATAAAAATATTTATAATATATTTGATATATCTATAGAAGAGACAATTGAAAAACAATGAAAAATAATGTCATTATTTCCTATTTTTGTTGATTGAATGGTATGTTAAATATGGAAGAGATCGGACAATGAAAATAAAATTGATATATTTTACTTATATTTTTACTTATTATAGAATATTATTATAACATTCAAATATAATTAAAAATAGCTAAATTTTTAAAATTTTCTCATAAGTAAATTAATTAATATTTTTAATGGTTAGTGTAAAATTTACATAAAATTACGATTAAGATTACTTTTAATTATATTTTTTTTGTTATATATAGTTTTTTATATGTATAAAATTGCTTGTAATTAAAACGTTAATATATAGTTTTATATGTACAGAAAAATATATAAAACAAAATGTCACAAAATTTTATTATTTATCACTTCATTTATGTTTATGTTTATAATAAAAATAGCTGAAAGTAAATATATGTGTGAATTATTATAAAATTCAACAAAATATTTCAATTCATTTTTAGCATTTAATAAAACTGCTTATGTTTGTCATAAATTATTAATATTTTGTCACAATATATAATATTCCCTATAAAAAATTTTGAATCATATATATATATATAAAATGATAAATTATAGCAATGAATAAATTGAAAATAGCAATGAATAAATAACAATATTGAGTTTGAAATTCAATGTTTTTATTATATAAGAAATAAAATGATTGTGTTTGAGATAGTTTTGCCTTAACTATGCTTCAAATACTATAAAATTAAATTGATTTACCAATGAGTAACTTGAGAATAGTTTATACAGAATATTCTTTAAATATCTAATCATTGTATCTGTATTTTGTTGTAAAGGGCGCTCAAATAATACAGGCCTCGCATTTTGATTACGAGTTTTATTTAGGACATAAAGTAAGTATTATTAAAAAAATTACTTTTAAAATATATCTATCGCTAATCTATACTGTATTATACTGTATGTTTAGATAGTATTTATATGTGTAGCTACTGGTGATCCAATGCCTATGTAAGTCAATACTCGTATAATAAAATAAAATTCACATTTCAAATGATTTATTGCAGGATTACATGGTTTAAAGATAGCATTGAATTGGATCCTCATTTGCATCAATATCTTCAGGTAAATTTCACAAATTTTATTTTATAGATTCAATAGTATTCTCTCTCTCACTCAGCAAAATTCAATTAATTTAATGCTAAAGTTTATGTTAAATAAAGTAAATTACATTTATTTCATGTATAAAACTTCTATATTTTGACACTTTAATATTTGAGATTTAAAGTAAAGTTATATAAACATAATCCTAATGATCATTACATTATAATTAAATTAAAGTAATATAAAATTTATATCGCTTTGACTACTAAAATGATTTTAAAAACTTAGATTTAAATTTTAAAAATATATATAAATTAAGTATATATTGTATATTTGCTATTTATTTTTATGATAATCCATAAGATAAAAATATTGATAAATGTATTTAAATGTAATGTTTATGTTAATGCAATGAATATTAAAATAGATATCGGAGTGGAAATATGGTTTGGATCGCATAAAGAGTAAGCTTGAGATCGACCCGGCCCGACAAATGGACAGTGGGTCTTATGAATGCATGGTATCACTGTTTATATCACTATTTACCCACTTTTAACATTTATTACATTTAAAAATTGATATTTAAAAAAATCATGTTTTTACAATAAAACAATCTTTTATAATGCAATTTACTAACAAATTAGCAATAGAGAAATTATTATAAGTAATTATCACAAATATAAAAATTAACTAAGTATACTGTAATTACTGTAAATTATCACTTTTAATATTGAGTGTCAGATAACAAATTTAGAAACTTGAAGTAATACAGTGTATAAATTTATTAAAAATATCCATTTCTGATTTGTATTTAACTTATATTTATAACATTGATTATCATTAGATTTGAAAACTAAGTTATGCAAAATTTTTAAATAAAAAAAGTTATACTCAATTATGTCATTTTGCAATTACGCTAATAGTATCAGAATATCAATGTGTATACTAAAGAAAAACTTGAGACTATTTCACTATTTCTTTATAAATTATATAAATCTCAAGAGACTAACAATACATTAAATTAGATGAGATATAATAGTTATGCTGTTATTGACTGTATTAGTGACAGAATTACAGAAAAAGAGAGAAGCACTGAGTCTTTTATATAAATAAATAATTTAATTAATTTATTTGTAAGATTAACAACAAATACAAGTTATTTAACTAATGAAATTGTATATAAACTAAACTACTTTATGAAATCATATTAAATATATTAATATTTTTGTTTAATAATTTCAAAGTATTTGTCATAATAAGAAAGAAATGTTATATACAGTATATAATTGAAGAATTACAATTAATGTAGTGTTTATACAGTATAATACTGTATAATAAATAGCTAAAATGTACAAATATAAATTTGATTTGATTTTATATGTTAATAAAAATGATTAATTAACTTAAATTATAATTTTAAATTATAGGCAAACAACAAGTATTCAGTGGACAGACGTAACTTCAAAGCAGATTTCTAATCATCATTTAATTTTGAAATACTTCAGTAGTTATCACATATTAATTACAATAATTAATGTATAGAAACAGTTATCAATTCATATAAAAATAACAATAGTCATCATATGTATTAACAAAACGATTTTTTAAAAATATCAAATCAAACTCTATTATAAAAATATTATATAATTCATATATATATATATATAATTTATACAATCAAACAATAATACTATTATTGTCTCTTTAATTTTGACTAATTACTCTATTTAATCGATACATATCACAAAATTAACTTATTTAAGTAAAGTATATTATAATATTTATACTTTAATTTAAATTAAACTTGTATATACATATACTATTATAAATTAAATTGTATATCATACTTTAGTTTAATACAGTATTTATAAATACTTAAATATTTTAGATTCAATACAATTTTTTTTATAAATATATATATTGAATATATACGGTATATATGTTTGTAGATTCTATGATATAGTTTATCTGTATATAGAACCATTATAATTTAATGAACAAATATTTTTTTAATTTATGTTAATAAAATTTATATTATAGCTTTTTATGTAGCATTTAAATTTATACAAATATTCATATAAATTTTTATATAAACAATATTAACTTATAAGTAATAAATAATAACAAACCTGCGATCATTTTTAACAATCAGTATGTAATCAAATGAACGAGAATAAAAACCCTCAGATGATAGGGCTCCCCAAAAGTTGGACCACAACTGGCTATTTCGTGAAAGTAGTGGTGCAATCACTCCTCTATTATTATTTTTTAAATAAACAATAATTAAAAAATAATAACTAATAATAAAACCATTTATTACTTATTTTGTTGAATTAGTTGCTTAAGAGTGTCTTTGTTAGTGAGTCTCGCATTTGAATCAATTGAGAAATAGTAATCGCAGTTGATTTTCATACATTCATCGCTGTATAATTAAAATACAAATAAATCAAAATAATACCGAAATTATAATAAAAATCAAATACAGAGCAGAATTTCTTGCTCTCCATTCTTGTTGTAGCCAATGATCTTCGGCAGTAAAAACAGTGACTCCTCTATAAACATCTCTGTACTGATCAATAAAATTTTGCACTTCTTTAGAGTGATAGTCAGCGCTGTTATACAGATATAAATGGATTCGCTTTTGTGGATAATTCTGATTCACGATATACTCAAAAAATTGGTCCAAAAATGGCGTTTCATGTGTTATGTATATACCAATCAATACAAGTGGCAAATCAGTATTGGAAATGTTTTCAAAACTTGTAATATTATCATTACAAATGAGACAACCATACTTCGGGTGCCATGATTTGACCAAATAGTTGCCCAATGAGTTCAAAGATATCTATAAATTATAAAATAAACGGTTGTTTAATAAATATAGTGTTAATAACATCATTTGAATATACTTTAGACGCTCCGTTGCCGTGGATTATCAATGGATTAGTTTGATATACATTATTGATAACATAAGAGTCATCGTCAGAAAATTTGATCTCAACGTCACCGATGGCACCGTTAAGATTCTGGAAAAGATTTGCCTTCTGGTCTAACTTAATGCCATACTTTTTCTAATAAATGTCAATTATAATTGTTAATTATATCATTACAAGTAAATTAAAATTTAATTTACTCTTAAAGTTTGATTGATATATATTTTTGTGTAAAACAATTGGTCGTCATCTAAGTTATTAATCTCCGCGGTTAATACCATTTGATAGATTTGTGGCGCAAAACCAATAAATCCTTAATTTAGTAAATATTTTATGATAACAATTGAATAGTTTATTATTGATATAATAATACCTCCAGAATTTAAATATGGTTTTCCTCCCTCTTCAGACTCGGGATATTTAGACTATTGAATAAATAAATTAACATTTAATTATGTAATTAATATAAGCATTGGATTCAATAAATTTAAAATTAATAATTTACTGCCAAAGACTTGTCGGGCCAACAGAAACCCTCGGATGAGAAAACAATTTTAGCGTCCATTGAAACAAATCGACGGAGTATTTCATCTGAATTTGATGTTATTATCACATCATAACTAATATAAATTATTAATTAAATTATTAAAATAATAGTTTAGATATTTATTATTTAAAAATCAATAACCTGTCGACAAACAGAATAATCAAATTTTTATCATTTTTAAAGTTATTGACAAAACTCTTCAACAAATTGACTTTATGTCCGCCGCCAGGACTGGTGGCCACATTTCCGCCCAACCATTTCTGGTTTAAACCCAATATCTAATTAATTGTTTATTTAAAATACAATTAAATCATTTATGTTATTGTAATAATTAATATAAATGTTATTAAATGGTATATTCAAACTAAAAATTTATTTTATATTTTTAGATACGGTATATAAAATTTATTTATATATATTCATAAACAGATATATAACATGTTTATACTAATTGTCAATAATTAAAACAATGTTAAATATTATTTAATAAATTATAACATTTTATAAGATATACTTTACCTCTAATTTGAGACCATAAGTATTGACTGATCGGTTAAATCGGACGAATCCATCGGTGATATGAGTGGCCACAGTCACCACCATTAGGTCATATTCTTTTCATTTATATATCATTTTAAATAAATAATATATATATAAAGTATATTTATTATATCAATATATCTATTATAAAAAAATATTAAAATTGATTCAATAAATACTAACTTTTAATTTCTTTTATGTCATTTGCATTAATTTGACAATAATTTAAAAAACATATTAAAAGTACTAAAAAAGTCAATTTTATGATATTATAATTATAAAGTAAATACATTTTTCACTAAATATAATAATAAATTTGCGGAATATATTCAATAATTTCCAATAATTGATTGTGCTAGATTGTTTACATTAATTCATACACATACAACGTTACGCAAACTTGACAACAAAAACACCTTGATTAGTTATCAAATGTAAAGTAAATTGTAATCAAATGTATAAAATATAAGTGACAATTAATAAAAGTATTGGATATTATATCAATGAATAACATTTAAAGTAAGTTTAAACCAAATTTAGAGTAATCATCCATTTGTTTGGACACACCTATCAAATAAAGCTATTAATAAAATGTTTCAATGGATTAAATGCGTGCGCTTTCATATGGATAAGTAATCAACGATTTGTACGATCAGTATATTCAACTATTTATGACATCAAGTTTCTCATTGGGTTTGGGTTTGTTTAGCTTTCAATATATATATACATATAATAAATATCATCTAAATATCATATAATAATTATTATATAAATACTTTTTGTGTTTATTTTGACTAAAGAGTAGACACTTTGATAGCACTTTTTTATAAAAAAAAAGTTGAAATGCTTTAATGATTAATGCAAATACTATATTAAATTAATGCACTAATACTTTCAAATTATCAAAGTTCACATATGATAATCAGTTAATTATATTATATAATTTATATAAAATAACTAAATAATATATTTTATGACTTAACTGTCACGTAGTTACTATAATTATTAAATATTTTAACGTATTATTAATTAATATATATATATAATAATTAAAACAAATAAAATTTCATATTTATCATTTGCTTTTCATTTTATTATTCAATGACAGAAAATTTTTAAAAGGTTAACAAAAGTTAAATAATTATAATAATAAAGAAATTATAATTGAAACAAATATCTAAAAAATAAATTAAGAGCGGAAGAGATGCAAATTTAATGCAATTTAAATTTTTTGAAATGACTTATTAATTAGTTGTTAAGTCACTACTAAATTGTTGAGCAAAAAGTTGAGCGCAATCTTTATAATAAATATATTACAAAATGTGTAAATGTTTTACTGTCAAAGCCTGAGGCGGGGCTGACCTCAGGCTCAGAGAGTTTAGGATTGCTTTCAACTTTGTGTCGCCATTCAGTAGTAACTAATACAATAAAAAACATTCAATTTGTTAACTACATGACCATTAGTAGCAATGCTAACAGTCCTAACCCGCCTAATGGAGTTTTATAATTTAGGTATCAATTTCATAGCCAATTCACCCAACAGGGGCTCAAATTGTTGGATAAATTGGCGATAAAATTGTTTGCTTTTAAATAGAAAGATAAAAGTAATTAAATCATGTTTTTATGTATACAATACATCAAATTTTGTTTTGTATTTTTGAGAGCAATTTTAAGTTAACATCAAATGTTACGGCATATAAACAAATAATACAATCATTTTAATTGACGCACAAGTAATGCACTACAAGTTCCCGACTGTTCATCTCTTCAATTGGTCTCTGCTTTTGTTTTGTGCCAATATATTCATACATTTATATTACAATTGTTTTTCTTTTAAAATATATTTAATAAAAATTGTCATTTTGTTTTGTTTATTATTTAAATATATTGTTTGTAACAATCGACTCATTGTTTGTTATTAATTTTAATTAAATTGTGTGCATAATAAGACACATCACCGATAATATGTATATATTCCTCAATATATAAAACCAATCAATTGATGCGATTTTTATCGTTCAAATGTTTTTACTTATTATTATTATTATTATATAAACCATTTGTTAATACAAAAAAGCATAGAAAACAAAGAGATGATTAGTTTGATACGGGAGTTGTCAAGAGTAAGGGATTATACAACTGAAAAACTGATTGACTAGAAAACAAATGGTCATCAGTTGTGATATAAAAACATTTTAACAATTTCTTGATTTACTTTAGGCTTATAATACAAATTAATACTTTAAATTATTTAGACAATTAACTATAAAACATTGAATTGATGGCACAATAAATGCTTTGAAATAAAAATCTAATTATTATTTGATAGCAATTTAGTTGATATATAGTATAAAACAAACAAATTGCGACCCTATTGTATATAATTAAGGAATCTTATGCCACACATCCATATCATATAATTCAATAACTTTTTCAGTCATATTAACGAGTATTGTGTGCAATCACTATAAAATTCAATACAATTGATTCAAATGTGGCTAATGATGATGACTGTGGTCTTCGGTCGTGTAGTTGGGTTTGGTTCGTATGCGCCACTCATCTCCATATTAAGTAACCATTCATTGTTTATAATGAATGCACACATACTGTTCATCCATTTGTCATATAAATGTTTTTAATATAATTGTAATAATAATGGCAGTAGAGTTGCAAGTTTTCCTATAATGGTTTTAGTGGTGAATCACTTGTTGTTATCCATATATTAAATAATATATTCAATACATACATGTATATCATATATATATACTGTATATTCAAATATATCATAATTCATATTCAAAGCATAATTTTGTTGAATGAGGTGCTGATGAAGTGATAACTTAATATATATATTCAATTTGTTTTACAGTCTGTTATATGAGAGGCGAACACAACTAAAACTGATTTACCATATATTCAAATGATTTAGCGTTGGTTTTGCCATATGTTAAAAATCATTACATAATAATAATTGTAATAATGATATTGATTATGAAATGAGCCGAAGTTTTAGCCAATTTTTCGGTAATAATAATCAGTGATATCAATAATAATAATAATAATAATAATATATAAGAATTGCGTTTAAAATGGATTTTTAGTGTACATCCAAAAGGATGAACTGTATTAAAGGCTTACATCAAAAAGTGAAGTCAAGTCCTTTTGTTAAAGTTTTTTCATAAAACAGTTAAGAAATGATAACTTAAGTCTATATATAAATGAATATATATATAGATTTCGATGAATATAACGCCAGTTATTATATGCTATGGTTTATCAGTCATTCACAATATTTTGTTTATAAACACACTGTAGACATTTCACTTCAATGTTTTGATCAATAAATTGTGTGTAATATTTAAATCATTAACAATCTTATGATTATCTTATAGTTAATTCCAGATCTTGAGGAAACTATCCCACGAACCGGTGGCCACTGCCATACCATCTTCAGTAACGCCAAGACAGCTGACTCGGTTGTCATGGCCAGCGAGAACACCTTTTGGTCATAATTTCATTATATAAGTAATATTAATAAATCAATAACAAAGATTAATTACCTGCGCGTTCAGCTTTCATAGAGTCCCAGACATTGCAATTGAAGTCATCATAACCAGCGAGCAATAGTCGACCACTCTTTGAAAATGCAACGGAAGTAATACCGCAAATGATGTTATCGTGTGAATACATGGCTAACTCTTGGTCTGCACGTATATCAAACAATCGACACGTGGCGTCATCAGAACCCGTAGCAAATGCGTATCCGTTCGGGAAAAACTATATAAAACACAATTTTTTAATTACATATTTAAATTAGCTTTAAATGTCTTATACTAACCGTAACCGCATTGATGTCTGACTCGTGTCCAGGAAATGTTTGCTTACATGTTCCGTCCCTTATGTCCCATAACTATAAATAAATATTACAAACAGTGATTATGATGTTATCAAACCGTAATTTAAGACATACTTTTGCGGAAGCATCACAGGCTCCGGAAACAAATGTTCGCATATCAGGTGATAATGAAAGCGACATAACATCGCCCGTATGGCCTGTAAATGATGTGCACTGTTGTCCAGTTTCAATGTCCCAAAGAGCACTTAGTTTAATAAAAATAATATAATTTACAAATAAATACATATTAATTGACATTTATACCATACCAAGTCATATCTCCAGAACTGGTGACGATTTGGTTGTCATCTAAAAATCGACAACAGGACAGATATCCTGTATGTCCGGGAAGTTCTCTACTAACGCGAACATTCCCCTCTCTGGTCTTAAGACTATAAATGGAACAGATGTTATCGAGACCACCACAAGCCACGTAAGAACCGGATGGCGCATAAGCACATGTCATGACCCAACTGGAGCGCAGAGGAATGGCGTGAACTTTGTTGGTAGTGTAGGCGTCCCATACAATCAACTTGCCATCCTGTGAGGCCGATACCAGGTATCTACTTAACAATTATAAACAAAAAATATATAATAAATGTAAGATTAACAACATTGTCATCAATACCTGGAGTCTGATCCCCAGTGCATGGCATATATTTTGGCCAAATGGCCGCGAAGTGTCCGTCTGGTGCGCATTTGGATCCTCCCCACGGGCTCCATGTTGGCCGTCGCCTGAACCAGAGTCGTATCGCACGCTGCCTTCCGCGCATCCTTTCGGTTAAACAATCATTAGATAAACTAAGAATTTCAACTAAATATTTTTACTCTAATTTTAAATAAATATTTTATGTAAAATATTTAAATTTTAAGATAATATATAAAATATATGGTAAAAGAGTGGATAACATCATTATATAATTTATTTAAACTAACAAATAGTGGATCGAAGTTGACGTCAAAGCATTTTAACTGACTTAGGATTGACGTCAAGGCATTGCCCTGCAGTTGTTGCCATAGTTATGATAGCAGGGATTGGGACTACCAGTGCTTTGATAGAGTAGTCAAACACTCAAAAGCATCACTAATCAAATAGCTCTCTAATATATATTAACAAACACTTTTCATTAATACTTTTAAAATGTATGTATATATGCTCTCAAATTGAATATTAAAAATTACAACTTATTTGTTGCAAATTGAAATCGGCTATCTATATATACTATAGTATACTATACTATATATTATATAGACATGACAAATGTTATAGCAATTCAAAATAGCAAATAAACAAATATTTCCATTAAATTATACCTCAAATCCTAACATATATTTAACTTTTTAAACTAATCCTTAAATAATAAATATTATGAGAACTCATCAGAAATAATCAGTTCATTCAATTGATTATCAGAAGAACGAAAGTATTGCAAAATTAACATCATTTGAGTTCCCATTCATTCAAATTTTACTATTATAAGTAAACCATTCAAATCTATTTTCTAACAACACATTAGCATAACATTAATCATTTCATTAATGATATCATTTTTATTTTTAATTATAGCTTAACCCTAATGTTAAATATAATTAATAACAAATGGTTAAGAATTTGATTTAAGAAATTATTATTATTGTTACGGTAATACTCATTACATTCATTAGTATTATTTATGACAATTGCAATGCATGTAATATGTAATGATTTTTAATTTGCAATTAATTTCTAACGTAAGTTAAAAACAATATCATGTTATTTGTACATAAAAATAGTTAAACTAAATAATAAATTGTAACAAATAAGTGATGACATACTCTGATGGTATTCTTGAGTGTCTCTGCTTCCTGTCTAAGACTATCCAATTCGTTCATGTCTTCTGATTGAAGCGACGGTCAGTTCGATGCGATTTCCAGTTTCCTGTCAAACGGTGCGCCCAAACCCTGTCCACAAAATAAACATTTCATAAAATATTAACCAACAGTTGTTTGACATAAGAGCTTAAGGTAATTGTTATGATTATAATTGATAAAAGCAAAGTGTTTTGTCACATATATGTTATGTTATGATATATAGATCGCTAAATTGGGTTAAACTATAAATAGATTGCAAAACCACTTGTCCTCACACTTCACACACTTATTGATGCTTTCAAAGTGTCACTGAGTTCAGCACACATTAACATCAATTTGTCTATAAATAGACTTCACGTATCAATTGCAAATTATCATCTACATCAGCACATGTATTGTGATGGTGGGTACAGTGGGCATTGGGAGGTAGGCATGAGTAGCACGGGTCCATTACATCTATGATTAGCAATGTTTGGACACATTTATCCGTTATTAAAGCATTGCATTGAATGTCATTTCCCCTTTAAATGCCTGTTCCTCTCTATAAGCTATGGAATGCACTGACAATCGATAGAAGGGCTGTGGCTGTGATGTGACTGAGCGCTGAGCACTGGTATGGTATATGAGTACCACTTTTACGCACGCCTTCTCAATACAAGCCCCCATAAGCTACTATATGATATATATCATAAACTGATATACCGTACCATAACTACTGTCTCAAATAGTAAATGTATTGTAAGGTATTCAACATATTCAGCGATATATATAAGTGTAAGACAAATGTTACTAAATATTAAACAATCAAAACAATAATCAATTGATTATTGCATTACACTTCCAGTCATACCATTAACTACTTAAGTCATAACACTAACACATAACGCTATAAAACTAATTAAATCAATAAATGTTTTACAAATCCATTCAATAGTAAAGACAAACATGTGATACAAAACACATACAACTGTATTATCGGAGCACTGGTTAAGGCAAACAAATAGACAAATAATTATATAAATTGATAACAAATATATGAGTAAAACAATTGTCTAATTAGTCATTACTTATTTACATCAAATCAGTATTGATTTACATTTACTGTAATTTATAAATTCAAAGTCTGATTGTAAACCATTGATTGTATGCATTGATAGCTTTATATTACATTTAAATTATTTCAATATATTCATCAAATAATATCATATAAAACATAAAACAATTAATACATAAAAGACAAAACAATATAAACAGTTAAGTCATCGATGGTTAGCGGTGTTTAGGCTCACAATTATCGCTAAACACTATTAATTGTGTTGCTTGCCATCGATGACCAATAGTTTTGATAAATGTATCCAATGATGGATCAGATAAGTGATAGTTGTTTGTGACGGAAAAGTAGACAAATGTTTTGAATGGTTTAGGCGTTAACTCAAACACTCAATGAGTGCTTCAATTGAATCATTGCTTTCATCAATAACTATATGTATTTAATAATCAAATCATTGGAAATCAATGTATCGATACATACGAGTAAAGTGTCCGTCAATTGTTATGTCCGAATGGGAACTAATTGTAGTGATCGACACACAGATGACAATCAATTAATGTAATTAAATAATAATTTTTAAACACAATTAAGTGCTCATAAACTCATTCAATGCATAATAAACGCCATTTTTATTACAATACACACTCACTGACCGACACTACTATCGTTCACATATGACGTTACGTACAGTTATATCAGTCAATTGATAATACAAATTGTATTAATATTATAGTAATACTGTAAATGTATATACAATATAATACAGTATATTAAACAATTTACCCAATGTACATTTTACCAGTAATGCACCAATGTCCAATTTGTTTTATTGTACAATACATACCTTATTTTATATTCAATTTATTCAAATATGACAATTATCATGACCAAGGTAGTACTAAATTTATATGTATATACTGTATATGAGTATATTATGCAAAATATATAATGAAAACAATTTGACGAAAATTGTTTCAATATTAGCGGTAATCAATTATTTTAATATATTATCTAATCATTGAATAATTAGTTTCAATTCAATTGTTTAAAAACTATACTTTTATTACTTTGGTTTTTAGATATAATTTGAAAATATGCCTAAAAATGTTTAACCGATAAAATTCGAGTAATTAATAGTATTGACAATTAATTTCAATTTAGCAGTTGTTTCATTGTTTTATCACTTAATTTATTTGATACTCATTCAGTGATTGGTCTGAATGGTGTGATTTGATGTCATGCTATTAACAAAAATATTGTTAACAACCGATGAGGGACGGGATGCGGTGGACGTCAATTTACTTGTATCACAACCACCTGCAGCTTCACTCGTGTACTTAATATTAGTGTATTCCCGGCCCGCCTGAAGACTTTTCTGTATGATATTCAAAAGTATTTAATTATTGTTAAATTAGTTGTGCAGTCAAAGGCTACCTGTTCTGCGAGAATCCTCTGTTGCAATGTCTCGATGTAGTGTTGGACCGCCAGATAAACGAACTTATATTGTGCTTCAGTTTGAACCATACCTGACCTTTGCGAGCGAACCATTTGTATTGTACGTTGAATGTCAATCTCACAGTCGAGTCCATGCCTTTTAATTTGTTCTATAATCTGGTCAATCACTATGAATGTACCCGTTCTTCCAATACCAGCACTAAATTTAAATGTAAATTATGATAATAATGTCATTCATTTATGTCTTAACTTACCTGCAGTGGACAATGACAGGACCGGCGTCTTCAATAGATTCTTGTTTTCGATTAACATCGTGAAGAAAGTTAAGAACACATCCCGGATCTGATGGAACTCCGTGATCGGGCCAAGCGGTGAAATGGTAATGATATAYCGTTCGGCTATTCTTTTCCGATTCTTTCCAAACTGAGAACTCTCTTAAAGTGTAATCAATGGTTGGCTTTTCACTCATAATTTTAACAGTGATTTTTCCATATTCTTTGGTTTGTCCCCTATCTGGCCAATAGCGGACACATTTGTTTTTTCCTCTTTCAATCTCTTTAGTGGTCATAACAACAACTGCACAATTTTCTTGCCAAACCATCCACCAAAAGTCACTGATTGTATTAGTAAGCGGACCCTGAGTTGCAATATATGTTTTTCTGTTATTGTCTGGACTGTTATTTTCATCGTCAATCTGTAAATTAAATAATTAACATTAAATAAGAAAAAATAATTACAGGTAATGATTTTTATATACCGTTATTATATTAGCATTAATATACTCAGCACCGGGTGTACTGTCAACATCTCCGAGTATCACTCGTGTATAATCAACTATTTAAAAAAATAATATTTATTAATAAAAACAGTAAATTTAAATTACCGGTAGTCATAACTTACAGGGAAGTATATTTTTATATCTATTTTTGGACCGATTTTCGGGTTTTTGTCCCTCTTTACGGGAATATAAATGTTTGCACTCTTGTTGTTGTAAATACTATTTGCCAAAAATTGAAAGCATATATGAGAACAGTTGTTAATTATTAAGTAAATCAATTATCAGACCTCAAACTCCTCCCAAAATCCTGCTTTTCCACTGTTTTGTACATTTTCTTTAATCAATACTTTAACCCTGTTTTCAATAGTGGATGCAGTAATGCGAGTGGCGTTAAACGGATTCTTTAAGTGGACAACAGTTCCAGTGGTTTCAACCATTGGGTTTTTCTTGTAGTGTTCAACTAATTCACTTAAGCTGTCAAACTTGTCACCCCCTCCCACATCAAACTTATTATCTTGACTTCTAATCATAACGTGTGTTACTTTATCATCCGTCCTAACTGTAAGTACATAATCTCCAGGTTTGCTTTGACTTTCCCTAACCAAGAAGCTCCCATTCTTGCCTTTGTCGAGTACCAATCGTTCGGCTTCTTTACCAGAAAGTGGTCCGTGAAACCAGCGTTCAGAGGTGGGATCAGATGAGTTGAGCGGAAACTTGAGTTCAATCACTTCGCCATTCTTTTCCTTGAGTTGTCCCATATTTTCCATATAGTACTGAACCAATTCAGCTAAAGTGGCAAACTTTTCGCCGCCGTAGAGATCATAATAATCGCCGGTATTTTGTATTTTAATGTGCGTCACCTGACCATTGCGTCGGACAGATAGTGTGAAATCACCCGGATTTGATTTGGACGGTCGGGCCAGGAAACTGCCCTCAAAACCCCTCTCCATTAACATCCTCTCGGCGTCCACTCCCGAGATGTTCGGGTGAAACCAACGGCCGTGACTTTAATCATACAAAATGGTTATACTTTTGTTATGACAATAACAATGCTTTTTTTATTACAAATAATCTAATGTTAGCTTAAATTGCATTTATATATCATATATACCATTAAGTATAGCCTTGATATGACACCTACTCTGCCATCACTACCAACTCATCCCACGATCTTATAGACACTATTATCCCTTACATCCCTTCCCATACTATTATTATTATTATTATAATCATAACTCATATGATAAATATAATAAATTCAATGATTAACAATTGGTTATATCACTACCTAATGGTTATATCAATTATAAGGCAATTGACACCAAACTTGAAAGCGATTATCAATTGGTGCATACCTTCTGGTAGTCATATTGTTAATGGTATCGATGGATGTGTTTGATGGTCACAATTGGTGGTCACAATTGGTCATCATGTGTACCATTTGGTCACAATAAACATAATTAAGTCATCGGTGGTCACAAATGGCATGCAATGAGTCAAACAAACATATGTTATGACGATATTTGTGTTCAATCAATACATTGCAATCAATAATGTATTACTCAATCATCGCAACCAATGTATGTGTTATTATATAACATACTATTAATGCTCTAATATATGCTTTACTATTGTTTGCGTCACTCATATCTTATATTAAGCAACAGTTAGTTTTCCACCATTTTATCAGTTTTTATAATTATTGCATATTTTATTCAATACATAATATATTACATAAACTAGAGTCTAGACTCTAAACTCTAAACACTTACACAACAAATATAATATATATATTATTATAACATTTCATTTTAATCACATTTTTAAGTTAATTAAAAATAATATAAATATAATAAGTATATTGTAGTGCAATTTAAATTTGCATAATTCATTTAACAATAATTATATTTATTATATCAAATATATAAAATGTAAAATAGATTGTATAAAATAATTAGATATTGACAATTTTAATTGTCCATTAAATTAATTTCGTTTAAATAAAAAATAATTTAAAAAAATAATTTAAAAAAATAAAATGTTGAAATTGAAATGAATTGGGTTTGGTTTGGTTTGGTTTGGTTTGGTTTGGTTTGGTTTGGGTCGGGTCGGGAATATTTAGTAAACTATGTTTGGTTGGGATTGGAGTCTAATTGGTATTTAAATACTAATGTGTAAAATGTATTGATATTGTATTGTATTATATGTTATGTGTTGTTATGAGTATGTGTTGTAAGCTGTGGTGTAATACCTGTTTGCTATGCCTGTAGTGCTGGCAGTGACTGACTGTAAGCACAGTTAGCTGAGCACAGTTAGTGTGGTGTAATGCCTATCTCTATGTGAAACATTGTCAGTGCAATTGCTTGTGTCCACGTTTGCCATTAATTGTCTCTTAATTGTTGTCTATTTCTATCCTCTCTTTAATTGTTGTCTCTTAATGTCTTAATGTTAATGATTTGTCATAACATCTAATGAGACAATTGATGTTAACTGTGCTTTAACTGGTTGTCCACTCGTCCACCAAATGTAAGGTATGTGTCTATATGTCATATGTGTGTTGTACTGACAGTCGTGACCTGATTGTCACCTCTTTGAGGACCACTTTAAACACATGTCTTAACTGTTGACTGATTTCCTATGAAAACAATTAAAAAGTAATGCAAACATTGTATCAAACATTTTATACATTAAAGAGTAGACAAATAAGCGCAACAAGTATTGCATGTATCATATGATATACCATTAAGACATCCACTGATACTTATTATCGATACATATAAGAGGTTCAAACACAACATCATAGACTTGATGCCAATCATGAGTATGACTAACACAAATGTGACAAACGCGGTGTCACCGCCACCCGTATTGGTCAACACTAACGGTAATCATCAGCGAGAACCCGATCCCGACGCCATCAAGATGTTTGTCGGACAGATTCCCAGGGATTGGACTGAAACGGATTGTCGAAAACTATTTGAGGAATTCGGTGAAATCCATTCAATCAATGTCTTGAGAGATAAACAGTCGGGTCAGAGTAGGGGCTGTTGTTTTGTCACTTATTATGCTCGTCGGTCGGCACTTCAAGCACAGGACGCCCTCCACAATATAAAAACTTTGTCATCAATGCATCATCCGATCCAAATGAAACCGGCAGACAGTGAAAACAGAAATGAACGCAAACTCTTTGTCGGTATGCTCTCCAAGAAGTATAACGAATCTGACGTTAGGCTTATGTTTGCCGCGTATGGAAACATAGAGGAGTGTACTGTCTTGAGGGACACTAACGGCCAAAGCAAAGGTCTTATATTATATAATTATATGATCACCTGTTGAATACATTTCTATTTAATTTACTTTAATTATTAGGCTGTGCTTTTGTCACATTCTCGACCCGTCAGTGTGCCATCAATGCCATTAAAGCCATGAATCACTCACAGACTATGGAAGGATGTTCTTCACCATTGGTGGTGAAATTTGCTGATACTCAACGTGATAAAGATGCCCGACGGCAGCAACAGATGCTAATGCAACAGTTATGTCACTCAACACAGCCGAGTCCAACTGCCGCTTCATTAGCGGCCGCAAACCCATATCTAGCATTAGCAGCTGCAGCGGCTGCTCAGCACCAACAGGTGCAACAACAACAGGCCGCTCAACAACAGAACGCATTGGCAGCCGCAGCCACTTTGGCTCTTCAGCAACAATTAGTTGCAACTATGAATACAACACCTGAAATATCATTGGCAGCAGCGGCGGCCACTTTAGCCGCTTCGAACCCTATGATGTTGGCTGCGTTGTGCGGAAGTGCTACAAATAACTCAAATAATCCAACGGGCAGTTCAACTCCACAACAGCAACATCTTAATGGTTCCAGTGATATATACAACGCTTCTCAAAACCAACAGACTTTCTCAAACTTTGGTTTGGGAGGCACAGGACCGGCAACTATCGCTCAATTGGCAGTACAAGCGGCTCAACAAAACAATCTATTACAACATACAAATGGCACTGCAATCGGCAAACAAACGGAAGGACCGGATGGCGCCAACCTTTTCATTTATCACTTGCCCGCAGAATTCAGTGATACAGACTTGGCCTCAACATTCTCTCCTTTCGGAAATGTATTGTCCAGTAAAGTATTTATTGATAAACAAACAAATTTGTCAAAATGTTTTGGTTTTGTCTCATATGACAACCCTATCTCAGCACAAGCGGCCATTCAAGCCATGAATGGCTTTCAAATTGGCACTAAACGACTCAAAGTGCAACTCAAAAGAAGTAAAGATAAGCCATATTAGCGACTATTAGTATAATAAATAATTGATGATTAGGTGACAGTTTTCTCACTACTATTTCTCTTATATTATGTAACGTTTGTTATGTCACTGTTAACTAAATGGTCTAAAGATTTGTTTCGTTAGCTTTTTACTCAAGAGTTTAATTTGATTTTTTGACTAAATTTATATATTTGTCGTTGAATTGCGGACCAACTATTGAATAATTTCTAAAATATGATTATTTAATATAATATAAATGAAATATTATATAATTATTGATATTAATTAAACAGAACTGTCCTCACGAAAGCCTTTTAATGAGCAAAACTGCTTAACAAACAAATTATACGACAATAGCCTTACATAACTTCCTTATCCGCACCGGATATTTATAAAACATTTGTATGTAAACTGATTGTCCATTGATTTGATTAATTGATTTTTTTTTAATTATAAAGATTATAATATATTTGACTCAAAAATGTGCTCACTTATAGTAAATTGACAACATTATTATAATTTTATTATTATAGAATTATTATAAGTTTAATATAATTTTATTATTTGAATATTATTTAAATTAAAACATTATTCTAGTCTTACAAACCCTTTGGTCAAATATATGTTATATAAGAACCAGAATTTACACATTTTAAAAATTAATGACAAAATAATTATTTCGATACAAATTTTAGTAATATTTAATTGAAAGTAAATTTTAATATAAGTATATTAAGAGCTTTTACGTTAAAGGCTAAGATATATCAGTTGCTTATATTTTGTTAATTATTTTTTAATTTAAAATGTTATGAATTGTATACAATTTAATCGCTTTTGTTTATTTTTGTTTTGTTATTTTATACTTTAAAAGTCGATATTTAAAGCGATTTATAGAATAATATACAATAATATATTTTGCTAATACTAGAGATATTTGGACTAATGTTGACCGACATTGCATTTGTTAACAATAATGAAATATAAAATTAGTTGAATCGTCACAACATATCACATATCATACCTCATTGATCATAATAATGTCGGTTCCCATTGAGACAGCATTTATCAGCTCAATCGACTTATTGCTATTCCTATTGTTTTTTGGTATATTTTTTAAAATATTATTTATCACAAATTAAATTATTGTCAAATTTATTTTTAATTCAATTATATAATTATTTACTTAACAAATTTTATATAACTGGCAAAAGAGTTTTATAATTATAAGTTAATTTACGTTTTATGATAATTAAAAAAATCATTAAATGGATCTGATTATTTAATATTTATATATTTATTATTTATATAAATTTGATATTATTTTTTAAATTTAATTATTTGTTTTTATAAGTTATATATATTAAGATTTAAATTATATTTTGTTTTATATCGTTTCCATATATATGATGTTAATTCTAAATATGTTTAATTTTATATTAATTTTGTTATTATACTAAAAAGTAATCATTTAAACATTGAACATCATTTTCAAGCAAATTGCCATCAGATTTGTATTTTGAATAAAAATTGTTAAAACTTTATATATCTTATATTAAATAATAAGTGGATTACTTTGTGATGAGAGGAATGATTAAATTATTTGGCAAATATCATAATTTATTAGATGATAAATATATCTAAAAAATTATTGGGCAGTGATTTTTAAAAGAAAACATTGCTTTTGTGCCAAACAATAATATTTAAGTAAATATTAAATGAAATTTTTCATTAAAATTTCTATTTAAAAAAAACTTAACAATTACGATGAGCCCAACTTTTCTATTGAGATGATATATATACTGTCCATTTATATTAATTACAAATAATTGTCGTGAAAATTTATTTCTAAAATTGATGTTTTCGTAACTGATTAATAAAAGCTAATTGAATTTAAGGTTTTACTATTGTTTTTAGTTATTATGATATATATGTTAAAAAGTTGTATTATTAAAGTATTAAAAAAATAATTATGTAAAAACTTGAATATTCTATTATTATTCTATTATTTGTTAAAAAATTATTAATATTATTAATATATTATTATTATGAAGAAAATGTTTGGTGTATTTTTAAATGTTTTTTTGTGAACCTTGGTGTTTATTATATAATGGGATATTACTTTCCAATTGAAATTTTTTGTATATTACACTAATATCACATTTTATTAATTATTAATTGTTTACTATTTTATTAATTATGTAATTACGTTTTTAATTGTGTAACTGGTTTGTGGTTTATGTGACAATTTTAAATCGGTGTTGAATTTAAGATTAAAATTTATTGATTTGTATTTTTGTATAGCTTTATATTTTTTGGTTATATTGTTATTATATCATAATTGTGTCCCCGATTGTGTTCAATTGATGTCATTGATAATTATATAAATCTTAATGTAATTGTTTTATCTTTCAAACAAAAAATATTATACAACACATGATATCAAACACATCAACACAAAGTAATTTTGAGATCTAATTTTTAATAATTTAAAAAATATCACATAATATATATATATATATATATATATATAATTTAGCAAAAAATCAGCTATTTTTGACATATGTTTAATATTAATTTAATTATATGATAAAAACTAATGTATTCAAACTTTTGGGTAATTTTATGAAAATAAAATCTGATTCGTTATAACAAAAACTTTTATTTTAATAAGTAATTAAAAAATTAATTTTGTAAATGAGTTTAAATGGTTTTAAATGAAACATTATTACCATTATATTGAATCTGATTTCACAGACGACAACATTTACAACTGATATTTAAGTATCGATTGATTACCTTTTTTGTGGTCTTTTTTTATTATCTTTTGTGTAACCAAATTGATTATCTGAATAACACATTGTTTTTCATTAAGACTTTTCTCAATCTATACCATAGATTACCATTAGTGCTATAAGTGATTGATTTTTGATAAATGCTTAAAATATGTATTAAACAATTAGCAAAATAAACTTATCCTTTACTAATTTAATTTATACTTGTAATTGTACTACAATGTAATTTATATAATGTATGCATTTTTTCATAAATCTTACAGTATTTCTATTACTCATCTATAGATATATAATCTGTTTTTGTTAATAACAAAATAGTTTATTTAAAAGTTAATAAATAAAGTAAAAAAATTACTTTATTTTTGTTTTTTCATTATTGAAATCAATATGAGTTTCGTTTTGAGTACTTTGCGGTTCAGTTATGGTTTCTATTAATGCGTCAGTTTTGGGTACTTCAGAAAAGACAACATTTAATATACATTTGTATGAATAATATGAATATCAATATATCATTGATTTTTACGAATCGTCTTATTTTCAAAAATGATTGTTTGTTGCATTCATTTGATACAATAGATGCAGTTTTTCTTATATTTTTCTTATTATTATTTTTAAACAAATTTGTCGAAAAAGAAGAATCAGAAGAAGAGTCATATATTTTACTTACTGTTTGTGTTTCTATGAAATTAACGAATAGAAGAATCATTAGTTTGTAATATCTATTGTATAAACATTTTTGTGCTTTCGTTCCATTAATATAAAGTAAATGTGTTTTTATTTATTAGAATAAAATAATTATTATATGAATTAAAAGTCAATTTTTAATTTACAAATATCTGATGCAAACAATTAAGGAAATATCACATTAAATAAGTTAATCATTAGACGACTTGTTTTAGTCAAATGATTCACATTATTACTATTCAATAGCAATATCATAGCATAACATTTGTATTATATTTTAAACAAATAAATTAATAATTTGTTTTAAATTAGTTCAACTTATTTAGGGTTTATAATGTCCAGAGATTGCTTCAAACAAAAAAAGTAAAATACTTTCTCTTTATAATCATAGGTACTATCGATAGGTAATTATGACTTTAATTTGTTTATCTATATGTTTAATATGAATAATTGATTTAAGTACACAATTATTTTTGGTTGTTAGCAAAAATGACAAAAATAGCATTTGGCTACTAATTTAAGTGTTTTCAATGTAATATTTTATCTATTGATTTGAGTTTTTCTTAAACATAGATTTACGGAATTATTCTTCTAAAGGGAATAATAAACGTAAGTTTGTCTGTTGTTATGTTATATACTGTAATTGACTTATTTTATTAAAATATTCCACATTATAAAACATGACATATATTGTTGAATATTGTTTATAGATATCATTTAAATCAAAGCAATTTAATTACTTTTTTCAAATTTCCAAACAATACAAGACATGACATATAATTTCAAGTAATAATTAGACAAATGAATGAAAAACTCGATCCAATATCTGGTATACAATTTTGTTGACTATTTTTGAGAAACTTTCTTACTTTTGAATACTTTACAAAAACAACTATCAAATTATACGCCTGAAAGCTGGTCTCTGATTGGTTGGTTGACTAACTTTTTAAATACATTCAACAGTACAGTAGCTTTCGCTTCATTTTTTTCGACTGATATTTATATTATTGTAAGTAATGTAATGTAATTAATAAATGATTGAAAATGTTTTGTCTAATCATCACTTAATTTGGGAAATAGTATTGAATTGTGAATATAAATAACATTCTCTAACTATAAATATTACAAAATGTTGTATAAATCAATGTTTTATAGTTTATATCAAATATACAGTACTAACAAAACTACTATTTAATACTTGGAAAATGTAAATATCTATTAAAATAATTGACTAATTTTGATGGACTTTGATTTTAAATAAAGGTTAACTAAACGATTAATGATTCAATTAAAATATTTAACAAACAAAAAATTATAAATTTTATATAAATTATAATTAATATAAAAATAAGCAAAAAATTTTCTATAATTACGTCAACGATGTTCATCACATTCAATATCAATCACCTCTAATATCTCACATATTTAGCATTTGCTGGAAATTTCAATTTATTTTTTTTTAATTTTTTATATACTAATAATAAGATTCTATAATTTATTTTATAATGTTTAAAATATTTAAAAATAAGCTCAATATTTATATTATTGATTTGTATTTAATAGCACAAACAAAGGCTCATTTAATATACCGGTATATAAACATAAATATAACAAATAATAAATGTTATTTAAACAAAGTTAACTAAATGCTACTAAATCTAATAAAATAATAGTTTCCATGTATTTTTATTTTCATATATTTATACAATTATATATTATATAATAAAATATATACTGCATTACAATAATGTTGTCAATTGGCGTATCTGTGAATGTTTGAAACCATTTTTATTAAATAATCGATAAAAATTAATTTTGTTTTATATAACAAAATATGAAACAATAGACATTTATATTGTTAAATATAACTTATATTTAATTATAATTATTATAAATATAAAACCATATTGTATTTTTTTAAAAATCTATAAAATTAAATGCAAGTTATAAAAAACATTTATTTAAAATTAATACAAAAAATTAATTGCAATATTTAACTGAACTTAAAAACTGTTTTTAATATATATCTCCTTAACTTTATCAGTAAAACCATAATCCATATCAGCGTTTGACGCAAAACGTCAATCAATTGGCACCACAACAACAATAATACAAATCATATCTTGTATAAAACGAGCCCACATTTTAGACCATTAATAATGGGTTAAATATTACTATATATTATACAGTGTATTGAATATAATGAGATTAATTATATTGACAATAATAAAATTTCATTGTATGGTATTTTTAGTTTTATATTAATCACAATACCAAAGAATAAGAATTTTAATTACTTTTCTATTACCGGTAAATATTTTTTTTTGATGATATATCGAAAAATCTCATTCAGATGTCGTTTTAGACCTTTGATTATAAATTATGAGCAATTAATTTTGAATTACATTTAAGTTCATTGATATATAAATACAACATAATCCTAGTTTTTAGTGTTAATTATTTCAATAGTATTTTTTCTTAAAAAACTATTATTGATATATAGTATGAAAAAAGATTAAATATATATAATTTCAATTAAAACCCGTCTAAAGTATTGAACATTTTCGCGGTCTTTTAGGTTCCGGTGGTTCCAGTGCTGCGAGAATTGCTTCATCGAAAACATTCTTCAATCCTCTCTATTGTTATAAAAATAAATAAATAAAAACAAATTGTTAACAATTATCAGTAAATATATAACAAAATTAAAGTCATATACTTGTGTTAGTGCCGAACACTCGACATATTTAACAGCTTTTAATTCTTTGGCCAATTTCTCTCCGGCTTCAGATGTAATCGGTTTTTGTTTGTTTTTTGATAACTTTTCGACTGTTGCCGCGTCGTCGCGAAGATCTATTTGAGTGCCAACTAATAAAAACGGTGTCTTTTGACAGTGATGTGTGATTTCTGGCACCCACTGTTATAAGCGCACAGGTATGCAGATAAAAATAACACATTAATAATACTGTTATTATGTATAGTAATTATTAAATTAAAAATAACCTTTTCTTTGACATTTTCAAAACTGGATGGCGAGACAACTGAAAAACAAACCAAAAATACATCGGTTTGCGGATAACTTAATGGCCTCAAGCGGTCGTAATCTTCTTGACCGGCCGTATCAAACAGTCCTAACGTATACGGCTCACCACCGATCATAACAGTGACCGCATAATTATCAAACACCTATTAATAGTAATTAAATTTATGGTAAATATAATTTTAAATCCAATGTTTTTGGCCACTTATGGCGCCAATGATTGTACATACGGTGGGCACGTATTCAGACGGAAATTTGTTGGTTGTGTATGATATCAATAGACATGTTTTACCGACGGCACCGTCACCGACAACAACACATTTGATTGTTTGCATATCTTAGATAACGATTTGGTAGTAAATGATTGTTAAAATATCATCAATTGATATGATTTGCGGCTAATTATGCGCTGATTACCAGTCACTACACAAACCTATCTTCTTTCGGCTTTCAATCACCTGTCGATTGGATGACAAAATCAATACAAAACAATTAATTTTGATGACAATTATACCACCAATTGGTCGCCATTTTCGTAGTTTATCACAACAAATGACAATCAAATTGATTGACATTTCAGTTGATATCAATACCATAGCAATGGTATTATCTCATAATCAACACAATCATCAGCGGACCAATTGATTCGGTTATAGTAACAAATAATTATTGATTATCACATTTACCTGCAATTAGTCGACAAATGGTTTGATTTGTTGATAATTAATGACAACAAACAAAACAATCACAGAATGTATAGTATATTATAGTCTATAGTATAGGGCGTCGACTGTGCGCTAACTCAACATTCTATGCATAGACTCATCAATACATTAGAGATGCCGTCAAACCAGCGCTCATAAGGAAGTTATGTCTCGAAAGGCATTCAATACATTAATAACGTTAAAGCAATTCATTTCGTTTTTCAATTAATTAATTAAACTTTTTTTTAGTTTATTTAATAATTAATTTATTGAAACATTAAAAACACAGATAACTATCACTCGGAATCATCCGATGATATGTCAAGTGTTTGGTTGAAATCAAACGAAACGTTTTGATTTTGTCTCTTCTTCTCCTTATTTTTAACTCTTCTCTTATTTTTCTTCGATTGTTTCGTTCGTTTCGTTTCACTTTTATCCTCAAAAACATCTTCTTGTTCTTCATGTTTGTCAAGAGTTTTGTTTTCATTAAACTTTCTTTTGTTGCTTTTATTTGATTTATGAGAAGCTGTTGTCCCACTGAAAGCAATGTCGTTGGGCTGTGGCTCAGATGCGGAGGCGTTTGAATCGTTATTAATCGACTCCGAGTGTAATAATTGTTTGGCGACTTTGATTTGATTGCGCTGTTTAAAGAAAGAGGTGATAGGAGTGCCCTTTGCCTTCAAATCAGTTTCCCATGAGTTCTAAATTAACAAAATATAATATATTACCGGTGAAGACAAATAAAATATGACATACTATGGCAGGACTGTTGGTTATGGAAAAGTCAACGTTTCGTCTCTTATCGCAAATAAGTTTAGAGTTTTCATCAATTTTATCCAATAGTTGTTTTAAAAGTTGATTGTGTTGTATAACATGTGAACGCTTTAAAAATTTTCTTACCTTTTATTTGAATATCAATAAATAAATGAATAAAATATTTAACAAAAACTAATTACTGGTAATACTTTACCTTAACTACGGAGATATAAACCAATTCGGGAAACGCTATTACATGCGATTGAGTCGACAAATAATAAAGAAGTAAATCATATATTTTACGAATGACTGCATCTCTGAACTTAAAATCATTGGTATTAAGTGTCGACACTTTAATCAATAGATCCAAATTTAGCTCTTTTTCATCATTTGATGGCTTATTTTTCTTTAATTTATCGAAATGATCCAAAATCTATATTATCTTAAACATTAGTATTTGTAAATTTAAATACTATATTAACAAAAATTAATTACTTGAGTAATAAATGGAAATATAGGTATAAATGTATTTGTTTCGTCTGATAACTTAATTAACGCGTTTATCAAATGAAATCTCATTGGAAAAAATTTTGGTGACGATTGAAGTCTATTGACAAATATTTAATCAATTATTTTTTATACTAAATAATATTTATTGCCATTAATTTAAAAACCTACCGAATTGTTCCGATAATAACGTTAACTAATGGTGTAATAAGTGGTTTAAGTTCATCAACAGAATTATGTGAACATAATAGTTGAGTCCATAATAATATTGAATGTAAATATTGCCAATTATATACACTTTTATAGGATTCCTTAAATTAAATTAAATTTAACAAATTATACCAAAACAGTTGTCAGCAAATGTTTAAACAAACCTTTTTCTTTATAGTCATTGCAGTCCTTAAATTAATAGCGAGTTGTCTAATGAAAACAAAGGCGTGTTGATAGGCCACCACCGGATCCAATGAATACAATTCAACTAATGAGTGCTTCATAAAGACAATTGTTGTCTGATTTGCCGAATCTTTCATATATTTTGAATTTTTAATGTAAGATAAATATAATTTCTGTAATCATAAAAATTTTTATGTCAAACATAATAATATTAATGATTTTGTAATCAATAAGACCTTTAAAATAAAGCTAATCATTGGTTGTTCTTGAGTTCTGACAAGTCTTAAAATACAAATAAAAGAAAGGATGCGATTCTTTTCATCACTTTCTGACCAAAGAGTCATCGTTTGCTTCAAAACACGTTTAATAAGATGTGGAAATGCTTTGAGAAATGGTATTAAATATAATATATGCCTTAAAAGTGTTGTTTTAAGTGACATTTCAGTGACAACGCCAACCATTTTAATGACATCAGTTAAGTAAATCTTCATCACTGAAATCATTTTCTTCCAGTTTCGAGACTTTGTTGGATCGATAGACTTGACATCATTAGACCACTGACTGGAATCAATTGGTGGCAATTTTAGACATTTCTGAATCGCTGGCAATAAGTCTATAAGACATATATTTATAACTGAATTGAAAACATCGGCACTCATGAGTTTGCCATCACATTCACCGCTTGTCTGTTCAACGGCTTTGCGAAACCATTTGACCACTGATTTGATTGTCTCGATGTCTGCTTTTTCAGACAACTTATCACTCCATTTATCAATTGTCTTAACCGATAACTTTTCACTCAAATCTTGCGTTTTAGTGTCAAAGTCTTCGTTTTCATCATTGTCTTCGTCTTCTTCTACTTCTTCATCGTTGACATCAAAATCAAGCAATTGTTGATCATTTTCTTGTAAAAACTCATAAAATTCAGAATCCTTTTCCTTAAGTTTATCTAATGTCTTCTTGTAGTCGTCAATGTCATCATAATCACTGTCATTATCATCACTTGAATCCATAGGTTTCATATCATCTCTTTGTGAATCATTCATCACATCTTCCGAGTCATCAATTGTCTCCTTTTGTGTCACTTTTGGTTTCTTTACATCTTTTCCTTTCTTTTTCTTAACAAATGTTTTCTTTGTTTTAAATAATTTTGATTTTGTCTTAATTTTAGCCATCGTTGACAAACTAAATCAGTTGTTGAAAAAAATGATCACTACTTTTACCAAACAATTGGTCTAAAGTGTGGACAAAATAATCACAAATTATATGAAGATTTTATGTTTAAGTCAAACACGTGTTTTAAGTCATGTGTTTTGAAAACTATTATATGAAAAATATTAATAATAATAATAAATGATTTCAAAACAAATGATGTTTTTTTAAATAATTTTTTAAAGTTTTAACAAATCATTAATTTATTAAATAATTGTGTAAATTATAATTACATATATTTTTAATTAATATCTATAAAAATCAAAATATATTTATAAAAATAGTTTATTTAATATTAACAAAATTGTATAAAACTTAATATAAATATAAACTGAATGTTAAAGAGTTAGACATACTTTTTGTGACACTTTTGAACCAAACATTTATTTCATGTGTTTTAATGAGACAATCGATGACCACATTTGCTGATCATTAGTGGACACACTTTGGAGGACTCGTTTGAATTGTGACATCAGTTGTCTTTCACATCTACACAATGGTCTTCTTAACCAACACTTTGATGAAGTATATGCCTCATTGGTGGCGAAGATCTGAGAGAAGAAGCGTTTTTTTCAAGAGAGTGTCACTCTTTCGGCTGACAGGGGTTTGCAAAACATTTGATGACAACAATGATGTCTTGTAGTGATAATTAATAATATTAATCTGTTTGTTGCAGTGCTTCGGTGGTGTCAGTCGTAACTGTTTCCGAGTGGCCATCAATAAGTGGACCAAAACAATGCAATATAAACCGAAATACCGGCGAATGCGGACTCAAATGCTTCAAGACTTGTATTCGCAGCGAATTTTGGGTGCCGTTGAAGAACATGGACTCAGATATGAACTCTTCCACTCTTCACTTACCAAAGTATTTGTCTAATAATAATAATAAATAGATTTATTGTATTTATATTTAATTAATTCGTTGATTAGTGTGGTATTGAACTCAATCGTAAATCTTTAGCCAATTTAGCCATTTATGAACCGAAGACTTTTGCCGTAATTAAAATCTATTGAGATTTATATTTATAATTATTTTGTAATTATTATTTTTAAACCAAATACAGAGTTTAGTAGATTTGGCTAAAACCAAGTTTGCCGAAAATGGTGGCGGAGAAGAAGCTATATATGCCAAACCTGTCAATGGAGTCATCACTCGAGGAATGCTATGATTTGATTCATCAATAAAGAAAAAATATGATAACATTTTTTTAGTTTAATTGTTTACCGGTAGATATAAATGGTTTTTTATTTAAATAATGACATGAAAATGATTACAAAAAAAAAATCAAATGAAATGTTTGCTTATATTATAATTTCAATAATATATTATATTAGTGTTAAGTAAGACAATAAGTTTTTAAATTATAAGTAATTAAATTAATAAAATTTGGCTGAAAATGATGCTAAGTTAGAGCACTAATGGTGTTTTAGTGATTATATGCTAACAATAATATATAAAAATATATTTTTTTGTGAATTGTAAATACTTTATATACTGTATATGAAAATATATAAATAAATTCTCTCAATATCGCTGCCATCGACAACACAATATATTTAAAACAAATACAGATTTAAAAACAAAATAGTTTTGAGTCAATCATTTGAGTCGACTTTTACATTCATAATTTTCCCGAAAATATTATAAAATCACAGATTTTTTTTTAAAATACCGTATTTTCTGACATAACTATACATTGATTTATTGTTATAATTTACATGAATAATATCAATATAATAATATAATCTCTTTAATTTGTTGACGTATTGTATATTTAGCGAGAAATAAATTAGAAAATATTAGTAGTTTTCAAAATAAAAATGTTTTTATATATTAATTATTTTGAATGTCATTACTGATGACTCATTAGTCGTGTTATGTTTTGAACAATATTTGAAACTAATTTGATTAATAATTTTGTTGTTTCAATTCAAACAAATTACTAAAATAGATAAGTGTTTATAAATGTCAGAAAATTATAATAAAAAGAAATAAAAATTTTATAACATTTCTATAGCTTTTGCTATTTTATCAACTCATGTAACACTAAGTCATGTAATACGGTATATGATATATCAATCAATACATACAAAAGCGCATATATTTCATATAAAACAAACCCAACAATCGATACGACTATTGATTAACTTATTTGAAAGTTTAGTGCCATAACTGACAGCTCGATTGAGCCCTCATTGTTGCCGTTTCCGGACACCCGAATGCTTCGGCAAACTTATATGAATGCCGTAAAACAGTCGCTACTCTTAGTTCACTCGGAAGTGTTGTCATTACTTCTGATTTTATGATTGACTTTTGTGGACGAATTGATTGACACATTGACTGTAAAAAATAATTACCAGTAATTTAATTTTCATATTGAATATTATTGAGGATATTATGAAATACCTGTGCAAATGATACATAAAATAGTTGTTGACTATTAAGATATACACCGGACAGTTGTCCCTCTTCACCCTTTTCTGATACATAATTGTTATAAGCGTCGAATGCTATGTTTAGAGCACCGATATCTATGTAGGTCTGGGATAACGTTAAGTTGGGGTATATCTGAAATTAATAATATTTAGTTAGAAATATAACTGACATTTGTGTTAATCAAATGTATACCCATTGAGTCTTATCCGACAAGTTTTGTAAATCTTTTAATAAGCACTCGAGTCTATTATCTAAGTTTTGTCGACCCTCTGGTGTAATCCAAGTTTGATCAGTTGATAGTCTGAAGTCAGGAATACCATATTCAAGTCCGACTAAATCAAAAGCACGTAACATATGTGTGGCCACATGAAAGCCAAGTGATGCAAATTGAATGGGAACGGGAAGGTTGGTGTCAAATAAGGGTGTCTGTAGAAAACCGGCCGCAATTGTCAACCGATTGCCTGCATATTCATATGCAATGTTTACGTCTTGAGGCAATATTTTCCAACTGTAATCAGTGACAGCACTTCGAGACTTAAGAAGAATATCATGTTTTCGATTCAAAAAATTAATTCCATTGAGAAGATTCTGATAGAAACTGTTTTGAACAATGAATTCGTTATAATATTTATCGATTTGATTCTTGAGGATAAAGTTTGGTTGACTCATAAGTATTTCCATTTGTCTCACTTTTCTTTTGATCACTTCTCGTGCCTCATCAGTGTTGGCCCAAACAAATGTGTTGACATTTTCCAATATTGAGCTCTTAATATAGTTTATTACATTACTTCGGGCACCATTAGATTGGTTTAGTCTATCGGTCAACTTATTCTTAACAAACATTGATCCCAATGCGTGGCCCAGAAATTTTGATGTCACTCTCAGACAGAACTCCCACCGTTCTTCAGCCATCCGAATTTTAGTTGTTTCAACACCATTGACTGTCTGATGAAATTCATTGTAAATCAGACGGAATGCACGGGACAGGTATGGAGAGTAAGTTGATGTAAATCTCCACATAAGATAGTCATTGACAGCACCGTTATCTGTTGTCGATATAATATGTGATATATTTCGCAAATAAGATTCAAAAGCTACCAAAACTCTGGTGCCTTCGTTTAGCTGTGAATTAGGGAAATAACTTTGCAATAAACTCAACCATTTAATAGACGGTGCAATTGACATAAGTTCTCGAATTGAATAACGCTTTTTAAGATAATTGTTTGGTTCTTCATATTCTTGAAGATCGGGTGTAATCTCTGCGATTCGCTTCTCATATGAGAACATATTCTCCGCGAACTGATTCGCTTGAATGGACTGAGCGTTAAATAGTTTCGCCAATTCTCTCATAAAGTTCTTATAAGACTCCGTTAGCTATAAAAGTAATGACAAAACATGTATCAGCTTATCATTTGTCTCTTTAATGAACTTTTTACATACCTTTTCATATTTAGCATCAAAATAATGATTTTTTGAGGGCAAACCTAATCCGGACGGTTCAATCTGTATAAATAATTGAAAATTTAAATTAGATATAATAAATGGCATTTCATATTGAATTTTAATCAGATCGTGATTTTCAATTAATTTTTCAACCCATTAAATGCTAAATACTATACAGTATATTAACAATAGTAATAAATGATACATTAAATAATCAATTGTTTATACAGTTAAATGCTAATTAAACTATAATTTATACTGTTATTAAAATTAAAGATTTTACAGTAATATATATTTGTTTAAAGTTGTATTACCTTAATAATGAATGGTTGGTTTGGGTCGAGATCGTCGGGACCGACGGAAACTTGAAAGTAAGGATAGACACCATATTTAGTATGAAGTCTCTCAATAACTTTAGTTCTGTCCCAACTCTGAAAAGACCACGAGTTTAATAAACTCCAGCCACCGATCTCTTTGATCTCATATTTAAGAGTTGTTATAGAGTTATATTCAATATCTTCAACATTAAGACACGACTGATAAAAGCGTTTGACTTTGGCCTGTGGGTCGTCCTCATGGATGCCCTGATCTATAAGATCTATGTAATGTCTGAGCTCATGTTGTATCTTATCCTTAATTTGGTTATTGACAGTCCAACTACCCTTATTATCTGGTATCGCATTTTTAGTGATCCAACCACTGCACGCATAACTCCAGAAGTCGTGACACGGATCGTAACTGGAGTTTAGCGCCGATACAACAGAAGTGGCAGCTCTGAGACAATCACTGGTCTCACATCTGTATTCTCGGGGCACTTCACGTCTGACACTTAACTTTATTGTCAATATAATTGTCAACAACACTAACACAAGTATAACAACTGCAAGGATCAGAATTATGAGATGATTTTTGTTGGACTTGAAGTGTGTCCGATATCTTCGGTATCTGTCTTCTTGAACTTCAAGCCATGATTTCTTAGTATCATTTGGTTGACCATTATTTTTATCCATTGTGTGAACATTACTCTCTTCAGTGGCTAACCTATCGTTCTCTTTGGGTTCGCTCTCCTCTCCATTTATATCACTATTGTATTGCTTCTTAGTACTCATCGTAGGACCTGTACTACCACTTGTGGTGTCACTGTTGTCGTTGAGTAGCCCTACCCTGTTCTCCCTGAGCTGTCTCAACCTATGGCCACGTTTCCAACGACTTTAATTATTAGCAAATCCTTCCACTTCTACTACAGTACTTCTTTCAAAAGCCTTCAAACAACTTGTTGTAGTCTACAGTATATAGGAATAGCTTTTATTAGCTTTGATGAGCTCTCTCTCTCTCTCTCTCTCTCTCTCTCTTCTTTCTTTTTTTTCTCTCCCTCTCCGTCTACAAGAAGCCAAATATTTGAATCTCCTGTTTGAACGCAAAAAGTTATTTTTTGTTTAAAACTTCAAATAAATAAACATTTTTTCAAAACCCATGTTATTTTAAAAGAATCAAATAATAAACAAAATGTTAAACGTGTGATAAAAATCAGAAGTTAATGATTAGTTTATTTTGTTATTAAATATAAACTAAACAAATGATTTTACATTATTTTAATGATTTTTAATTTCTGAATGAGTTGTGAATATAATGTTGATTAATACAATACATTATAAAACTAGTATTAATTAATTGAATTAATTGTTAGCTAAGGAGCGAAATATTATTAAAATCAAACATCAATTTAAATAGTATATCAGTTACTCTTACCTCAAATTGGTCTCAAATGAAAACTTTTTTTTTATTTGAGCGATATTTGCCTAAAATATTGAATATTGTGTTTTTGATCTGAATTACAGCGATTATAATTGCATGAAATACACCTGCAATTCATTATCATTCATTATATTAACAATAAAACAATTTTTTAATAGCTATAACTTATGCGACACAATATTTCAAACATACTGTGAATTATACATTTATATTAAATACTGTATTTAGTTAATACAACAAATGTAAATTATAAATATATATATATATATATAAATTATATATAATATACAGTACAATGATTTTATCAATTTGATAGTCAATGGTATTTTAAATAACATTATTTGTTATACAGTATTATATAATACCTCAAAGTTTCCAATTATTGGTAGAATTATCCAAAGCTCACATCAATTAATAAATGTGTTATTAATTGTTTGGTAATAATTATACTCTTATTTCTAATTATTAATTATTTTGTTTATTAAACAAAAAATAAAATAAATTTATTAAAAGTTTAAAAATATTTGTTGTAATGAAGTTGTCATACAAAACAAAAAATGGATTTAGACTTTCATTTTAATGAAACCATTGGAAACAATCAGTGCTCTCATTAAAAATTTTGAAAGTCGAGTGTTTTATCAAATTTATATAAATATGTTTTTATCATTAGATACCAAATGTACTAATAATTATAATATAAGGTAAAGAAGTAATTGATTTATTGTTTTCAACCAAATTCTATGTGCTCTGGATTGTTGTTATACTGTATTTGATAATTATAAATAAATTATTTTATATTAAGTAAATTAATTAAGTTAACTATTTTTGTGCAACTTTTGATAATTTTATTCAAAAATATATTTCTATTAAATTTACTATAATATTATATGTATAACTTTTATTTAGTCTATAATTTACTACAGTCTCCCTTTTCATGTTTGTAATACTGTATTATTTAACACAATTCTTGTATTCAAACATATAATGTGCAAATATGTTATTGTTTTTCTTAGAAATCAATTTGCAATAATAAATGTTTTTATTTTGTGGCGATTTATTCCACAGTCACTCTCTTTAATATTTTTTAATCGAAAATATTATTTGATAATCCATATAATTTACAATTATAAACCCATTATAATATAACTACTATACAAACATTTAAAAAATACTTTTTATGTATTTAAAAATAATTTAAAGTTTAACCGATTTTAAAAATTTATTATGGTAAATGTTAATATTTCTTATTAAATCTAAAATAGATATTACGGTTATGTGATATTTTAATATTAACGTAAAGGTAATTACATTATGTGTATATTATCTACATAATCCATCGCTAAAAAATAGTTCATTATATTATTAAATATTTATAAAAAAATATATAACAAACATGTTATCACTTTAACTATAATTGCTGCACCAAAACAATTGAAGTATCATTTCTCAATTTTAATCAGAAACAACAAAACTAAAATATGGGTTAAAAAATTATAACTTTACTAAAAATATACTACTGTATAATGAAGTTATTAATTTTATAAATAAAATAAAAAATTAAAACGACAAATAACTAGGATAAATTTAATTTGTTTTAATTGTTTGCTGTACATGTCAGAAAAAATATGAGACATAATTATCATAATTGATAACAATATTAAAATTAAAAACAAAGTATAATTGTATAATTTAAATCTACTAATATAAATTCAAAATTTAAAACAATCATAAAATTGACTATAATTAATTAAAAATTATCTATATAATTCAATAATTATTTATAAAAATTATAATAATTTAGGTGTTACTTAAATATAGGTAACCATTACCGTAATTGTTATCTCGCATGCATTTATTTAACCTTTATCAAATTGAATCTAAATCATAACAGTAGAAAACCATATCTATATAAAGGTAAAGAATAAAACAAAATTTCATCAAAATATACAAAAAAAAAATTAATTTAAATAATAGTTTGCGAGTAAACAGTTATGCGGTATAAAGTTGTCTTATTTTTCTTCGTTAAGCATTCCTATAAATTCCTCTAATTTTTCTTGTATTTGTCGAACACGTTCTGAATAAATATAAATAACATTATAATAATAATATTAAAGAAAATAAATGACTAAAACAAACTCAATTCTTCAGCCAATTGAACTCTTCTTCCGGTCAAAAGATGTTTCTTTTTGTCTGAGTCTTGACTGTAGTCTTCTAACACTTCTTTGATTTCCTTTTCAAGTCTTTTGCCCTCAGTATTCATCACTTGTTGTCGCAATGCGTTAGCAGTGATGGCAATCATACGTTGTATTCGCCAAAAGAGTACCACATCATCGCAACACAACTATTATTACAAATTCAAACCAATTATTGATTTAGAAAAAAACACAATTTATTTGAATACTGACATCAGTTTCAATATTTTGTTGATATAAATAGAAAACTTTACGACAATCATAAACTCTATTTATGGCAAACTTCAAGAAACTCAATCGATATAATGGAAACCAAATTTGTTTTATCTGTTTGTGAAGTATTATTGTTTAACAATTTATATTAAATAATACTGTTGTTATAAAATCCTAATAAATACCGATTCAAAGTCAACATCAATGCCTTGATTTTGAAGATTTTTCTTAACAGCCGTCAACTCGTCATTTCCAAGACTAGGATTTTGTATATGATTTGAGTTATGTTGTGTTAATAATTTATCCAGTTCACTTTTTATACATGAATTAATATATTGACTATCATTTTGTGATTTCCATTGAAGCCATTTCTCAACAAAACCGGGTCCAACCAAAACTTTTAGTTGTGCTTCGGCTTAAATTTAATTCATAAATCAAATAAACAAACATTTTTTGTTATTTATATTTTTAAAAATAATAATTTATTACTTGAGTGTAATCTTTCATTAATGCTATTCTCTAAGAATTTTATAGCCAAATCCCATTGACTCTTATCGGGAACCGCTCGGTCTTCCAATACATTTAATTGAATGACTCTCTAATTAAATAATATTCAATCAATTAAAATGTTTTATAAATTCAAAAACTTACCAAAACTTCAGCTGCTTTTGATTCCCAGGAATGCCTTTTAATAGATTCTTCTGCGACGGATATCTTAAAAAAATCAAATATATTATCCCTGTCTTTCTCCTTCTCATTCTTCTTTTTCTCAATTAATCGATTGAATTCTTCCTGAAGTGTTTCCCAACCAACGGCTACTGACTTCGCTGGTAGTGTCATATCAGCCCATTGTTTGAGTCTGATATCCACTTGAGTATTAAATGTACTAATAAATAAAAAATACAGATATTTTTATAATGAATATTACCGGTTAAGACACTAAAAGAAAACAAACCCTGAATTGGATGTCTGTGCTGCCGGCAAATAGATGTGTTCAAACACATAAAAGCCAACTCTTTCCCATAATTTTTTTGATATAACTTCTTCCCTGTAATTTACGGTAATATAAATAAATAATACGGTAATAAAATATTCTAATAAATTATAAGATAACAAACCAATAATTAGGACTTAATTGACTTAAATTAACGATTTCATCCAATATCTCTCCCTTGGCTTTCTCAAAAAGTTCATCCTATTATAATAAATATTATCCGGTAATTACAAATATATTATTAAATTAAATTAAATGCTAACCCGATCGAGTTCCCGAAGTCGTGGGAAACTATTTTTCCATTCAGTTTCCAAATTAAAACGGGTAGCTTTTAAATAATAATAATAAATTTATTTATAATTTACATTAACAGTTAATAAGCCTAACCTTTGAAAGCATCGGCCTGTTGTTCAACAGAGGACTTAACCATTTTCCAAAAGCAATCGGCAACTGCCAGACTAAGACTTTGTGTAGTACATTGGGATCCATTCAAAATGCCAGTCCTTTTTTAAAAATAAAAATTTTAATAAATAAATAAAACATTTTTACAAATAATAAGCCATTACTTGCAAAGTTTTGAATTACTAAAAAACTGTGATTCATATTCTTTAATTGATTGAATAGTTTCATCTTTATTGCCGCGACCCGTGACGACTGCAAAATAACCCAAAGCTTTCATTGGAAACAGTTTTCCGTCTAATATTTTTTGAAGTCTCGACGGATTAGTCATGTTTTGTTCGGCTAAATCCACTTTTGTCAACACAAATATTGTTCGTTTGCCATTGGGATCCATTTGACTGACCAGATCAGTGACAATACTACGTTCAGCATCAACTGATCCATCTTGAATACATAATATTATAGCATTAGGATTACTCATATAAGTTTTGGTAATAGCTTTGATGGCATCCCTGGTGTCCTGAGCCATTTCGGTAGTAACAGTACTGATAACTCCGGGCAAATCAACTAAAACCATACGTTGAATGCCCGGTCCTTCCACTGTCATTGATATGACTTCACTGCTAACAGTGCGACCTTTTTTCACAGCATTTCTCATCCTTAGTTCAACTTCTCGACGTAAATCTGCTAACTCTGACTGTTTGGTTAAATCAAATTCTCGGGTACTGTCCTTAAACCTGGCCACATGATAAGGACCCTCTTTTAATGTCACTTTTACTGGTGATCGGGTCATCATTTCTCCCGCTCCGCGCGGAAATATTCGCGCGCCGGCTATCATTTCGAGAACACTTGTTTTACCAGAACTTTGGTCACCGACAACAATAACTCGTGGCAAATGGTCTTGAGTTCTATAATTAGTGTCGTAATCACTCAATTCATCCAAAACTTCTGAGTATAAGTCAATTAACGATTTCTTCACTTTACGTGTTGAATGATTTTGTCCTCTAAGAAGAACTGTTTTCTTTAAATTTTTGTTTTCCTTTTCTAATCTTTCAATTTCTTTCTGATATTTCAGCTGAAAATATATCACAAATAAGCAATTGTTTACTCTGTCATCAAATCAAATGTCAAACCTGAACAGCAATCAGTTCGTCTTGTAATCTCTGAATTCGAGCCTTTTCTGTAAATTGAAAATTTGTTTCGTCTTTCGACTCGGAAGACGATGAAGAACCAAAAAATGATACCTTAATAGGCATCGGATCAATAGATTCGAGTGGAAGAGACTCTTCAGATCCTAAAAGCAAAGGCAATGCTATGTCTGAAATTATATCACACGTTTCACAATGGGATTGGAGTTAATTAAGATTATGACAATTAAAGAGGACATACCTGACTGTTGCTGCTGTTCCCGCTGTTGTTTGGCTTCTTCGACCCATTGCTTAAAAAGTTCAAGTTTTTGGTTGGCGTTTGTATTCAATTTGGCAATAAATCCGTCTTCAGAGGTCAACCGTTGTTGTAATTCAAACATTTTATCTCTGATGCCATTCATTTGGTCACTATTTGGAACAATGTCTTCAATCCATTTAAATTTCGGTAGACTTTCTTTCCATTCTTCATATTTCTAAAAAATATAATCAAAACTTCTTCACAAAACCTGAAAATATCATCTCTCGATGTATTGTAAAACATGACAAATACGATACCTTTGTCACCTGATATCCTCCGCCAACAGCTGATCCAAGAATTAGATATCGGATTTTAAGGACACTTCTGATAACTCTTGCGGCGGTAAACATGTTTCGCTTATGGATTGTATATATTGTCAATTGGTTCACATTTTTACCATTATTTACAAGAAGTGGTCGCAAAACAGCACACGAATAACATTTGACAGACAACTCATTTGGTATCCAATTGGTCACCGATTGTGACAACAAATGTCTTCTTTTATGTCTTAAAATTTGTTTCAATTCTTGATTAATACATGTCTTACAAAATAAATACATATTTTGTGACCAAATGTGCGAAAAATGTGTTGAAATGCAAACCAAAACATAAGTAATACAAGTATTACACATAAAGTACAGCATTTGAGAGAGTCTTAAACAACAGAGACGACGGAAGAGATGCTATTAATTTCAATTATAGGGTCAACAATATATTGCATTTAAAAGTGACCATGGTCATTGTTAGTCATTGTTGTTGATAATTTTAAACTGAACAAGATTGTAATTGTAATTGTAATTGTAATTGCTCATTTTTCAACTAATTGTATGATTGGCCATATAATATACTGTCGACTGTTAAAAAATTATAAAAATGATAGTCGACAGCAATTATCTGCCCAATCATACAATTAATTGAAAAATGACCAAGTACAATTACAATCTTGTTCAGTTTAAAATTATCAACAACATTGACCATGGTCACTTTTAAATCCAACGTATTATTGACCAAATAATTGAAATTAAAAGCATCTCCTCTGTCTTCGCCGGCGACGCTGTTTAAGACTCTCTGACAGTATTCTGTGTTCAGTCAATGATATAACTATTATATGTTTTCATTGAAATCACTTATTAATGCACAGAATATTCTGTAATCACTTAATTAAATTTCATATAATTTCATATAAATTATTGTAATATTATTGGTATATATGATAGTAAAATAGTTAATATATAATTAAACATTTGAGTAAATAGTTTTGTATTTTTTTTTGTTGTAATTTTAATGTTAAGTAAAATTTATAGTTTTACTTTTTTCTTCAATTATGTTATAACGTTATTATTGACAATAGAGTAGTCATATTAATGCTGTAATACTGTATAATTTTGTACAATAATTCAATAATAGTTATATTATTGATAAACAAAATACATTAAGTTTTAATGATATTTACTGTAATTTGAAATATCAAATAAACAATTACCGTATTATATAATTGATATTATAATTGTATTGATAATAATATGATTTAATTTGACATTAATTTAATTATCATATCATATATTAAATGTTTATAGTTATTGACGATACAAATGATATAATAATCTAATAAATGAAATGAAAATTAATTTATAAATTATGAATGATTTAAGTGAAGACAATACCAATGGCACTGATAATGTCCAGTCAGACCATGAGTTGTCCAATGGTGTGACTATCGGTAATGACTATTCACTGTTGGATGTGTTGAACGAGGACTCAACTGATAGCCAATTGTCCGATACTATCGGTGATACCGTGTTTTCTCGGCACTGGCTCTTCAAATGTCTCGTCAATACTGTTAAGGTATACTATTTGTAGATATATATTATATTTATTTTAAAAGGTTATTCAATTGACTTATTATTAGTTGATTAACAAAGAGGGCAACAATCAGACCAATGATGACGAAAACATATCTCAAGAACCGATAGAATTGGACGATAAGTCAGAAGAAGAGTTGTCAATATTGTGGGATATGTCGGCCAATGAGGACGTGATGTCATTTCTTAATGATATTAAAGCCATTGATTTGTTTGAGACTATTATTGTGCGGACAAATTCGCCGAGATTTGCGGTAATTATAAATTATTTTGTTTATAAAATTTTATTGATTTTTAATATACTTTTAATGGTTTACAGGAAATAACTGCCGGAATATTAGCTAACATTGCCATCAATCGAGATATTTGTCTCAATTTAGCCAATCGACCAAATTTTCGGTTTGTTTTATACATTATTTTAAGATAAGCAGCTATTTTAGTATTACTATTAAATCTATTTTTATAGACAACTTATCATTGATACCATTAGTTCATCTGATATACCATTTGTTATACAAATTGTACGAATTATAAGTACATGCCTTAGCAATGAAGAAGTAAAGTCATTATGGCTGCAAACTATTAAAGACAATAGCCATCAATTTCTGCATAACATTCAATACACATTTGAAAATTGTCTTAACTGTGATCTATTGAAAAGTATTGTACTGTTAATAAACAAAATTGTATATTTAGACGACCAGTTTGTCAATATTTGGATTACATATGATACCCGTTACGAGACAGTCAAGTGCTTACTAAATGCTGGCCAACAATTAGTAGATGAAGATTCAGAAAATATTGAATTTATTGATTATATTTGGCTTATAATTCATTCATTAAGTCTATTAAGAGATGATTTTACTGAATGTCATCTCATATGCAACAGAAATGAATTGTTGTCTTTGTTTTGTCAATATATAATTGACTCATTCGGTGATTCAGTGGACTATGTGATAGCCAGCGCACATCGGGCCGGATCTCTGTCTGCCGCCATCTCATTGATTAATCAAATGCTGTGCCTTTCGACATATTCATCAGTGGAGCAACTGTTTGATCCACAAATGTTGGACTGTTTGAGACAAATTCATCTAAACTGTGACGAGTATATCAAACAATTGGCTACTGAAGCATCACATGATGTCAACTATCAATTAGCTTTGGATGCGTTGAAAGCCATTCAAAAGAGTGTTCAAAATTTGGCACAAAAACGCCGAAATAGTTGTTTAGAAAAATCTATATAAAGTTTTTAATATATTTAATATTAAAGCATTAAACATTTTATTATATTATTATTTAAATATCATTAAGATTAGTAACTAAACTAATAAATTATCTTTACTTAATAATATTTATAAATTTATACAGTATTCATTAACATACAATTATTATATATTAATACAATAACTATTATATAATACTCATAAATTATTCTAGTTATAATATAAGTAATATACAGTACACTACAATACATTATACATTATATGTAATGCATATTATTGTGACAATTTATTATTGACAAGTTTTAATTATTGTAAATTACAATTTGTAATATACAGTACTGTAATACAATATAATATATTTAAATACTGTAATTTACTGAATAAGTTCACAAATATAGTTAATAAAAACAACTCAAATAGTTATTTATGCATTAATTAATTTTGATATTTCAATGATTTATGTATTCTCATAAATAATAATTGTAAATTTATATTTATAAATTATTAATAGTAAATAAATAAAATAGCTAATAATTATTTACTGAAATACAAATTATGTGTTATTGTAAAATATCAATTTTTATACAGTACTTTCAATTATACTAAATTTAAAATTGAAATCTTTATTTAAAGTTTTTTACTAAATAAATGTATTTTCTAAATATGGCATAAAATCTGATAAAATGATAAAAAGACATTAATAATGAATATATTAACAAATTGTCTGATATCAACATACAGTAGATCTACATTATGTCAAATATCTACGTTTTTAAATTAGTTATATATTACATAATTTAATGAATAATATTATTATAATAATAATTACATATTTATTTTGTAACATACATTTAGATATAATATACATTAATTTAATACTTACTGTACGAATAGCTCAATGTATTTGTCAAAACAGATAAAAAAATGAGTTGACGTAAAGATAAAAAATTTACTGTAGTTATAAAGTGAGTGTATATTTAATGATACACTCAATAAACAATATCAGAAAAACTATTGACTTAACATTAAATTCACAGAATCTTCAAAAACGGAGACTATTTTTAAACTAATATTTTTTGAAACTCTGTATCTGAGCTTTTATTGTGATTGTGAAGTGACTATTAAACTAATTTACTATTAATTTTACTCAAATATATAACATATAAAATTTATTGAATGAAAATAGTCATAATTTATTTAATAATTTATTTATTGGCTATTTTGTAATAATAAAAATTAAATTAATTTTTGTTAAGTGTTTTAATAAATATAAATTAAAGTAATATTTAAACAATAATTGTAAAAATGTCTCGATTTTGTAGTAACAGTAAGGATTCATTTGATAGATTTGGTGATGACTTGTGTGAAGTCATACTAAACTACTTAAGATTAGATGATAGACTCAGATATCAATGTGTGTCCACTCAATGGAAACGGCTATTATTGACGACAATCACAGATCTTAATATTAATAGTAAAACTAAAAATATTTACTCAAATATGTCTAACTTTGAGACATTGCTTAAAAAGTTACCAAACATTGAAAGCATAGATTTGTGCGATAGTATGAACTCTCAATTTATTGATAACTTATTTCAAATAATAATAAAATTGTGTGATAATATTCATACGATTCACATCTACCCGTGTGATAATATACTCATCGAAACTGTGGATAATTTTTTTGCAAAATATGCCAAACAACTGAAAATTATTGATATTTATATAAGAAATTATGAAAATGAAGAATTGATTAGTTGTTTTGACCAAAACGTTAAAAATTGTCAAAATGTCATTGAATTTCGACTAAATGTTTATGAATATAATTATAAAATATATAAATTTTTTGATAATAATAATAAAATTGTGTTCAAAAGTTTAAGAAAATGTTTAGTTGATTATCGTATGGAAGATTCAATTGTATTGAATAATTTTGTTGACAATTATAAGGACACAATGAAATCAATGGTAATTAAGATATACGACAACTCAGTTGAAGAAATAGACGATGACTTGAATGATATCACTGATGATCATAAAGTTTTTATTAAAACATTGTTTACTGGTTTGTCTAAAATGAAACAATTGGTTGATTTACACCTAAAACTTGATTGGATTGGAGACTTGTTGATCAAAGTGGTCATTGATGATGGACTCAAACAAATTACTAAAAATTGTTGTCAACTTAAAAGACTTGTCTTAACTTTTGATGAAATCTCGTTGAATGTATTATCAGATATCATACAACCAATTAATGACAACTTTAGTCACTTAAAACGTCTTCATATTAATGGATATTTTTGGGATGACTTTGTAATGAAGAGTCAATTCTTGAATAAATGCAAATATTTAACACATTTAGGGATAACTCAATACATTCGCCACAAACCGAGTCATGCAATCAACGACTCATTCTTCGACAATATTGACCACAATTTACATCGACTTCAATATCTCTATCTTTTAGAGACTATGATTAGCGAAAAATCACTTAATTGTTTGTCTAAACTAAAACATCTTCAATATCTTAAACTTTATTATACTTCAGGTGTAAATCAGAAAACATTTAATGATATGATTAATAAATTCCCTAATATTAAAACAATTATAATTAAAGAAATGTACTAACAATATAATATTAATTGATTATTAATTAAATAAAGATTATACTTATCTTATAAATGACAATATGTATGACAATAGAGAGAAAAAAAAATTTGATTAAATGTTATAAAAGATACTTTTTGTTAAAAAATAATTTGAAACAAATGTAAATTAAATTGTAATAAAAATGTATTTGAATATAAAATTATAATTTATATGACATAGAAAATATGTAATAATCTTTTACAGTATTAATATATAATACCAGTAAGTTATTAAAACGTAAGAGTATTTTAGAAATTGTTGGAAAATTAATACTTAATAAATTATTATATAGTTTTTTCTCGAGATTATTATATAAATTATTTATTTAAAATAATTGGTTTAAAAATAACAAAATTGATAAAAATAAGTGTTTATAATTGGTATTATATTTAAAATGATATCTTCATCGGATCTTTCTTTAGACTCTCAAAGCATCACATCAGCCAAGAGTGCAGATGTGGATCAGTTTTTAGGACTTATATTAGATTTGTGTCAACAAACAAATCCTATGCCTTTTGGTATTGAATTTTCGAGTACTGCTTACAGTAATTTACAGCCATTAGAAACCGGTTCCTATAGTCTGGTCAGTAAAGGCTATAATACTACACTTAAGAAGGATGTTGTCTTTAAAGTGGTAAATGTCATATCATCCAAGTTATATAAAAAGCTTTATGGGGTTGACTTTGAGGGTAAAGAGTTATTGTCGGAAGTGCTCAATGAGATAATGGTGACAAAATGGTTGTCAGCATTGCATCGAACAATATGTGATCAAAGAGGACATGAGTTTATCTCCCATTCCTTTCCACGAATGCTTTCCGTACGTTTAGTTCAGGGATCGATACCAAACTATTTGCTTATCAAAGCCACTAATGATTCGGTCGACAAATTGGACAAAATTGAACAAAACAGAGATATTCCGGGAACTCCTAAACTTTATTTAGTCATTACAATGAAATATTGTGGAGAAGCTCTTTGGAAATCCATTCGACACAAGAAAGTCAATCCAAAACAATTATTAAGTGTTTGCTATCAAATAACTCTAGCGCTTACTGTTTGTGAGTGTTTGTATGAGTTCGAGCACCGGGATCTACATATTGCTAATATACTTATAAAGAAAACTAAGAAAACAACCATTAAATATGTCATCAAAACTGAAACCTATAGAATTCAAAGTTTCGGTATTAAAGCTTTTATAATTGACACAACATTTTCGCGGATAAAGTTTGGAAACAATGTGTATTATACTTCACTATCTAATCGTTTGAATCCAAAGCTTTCTATCAAAAATCCAGATCTTCAGGATTGGGTCTACAGATGTATGACTCGAGAGGCCAAAAATGATTGGCAAAAGTGGAACCCAAGGACTAACTTATTTTGGTTGCGATATTTGTATAAGACATTACTCATGTCATCGGTGGTCAATCGTAGTAAAGACACTGTTGTTAAACGTATTTTAAATGATTTACTGAATAAAATCGGAAAATATGATGCACTCGAAGAGTTTATTAAACATATCGATAATATTCGCTAAAGTTATCGAAATTTATTTATTAAACGTATTTAAAATTATCAATATTAGGTTAATATGTTTGAACTTACATTTGTACCAATTTATTATATGCCGATCAAATTTATTTCATCTTTAATTCTAAACCTAATACTTAACTTTAATAATAACCAAAGTATCAAATATAATATAAGTTTTAAAAAGCAGACAATAAATTTATGAGAAATTTATGAATTTATTCATTTATTTAATTACAATTTAATAAAACCATTATTATAGTTGTTTTGATGTTATTTCAAGGAATTTTAAGCATTGTGTTATTCAATGCTTATTTTAATAAAGAGTTATTGTCCTAAAAATAATTTTTAACAAAATATATTTATATATTAACAATGCATTTCTATATATAAATTGAATAAATATTTAAACCAATAAGTTATAAAAAAAATTGTTATTAAATTGTAAATAATCTAAAGAATGACTTAAAAAGTTAAACGATAAGAACCAATATATGCATAATTATCGATGAAATAATAATTAAATATATGTTTATAATTAAATTAAAAGATTAGTTATTAATCTTATTGAAAAACTTTAAACTTAAAGACAAGTATCGAAAATCTCAAAATGCTGTACAACTCATTGGGTATAATAATAATAAAATTAAGTTTTCATCAATTATTCAAATCTGCTTTCTGTCTCTTTTGAAGCGCTTGTGCTAAGTCTGTCTTAAGCGCTTCCGAGAGCTTCTGTTCGGACAATGACTGCACTGAACGCAATCCATTTAAAATGCTATTAGTTTTGCCAAAATAAATCTCATTCAACGTATTGCGGATCTTATTCTCCATGTCCTACATCACCACAAATAGTTTCATTAGTTGATTAAGATATACATCAATATCGATGTCAACAAACCTCAACCATTCTTCCAATGTTAGCGATGTGTGGATTTGTTTCACTTACTGTATTATCGGCCTCGACTTGTCTGGTAAGACTACCTCCTAAATTCATGGTCCCTGAGCTCGGTTTGTTGGTCTGCAACCATAACATCACAGTTGAGGTAAGTTTATAGTGAGCATTACGACCGCTCGACTTTTCCTACAAATAAATCATTTATTAATTTCTGCATAAATAGATCAGCTATACATCCATACCTGCACTTCGACCACATGTATTGAATCCCAACATCCTTTGATCTTTTTAGACCCGTCTCCGGCTTTCTTTATAAGTATAACACCGGCGAAACCGTTATCTAAATCCCACAAATAGACAGATGAAACTCCGCCCTCAAAATACATTTCCCTGTACTGATCAAAGGCTTGGTTGGCATCCACTTCCAGTTGTCTTAACTTATCCGACGGCATCGCTCCGTCCTCTAAGGGCGGGTCGTATTTGTTACTCCACGGAGACCTTTATGCAAATCATGACTAAGTGTTATATACAACAACAACCCAAACATCACCTATCAATACCTGTATGAATCTCCATCGCGATTGTAATCACATAAGAGGTAATCCCTTCCGGTCTCTTTATCCCTCGCTATCTTCAACGGCTGATCAACAGATGACAACAAGTCTTCACACAAATCGGGAACCTATTAGACATATTTACATATATAGTATAACAATTCAATTGGTTATTATATTAATGGTCCGGATGTGTGTCACCACTGACCAGATCTATGAGATCGCGTAAATTTTTCTCGATCTGTTGCGGTGGCAATCGTCTCATTAGATCCAATGCGTGATCCAATTGTTGTTCACTCTTAATAAAAATATTATATCATTAATACGATTATCAGATATGTTAGACATGTGCTGACACTTACCATCTTTTTTGTTGATCACTGAAGACAATTGACAATCAAATTAAATACAAGAAGTGTTTGTTTGTCAGCACTTTAATCAACAAATTGTTCATAAAATATGTGTTAATATATTGTTTGTAATAAATGTTTTCAATCCATAAATAGTGTTGATATGTATTGAACCCAATCTTATCTAAACACTAATGCAATTCATGTGACACTCAATACAGTTATTATCAAAACAAACACATTATTGACGAAACAATTACTGGTTTGGACTCACATTCAATGTAATGTATTTTGTGGACAACACTGTGTTGTGCTGTATATTGTAATACATTTCTCTATTATATAATAATCACAATTACAATGAATCATAAATTACATGATATTTTATTAGTATTAATATACTGTATGTTATACAGTATTATAACTATTGTATTGACTTTTAGTTATAATAAATGTATTAAATAATTATTACATAGTTGTATGTAAAAACTAAAAGTTACTAATTTACATTAAATACAATATAATATTTTGCTTATTAATATTTATTAGTATATCAATTATTGATTCATTAATTATTTTAAATAATAAATCAAAATTAGTATTACATTTATAGTAATTTTAGTAAATTTTATCTCATGATGCTTAAATATTATTAAATTTATAGACACTTTTTAATAATAATTTAAATAAATATTGCAATTTTAGTTTCAATTAAAATATAATTTTTGGAATTAGGAATAAATGTATTTTATAAGGACTCACATTGTTGATATTCACTTATATTACAGTTTAGTTTAGGTTAGTTTAGTAAGGTTAGGTTAGGTGAGTCCTTATAAAATACATTTATTCCTAATTTTTTGGTGTTAAAATGTGTAGTTAAATATGAAGAATCACTTCAATTTCAACAAAAACAATGAAATAATTATTTATAAGTTTTTATAGTTAGTATAAAATTTTGTGAATCGCATACTCAGGTCATGTTTGGTAGTAGAGCCTCAATAATCGTTATCTCTATTATAATCAAAAAGTATTGAGAAATTAAAATATTATTTCGGATTTCAATCCATTAAACAAATATCACATGTTATGAATATCAAAGCCAGTATGTCTATCACCTAGGTGTTAATTTTTGTAAATATAATAATAATTGCCTATATTTAAATAAAATTAATAACAATATATAAATGTTCAATTAAAATTAAAATTTAAAAATATATATAATATAGTATTTACTTATAGATAAAATTACTAATAATTTTTTATAATAAAACAATATTTTTCAGTTTTGTTCTTTTATATGAAATATAATTAATTTTTAAAGATCTGCCATTGTGTAAAATTGTAATATTAAACATAATCTATAAATATTGTTATTTTTAAAATATTATATTATTTACTATATTTTTTCTTATGTAATTTTTAAATTTTAGTTCTAGCTAATTATATATATATATATATATATATATATATTAAATATTTTTAATCTGTATAATTGTATAAAATGACGATAACTTTAATAATAAAGTTTTATGAGTAGTCAGTATATTTACAAAAAATTAACACCTAGGTTATAAGTATATCCGATCTCAAGTTTGAATAATAAAATTAAAAATATTTTCGCAAAAATTTATTTTCTTTACTTAATACTATTTGATTGTAGTATAGATAACGATTCTTGAGGCTCTATTTGGTAGACATAAGAAATTTTAAATACAAGCGGAAAACCGGGAAAATAATTATTTTACTTAAAAATCAATACATTACTTATAACTTATATTAATAGCAATCATGGGTGGATATGACTATATAAAATTTATATGTATTATACCGTATATTAAATATATATCATTATATTAGACACTATATTAGTATTATACTGTATTAGAGACCCAATACTATGTGTCAATCACTTTCTATGGAAGTCATACTTTAGATTAAATCAATGATAGTGTAATACAAACAGCAATTTATGGTATGATTTTAGTTTATTTTTTTTATAAATTTCTATTGTATTATTATACTGTATAACTAACTAAATAGCAATTGTTGATAACATATTAGTTGAATAAAGTATTTATTTAATTGAATCTCAATTTATTATTTCTAATTTTTAAATATAAAAAAAATGTTGTACTTTTACTATGTTGAATATTCCTAATTTATATTCATTAGTATATAATATTAATATAAGTATTACAACTATTTATAACTAATTAATTAGCAATTAATGCACTTTTAACTTATAAATTATATTTTATTATATGATATTTTAGTATTATTTATTAAATTACAATAAACTTAAGTTATCTGTAGACAATATTTGGCATGAAATTGATGAACTGCTTATTAATTATTTTTTCAGATATTATTAGATTTCATTATAATATTGATCTTACAGTAGACAATATTTGAATAATTTTATTAAGTTTCATCTATATTATTATTATTAGTGATATATTGTATAATGTAATAGTTAATTTGATATTGATAGCTAAATATCATTTAATAATTTATTTATTAAAGTTTTAACATGGAATTCAATTTTAAGCCATCAAATTCATTATACATAAGTATTTTGCTTAATATTAAATTAGTATTATTGACAAACATTACCGGTTTATAAATTTTTTAAAAATAAATAATATCATTGTTGATAAACTGTGCTGTTGTAATTTTATTTTTATAGTAGAAATTTAATTATAGAAATTAACTGTATATAAACTTTACAGTATATTAAATATAATTTTAAAAATATTTTTTAATTTAAAATAATGTGTCAAATTTGTATTTTAATATTATATACAAATTACAATGTTTTCTAAATTATTATAAAAAATAAATTACATTTTCGCATAATTAAATTCTTATTCTTAATATAATTATTTGTTTTTATTATTTAAAAACATGACTCAAAAAGTAGCTGTATCAAATTTTGCAAATTATTGATTAATCAAATTAAAAAATAGATTGTTTGCGGCAATTTGAAAATAGTATAATTTAATTTAGTATAAAAGTAATTTTTAAATGATTTCTGATTTTTTACAATCTATATAATTAGTTGTTTAAAAATATTTTAATATAATTATTTAGTTAAATTTAATTAAAAAAACATCTACAAATAAAATGAAATTTTATAGATTTTTTTACTATTGTTTTAATATTGTAAAAATTATAATATAATTGAAATAACCTTTAAATACTTTATTGAAAAATAAAATTACTTTTGTACAAACTAGGATATGTTATACTGTATTAGTGTAAAAATTGAGAAATTGTGAAATATTACGCTAAAAAATAATTATATATAAAAATAGATATATAAAATATATAAATAAAATTACTTTGTTTAATATTTTAAGGTATTAATTTAGATTACATATATAAAAAATTATTTAAATTTATATTAAAATAATATTAATCCGTTTTAAAGATTAAAAGAAATACATTAATTATAAACGAAAATGATATTATTTTAAAAACTTTAGTAAAGTAATAAAATTTTAAAATAAAATCTAAACTTTTATAAATAACATAAATATTTTTTCATTTCTATATAATAATATGATTTTAATCTTTAATAGCATTTTTATGTACTGTATTTATAACACATTTATAACTTACGTGACTTACAAGTTATAAATTAAGGTAAAATTGTTTTTATTTAGTTTAATATTATTAATAATTAATTGTTTAACAATATTAAAGGTGATAATAATTTTGACTCATATTTTCATATTAGTATTAAAATTATTTGAATAAACTTCTACTTATTTATTAATAAACAAATGATATGACAAAATATATTAAAGAAATGTGAAAATATAATCAATGATTATTTGGTTAATTGTTAAATACAAATCACCTGAAAATTGAATACAAATTAAGATATAAAATGACTATAAATCTTATTAACTGCTAAACACATTACACATGTCTGTAAAGTAATGCAAAACGTGATACCATTGCCTATAAATTATATAAATGTAGTAAAAATATTGATCAAATTTATTTTTATATATTCTATAGTTTGACATTGTTTGGGCACCGGTAGAGCACAACTACTGTCAAAATAACTAACCAAAAGAATAACAGTGCAGTACGTGATGTGTTAATCAAATAACAATATTAATAATTTACATCAATCCGTATCCATCATTTCGACGCCGAGTTTATTAAAAGTCATAAATGAAAACATATTGTTATATAACATTTGACGGCTTATTGTTAAAGTGATAAACGATTGTCCAAATCTTCTCTCTATTACAATATATAATATTATAGTTTTAGTAAATTTTATTTTTATTATAATAATATAATAATTTTGCATTACATTGTTTGCGTGTTAAGATTAAAACAATATTAATGAAAAATGGTTTTATCATGAAAATGATGTGAACATTGGCTACATTTATGCAAATTAAATTAAAAAGTTATATTAAATAAACATTGTGTAAAGCCTTGAAACAAAATATTATTAAATTAAAATAATTGGTTTGTTTTATTTTGATTGGATTTACAATTTAAATCCCTTAAATATAATATCAATACAAGTATACAGTAATATCCTATAATAGTTGAGAAATCTTGATTTGTTTTACGCTAAAACATAGTATAAATTTTATGTTTATGTCTACAATATATTAGGAATAAATAAGTTTAAGATTAAACAAACCAATGCTTTGTAATATCGATTGTCAAGTAGTAGTCGTGAATAAAACATAATCTAATTTATAATATGTTTTGATCCGATTTCACTTTGCATTTCACTTGTTTGAAGCATAAAATATATAATATTTATTTTATTTTGCTTTGATAAAAGTTTTCATATTTGGTAATATTATACATATAAACTGTATAACAAATGGAAATAAAATTAATATTAAATTTTATAAAAGATGTTTCACACATAACATTTGGAAACATTACTAAAAAATAAAATAAATAATTTTGTTATTTTATTAGCGCATAATTATAATTGTTAAGATTATTCTACAATAATTTAATTATAAATTAATTTTATTATTACTTTAAATGTGATAGATTTATACAATAATATGAAATATACTGTATATTTAAATTATATTAATTTTAGATCTACAAAATCTAATGAAATGATATGTACAGTATATGAAATGTTTAAACGGATGATCCGACTATAATGTCACATATATTAAACTCTTGACTTTCATCACTGGTCTCAATGAGTGCTAATTCATTAATATATTGATAGTCTTCGTGTGCATTGCAATCATCGCCATCAATGGTCTCTAAGCACTCTATGCTATCTAAAGGTTGTAAGCCATCCAAAGCCTGAACACTATTCCAGACCCCAAAACTCATATAAACAAAAATACCTGAAATAATAAAACATTAATTTGTTTTGTAAGGACTTTCAATAGTTATATTAATATTATGAACACTTAAAGTCTTACCAAATAAGCACCAAATGAGAAATGCCAACCAAGAAGTGTATGGTAAACATACGATTAAGTGTATATCCAACCAAATGGAGCAAATGGGTAATAATGGTATACACGGCATACTATTGTTGGAAGTCGAGACATGATGTCGGGGCTGACCTGTCATCAGTGCCACACAAACACATATAACAATAAATAAAAGAGTGGAAAACAATTGTAAACTCCATTGGATGCCAACGGGTAATAGGTTTGGCATATGTACTGTTGTGATGGCCATTATAAACATTGTTGCCATCATAATAGGTAATATGACTATTAGTAAATATAATTTATTTATATTTAAGTTCAACAATTGAGATATATTTTATTATTATTTTATTTGAATACCTAAAACAAATTTTTCAGACTTAACAGTTGGTTCTTGTCTTGTAGTAAGTGATAGATTAGAAACCGATGTAATGACTGTTTGATTGATTAACTCGACAGACAATGTTCTTGCGGTTGGAAGCGATCCATAGCTGTGATGATGACTGCAATTCAATGGACGATCGCTTTGAATGCAATTGCAAAATGTTTCGCTCAAACAGTTATCATTAGGCAACTCCTCAATCAATTGGCTATCATTTGCTATTGATTTCAATATAGTTTGCCTTTTATTAAGATAGTAATCACTTATAGATTGGGTTATATTATGTAATGAATTTTCTCTAATATCTATATAACTGTTTTCTCTTAATAGCATTTCACATGAATCTGAAGGCAAATTTTCAGTGCGACAATAGCTGTGAATTAATAAATAAATACAATAAATAATTGATAATTTGATTCATTGCTTTATTGTAAAATTTGCTCACCGAAGTGATAAAATTGATAAAGTGACCGTCATATATGCAAATATAGTTCCTGTTATTTAAATTGTTATATCACTTAAATATTAAACTTAGTTTAATGTAAATATCACACAAAATATAAATTATATCCATTTAAATTTAAATGTAAGTATTGTATTTTCTACAGTTTATGTTATATAGTAATATACAGTACATGTACTGTACTATACTGTATATAATTTATTTATAATTTTTTCAATCTAAAAAATTTTGTGTTAAAAATCTAAAAATTTGAATTATTATATATTTCTTGCAACAATAACATACTTTATTTATCCATTTAATTAATTCCTTAAATTGAGAATTCGTTCATTTTTTTATAAGTGAATGATTTTCTCAAATGTTTTTTAGAGAATAATCAATAATATTCTTTAAGTTATATTTTCTAAGTTTAATAGAAATGAAACTCATTTGCATTCGATGCCAATATAGAGAACACATTCTACTAAAAGTGCAGTTTTGATAACAATATTATAATACAAAATATACAGAATATTCTTAAAGTGTCATAAATTGAGTATAAATATATATATATATATGTATACTTAGTATACAGTACTGTACAGTATATTTGCTAACATTATATTAAATCATTGCATTACATTGATTAATGCTATATAATGTATTAATATTAATAATATTTTTATATTAGATATATAAGTCATATAATAGTGTAATTGTGTTCAGGTTCGCAGGTTTTGGATAATAAGTTTGAAATATATAAATAATATAGTTTAATCTTAATAAAAAATGAATTCATTAATTTATTAAAAATAAAAAAATCGCATAAAAATAAATTAACAAAGAAATAAAAATATATATTTGATTTATTGCAGGATAACATGCAAAAGCAAAAAACAAAATTGAATTATTAATTGCTTATTCATGAGATACCTGTTCCGATAAAATTCAATATAGTTGTAGTTTGTAATGGAATGCAAGTGATGGCACAGACAACTGTTGATACAATGGTCGCACATTTGGCTACTCCTGAGTTGGACTCGTATTTTGAAAGAAAAGTGAAGAGTAAGCCATCGTTTGATAAACAATACAAAAGACGAGATAATGAAAGCAAAGATGCAATTGTTGACGATATTAGACCACAAATGGCTCCCATAATCACAAAGTATTTCATACCATTCAAACCTCTCGTAACAAATATCTAAATAATATTAATATAATTAAAAATTAAAATTTTAATTATGCAAAACAACTGTAAAAACTAAAATATTAAATATACAATACTTTAATAAGCGATGCGTTTGTTTCGAGCAAAGAGAAAGGCACTAATAATGTGATGGCAATCGAGAGACTAAATGATGTCATCAAAGACAACACAAACGTTAAACTTATGGCAGAAGTTGTGTTTTGATATGAATGGCGACACTCTGAAGATAGCAAACCAATAATGTCGTAACCATTGAATACAAATAAACAAACGGCTGCTCCAGAAAATATCTATAATATAGTATACAATAAAAAATTTAAATTCAATTCATATAACATATAATTTTCTTAAAAGCACTATACAAACACTATTGCCTTATTTTTATTGTACGGTATAAACGCATTTAATACTAAAGTCACATTAAAAGCCTAACTTTTTTTTAATATTCAAATGGATTTAAATCTAATCAATGAAAAGATAATAATAAATAGTTTCACAAAAATAGCAATATAATCAAAATATCATAATATTTGATTCAATATAATAATGCAATATTTGTTTGCAAACTATTGTCTAAGTTATAAATAAAAATATGATACATTTATATATTCAATAATTTGATTTGAAATATAACAAAAAAATATTGTTATTTGGGAACAACAAGACTTACTCCGACAATTCCGTTGGGAAAAAATCCGGGACCGGCTGTCCAGTTGTCACAATCTGCTAATGATAGACAACTTAATAGGATTCCAACAGTGATTAGTAAACATATAAAGACCAGAATATTATTATAAATGCATGAATTCTGAAACAAAATAACAGTTTAGTCGTATATATTGCTAAATCTCATCTCATTAAATATAACTGTATTGACATTACTTTGAGATTTTGTGTTAATACATATCCAATAAGTAATAGAAGTAAAGCAGAGGGAATGTCAAAAAATATGCCACCATTTGAATCATTGAATACATTATATGTAAAGCTATTGGCAAACGTGTCGTTTAACAAGTAGTTCATATAATTGGTAATGGATTTAGTCGACAATATGACAGCCAAAAAATATTCAAAAACTAATGACCAACCAATCAAAAAAGCCGGTAATTCACCCAAAATTGAATACACATAACAATAGGCCGAACCTCCACTTGGAAATCGAGTGCATAACTCTGAATATGCCAGTCCTGTAATATAATAAATATAATTTTATAAAATTTAATTAAAAATTAATTCTAATTACAGTATTATATTTTTTTGGTTTGACATAAAACTAATAGTTGTATACAAAAACAGATAATTTCGTGTTTGAGAGCAATTCATGACTCGATTGAAGTAAAAATAAATCAAAAATAATTGGATTCTTCTTATTTGACAAATAAATATCTTTTATAATATTTGATTGGCTCAGCACTTGTATTTGAGTTTATATAAAATTGAGTAAAACTTTATGAAAGTCTCTATTTTTCTTATTATTATTATTACATAAATTCAATACCTGCGAGGCCTGAGGCCACTGAAGCTATAAGAAAACTCAATACAATTGAAGGTCCGCTATATTCACGAGCTGTATGTGCGAGGATTGTGTAAACACCGGTTCCTATTGTCGTTGATAAACCTATTCAACAAATTCAATATATTATTACAGTAAAAGTTTATCATAATTACACCAAAATGTTTTAACAAATTTCTATAACTATTATAAAAATAAATAAAAATCATTATTTATAATTATGATACTAATTTATATTCTATACCTGTATCAATACTGATTATCACATTAAATATTATAGATCATAAGCAGGGTTGCTAAAGGTTTTCGATTTCAGGGGGGGTATAGGGGGAGGTAAAATGGCAAAATTTTCGAAAAAGCTTGGGGGGGGGTATAGGATGGGGTGAACATTTTTTATTGCATTTTTAAACGACAATTTTTGCCAATTTTGAGTAAATTCCCATTAAATTCCCAATAAATTCCCAATAAATTCCCACTAAATTCCCACTAAATTCCCACTAAATTCCCACTAAATTCCCACTAAATTCCCACTAAATTCCCACTAAATTCCCACTAAATTCCCACTAAATTCACTATAAATTCCCTGTAAATTCCCTATAAATTCCCAATAAATTCTCTAAATTTCCAAAAAATTCCCTATAAATTCCCAATAAATTAACTAATAAAAATATTCTCAGCTTAATTTCTCAATACTCAAAATATTTTCTAAATATTAAGAATTGCATAAATATATATATACAACTATTATAATAATAATTATTAAATAAAAATATTATTGTTTTAAAAAAATAGTTATCAATTAAAAAATTAATGATATAGTACTGTATTTATTATAACGTTTTAATAATAATAAGAAAAATAAAATTGTCAGAAATAATTATTAATTAGTTCTAAATAATTAATTTAATTTAAGAATATATCTTATTATAGTATTTTAAATTGAACCATAACTAACACATTTTAATATAGATTCTAAATTCCCACTAATTTCTTATAAATTCCCACTATATTCTCATTAATTCCTTATAAATTCTTAATAAATTTCAACTAAATTATCTATAAATTAACAAATAAAAATATTCCCAACTTAATTCTCAATACTCAAAATGTTGTCTAAAATATTCATTTTTACAAAAATATAAAAAATAAAGAAATGCATAAATATATAACTATAATTATGATAATTAATTAAAAATACAATTATTTAGTTATAAAATTGATTATAAAATTAATGATATAGTACTTTATCTTAGTATTATAGTACTTAGTGATATAGTGTTTATTATAACGTCTTAATAATAATGTGAGAAATAATTATTAAATAACTAAATAATTAATTTAAGAATATTTTTTTAGATAGTACTTCATATTCAACCATAACTAACAAATTTTAATAAAAAGTTTAAAAATATTAAAATATAATTTTTTTAAAATTTATGCTAAAAATTTGTTTTCGACTTTTAATATGAAATAATATATATATTCATTTATAAAAGAGCTAAAAAATAAAATATATTTAATTATTTTTTTGAAAATTGGTGGGAATTTATTAATATATTAAATTTCTCCATCTCAGGGGGGGGTAAGACGTCTTACCCTACCCTACCCCCCCCCTTTAGCAACCCTGATCATAAGTCATAAAAACAAAAAACAGCAAAAACAATAAAAAATTTAATTTATTCTGTATTATACAGTAAATACTTAACTATTTTTATTAATTTTTAAAATTAAAATTAGAAAATATAGAATAAAATTATTGAAAAATAAAGTATTAATCCAAATTAGAGAGTATTTATTTATATTATTATATTAAGCCAAAAAAATAACCGCTTATATTAAAAGACAAACAATGTGTGACAGTATATAATAAAAATACGTAACTTTAATAATATTCTCAAATACAATGTAAACATTCTTTTAAATAATTAGTAAAAGTTTTAATTAGACCTATAAATTGCATTTGAGATACTTTTTATTATAAAACATTAAAAATATTTGCTCACAATATTATGTAACTAATATGTACTAATAAATTGAAAAGTTGTTCATAAGTTAGTGATTTATTTTAAATCATTTTTTATGTATCAGAAAATATTGGTCTCATTTCCTGTTTGTAATGATATTTCGTAAACTTCATTAATAACATTAAAAATGATAAAAAGAACAAATAAATTAAATTGTCAATTTAATTTCAAATGTTTATATTTTAAGATAAAAATTTAAGTTTTACTAAAATTATAACTTTTATAAAAAATTAATTATTTGGGTATACAAATTGTATAATACGATACAATAATATTAGTTTAAAAAATTATTTTTGTTTTATAAAAATCAAATTAGAGAATTAATTTATTAATAAATTGGATATTAATTTAAAAATGACTTCTTAACTATATTAATAAAATTAAAATAATATTAATTTAATGTCACATATGAAGACATGTGATAATCATTAGTTCATTACTCTGTAATCATCAATGAAATGGCTGACTAAGTGAGGCCAAAGTCTTATCTTAAGCTCATTCATGTCTTTTTTTTTGACAAACCTTTTACTTGATTATAAGGTTTGCATCAATGCATCCAATGATAACAAGGATAATAACAGTTTTATTTACTCAATGCAAACTAAACTTATCTATAACTCGATGGCCTGTCATTGATCGCCAGTTTTTTTTATTGTATTACATCTCAAAATATAAACCCTTTTTCCACAATAATTGTCGTTTGTTTTTCATTTGAAATCTCAGTATATATTAAATAGTCATTTGTTCAATATTTCTAACAAAATTAGTTAATGTATTTTATTATACGATTGCTTATAATTTCATTATTAATAACACTTTAGCTAAAAATGTTTATTAAATTTTATTTTTTTAATTCACGAATTGCTTAAATCTAATATTGTATATAAACTAGTTTTTTAATTTGCAAATTATTACATTATTAAGTATAACATTAGTAAATTTTATTTATATTTAATTACTAATGCATAGATTATACATTAGTTATACATAGAAATAACATTTATCAAATACTTAACTTTTAAAAATAAAAGCTTTTATAATTACTCAGATAATTTTATAAGATATGAAAATTAAAATTGCGATATTTTATTTTTTTGTATATTGCAATGCTTATTTAATATATTATTGATTACATATAATTATAAGCTTATATACCAAATTTGGATCTATATTATTGATTAAATAATAATTATTATGAAGTTTTATAGTTATAAATAAGTAATTGTTTTAAATTAGAAGTGTAAGCTATTATTAATTAATAATTTGCCAGTTTTAAAATTTTCTTAAATTATACTGTATATAAACTTACTACTGTTAACAACTAAATATTAAATTAAATAAATAAATATTTTAATAAAAAATATGAGATAAAAAATAAAAAGTGGTATTTATATATTTTTCATATTAAATCTCATTTTAAAATTCCAAATAAACGTTAAATAATTTACTTAATTGTTATAACATAAAAAGGTTAGTAAATTATAACTTAAAATTATTTAAAGTAACAAGTTAAAGTTATATATATTTTTGTATATTTTTAAATTAAAATAATGTCAATTTCTAATATTTACTTTGAATAGTTAATAATATTACTATATAATATTAACTTAATATAGTGATTATTTAATATAGTAGAGTTAAATAATGTAAATACAGTGTGTTGTAGTGTAAGAATATAATAATATAGGCTATGCTGTACTATATGGCATTACTGTCCTATTTATATAAAAAAATGTAATAAAATGATTACTTTTAACTTTATTAAACTTATGACTTTTGTATATAACACATATATAAATAATAAATAAGTGCGGACTCACCCAAACAGGTAATGTCGACAACAGATAATGACTTTTGAGGTATAGGTTTGCCACCAACTGGTGATGAATTAGTCTTTCGCCGCAAAAGAATTTTGAGAACAGTTGAAAACGTGTCAACCATTGCATCGATTTGTCGTCTTATACTTTATCCAAAAGTGAGTAATATATTTGCAATCAATGCACTGTTAGTTGACATGAAATGCACAAAACTTTTTTGGTTTTGTTCAAAACAAGCGATTGACAAATGACAGCAACAAAACATTTAAAGTTGAGTGAAGACAACTAGTGATGACAACTCCTTTTGGACATAAGAGTCATTGCAATCATAATAGCGATAATAACGGCTAAACAACTCATCAAATATTTCATTCGCGCTCTCATAACATGTGTTGTCTTCCTCTCAAACTCTCTGGTAATCCAAAAATATGTATTTCTATCACAACATTAATCATTGCTTTCAATAGTAATTTTGTTTTATATTATTTGCTCACAACTTTATGTCACTTTTTTATGTGTTTTTGTTGTCGAGAGAAATGATTTGAAATATATGTATTAATTTTGATACATTTTTCGTAGTTTTTTTTGTATTAAGTTTGATACTTTCTACAGATTGTGTCAATTGTTTGCATAAAATATAGCAAAATATTTGTTTGTCCAACAAATCTTTGAGTTGAATATTAATTTTATATTTAAAAAGCAAATTGAGAAAACAGAGAATTATTTTGTTAACTTTTTTAAATTATTAATATTATAGTAAAAATATTATACATTTATTTACATTAATATAGCATTAGATGTATTATATAATATTAACATTACAGTATAGCACTGAGTTGTGAATTTTTGTAATAATAAAGAGAGATAAATCGGTATTTAATTTGATATTAAAATATCAATAAATTGAAATTCAATTGATTTGGTGACATATGTTTTAATTGTTTAAGTATGGATCAAATGAATCATCACTGATGTGGTGTTTATAATTACCAGAATATTCTTGATATTCTTGATTATCGTTTGAATAGCAGTAATATTCAAGTCATTTGATTGGAAAAGTGACAGATGTTGTCATGTGTTGTGTTGTTTGAGTGAATCTTTTTTAATATTATCCAACATATCGTATATATATTACAATATAAAAGTTAAGTTATCCATCAATAATACTATAGTATGAAACACAAGTCAAAGCGTTGGCACATATCTCTCAATACATATACAGACAACTGTTTCACAGTGAATGAGTGGTACATAAGCTGTGAACAAAACTCTTAAAACACACACATTTTGAATCCTTTGTGCATTTCATAGTATTAAATACTATATGCAATGCCTGAGACTTGCGTAGGAATGTCTTTACTAAGAGATATTTGAGACCTACCGATGCTATTGACAGTATTATAGCGTTTAAAAAGGATAAGACTTTTGATTATCCCTTTACTATTCAAAACTTGTTTGACGCAAAAGAGATGCCATAATTATATTATTGCAAATCGAGTAGTGATGCAAATATTTAAATAAAATTAACGATTCCGGTGTCTATGTATTCATTGGATCAATTGAACGGATATACAGTATTATAATATTATAACACAAACCATCAAAATATAAAATTCAATATTTGTTTTCATTTATTAAATATTTCTATAGTTTTCAAGCACTCAATTAATTGCTTCACTTTTTGTTTTGTTTAACAATTCGTATAAATTAATAGATATTAATGTTATTAATAAAACAAATATATGAATGATTTTGAAAATATTTTAATTAAACAATACTGTATTGCAGTAAAATAATTGTTAATTACAAACAAAACATTTTTCGTCAGAGTAGAAGTACATCTTTAAAATTATGTTTATTACAAGTTTTGTGGAAAATATTAGAAATTAAATTAATTTTAGTTTATTTAACAAAATACAAATAGTTTTCTCTATAATATGACAACATGAAAGAGTTTAATACAAAATGGGATTCCAGTTATTCAATATACTCTAATTTAATGTAAGTTTACATTATAACATATATAAGACAATATATATATAAATATAGTTAACAGCAAAGATATAATAGAGTAAATGTCGATCATTTGGGTAATTGGAGTGATGTATACATTGTAAATGTTAGAGTAGTCGACATATCCCTAAGTAATTAAAATAGGAATATATTAGAGATATTAGTCTTTAAAGTTCTCTAAAAAATAGATGTAATTTATAAGTTTTAGACATAATTTTAAATTTTAAATACGATCATGAAATAAAAACAAATTAATTTTTAAAAATAAAATTAAATACTGTATACAGTATTTATTGAAATTATAAGTTATAATTATCATAATATTAACTAATGCTAAATATAGACTACAATTAACACTTACCTGTTTTTTATGTTATAACATTGTATTAAAAAATAATTAATTTTGTTATAATAAGTTATAATTATGTAAATAATTTTTATTTAACATTCTCTATATTATTCTTATTTTATAAATAAATCAATAATCATATTAAGCCAAAAAAAACTTATTTTGTTTGCTTATTACTTATTTATAAATTTTCATTAAAATAATATCAAAAAAAAATTAAAATAACACTACTAATAATTATAATAAATATTTGTAGTATTTTAGTAAAAATATTACAATCTTGGTAGTAATAAATTATATTATATTACTACTGTAATGTGAAGTTTACATTGTAAACATTATATTATATGTTTATGATAAATTTATATACAGTATATTTGTATAATTTATCGATTCTTTATTTATACAGCAGTTTTATATTTGTATTAATGAGATCATATCTAATAATTAATTTATTTATCACCTTTTTGTATAAATATATTAACTATTATAATAATAAATAAAATACTGTATACATTCATATATAATATTTTTTAAAGACATATATACTATTAAATTAAATATTATATTTAAATTATTTTATTACATTATATATAGTTATAAGTTATAATAAATTATATACTATGTTTATTACAAACATTATATATTTCATAAAATGATGAAAAACACATTACATGACAAATAATGTCAAAATACAGTATACGTACTGTTTGTCGAATAAAAATTAATGTATATTTAGGACAAACATTTTATTCAATATTTTTTAGACTTCTTTTTAATGTCTTTACACAAAACTATTATTATTTGCAAAGAATTAGATTTTTTTGTGCAAAACTCAATACCATTTGGACAAAGATTTTGTCCGAAATTTAATATAATATCAGAGTTTGGGTTTACTTTTGGTTCAAAAGTTTTCTATTACTCTTACATATAATCATTGCATTGCTTTTCGTGAAATTCTTTTCCGATTCAATTCTTTACAAAACTCTATGGTCTCTAACTGTGTGTCTAATATTTCAATAAACAGTATACAGTATATTACAATATATACTTTATAAACAGTGTATACAACATAGATATATTTTAAACTTTATCATAGACTACTATATAATAAACTGGTAAAAATAAATTTTTGGATCGTAACCGATAAAATTGATTTTTCTTTTGCAAAATAAAAAAAAAGGATTACTTTATTGACAAATGTCTGGTCGATCAGCACTTATATGACTAACACAAGACATTAATTTTAGTGATGAATTTGAAAACGTGAGTTAATACATATTTTACTTATTGATTCACTTTAATAATATATAGCTTTTTATATTAAACTATAAATTTTAGAAAATTATATTTAATTATTTGGAAACTTTTTATATATAATTCACTTTTTATGAATAATATTGATTAGCTTTTTGAAAATATGCTTTTTATAGCATAAAACTATCAATTAAATAAAAAATATTGTAACTAATTATTAAAAAAAATCATTTTTAATACATTAAATATTTTTAATTAAGTTTTTATTATATAATTAAAAAGAAAAATAAACAATATTTTTAGATTATGTTAATGTCATAAGAATTTATAAAAAATATATATATGCAATATATTAATTAAAATAGAAAATAAAATAAATTATGATGTAAAATAATATTGTGTACAATATAAGATATAGTAAAACTTTGAATACTTATATTAAAAATATAATGTATATTAATTATTGTAATCTTTAGTTTGTTTGCTTGAAAATTTCGATTTGTTTTGATATTTCATCCTATTATAAGATTTAAAAAAAATAATTATTGTTAAACAATAAAAAACATAGGTTTGACAGAATATAAGCAAATATGAAATGATATGATACCATGGCTTAACATCAATGCCTTTATTGCCTGCAATGTGCAACTTATAACAATATCTGCCTTTTGAACACCCGGTTGTCCTCCAATAGTAACACTCAATCTTATAAGGATTTGTCGCACAATTATTAAGCGATAAATAATTCTTGGAATCGACTAATGAACGAAACCTTACAATCAATTTTTCGTTTGGCAGACATATGTTTGGTATACGAGCCCCCTATGAACCAGCAATTGATTATTATTTAATTAATTAACAATTAGTTAGTTTATAACAAATCAAGTAATTTATTAACTATCAGCTAAAAAACTAGTATAAGAAACACTTTCAATAAGTAATGAATTGATTTATAAATTAAGAAATAATTCTAATGAAACACAAACTTTCCTTCAAGTGTTATCAACTTATTTATGTATTGAATAATAAAGTATTGATGTATTCAGATATATATATATATATATATATAAAGTATATGTAACTAATAAGGACAGTCTCTAATTAGGCATTACCTGAAGCTTAGTTATTGCAGTTTTGGCTGACTCTGTACTATCAAACTCAATGATAGCACTGTCAGAATTGGAGATTATTTTAATAGACAAGACTTTTCCAAACTTTGACAAAATGTTATTCAACTCTTTTCTCGTCCGCTCCGATGGTATCACATTTGACACACAAATGTTTCTCTCTTTATAAGAATTTGTTGAACTATTTATAAAAATATACTTTTAATTAAACATAAATTTTAAATGATTTATTAAAATTAAAAATTACTTTGAAATGGCATTAGTATTGTTTCCAGATTTGCTGTAACTTCGATAAGAAGTGGTAGTTCTTTTGCTGTCTTCCCAAATAACATTCATCTCATCTGAGCATTGATTGTAATTTTTGCGTCCATTCCGTTGACTTCGAGAACTGTTTCTTGACTTGGATTCACTACTGTTTTCTGATTCACTGCCAACAGATTTAATTGATTTGTTTTTATTAATTGTTTGACTCTTTAGTTGGTTAAGACATTGTTGATGTTCTTCTTTGGAAACGGTAATCGCATTATTATCACAAATTGTTTGCCATTTTTTGTCATTTCTGTTGATATTAGACTCTGTTTCTAATAGAAAATCGTTTATCTTTTTGAGGATATTGCTGTCCTCTCCGGGCAATGACTGTCCATAGATATCGATATTTTTATCTTTAAAGTAAGTCTTAGACTTATTCTCAAACTCCAGAGTATTGATTAAGTCTTCAGTGCGAGAGTTTTGGTTAAATATTTTAACCGAATTCTGTTTATTCTCTCTTTTCTTAGACTTGTATTTCTTGTTATCATTTGTTTTGTTGATAAACGAAAGTTCTTTACAAATCGTATCATTGACTTGATTGGTATCATAAGACTGATTGATCACATTTGTGGTACAATTTGAATGGACACTATTCCCTGAACCACATTCCATGGCAGCCATCTCTCTAATTCTTAAGAGTTCAGTTTGAGCTTCAAGACAATTGGTTCCCTCTAAATGAATGACCATTTTGAAGGATTCTTCAGCTTCTTGAAAGCGTTTGAGTCCCTTAAGAGCTCTAGCCTTTCGGAAGTGACACTTACTTCTTATTTGGTTTAATTCAATAGCTTTTACTGCATCTTTCAGTGCCAATTCAAACTCATTTAATTGATCCAAACAATAGGATCGGTTGACAAAGTATCTGTATTCGTGTGGATATAACTCAACGGCTGTATTGTAATACTGAACGGCACTCTTGAAGTCATTTCTTTCCACACATTTGTCTCCATTCCAACAGTTCCATTGACTTCTTGAATGGTTATCAATCATTTGATTTTCTGACATCTCTTTATTACTTTTCATATCATTAGCTAAAATATCATTGAAATGTATAAATCAATTGTAAGGAACAGATTCTTTGAAAATGCAAAACAATGTATAACGCGCTGACACTTGTCTTAAACAATATATTAATTGTTTTTAACTATTTATTGGAAATTAATTTCTTTGATTAAATTATTTCATTGTTATAACTATTTTTAATACAATTGTGTCTAACATTATATTCAATAAATGTTATTAGAATTGATTAAACAATAATTTTTTGGTATTTTAATCATATATATTAAATAATAAAATAGACCTGGATTATTATAACTTTTATAAATATACAGTAGTACTAAAAAAAATACATAAAAACTATTTATCAATTAAAAAGTTAATGTTTTTACAAAAATTTTCTAAAAATATTGATAATAAAAATGTTTATTAATTATTATTTTTTTATTTGACTATAAATAGACAATTAATTTATCAGTAGTTTTAATATTTTTATTTTTTATTTAAAGATTAGATTTTCATTGCCATTAATATCATATTTCGACTTTCAATTCAATTGTGTTTTGTATGACCTCTAGTGAGACAAACTATTGAATATACTGTATATTAATACAATTTGTTAGTTAAAAGAAAGTTATTGTTTCGTATTAATTAATTAATAAATATAATTTAGTTTATTTTTATTTTTAGTATAAAATAGTTTTTATTATTATTTGGATAATTAAATAATAGATTTGATTAGTTTAAAAATAATAATACTATTATTAAAATAAATGGTTACTATAACTATAACCACATGTATTATTGCTAATGAGTGAGTGAGTGAGTCTATACGTAAATATAATGCAAATGAGTTGCAAAACGTGTGGATTATGTGTTTGAAGGGTTAGTTTGATTGATATAAATGTAAACAAAAGTAATCATTGGTTTTGATATAAACTTACAAATCATTACATATTTGTTGTCATTTTGATTGCAATCATGTGTTAAATAAATTGAAGACAAATACAACAACTGAAGACATAGATTGAGTTGAAGATGACTTTCGACCTGAGGATAGCCGTCGTCTGCAGCAGTAATCAGAACCGATCGATGGAAGCGCATAACATACTCAGGTATTAACCATTACATGACTGTCCACTTGATTCACACACTTCTCATATATGATATTATAGTAAAAAGGGATTCAAAGTAAGGTCTTTTGGATCAGGTATGTCATCAATACTATGATTAATTGTGTTGTCTATCTAATTGATCCATTGGGTGATTAAAAAAGGAAATCAAGTGAAACTTCCCGGTCCTGCACAGGACAAGCCTAATGTGTATGAGTTTGGCACCACTTATGAAGAGATGTACAAAGACTTGTTGTCAAAGGATAAAAATTTGTTGGTTTCTATCATATAGTTGTCTATTGAATGATATAATGATTGATTTGTGTCCAAACATTTCTATAGATATACTCAGAACGGAATCCTTCATATGTTAGACAGAAACAGACGAATCAAGTCATGTCCCGAACGCTTCCAAATATGTTACGAACAGTTCGATGTCATCTTCACTGTTGAGGAACGGGTTTACGATCAGGTGGTCGAAGGTATGCAAAACACTTGAATTGCTAATATAAATGAGTTAATAGTATTCATTGTTAGAGCTATTGATGCGAACACCGGTCGACAACACAGCCGTCCATATAATTAATATCGACGTTCAGGACAACCACGAAGAGGCCACTATCGGTGCGTTTCTTATATTAGAAATGGCAGTAATGATGGCTCAGAGCAATGATTTAGACAATGATATCGACGAACTCTTACAAGAATTTGAACACAAAGCTGAGCGACCACTTCTGCATACCATTGCTTTCCAATAGACTAACAATAATTTGTACATAATTTTAGTACACATTATTTAATATAAATATTTATATTTATTAATAAAAGTATTTTATATTTTCGATATAACTATTGTATATGACTTACCGGTAATAGTCATATACAGTAATATATATCATATTTAATTGATTTATTGATCCAAATGAGCGTAAACTCGTCTTAACTTTTCTTTTTTGTTGCGATTGTTATGTTTTTTCCACGGTTTTGAGGTCACTTCAGTTACGGAACCATTTTGTTGTTGCGTACGAATACCTGGAACTACTCCTTTAGTATGAATTCCGGCATTTTTAGCGCCAAAGTATAAGTCATTGAAATCTTGTGGAGATTTTTTAGTGATTTGACTGCTCTCTAGAATCCTTTTGAGAGCTGAAGGCATCTGAAGATTTGATTTATTTTGGTTTTCAGGAAACACATGGAAAACCTTTTGGTTATAATCTGGAGGAGCGAAGCAATAGTTGAGTTTTCCCGATACGAAATCTTTTAATATATAACGCGCTGACCGACAGTTGTCAGGAATTCCTCTCTGAGTCATAAAACCTCTGGAAAATCCATATGTTGTTAATAATTCTTCGGGAGTTACGAATCGATTTTCATCTTCATATTCCGTCGGTTTCGGCAAACAGATTGTGTAATGGCTTTCAAAGACGTATCGTGGGATTAGATTTGTGAGGATAGATGTGGGAGGAATCGGGTCTTTCAGTTGGTCTATGGGTAATATACCGTTAACAATCATTTCAGCCTTACTCGAGACTATATTAGGAAAGACAAGTCCGGGACAATCACATAATGTCAGCTCATTGTCTAAAATTAAAGTCTGAAAATGTTTAGTCTTTCCAGGCGTTGCAGAAACAGAAACTCTTTTGGACTGAAGAATGGCATTAATAGTTGAAGATTTGCCGACATTTGGATACCCGACCAGACCTATAGTTATCGGTTCCGACGAGTTTTTGAGTCGAAATGATTTAAAAAAGTCAATCAGTTGTTCACGATTTAATAGTTTACTCGAATTATGTCTTGAATTTATTATGTCATCAATATCTTCATCACAAGCAATATCTTCGTCACATTCCAGCTGTTCTTTAGCTGAGAAGAAAAGTGCTTTCATATTCTTTAAGTCAAAATGTTTGGCCCAAATTTGACGCTGAGTTTCGCTTAGAAAATCAGATTTATTTAATAAAATCACATTTTCTTTGCGTTCATCAACTTCTTTGACATATTTCTGAAGATCTTCAGAAACAAATAGTAATGGATTTCTAGCGTCCAGTATTTGAACGCAAACATCACTCCTCTCAACAACTCTCCAAAGTTGGCGCCAAAACTCAATATTTTTCTCAAATGGTGTCATAACTATGTCCTCGGATTCCTGGATGACAGCCAAATGTCTTCTCCACTCTAAATACTTGTCGTACTCTAATTGATTCAAATCTTCAGCAGTGGTTGTCTCATCCCATTTGGGTCGTCGAGGGATTAAAATTGCTTCTGATTTCTCTTCATTATCAATTTCAACCATTTTATTAGCAATTTGTCTTTGATTTGGATCTATTATTTTAATTCCTTGTCGTTCTGTAATATAATGATAAAAAACAAATTAAGAAATCACTTGAAAACCAAATGTCATATATAATTATAATTAACTGATCCAAACCTGCAGTAAATTCAATGTTAGCCATATGAGCATTGGTCATAAACTCCTCAAGAGTTGTTGTCTCTATTTTGCTATTTTTTGAGTCATCAAAGTCTAAGACATGTCTCTAATAGCAAAACAAAGTATTTAGTAATAATAATATCCATCACAACAATTGATCCAATTGTTACCTGACTTGTGTTGAGATGTTTAGAAAACCCTTTTTGTTTGTCTTTAATCAGTTGTTTGCCTAATGAGGCCACGGAGTCCTTGGTTTTGCCCATCAGTTCATCAATTGATCCCAAATGAAGACAATAATGAAATTAGATTTAAATGCTATTAATGTTTATAAATGTCGTCAAAACAATGCTTTAAATACTATTTAAATGGTTTGTTGTAAATATTACGTTAACAATATAATAAAAAAAACCTTTTATGATAATAATATTACATTGATAAATACAAACTTTATAGTACATAAAAAGTGCCAAATTATAATTATAGTATAAAAGTACTGTAATACAGATTCTGTAAATATATAGTCGTATACACTGTTAGTATTACTATTATATGAATTATATGATATATTGAATTAAATTGCTATACTATTTAGTTATAAAAATATTTAATTGATCAAGCAACTATAACAATATATATATAATAATAATAATTTTGTCTAATTTTAATTAATTATTTTTATTGATTTATTTAAAATTTAGTATTTTTGTATTAAATAACCTAAAAAAGAAAAAAAGTTTAACAAATAATTTTATGATTTAATTTACATTTTATACAATATATTCATATGAAAATAAACATATTTATAAATTATAATATGATATGCAAATAAAAATAACAAAAATTATGCAAATTATAGACACTTATCACAAATTATTAAATTAATTTTTAAAAATATTACACAAAACATGTCAACATTATCTTAATATTTCATAATTTTCAATTTATTTGACATTATATACGGTATACAATATTAGATGCTATACATAGTTTTATATGTTATTAATAACTTATTATATAAATTTACAGATAATATGATATTTATTTTGTTGTTTGTTATATATATGGAGTAAATTTAATATACAATTTATTTTACTCAATGTTTAAATGCAATTATAGTCAACTGTTTGCTGGAATTCAATGAAAAGACATTCAATGTATGGATAGTACAGTATATATACTATAATTATGGTTCTATCAAATCCATCCCTCGTTTTAAATTCTCTGTTCACTGGGAATTCCCAGGGAATCTATTTCGTTGTATTACAACAAGGGTTTTAAAATAATAAATGCCTGCCCTAGCAATGCACATAGATTTCATAAATGCCTGGTATTTTTGGCATCTATTTTATTTGTCTGCAATTTTTTATTGTTAAAAAGTAACTGTATTTATATAAATAACGTAATTTAGTATTTTTACCGTTTAAATATACAATTAATATACTTATTTCTAACGAGATTACCGTATAATTAATGGTATACCAAAAAACAAATATACGTTTTTAAAATTAATTAATAATATAAAATTAAAATAATATGTGGCATCACCTGAAAATAGATGTCCAGTGCAGGGCAGAAGCTGGGCAGACATTTACCAAAATTGGCATCTATTGTTTATGCCTGCCAATTTTAAAATCTTGCTATCGACACATTTATTATAATACTTAAAAAAATATTGTCATATTATTTTGATTGATAAATAATATGACTAAATTTATTAAATAATTTAAAAAATTCAATCAAATTTTATTCAAAATATTTAAGTTTTAGTGTTATTTATTGTAATATTCATTTCTAACGAGAAGGGAAAGAAAATAAAATATTTTCTATATTTTCAAAAAAAAATTAGAAGGATTTTATTAGGGAACTTCCCTCTCTTGAGAAGTTACACGAACTCTAACTATAATAAAGGTTTTATCATTAAAATCATTTGAAAGTCATTTATATTATATAAAAATGTGACCAAAAATGGTTTAACTCATAGCTATTGTCATTTCATTTGTCATTAAGTTTTGCTATTTTACAGATTTATAAATATTTCTGAAATTCCTTAAATATAAACATTTAATATGTTTCTTGAATTCAAAGAATTAATAAAATTGAGTTTATATTTCATAAGTTTTATCACATTTACTAATATTTTTGTTAATATAGTATTTAGAGTCAAATTATATTTATTAAATATTTTTTATATTATAGTACAGTATATTGTATGTAGTTTTTAATACTGCAGTATATATTATGTTTTCTTATATATATATAAAACGATATTTAAATGTGATATTTGTATTTATTAATAATAATAATAAATTTTCTTATAATAAACTATAGCATAATATAAAATTACAAATTAATAACAATGTTCTTAGATTAATTTAAATGTAATAGCAAATAAAAATTATTTGAAAGTGTTATAATATTAAATTATATTAAAAAAAATAATTATAAAAAGTAAGTTTAATTAGAATATAAAATTAAGTAAAAACTAAGTAAAATTGTAATTATATATATATATGAAAGTTTTGGATTTGGTATAGAGTGTGGAGTAAAATAGGATAAATCTTGGGTGTCATCAAATCATAGGATGGGTTTTTCAAAATTTTAAAATCCAAAGGGAAAAGAAATCCTAAAAATTCCTAAAATTCCCAGAAAAGTAGAAAAATATTTCAAATAAATTTCTTAAATTTAAAGAATATTTTTCTTAAATTAATAAAAACATTTTAATTAAGCTTATAAAAATAAAAATTAATCTGCTAAATGCAAAAGTTAAAATAATTAAATACCCTAATTATCCTGTATAATTTATAATTATTATCCTAATTGTAACATAATTACTTTTTAAAACAAATAAATCATTTTATATTTTTAAAATAAATATAAACTTAATACTAAGTTTTAGTAAATAATTCAATTTTAATATGTTTTAAAAAAACATAAAAAGTTAAGTAATAAATTTTGGTTAAAATTAAAATTTTTATCGGCGCCGAAATTTTAAATGAGTTTTAAGCGACAATATTTCCTATTTGATCAAAAAGTGTGGTAAAATCGCAAAATCTCGATCTTAGGGTATTTTTTGCTATTATTTAGTTTAACTGTAATTTAATACTTTAAATAAAAACTAGAAATTTTCTGGGATTTATTTACATTTAGTATTACCGATTTAATCCGTTAATTAACTAATTATATAATTATTCAAAAATTGTTCAGGCAAGATTATTATTACTGTAACTAACATTTGTTTATAATTTGCTTCTCAAATTACATTGATATTATTTTTATAAAATAAATATTTTTAAACATCTTTTCTTGTTTTAATCCTTGATGTTATCTTAAAAATTATATTATTTAAAAATTAATTAAAAAAAATATTTATATTTTATTTTTCAATAAAAATTAATGAATTTGTAAATTTTACTAATTTTATAGATGATTTTGTATTGTTTTTATTTTTTAACCAAGCTCTATTTGAATTTTAAATATATTTTAATAATATCTGAATTTATTGATATTTTGTCGTATCATTTAAAAACCAATCGGACATTTATAGAAACACATATTAATATTTAAATATTTATAAATAAAGTATAAATTCTATTTATAATATAATATAATTGACAAAATTGTGGCAAATAAAATATTAAAATTGTAATTTACATATACATACATATTAATTGTTAATTTCCTTTGAGACAATAAAATATTATTTATAAATTAATTCCGTAAATAAATAATTTTTAAGATGAAAAATCACATTTTTTAGTTAATATAAATAATTTAATTACTATTTTAACACAAAATATTTTATTTGTTTTCTTTGTAAAACAGTTATTTTTACATTTAAATGTTAATTTGTATATTTTTTATTATATGTAATTTTTGTTGAATTTATTAATTATTTCAATATTTATTCACATAAATTATAGATAAAACATTTATTTATTTATTTTATTTAATTATTTTACCATAAATATTTGTTATTAGTAAATCTGAATATTAAACAAGTCATCAGAAAATTGCTTTATATTTTTAATTGTTTTCAATTGCAAACAATCTTTTATATTTCAAAACTCACTTTATTACCAATCGCTGACTTTGACATCACTACACACTTGACGTCACCATTAAATTTAATAAAACATATATCAAATCAAATTAAACTAAATAAAAAAGTTTTGCTTTAAATTAAAATTTAATACAAATATATTAATAATAATAATTACAAATAAGATTTTAATTTAATGAAAAAAAAGATTTATAAATAAACATTAATTTATAAAATAAACATTTATTTTTTAAATACAGTATAATTAGTGTAAATAATTTTAATATTTTAATATTATTAAATTACAATATAACAAAAAATGTATATAAATAAATTTAAATATAAAACAAGTTATATTAATATAAAATTTATAAAAAGCCTACTATTTTATCACTCACTACTGTTATATCAAGCCTTTCTGTATAATTTATGTCATCCATCTCTTTGAACCTTCAGGTGCTATAAATGCAAATATTATATAAATGATAAGCAAATATAAACATCGATTTTAAATATTTCTGATAATTACATTTGAAAGTGACATTTAGTGTTACTATAAAACTGTTATAAAGACAGATAAATAAACAGATAATATACATACAAAAGTGACACAAAGTTTTACAGATTTCATAAAAATTAATTAATTATATTTTTATAAATTAAAAATATTCTAATGTATAGATTATATTATAGTATTAATATAATACTATTTTAAAAAATAAACTTTGAATTGTGTAGAAATAAATAATCTTTATAGTATTCATAACAATAACAAATTATGTATTAAAACATTTTACTTAAATATCAAACCAAAGCACTAATAAATATAAATTAAACATTTACTAAATTAATTGGAAAAAAAGATTTAATAAAATTGGTCACAATTTCTCATAGGATTTATAATACGAAAAGTTTTGAACTAAAAAATCCTAATTAAATGTATGAACACGCATGCGATCACTAATACAGTACCAATATTTTAGACCTAAAACTGTATATTTAGAGTTTATTTTGTTGAAACTACTCTATCTATCAGTTTATGTTTACTATAGTACTGACTCTACACTTCAATATATAGGCAAACAATAGATGCATTTCTATTAGCATCTTTGGTATATAAATATATATATATATATATATATATATGTATTGATATATTTATCATCTTATTATTAAATATTTGATTTTTCAATTTACATATCTATATTATAATTCTGTAAACTTATTAATAAAATATTATTGTAACGGCTGTTATAAATTAATGATTAAATTTTTCATATTAACTTAATATTATTGCAAAAGTTTATATAAATGCCATTAAACAATTGACTTCGTAATGTAAGTTAATATTTT